CCACACCTCGGTGAGAATGATGGCGGCTGTAAGGAGGGCCATGACAGGCATGGAGCTCATGGCCTGGCCGATCTCAAGGGAGATTTGGTTCTTGAGATACTTTGGATGGTTAAATGCGGTTTTGTCGAAAATAAAAACATAGGAGAGCGAGGCAACAGTGAAGTAAAGGACTAAGCCAAAGACCCTATAATTACAGTTAGTGGTAACTCCGGGTAACTTACAAGCTAGGTATACCTGAAAAACGCACCATGTAATCATAAAAAGGCTGAAAACTTGACGGAAGCCATTGTCTCGGGGCAGAGACGACTGGTAGGCATATTGGAACGGCTCTAGAGAGAAATATTTTGTCGCAGGAGTGTAGATGAATCCATTGCCTATCCCGTTGACTTGGGCGATAGTGGAGGCGGTAGTTGAGTTGACGCCCTTGAAGACATTGGAGATTATATCGCTAGACGGCGCTGAAAGAGGCAGCGCACAGGCGTACAAATAGTCGAACACAAACGTATCGAAGACTTCCAACACGATATCCATGGCGTGTGCTGTCGTCTGCTACCTGCTTATCCGATACCAATTGACTCTGCTGATATCTGATTGATAGATAGCTAGGGCCAAGAACCCAAAAAAAAAGGTTCTCGAAGCTTGAGTTTGCTGAATGGTGCGCAGACCAAAAAAAACAATGCGCCGGTGTATTAACGAGTGTAGCCCTGAGCCAGGTAGCGAGATGGAGGATGGACGGACGTCGAAGAATCGAGGATCGCAAACCGAGAAACGTCGAAGTCGATGGATTTGAAATCCGCGAGGAGAAAAAAAGAGCCGAATAAAGAAAGAGACTAACCCGAAAAGTTGACATCTGGATCAGATAAAGAACTGCTTAATCAGCATGAAACGCGGCTAGTCCTAACTTAGCTCCTTATTCAGCATGGTCTGTGCTTTATGACTAAGCCGGGTGGCTGATTACCTAAGCCATCTTTTATGCATGTACAAGGTCCTTGGCGCGTCCGAAAGAGGAAATCGGACGAGCATAAAACAGGCAGAAAAAGGCGGAAGAAACGGGATAAAACAAACACAAGAAACGCCAGACGCCAGATTTGACGACCTCGAGCAACTTCAGCAACTCCAGCAACTTCAGCATCGAGATCTACGCAGGAAAACGCAGCCCGGACAAGCAAACGCAGAGACGAGGCAAACGCCAGGAGGAAGCAGAGCGAGGTTTTGGGGCCTGAAACCCCAGAAGCATCTCCCAAGCATCCACTAGGAAACTTTCTTCTTTTCTTCTTCCTCGCTCTTCATCCTTCTTCAACTTCTTCCTCCCTTCAACCTTCAAAAACGCCCAATTCAAGCCAACCTCCCTGCAATCAACCACCACACCGGCTGCTCTCGGCCACCAGCTCTCTATCCTGACCGAGTTCGCCCTTGCCTCTCCTCCTCCTCTTTCGTTCTGCTTCCTTTTTCCACCCTTTTGCTTGTGGCTGCTGCGGTTGTTGCCGTCACCGTTCAATTGGCGCAGTCGCATCGCCAAAAAAGCAACACCACCACGCCCGTTTTTCCCTCCCTGACTTCGACCGGAGATACTCCCTAAGTCTGAACACACGGTCGTCCTCCTGGTATATGCAGCTCTCCTAGCTCTTATCTCTGCCCTGCTGTTCGTTTGTTGCGCCAGACTTCAGCCTCATCCCCCTGTCGCCAAAAGTCCGTGCGGGCCCATAACAAACGACCAGTTTGGATTATATAAATTAATATATATTGCAAAGAGTCCAACGCTGACACTCACTTTTCCCACTTCCTCAGGGCTCCGTTTGCTCCCTTATCCCCCCATTAACCACGCTTTTGACCTCACGAGATACACGAAACAACACCGCAGCCATGTATGGGTCTCATCGAGCCATGGTCACCGCGCCGCCAAACACGCGCCTGACCGAGCTGCTCGACCAGCTACGACAGGAGTTTGATAACCAGTCGCGCAGCACCGGCGAATTCGAACATCAGCGTACGATTCCCTTCCCGTTTTTGCGATGAAAAATCCCTAGCTTGACTGACACTTGCGTTTGAATATCATGATTAGTGACCGGCCAGCTTCAGGAGATGGAGATGATCCGGCAAAAGGTTTACCAGCTAGAGCAAGCTCAGCTCAAGATGAAACAAGAGTATGTCGTCTTCTTTGTGCTAGCTGCAATGTTGTCTCTAACATACTGTACTAGCTACGAGGCTGAAATCCGCACACTACGCATGGAGCTTGAATCTCGCGGCATCCATGTTCCCCCATCTCACGTCGGCGGCCCGCCACCACACGGAGGCCCCTCACAGGCGCCCCCTCCAGCTCTTGGACATGGTCCCAGCAACCTCTTCGGAGGCATTATGGCTAACCAGGGCGGCGGTGCGCCAGCTCTTGCTCCCCCACCTCCCCCACAGGACCAGCAACAGGGTGCTCAGCACTCACTACAGAACCCTCCCAATGCCCAAGGCCCTCCACAGCCTCCTCAAGGCGCCTTCCCTGGTTACCAACAGGGCTCTGGCGTTAATGGTTCAGGTATGTTACTAGGAATTTCATGATGTACACAGACATATATACTGTGTATTAACAGTACTCCTCTAATTAGCATTTGGTCCACCAGCTCCTACTGCTTCTCCAGGTCCCGGAAAAGGTCGCAACGCCCGTGCTCCAGCCGGCCCTGCTACTCCCCAGCAAAACCAGCAGATGGCCTTCTCCGATGCCCGTCCATCCCCTCAGATGCCCCTCCAGACCGCCGCAAACCCACAGGGAGGTCCCCCCTACCGCACTGTCGGTAATACCCTCGCCGAGCTCGACCCAGATAAGCTCCCACCCAGCCAGAAGAAGGAAAGCAGCGACTGGTACGCCGTCTTCAATCCGGACATTCCACGTGTCCTGGATGTCGACCTCGTTCACAACCTTATCCACGACAGTGTCGTGTGCTGTGTCCGCTTCAGTGCTGATGGCAAGCACGTAGCCACTGGATGCAACCGCTCTGCACAGATTTTCGAAGTCAGCACCGGCTTGCTAGTTAGCACACTGCAGGATGACTCTGTTGACAAGGACGGTGATCTCTACATTCGAAGTGTCTGCTTCAGCCCTGACGGCAGATACCTTGCTACTGGTGCCGAAGATAAGCAGATCAGGGTGCGTTACCATGCATTTTCCGTTATTGTATTTTTTTGCCCAATAATTCCTTTGACTAACCGTCTCTCTATCAGGTTTGGGACATTGCCAGCCGTACAATCAAGAACATCTTCTCTGGACACGAACAAGACATCTACTCTCTTGATTTTGCACGAAATGGCCGTTACATCGCCTCAGGAAGTGGTGATAAGACCGTCCGTCTCTGGGATATTGTTGATGGCAAGCAGGAACTTATCCTCAGCATTGAAGACGGTGTCACCACCGTTGCCATCTCTCCAGATGGTCGCTACGTGGCTGCCGGATCTCTTGATAAGAGTGTCCGTGTCTGGGACACTACCACTGGATACCTTGTCGAGCGTCTTGAGAGCCCTGATGGCCATAGAGACAGTGTTTACAGTGTTGCTTTTGCACCAAATGGCAGAGACCTTGTTAGCGGCAGTTTGGACAAAACTATTAAGATGTGGGAACTTACACCCCCTAGAGGAATGGTACCCGGCACAGGACCAAAGGGAGGAAAGTGTGTGCGCACTTTCGAGGGACACAAGGTAGGTCACCCGCGTGCACAATCACCCTGTTGTCTTGCGTTCGTTTCCCTAGCTAACCGTCTATTTATAGGACTTCGTACTTAGTGTCTGTCTGACACCCGATGGCCATTGGGTGATGAGTGGCTCGAAGGATAGAGGAGTTCAATTCTGGGATCCTGCCACCGGCCACGCCCAGATGATGCTTCAGGGCCACAAAAACTCAGGTATGTCTTTTTCCAGCCATTCCTCCAACACTCTTTCATTGTCTAGACTATGGCTAACAAAATTACTTTACTATGTATAGTTATTTCCGTTGCCCCAAGTCCAACTGGCCAGCTATTCGCAACTGGAAGTGGAGATATGCGTGCCAGAATCTGGAGGTTAGTACCCAATCCTCGTTAACCCCTCCAAGTTGAGTGGCCAACCGTTTGCTAACTATCATTATTCTCAGCTACTCGACATGGAACCGCCGATAAATTTAGTTTTATCTTGTTACTCAAGTCCGCATTAACCTTCCTTCCACGCTACTACTCCCTATCAATGCTCTTAACCGCTTACATTTTTAGACTAATGGCGCAATTTTCTTCCTCATTTCCCCACTACTTCTTGCGTGTCAGTTCACTGTGTTTCTATCCACATCTCCACTGGTCTCTTTCTGTTTGTGTGCTTATCAATATGCCCCAACGACAAACGAAATGAAGGGTAAAAAACCATATGCAAAATGAATGCCTTTTGCCTTTCTATCTTGTTTGTATCTCGATCCGGGTTCTCCTAAATTATGTTCCGTTACTATTCCTATCACCCTTCTGCAAAACCTTCGTGCGAACTACTCCTTTTCGCCCTTTTGACTATGCACTCTCCCGTCTTGGAACCACGGGTATAATATCCGTCTTTCGTTTGCAGTTTCAAAGACTGCAGAAAGGCTCATGCAGCTAACTAATTCGCTCCCTGACGCTGGGTGTTCACTCCTGATACTGCTATTATTACCTACTCTTGCTTCCACGTACCTCGAGTTGACTCATTCTTCACTAACTGTATCAACCAACTCTCCTTTCTACTCCGGCTGCTTACAGTTGCATATTTCAAGGAAGAGGACGGAAGATAAACAAAGGCTTCCTGGGGCTAAAGGGATTGAATAGCCTCCTGAGATGTTGATTTCACGGTGACTATGCTGCGGCAAGGGGGTGTCTTGACATGTTTGTGGCTCTCATACGATTCTATCTCCTTTGGTTCTTATTGTACTTTGTATTATCTTGTGTCCGTATGCTTCTTTCGGGTAATATCAGAGGCTCTTATCTACTTCCTTCTACTTCCTTCTTATATTCCACCCGTCTCTCTCGCATGACTTATCAAAATCGACATGGAACTGGTCAAAAACTACCAAAAGCCCTGCCACTGAAAGTTCCACGTGATAGCCGATGGACTTCTGCCTGGGGTGTTGTCTATAACTACTTTACCAAGCCCCCTATCTACGCATCATTCATGCTCTCAACCCCGTGCTATGTTGCATTTTTGCATCCAGTGATGCCGCGAAGGGAGCGGCCTATCTGTTACAAAACCAATCCCAGCCGTGGCGCATCCAGCCGTCATCCAACCCGAATTTAGCGACAATAATCGACTGCGCATCTGCAAAGTCATACCCCAGCTATGTTTTCGGGCAGCGAGGAACAACCCCCATCTCTGGCATCCCGTTATTGATTCCTTGGACGGGATTTTGTTCCTGGGCTGTTGCCAACTCGAGAACCCACTTGGGGCCATGCCGTTTGACTACTATCGTGGGAGATAGTAGACTATTGCCTCCCTTGCATGAACTATTCCAAGGAGGAGAACAAGGAACTTCTACGCCCAGTCTCCATATTTTATACCCGATGAATGCACGCAGTCAGTCAACGACAACGGCGGTTAACGAAACTCGGCCAGGATGGCAAGTCGATTAGGCCCTTCTGCGCAAAATAGAGCAGCCAGGGCTTGTTTCCTTGTGTATGTGTATATCAATCCGTTGATATTCAGGCTGGTACACGACTTGACGCCCTAGTTATATATTATTTTCAATCAACTTCGTGCTCTCCTTGGTAGAAGTTGGCTTGACTTTTTGTTGCTCAAGGAGCACTGCGCAATGGGAACCAGACCTGGTCCGATTTCGAATGCAGTTGGGGTGGGTAAGCAGCCTGCCCTATTACATACAGAGTATCCCGCACCTAAACGCCGAATGTGCATCATACACGGAGGGAGTCAGGCTCCTTCACGAGCTGAAAATTTATTATTCTTGCTAGACATGCTCATTACCTCATAGCCAGCCCAATTCCCACCCCAAGGGCTAGGCTATGCTCACGCTTCGGGGGATGTTCTCTAGATTGGAAACCGGGAATACATGAAGTACAGACAAAGCAGAGAGCGCCGGATGGTCTAGGAATTCGGGCTAGGCCCGAGGAGATGCGATACTTGTCGGTTGAACCCCCCAGCTGTGCATTGGATTCCGAACCGGCCGCCATTCTTCCCCTCTGCATTATTAATTAATTGGTGATAACTTGATTCCAAGGCTCTTTGGCCATGTAGTGATTGCTGGCATTCGCTGTCCCCAGGCGGGCATTGCATATACGAACATCTACCCGCTTGCTCACGGACAGAATCCTCCCATGAGACGAATGGTCAATGCTCATCCCGGCAGAGTCGAAGTCAGTAAACCGTTGCTCGGTATATGGTGCCTTAAAGTTTACTATCACTGTCAAATAGATAGGAGGGACAGAGCCCTCATTTATTGGGGTTGTTATGCGGGCTGTCATACCCCATGTCGAGGCCACCAGAGCGGAATGGGTTCTGCACGCCTGTAAACGAAGAAATGTAGTGTGACATTAACTAGGGAAACAACGGCCAGTCATAGGCAGTACGTGTCCCCGTGTTCCTCCTCACGCCTCCAAGTGACTTCTCAGCGGAATTCTCATCAGGTTACTACGTGGGACGAATTTGCCTTGCCAAATGCAATGCATGCACGGCAAGAGAGAGATATGACGGAGGTTATGGCCGATGGAATATATCAGATACAACCACGTACGGGTCTCTGAGAAGTATCCCCTGATAACCAACCGCAAGTTGGTAGCTAAGGCAACAACGCTCGACTCTTAATTGAAAGAGTTGGGCGGAGATAGGTTGAAAGGAGAACTCAGCCTATCATTCTGGTTGTGCGCAGAACGCAACAGGTATCACAACATGATATCATCCACGACCTGTCCCCCCCTTTTCATGGTATAATTGTTGACAACCCCAAGGGTTGTTCTTGATGACTGTGGTGATAAAATGAATAAAGGCAATCTTTTTCTAGGCGTGCTCGGCCAATTTCATAGGACTGTAACACCCGGGAGGTTCCACTACGGTAGCAGCATGATCGAGGCAGCATAGGCCTTCTGTTCGTCTGCAATTGTTGGTATCTCCGCAGGCTACGGGAGTCAGTGCCGAACAATACTCCATTTCTCTGCCCAACGTACTCCTTAGCGGATATTACAATCTGGATGCCATCCCGTGGCCTGGACTGCATATCAAGACGCTTGAGGCTGGCTTCGGCGCGGCAGATGAGAAAAAGGAACAAGGCTAGCTAGCTCGTTCCTTCACCAAATAGCCGAAGCACACTGTTAAATGTCGGCTGATGATGTCTCATTACTTCAAGGAAGCTTAAAAATGCAAACCAGCCCTTCGGATGGCAGGAGGACATGCAATATGCATGAAGCCGGCGAAATGTATCCCGTTTGTCTCCTTCGTATATTGAAGGTGAATCCCGCGCAGATACTCCGTACAAGCGGAAACAAAAGGATTTACAGAAGAACACTTTGATCACGTCCTTCCCTTGGGAACACAGTTTCGTATTCATTCTCAGGTGTGAGAAGCTGAAGCCGAGAATGGGGAGCACATTCCCATCTCCTGCAAAGGATATCAGCGCCTAATGCAAAGCCTTGCAGACAACGACCTCTCTCGCCTTGGTATTTTGGTGAAGATCATCGATCTTAGTACCCCGATCTGGGGGCAAAACTGATGAAGGGATATCCAGGAAACGCCACCATTGTACATCTCTCTAAATCAATTGATTGGGTGAACCAGCTAACGTGCCGGCATTTCCCTTTCATCCAAAGCCTCACTTTTGTTTTGCGCGCCCCCTCATAACTAAACAGAAACAAGTGTGGAAGGCAAAAATGAGGCCAAGTGTAGGAGAGAAACTGAATGTGAGTCCCACGGTTCGTCCCTGTTTCAAGCTTGCCTGCGTTGCTCTTTAGTGTTCGAGACAGACATGAGTTCTTCCGCGTAATTTCTTTTTTAGCCTGAGAGGTATCCTATCCGCGCTCAGGACTCCTTTCTTCTGTGTGACGTGGGCGGAGAATATACGCCGTGGAAGGACGACGTATAATCGAGTCCATACAGTGCATGTCTTTAGCACAGCGTGTTTCGTGGACTCAGCCAGTCTGCTTTACAAAGTTCAAGATGGAACAGTCTAGCGTCAGGTATGGTATTAGGTAAGGAAACACTCATGCAAGTGCCTGTTGCTGGCGAGGTTCCAGCAACGGATAGTGTGGTATTGATTTTGGCCACTTTAGCCGTGTCTTGCTCCCTCGCGCTTGTCCTTTGCTGATTCTGGAAAACGCAAAGGAGGCAGAGAATAGACACATCAATTTTTGTTGTCAATCGATAGACGTCGATAGACAATCGATAGTAGTTCTTTCAGAAATCTTTCCCTGCAGGAAAATTTATCCTAGAGGCATTTTGGATGATCCAAGTGAGGGTTTACCCCTTTATTTTGTTTGGCATGCTGAAGTGATCCCATATCTTGACCAATCACAAAACTATTTGTACTCATCAAAGGAATCCAAATCGATGACTCTAGGCCCTGTGGCTAGGGGCTCTCCCTTGTGCTGATTTGAGAGCATCCAAAGGGAGGAGGCAAGGGCCAGCGAGCGAAAATCGTCTCTGTCTTCCCAGCATGCCGAGCCCAAGTGGTTGATCATCTCCGTTTTGCTTCCGCGGTTATGACAACTCGATTTTGTGCTGACAGATAAAACGGGATTGTTCGGCGAAGTACGCCTAAGCAAAATATTCATAACAGCAGGGTAAGTAAAATAGTCTGCGGGAAAAATACAGCTAGTAAATCTTAAAAGGGGGACTTGTATCAGGTTAAGCAGCGAGCCCCTATACCGTAATTGGGAAGCTGGAAGCGCCGCTGGGGGAAGTGGAATGGGAAGATCAGTCACGCGGAAACGATTTCTCTCTTGACCCTGGGATATGTATGTAGCGGCCCCTTTTTGCAAGGCCTTTTTTTTTATTTTTCAGATTCATCGTTGAACCCGCATCCTGCGATCCATCGACATAACTAATTCCGCCTGGGTGGTGTGTTGGAGTCTGGAAGTCTCTTCATGGGTAGTTGAGTGCACGGGGCAAGAGAGAAAGTTATTTTGAACGTGCCAGGCTGATGATTATTGCTTTTTGTGCGATTTTAAGATTGAAAAAGTAATATAGGAGGGGGAAAAAGGTCGAAGTCATCCCGAGGAGTTGGGTAAGATAGATTTCTGTGTGTCGTTGCGTTGCTCTTGCGCTCCCCTGTCCAATATTGCTACAAGGGTATGATCAGGAATCCACCAACTCCATATTTTATGTGTTGTCATAGTACTCCGTAATTTTTATGTAGTTACCTATAGGTTGCAAGGATGATTGTTTGCATATAACTATACATGTTAAGTATGCTCGGTGTACGGAGTAGAGTATTAATCGATCGAGAATTGAGCATACGAGAACTCCGTAGCGTGCGTAAAGAGCCGGATAGCGAAGGATAGCGAGCGAGCGGCATTGCGAAAGACGTTAGGTGCCGTTGCTCGTAGTTAGCGGGTTCGGCTTGAATGGACGAGTCGGATTAGGAGCTTGTCAAGATCAGTTTCGCGAAGTGTCAAGATATAGCGACAGACGCGAGTGCGCCTTGTAACGCATTAAGCCTCGAGCCTGACAGAGCGTGCCAGCAGCCTGGAGAGATTCTGGGATGAAAAAGCAAAGGAAAGAGAAAAAGCAAGCCCTTCCCGTCCGCAAAGCACGGGCCTAAACGAGAGGCCGGGCAAGGCCTGTGTTGAAACGCAGGGATGTTTATTTTAGTTCTTCCCCTTTTTCGTTTTTGCCCCCGTTTCCCTCTCGTTTGGCGCGTTGCGGAAAAGGACATAAACGTATTTGAGTCTGTGGAGGAGCCAGCAAAGTCGAGAGCTATTTTTATGATCCCAGCCCATCCCAACGAAAAAGGGGGGGACTCAAGGGGCGAGCTGAAAAGCGAGGGCGTCTCAGATTTCCGTTCCTGGCGATTATTGTCGTGTGGGATGCCGTTCATTTCTCCTTGGTCTTCATCATTGGATAGCTGATCGTTGAATACGTGCTCTTCTGACAACATGTCTTGGGAGCCCATCGAGGGACGAGATGACGATTTAGCCTTGCATGTTTTCGTTGTTTCCTTTTGCCGCAGCCCATTCCTTTTTCTCCTTTTTAATATTTTATACTTAATATGTATTTCTTTTTCCTTTTTCTTTTTCCTCTTTTTCTTTTTGGTCTGTTTTCTTTTCTTTCTCTCTCTTTTCTTTTCGGTCGTCGATGGTTTATTTCTTTTTGCTGCCACGTTCCGTGATCAAGGTTAGCCGGGAGCTAAATGGGGTCCCAGAAGTTGACGACTGCTTTTTCCTGGGTCGATGAGATGAAGATTTGGAGAAGATGTTCGGCCTCTTCTTCCACTGGCATCGTAGGAAAGCAGACTTGTCTAGAAAAGAAACGTGCTTTGCTTGTAACGCCAGCCGCATAGGGCGATCCATGACGTCTGCTCTCAAGAGGATGGTCAACGCTTTGCCCATCATTTTGAAGCTGGAGCGTCGAGTGCTTATACAGGAGGAGGAAGTTGGCTGTAAAGAGTTCGAACTATTTCTGCTAACCAGGGATGCAACACGAGTTCTCGTGTTGGAGTGGCGGCTGTTGTCGATAGAATATAGACATGTTTGCGTGTGGGCTTGTATTTATATCTCTGTCATATTGTGTCGAAAGATAAATGCATCCACGGATGGACACTATGTTGCGGGCGATATGGCAAGCAAGCTCTGCGAGATTCCCGATATATGTCGATATGTAGATCTATACTTGAGCACGCTAACAAGATGGCTGTTCGTTCTTAGAAATCGGAGTGTATAGAGTAGCAGCGTTTGTTTTTAATGTTTAATGCTTCCTCGATGATGAGGAAGGAGAAAAAGCTGAAGAAACGCCTCGGGTTTCAAGTCCGGTTTTACTTTTCTTTCGGCCTTTTGCAGGTGTACTTGTGTATATATATGCATATACTTACATACAGATCTTGCCGCTCCACATGGGATCCCAAGAAGCAGGGAGCCGAGACGTCAGCAAGGAAAAGAACGCATACCAAAAACAAATTTGTTTCTCATTGTAAATCTGACTTGCGGCTACGCTGTTTCCGCTGTTAGTAAGGAGGACTTTGATATTGGTCGTTCGATCCAGGTGAAGGTTTTGCCTGGACAAGCCACTGATCGGCTTTCCCTTTTGCTGGGACGGCTTGTGATGAAAACAAGCCGATACATAGATATAATCTTGAGCGTCCTAAGAATGTCTTGTTGAGGCTTTCATGCATCTCATATGGAGTATCGAGATTAAAATAGCATCCGCAGTGGAGATGGAAGTTATGAAAAAGCTGAAGAAGAAAAGTTGACGTTGATAAGTTGAAGAACAAAAAAAAAAGTGTCTTTTGCTTTTCAAGAAGCATTGACCCGGCTCGGCTTATCTAAACAAATCGATTTTTCTAGTTGGCTGATGACTGTATTATCAGCCAATCAAAATGCGGCTAAATAAGCCAATTACCAGTCGTTTGTGCTTACCTCAGCAATCCCAGAGCGGAAACCTCGCCAGCTTCTCGTCTGATAAAAAGCCGACGTCGCCTCCTCAACGTCAAATTCAACGTCAGATTCACACCCAACTGCGGGTGCTGGCGAGACGTATCAGATGGGCGCGGGAGGCAGCTGAGCCACAGTTAATGACTTGCCATCAGCCTCGATCCGATGCCTGCGATTCATCCCATCCGTTTTTCGTCCAGTTTCCAGGGATTGCGACCCACAGGAATTCCCGTCATTTGGGACCGTACACCAACCCTTGCAGCGCTTAGCGGAGCCAAAACGAAAAATGCCTCTTCTCAGGCCGGATGTGCTTGAAATCTTCCGCGATTGGCGGCAGGTCTCGTGCCTCTACCGGATCTTTACGGGTGTCTGGCCAATAACAGAAGTGGCTGCGTTGGGGGGAAGTGAGAAGGGACAGTCGCAGTCGTATGGGTGGACGGGCAGGCTCGCCAATCAGGTGCCGAATACCCTAGTCCAACAATCAGCAGCTAGCAAACAATAGTCTGGGAGCTCGCCACTTCGAACAATCAGAAACACCACAGACCGGAGTTACGGTACATAACCTAAATGAGGTGTCAAGGGAATACGCTACAACCCGACGGCGTACAGTACGAAGACACTGATGTATGGGATGGAAGGGTGTCATTGTCATTTGTAAGGAGTACACACACTTTAACGGAGTATGCACTAAAGAATGTACTCGGTAACCGGTGGCCCATCCATTGTGGACAAGGTTGCGTACCCTGTCGGTCTCCAGAGGACTGATATGATTGATTGAATTGCCGTGGCTCTCACGATGAAATGTTAACTCAGTTATCGATCGAGATTTTTGCCAGAGAGTCAGCAGCGCTCTGGGCGGGAACCAAGGTTGGGCTGTCCATCCATCACTCGAAGGAGCTAGACCTGGGGGTGAGAGAAGTTTCAAAGAGCCAAGGCAGTTCTTGGCTTTGGTTGTCGGCTGACCGTGTTTTCATGGAGAGTTCACCTCTTTTTCTTTCTCATGAAAGTGTGCCGTATTTCTCGGCGTGCAACTATAACGCCTGCTCCGCTTTCCTCGACAGCGAACAGATAGGCTTCTTTTGGCCTGGTCGCTGTGCCGATCGCCTGTCACTATTTGGTTTCCTCCCCGCGGAAGCAAGACATGGCAAAAAAAAACACTTGGTCTGGGGATGAACATGTCCGCCATTCTCATGAATAGTGCATGGCCCAACCCAACATGAGCCTGGAGACAGTAAGAAGACATGGGGAAGGGAGAAGGGGCGAAGCTAGTCCCTTGATATCAACTGTTCCAGGACCCCCTGACTGCTGCATTACGCTAAAAGCTCCGTGCCCTCCGTGTATTATATTTCGACACTGTGGATGGGTTTTTGGGCATTCCGAATGGAGCATCAATGGTCTACCAATTTTGGGCGACTAGTGGTGCTCCACTATCCTTGCCCGTACTACTCCAGACCTGACCCTCGAATGGGCCACCTCTGGCCAGTGGGATTTGGACCTTTTGCTTTTTCCCTCTCACCAGGCTTCCTTTTTCTCCCTCGGCCGCCCACCATAACAATGGGCTCTGCCACCTTTTCAGCCTTAGCCTAACCAAGCCTTAGGCTCGATTTAGGTGCTCTCGGCTGCATACTGAGTCTCCATAGACTTGAACTCTAGCCCGCTTTTCATAGCCAAACATGGATGCTGGCCGCCAGATCACAAATCCTGCATCTGAGCTTGCTTTCGTCCACACCCCCTTCTCCCCTTCTGCCCCTAAAGAGTCCACTTTTTTTTTTCTCCCACCCTCTTTTTTTTAATCTTTTCTTGTGCTACCCATCTGGTATTATTTAGGTGTTTGAATCCGTGCGATCCCTAGCTCATTCGTCGGAAACGTTAGACCATCCCTCTGCCATGACGATAAATTAATCAGGATCCGTTCTCTGTTCGGTGATGCAGAGAGGCAGCAGAGAAGGGCCAACACTAGAGCCAACAGAGAAAGTCAGAAAGGCAGGCAGGCAGACAGGCAAACCCACACAGAAAGAGGGAGTGACAGACCGACAGACGGAGAGAACCAGAAACTCCGCGGTACCGCCCAAAACGAAGAAGCCGAACCACTCTCATTTTCATTACACTTCCTTACATATCAAAACCTCTCCATCTCTTGGAGCATATGACCCACAGGAAGGCATCCACACAGCATCCAACCGCCAAATAGACTCGCTTCTGCATCTCACGTTCGATGAATCGCGATCTACATATACATACGCACTCCTCGCACCTGCGCACTGTTATCAAGCAACATCTCACCATCTTCGCCTATAGCTTGAGTCCCCCTGGCAATCCTATTGAAAGTGACGCCGGCTGTTAAACCCCACTCTGCAGCTTCGCTAACGTCAAGTTTCCGCGACCAAGCTTCAAGGGAGAGTTTAAGCTATCGGAAGAGAGTTTTTTTATTTCTTTCGTTCGGTATTATAACACTGCGGATTACGTCCCCGACGATTTCACCTTGAGAGAGGTGGTCATTTGCTCCATTTATATCGTTCACCTCGATTTATATCTCGTCTCTTTTTTTTTTTTCCCTTTTCCTTTTTCTTTTCCCATTCTCCTCTCCCCGCGACCAAAAAAACATACCAATGATTTATGCTTAATTTTTCCTTCTGCCGCCGATATATAATTTATACATAAGCTCCTTTTCTCCCTCCCAACCTTCCCTTTTGCGAGACTTCTTGCCCTCATCTTCAGGGAATCGAAACCCCTAGGCACCAGACAACCAGACACTGCTTGCTGCTCACGGTCTTTGTTGCCCTCTGCCTCGCCGTATCAACAGCCAATCGCCGTGCAGATCGTCGAGCCAACTTTTCCCCTTCGCCTCAGCCCAGCGAGCGACTCTTTTTTTTTTTTTTTTTTTTTGGCTCCCTTTTCCGCTTCCTCGACAAGTCACCGCCTGCTTTTCTGGCTTTCTGGCATCATCCAAGAAAGAGGACAGCACAACAACGTCGGTTTCCCACCGCAGCGTCCTTGCCATCTCGCGCCCTAGAGCTTCCTCTCGCGACTCGCCTTCGACTCTCTGTCTGTCTGGATCGATTCTTCATCGCCGACGACTCGCTTTTCTCGCTTTTTTTTTTTTCACTTCTCGTCGACTTCAACCGCATTGCCAGGACATAGCAAGACTAACAGCAGAAGCCTTCATACCAACTGGCCAGTATCCGCGCGAGGATATCAAACAAGCGGCCAGAAGAGCATCGAGAAACAACATAGTTGAATCGTGAAGAAGAAGAAAAAAAGGAAAAGAAAAAAAGAAAAGAAAAAGAAAATATTCACCGAGCAGCACGACTACGAAAAAGAAACATAAGAGAAAAAGCACCCAGCAGGCAAAAACAAATAATTACACTCGTCGTCTCTCAACCCCAGGCCGTTGGATCGTTGTTCATTCCTTCAGCACTGGACAGCTACACCTGTTGACGTCCAAAAAGCTCGTCGACTGCTTCAAATCTCGCTTTCCGCCCGGGGGATGTGGTTCGGCCACCACACTTGGAGCATCGATATCATTGTGATCCAAAATGGAGACGGCAGTGCCTGTTCCGTGTACCTTTTCGAGCCATGATCTGGCTAATGTCACTCATCGACGCATGATGGCACCTCATCATGAGCAAAACATCACTTACTACTCGAACCCAGCGCTCTCGTACGCGGCCCCGATCCAGTCGTCCTCGCTCGACTTCGGCCATATTTTGAACACCAACCAACATCCTGCGGCATCCTACCACGGATTCTTTGGGCAAAACCACTCGCAGCAGCAACCGCCGCCTCCACAGCAGCAGCAGCAGCAACAACAACACCCTCATCATCCGCAGCACCATCCGCAGCACCCACAACAGCAACACCCTCATCAACAACATCAACCACACCCTCAGCATCCGCAGCATCAGCCTCATCAGCCTCACCCATCCCACCAACCTCATCAACCTCATCCATCGCACCAGCAGCATCAACCTCACCAACCGCACCAGCAGCAGCAGCATCAACCGCACCCGCACCATACACAGCACCCACAGCAGCAACCACCACCGCCCCCGCATGCGCAACATCCGCAGCATCCGCAGCATCACCCTCACCCACAACAGCAACAACAACATCAGCAGCCCCAACCGCAACCCCAGCCGCACTTGCCACCTTCTCAATCACGGTTGCCACCAAGTCAGCCAGCTGCTTTGCAACAGCCCATTCAGGAACCTCGACATGCAAAGAATGGCGTCTCGCGTATGGTTGGGACACCAGCCACACGGGTCGAGGAAACTCAGCCTGCGCGCGCCCCAATGGATCAGCCACCTCGAAGTGCTGAGATTAGCAAGCTGCCTTCTCCGCCAGGTAGCAAGCCAGAGGTCGAGTTCTCTACTGAAATTGACACTCTCATGAGGGCAATCCAATCGAAACCGCGAGCTACGTCCCAAACCCAGCTACAACTGCCACCGCTCCAAAAGTTCAACAATGGCGCGTCTACGTCGGGTAATGTTGCCATGCATGGAGGTGCTCCCGAATGGGCCCAACCAAACTATGGTGCCCCCATATCACAAGACCAGGCCCAACAGATGCAACAACCTGGCTACGCTCCTCATCAGCAAACCCGGGGTGCTTCGAAGCAAAAGTCGCGACGCAAATACGAGTGTACTCTTCCTGACTGCCGCAAAAATTTCACCCAGAAGACTCATCTGGATATTCACATGCGAGCTCACACTGGTGATAAACCATTCGTATGTAATCCTCATCAGACTATCCATCTTAATCTTGTTTGAAAGTACTGACTCGGGTAATGAATATAGCTCTGCAGCGAGCCAGGCTGTGGTCAACGATTCTCTCAACTAGGAAATCTTAAGGTAAGTTGGCTATAATCATGGCCTGACATTATCGAATTTAGCTAAAGTTGTCCTGTCTAGACTCATGAGCGGCGGCACACAGGGGAGAAGCCTTATTCCTGTGACATCTGCCACAAGCGTTTTGCTCAGCGAGGGAACGTTCGTGCCCACAAGATCACCCATGATCAAGCAAAGCCATTTACGTGCAGGCTGGATGACTGTGGAAAGCAGTTCACTCAACTAGGAAACCTCAAAGTATGTACCTGACTAGAAAAAAGTTTCTCTGAGAAGCTTAAACTAAGACGCTAACATTACCATAGTCTCACCAAAACAAGTTCCATGCACAGACTCTACGAAACCTCACTATGCGTTTCGCCATGATAACCGAACCTGATAGAATGAACCCTCAGGACGCGGAGCTGTGGGAGTACTTTGCCATGCTCTATAAAAATAGCAACAAGGGAATCAAAGGTCGTGGAAAGGACCGTCGCGTTTCGTCAACCGCCAAAACCCGCGCGAATTCTACGAAGACAACCACCTCAGACGCCGCCGCCAATAATATCATCAGTTCCGCGCCTGCTCCTGCTCCTGCTGCTCCATCAAGTAGCAGGATGCCCACACACCAACTCCCACTTGGTAGTGAAGAAGAGGCCAAGCTAATGCGAGACAGAAGCTACCACCGTGGTACTTACCTTGGGACACCCAGCAGTGATGACGTTGAATTTCATGAACAGATGTATCAACGAGGCGGGCACTGACTAGGTTCCTTTGGGAGGGATAAACTGTTGAACGGCACCGCGACTGTCAATACCAGTGTGGTGGCTCGTCAACCTCCTAATAATATACCACTATAAGATAAGAAAAAAACTTAAAAAAATCGAATAAAAAAAGGGACAGAAACCGAGCACAGTTATGGGTATCTGGAGTACATAAAGGCGGGTTTGGAGCATTTGGAGGAAGTGTTACCGCAAAAAATACGACGAAAAAGCACCCGGCTCTGCCAACTATCCCCCTTTCTTTCTTTGTTTATGCCAGCAAGAAGGAAAGGACACCAACGCATTTCTATTCTTGCGTTTCGACCCCACAGCGAGAGGAATAATTGCTTAATTCCATATCTTTTTCTTTTTTCAATATTTCTGCGACTACTAACCGCTCGGCTCTATTGCATTGTTTATGGAGGGGACTTGCGTTTTTATCTCTTCCTTTCCTTTCCCTTTCCTTTCAATGGCCCTTTTTTCCTTTCAATACAATGCATGAGCAGCTAGCATACCTTGACTTTATTCTTTTCTATTTCTTTTACTTGGCTTCTTTGCTTTCTGTGCTCAAGCTTTTGCCTGGCTGTAGTTTCATACCATTATACCAATCTGTTTTGTTACCTTTATACCAACCCTACCCTATCAATTAAAGCTCCTTGCGTGCATGTACCTACCAAACTCCTCTTGCGTCCCGCCATCACTTCCTGCCGTCTCTGTACTTGTCCAGATCCTGATTTCGGCTTCTATCCTATCAACAGCCCCCTTCGAATAATCTCATACGTGTCTGCCAATTCCCTATCTACATTTTAGCCAAAACTCCTTAGTTTTTCTACTTGAATGTTAACATTGCTATACTTTCCTACATCCTTTTATTGCTCCTGATTGTCTAGATAGTTATGAGGGAAAACTACGCCTAGACTACTTCAAAAGCTGTTATTTCTAACTTGCCCGTTCTCACTGAACCAGGGCATCCCTGGTAATGTCATAACTGGAAGATATTGCGCTGAGACATGGAAAAGAAAGCGGACGCTGTGCCACTTCCGCCGCGGTGGCATACTTGAACGATCATGGATGGTTGATCAGCAGAAGTAATGAATGCTAGGTTTTGTTTTACATGCACATGTCATTATATCGTTACTCCAACGGGCGACTGCAGCACATCAAACTCTTTCTCGAGCCACCGGTTCAGGTAGCCACCTAGCGAAAGAAGAAAAGAAAGACGTAAGGGCGTTTGTTGTTCCTGCATGGTGTACCCCGTTTGTTGGTTTGCCCTCGCCTTCCGTATGTGGATGAGTTGAAAAGGAGAGGTGAAAATCCTCCGCGGAGTGAATAACCCATCATTTATCTGTCCTGAGATATACCCTTGCATTTTCATATACAAGGAAAGTAACCCATGTACTGGGTAAAACGCGGACCAGGTTCGGTCCCAGGCCTTTATAGAACCCAGACAATCCTTCCGTGCGTAATATCTGTACAAACGCATCTCGTACGCCCTTGTAGGTCCCCCTAGCGTCATATGTTTGCAAACGGGCTCGAAGAACTTGATACGGATACGTCACGCCCCCGGCAAAGATTTTTGATATCCCCGAAAGAAGGAGGTAGTCCATATTGCTCAGGGTCTTGAGCTGTGTTGAAGATGCATCAGTTGGTTCCGGGTGTCCCCCCGAGGAATTAGCTTGAGCCATCCGTGTTCGATATCTCTTAAGCTGCTCGTAGGCCATGAATTGCAGAGCACCGTGGCATACTCCAAACATAGCTGGTACTAGACCCTGATAGAACCCAGTGAAGCCTTCAGTGCGGTATATTTGTTGAAATCCAGACATCATGGACCGGTAGGCACCCGGCACATGAGCGCCTGTGGAGAGCATCCGCGTCTTGATAACCCATATTGGATTGGTGAGAATGGTGGTCAGCACCCCTGAAAGCATATAAATGTCAGTTATGAAGAGGCCTTTGGGGTATGTATATGAGGATATCTCAACGTACCGGACGTTCCGGATGCCACAAAATAATCCAACGAAGTAAGGCTATCAGTTCCGCGAGCAACGCTTAAGAGCTCCTTAACCTCGCCATACCATAGGAAATATAATCCCCAGCTCACAGAGTTTCCGACAAGATTGGGTGTAAGCCCTCGATAGAACGCCTTTATTCCACCCTCATTGCGCGAAATGCTACGTATAATGCGGAGTGAATTACCAATTCGTGAGGAAGAAAACCGGTCCACTGTAAATGAACGATTGGCGCAAGGTTAGCCCTGGGATTTTGAGGAATTGCATTGACATTCCATACCTTGGAGCCGTGTCTTGACAATGTCAAGTGGATGGACGACGAGCGTCGAGCAAACGCCGGCAGTAAAGCCGGCTATCGTTTCGACCACCGACGGGGAGAGACCATTTTTGTCATTCATTAACCCTTTGTAGCTGTAATTTCTTGATAATGTTCGGCTTATAGTTGTGGTTCTCTGTCGTAGTCTAGCACCGTAGTCTTCGTAGTCTTCGAGCAGATTTTGATAGAGCAACCTAGTTGACTAAAGGGAGGACTACCTTTTTCTTTTTTTTCTTTTTTTTTTTTTTTTTTGTTGCCGAGCGGCTGAGTTCTTTTGACCGAAGATCTTATTCAATATGGAGTACTTATTCCAGGTCAATTACGCTTGAATATTCTCTGGCTGAGTGTGTAGTTAGTTTGCCTTGTAGCTTTGTGTCTCCTGGCTCTTATGCGCGTGTATCTACGAATATAAAGAAACACCGATAGCCCGTTGTATATAATACCCATTTATAACTAACAGTAGATCTAAGCATGGTCTATTGTAGGCCAGAGAGCAACCGGGTCCCTGTTGATTTGGTGTCTTTGTTGGCAATGCCATGTTCTGATTGGACTCAATATTAAAAATGCTGTGCTCGATTGATAAAGTATAGTAATACAGGAAGAAAGGAAACGGAGATATTCGACAGTAGAAAAAGGACGGCGTTCCGCTCTCGCAATGGTCGTAAACGTATATGCGGCAATGCTGCCGCATGGATCCGGTCCAAATAGCTGGGCTGACCGGTCATTTGAGGGGAAGAACAGAATCGCGTTTGCACAAGGCCTCAAGCCTGTATAGCCGGAATTGTATTATTTCCAGTCATTCGTATAGAACACCGCCGTCTGTATAATCATACGCCTTTCCATGCCGTCCTTAAAAGTGTTCATCGTAGAGGTTTATGCGAGAGGAGAGAGGAGTCTAACGAGAAGCCGCGTAAGTTTGAGAGGTCAATAGGAATCCGGAGGTTGATATCGTACTTGAAAAGAGCCGGTCGTGGCTCGCTATATGTGTATCCTGATGGAATGTTAGCCAATTGATACTGGTTAAGATATTGATATCAGCATGCTAGTCACTTACCAAGGTAGACAATCAATGGAAGATATCCACTAAACAGCCATCAAACGGCGGTCGTTAGCCCTCCAAATCGCAGATCCATTGGAAATGGTATGCTGGAGACCTCAAGATGAGGTCTTTGGTTCACTTACTAGTGAATAGCAACCCGCGAAACGTCGATGACCTTGGAGATGCGCTCCTATACTCATGTCAGACGAGGACTCAGCCAGATAGCAGCAACGGCAGATGTCTTACCTTTGTCTCTTCGGAAAACTGCATCATCTTGTCTTTTCCTTTGATATGTCGTACTGAGCCGTCTAAAAAAGAGAATTCAACAGCGTTGGTTGTTTTATTTGGTCAAAATGTAGAAGTTCGTTCTTTTCTGTTTCGCCGAAGCATCAAAAAGACTGCAAGATCTCGAAAAAAAATTAGTTTGCTTCGTTTCTTGGCATTCAACTTTGGTTCCTTTTTCTGTCTTTACTTTCAACCATGCGAATAATTTGAACAACGAACGCATTGAAAAAGACCTTGGAGAGCTTAGCGACGGGAGGAAAAAGGAACCGTGAAGCTTGTCGCACATTTTATCTACGGTCATTTGCTCGTTTGTTAGTTTCAAGCGGCAATCATGTCTGGCGCAAGGCATTGGTAGGTACCATCCCCGTTGCGCGCAATTCAGACAGACAGCTAACTACGGGACTTCTTAGGGAGCAAGACAAGGAGGCTACCGTGTATATTGGTAACCTCGATGAGCGGGTTACAGATAAGCTGGTATGGGAGTTAATGCTCCAGGCTGGTCGTATTGTTAACGTACACCTCCCAAAAGACCGCGTCACGCAGACACACCAGGGCTACGGCTTCGTCGAGTTCAACAGCGAAGAGGACGCAGAATATGCGTCGAGGATCATGAACCAAGTCCGTCTGTACGGAAAACCCATTCGAGTCAACAAAGCATCTGCCGATAAGCAGAAAGCAGTCGAAGTTGGCGCAGAGCTATTCGTTGGCAACCTGGATCCCATGGTTACAGAGCAGGTGCTATACGATACCTTTAGTCGATTTGGATCTCTAATATCACTTCCTAAGGTTGGTTTTCCACTGTCTAACACGTCTTTATGGAGATCTTGTACTAAATGCGGACTCTAGGTTGCTCGAGACGATTCAAACTTGTCCAAAGGTTATGGATTCATATCGTTCTCGAACTTTGAAGCTTCCGATGACGCTATTGCCAACATGAACGGACAGTACCTTATGAATAAAGAGATATCCGTACAATATGCCTACAAGAAGGACGGTAAGGGAGAGAGACATGGTGACGAGGCGGAGAGAATGCTCGCTGCTCAGGCCCGGAAACACAATGTCCAGCCTCAGGCGCAACAACCAATACCACCTCAATTTGCTGGTGGCGCCCCTGCCGGCCCTGGCGGTTCTATGAATGCCGGTGGACAGAACGTACCTCCTGCGGTGCCGGTGGCGGCAGGGATGGATGCTGAACAACAACGGCCACCGATCAACGTTGGACCAGCACCACCGGACTTTGGCGCAGGCAGAGGCATGGCCCCCGTGATGAATGGGGGATATCCGAACATGAACATGGCTGGTCCGCTCCCACACCACCGCGCACCGCACGCACCTCATACACCTCATACACCACACGCACCACCTCACCCTCCTCAACCACTAGTCACACCTCCCCCCGGGCTTCCTGCCCGCCCTCCGCCATCACAAGCTGGCTATGGCGGACCTCCCCCAGGGTTCCCCGCCCAGCCGCCTCGATTTGGCCAGCCTCCGCCGGCAGTTTTGCCCCCCCCGCCAGTAGGAGGCCCTCCTGGCCCTCCTGGCCCACCCGGTCAACTCCCACCCGGATTCCAGCAACAGGGGTACGGCCGTGGCCGTTGAATTTGCAAATAACCCAAGAAGCTCTAAAAGAATTATACATCATGGGAGGTAATTTGATCCTCTGAAGCATCTGTATACACGGACACGTCCCGGCTACGCCTCTTGTCTTTTGAGGCTTTTTAAAGTTAGGCTCTCCTTTCGCTGTATCCAAAAGGGTGCCTGTTGGTGGAATACGAGAGAGCGTGTCAAGAGCCCTGTTTTGGCTATGTGCAAATTGTTGCAAGTGGAATATATGAAGGATGGCTATTAATACAATACAGGCAAAAAAAACAAACGAAGGGGAAACCAAACAAATGGCCAATGCTGGAGAAGAACAGGTCAAGGAAATAGGTCCGGACAGGAACAGTGAAGAGAAGTAGCGGATAGCCACTACATATCCATAGGAAGTGTGAGGAATGGAATCAATGTAGGAAATTAGAACAAAATGCAAAACACCGTGCTCCTGTGCTCCGTTCTCAAGAAAGTTAAAGGAAAAGATTATAAACGAAGGTTTGGGGAAGCAAACGCATTATCTCAGCTGAGGGACTGCGCAGATTCGACGCTAGCCCGTCCGTCATGAGAATGACACAAATTTCGGATCTTGCGGTCTCCCATCAGGGCCAATATTGTTCTTCGCAAATCGTTGCTCAGTATATATCCGTCTTGCTTCATTGAAATCGACCTTTTTACTCCGCATTATCCGCAGAACTTCTGACTTGCCGCGCTTATCTAGACCAGCGCGTGAGTCTCCCTCCACGATGTTGTCTGCAAGGTTAAAGTCAGCGGAGGACAGGCCGGCTTCAGCATCTCCCCGGAAACTTGTAGGCAGTTGGGTATAGATGTATCCTGGTATAGGGAGGTGAGGGAGCCAGCGTTCGCGGGTATAGAAGGCTGCTATACACGGTATTAGCATCAAAGGTCAAACTCCAGCGGTGTCCGAGACATGGAAGCCTAGAGGGTTTGTAAGAGATATCTTTAACTTACCTGCAACAGCTAAAAAGGCGAAAAAGGTCAGTGAGTAGTAGAAGTAGCCCATGACGCCGATAAATTAGGCAGACCAGGGATCCCGCGTCGGGCTGTGGATAAGAAAGACTAAGTCCGTTTTGAGGGACCTGAGGTAACTGCTGCAGAACTCGGTCTAGTACAGCGGTATATCGATATATCGAGCAGATGAGAACGAGTGTAAGAGTGGCACCCGCCCCTCGATGTTTCTTTCACTTGGTTGAATATTGTTGTCAGTATGTTTTATCTTGCTCTGCGCTGTCTCTCTTTCTCTGCCCTTTTCGTGTTATCGACGGCGTTTAGCCTGCGATAGATTACATAATGAGACACGTGTCTGTTACATAATACATGAGTCATCCTCTAAACTCGAACAGGCCAAGTTAGCGAGGGCGTCCCAGTCAGGAAGGTTAGCCGCGTGCCAAGACCATTTGGCTGGGCATCTCAAAAAAATACACACAACAAAAATTAGTCGCAAATTGAGAGCAAAAGAAAGGGAAGAAAGGGATACCAAGTTCAAGCAAGTCAACCAACCACCAAACCCTTCGTCTCCCTTCACCAGACCACCCGATCCTCCTTCCCTAGACGCCATGGCTACCTCCGCCCGCCCTAACGTGTCCGACGACTTGGTCTGGGGCATTGCCAGTACGAATTCCTTCCCTGTTTCTTGCTAGAGGTTTTGAATGTTGCGGCAACGAGGCAAAATGTGTTGCAGATGGAGATGCGCGCGGTTAGATGTACGGATGAAGCTGATAAGAGTGGTTATTTTTTTCGAATGATTAGGAACCCAGAATGCTTTCCTCGTGAAGCGAAAGTGTGCTGGTGGTGTTCAGTTCTCCCGTGACCCATTGAACTTGGTCAACAAGCACTCCAGAAAGGTTGGTTAACCCTCTGGATGATATACATATATGGGCTCCTTTTAGGATGGCTGTGCTGACTGGTTATCTTTGCTATAGTATGCTGGTTTCGTCAACTCCAAGGTATCTATCCACCCGCACATCTTGACAATCGATGTTTGCTTTGCGCTACATATAAAGAGAAGGGAATCGGGATATTTAAACCGGAAGAGGAAGAGGAGGGATCTTGGAGGTCTTTGCAGCGCAGAATGAGCATCGAATGGACTGGTTACAATTTTCTGACACGGCTTTTGTTGGTTATAATAGGCTGTCGGTATCCAGGCTGGTGAGAACGGCGGTGTTACCGTCACCTCCAAGAGACCAGAGACCTCCAACAAGCCCGGCTCCAACACCTACACTGCTACCCACGGCTCCGGCACCTCCAACCGCAAGTAAGGATAACCCCCGACATTCCACATCGGCTGTCTACCTCCATACTCTATGGAGATAGCCCATGAGCGAGAGAGCGCAGTCCACTTTTGAATGAGCAGCCTGCTAAACATATGTGTTTTTTTGTATAGGGTATACAAGGCTGTTGCCAACCGAGCTGTAGGCGGTGGATACCGAGCGGACCTCCGCCCTGAGGCCGTTCGCCGTGCCAGTGCCATCAGACAATCCCAGCGACCAAAGAAGGACAGCCCTGAGAAGAAGCTCAGAGGCGCCAAGGCCCGAAAGGCCGCTGCTGAGAAGGATGCTTAGATGAGATTTGAGAGTTGGTGAGAGTTGGGAGATGAGGGAAGCTGGAAGCGTGTTGCTGTGAACCCTGGAGATAATGTTTTACTACTGTCTCCCAGCCCACCCGAGCTATACTTACATAGTTAGGGGCATGACACAAATAAATTAAAAATAAATACGAATCACGGCTGCGTATTGATACCATATGATGGGTGTTTCTATTGTTTTTTATCTTTTTACCCTGTGTTTGCATTCACAGCCTTGCTGGAATTCGCGATGTGTCAATGATATTGCTATAATTATCTCGAAACATCTGCAGGTTTACCTCTGGACCAACGCTGGGCGAGTATGACGTCTATAATTACTCCCGTTCTCGTCGGCCAGGCGCACAGACAATGTATCGGACAGTTTCCGTGTAAGCAGGGCCAGACTAAAGCTCCCTAAACCCCCACTGCGCCTTCGAGCACCCTAGCCATGCATGGTAAAAGTGGCGTACTCCGTCGAAGCGCGCTCGCCCTGCTTCCGTCGACGAGAATCGGAATAATCCGTAACGATTCGTTCCGTGCCAGGGTGGATTGGTTAACGAGCATTCCATCTCCTCAATGCCTCGGCTCAGCTCACGGGGTGTCGCCATGCGTAACAAGACGGCCTGATATATGTTATCCATCTCTACATACAACGACCCTTGAAGGGCGCGACTGGACATGGTACCACGGAGTGCTAGTTAGTCCATAGAGACGACGTCGAGTGTCTATGCGGACCATTGCTTTTTTCTATGGCTTCGATTCAAGCTTTCGCGCGCCGCGTTCCTGGAGCTCGAGAGTGGGGCCTGGCATGCATCCGATATCGAGCCTGTCAATCATGACGATGGCATTAGAAGAGCTGGAGAGCGTCCGACTGCTCCCTGGGCGACGGAGGGACTCTCGCCGCAGCCTGGCAGCCTGTCTCCTCTGGTCGTGATATCGGTCGAGCAGCCAGAGAAGACATCCCAACCCGCCAAGCAGGATGCACAGCAACCAAACCAGGCCTCACGTGATGGTGATGATTGGGTAGATGTGCAGAGCTCCTTGCGAGCTGCCATGTTCTCGCGTAGAAGATCAATAGCCAGGTAAAAGAAGAAGCAAGGCAGGGGCCTCTCTATCAATCATCTGTATAGTTGAGTAAAGCGAGCCTGCAAGAAGCAAAAGCAGGAGGCAAAAGGCAAAGAAGCAGGAAAGAGGAAGCTTCCCTCTTATCGGCTGAGTCAGCAGCATGTGACCCTAGCCGCGGGCTGATAAACTCCGCAAAAGGAAACTTGAGACCTTTTTCTCTTCTCCTTCTTCTTCTGCTTCTTCTCCAACTTCAACTGCGACTTCAACTTCATTCTCTTCTCCAGCTTCAGTCTCTCCAGCTCGACGACCAGCTTCAGTCCTCTAAGTGCGTATGTGCGTGTGTTCGTGTGTTGTGTCTAGATGCTAATTGTCCTCTGCAGCTTGTTTGTCATAGTTCCCCGCTTCCGTCCAAGCAGTAACCATGGTTAAAGCAGGTGAGATTCCAGTTCCTGACCCAATGCTTAGAGAGTATATCCGTTTCGTCGAAGGTGTTCTAACTGTGTGCTTCTTGCTAAATAGCTGTTCTCGGTGCTTCTGGTGGCATTGGCCAGGTTGGTAGTCCTGCTGATTTGAGAGTCTTGTTGGCCTTGGAGTGGGGGTGGGTGAGCTGACCGGTTGAACCCCTCGGGTATACAGCCTCTGTCCCTTCTGTTGAAGATCTGTCCTCTCGTCGAGGAGCTCGTCCTTTATGATGTCGTCAACAGTCCCGGTGTTACTGCCGATCTCTCTCACATTTCTACCACTGCCGTAAGTTGCCCTCTATGTACTAGAGTCCATGGCATCTCCGGACTAACTTATGTGGTTGATAAGAAAACCTCTGGCTACTTGCCAAAGGACGACGGCTTGAAAAATGCCCTCACCGGCTGTGATATCGTCCTCATCCCAGCCGGAATTCCACGTACGTAATCTCAAACACCCTGACACTCACCCCTTTTCGGCACCTGTTTCGTCTGGTTTCTGTTACTAACAGTCTGACATATAGGCAAGCCCGGTATGACCCGTGACGACCTCTTCGCTGTCAACGCAGGAATTGTGAGAGATCTCGTCCAGGGTGTCGCTGAATTCTGCCCCAAGGCATTTATCCTCGTCATCTCCAACCCTGTTAACTCCACTGTCCCAATTGCTGCCGAGGTACTCAAGAAGGCTGGTGTTTTCGACCCCAAGCGTCTTTTCGGTGTCACTACTCTTGACATCCTCCGTGCGGAGACTTTCGCCCAGAAGTACACTGGCGTAAAGAACCCCTCTGATGCTACCATCCACGTTATTGGAGGACACTCTGGCGAGACCATTGTCCCAGTCTACAGCTTGGCTAAGCCAGCTGCTGAGATCCCAGACAGCGAATATGCTGATATCATCAAGCGTGAGTCCTCGATAGACATTCAGTTTCCTTCCTTAGTTTTCTATGGGCCATCACTAAGACGGGTTTATCACGACAGGTGTCCAGTTCGGTGGTGATGAGGTCGTTAAGGCCAAGGACGGTGCTGGCTCTGCTACCCTGTCTATGGCTTATGCTGGTTACCGGTAAGTCGAATTTTTCTTTTTGCTTCCAGACATCGTTAGATTAGAAACCTAAGCTGACCGAGGCGATGTCTATAGCTTTGCTCTGAGTGTGATTAAGGCTGCCAAGGGCGAGAAGGGTATTGTTGAGCCCACTTTCGTCCACCTCGAAGGCATCAAGGGTGGTGATGTCATTAATAAGGAGACTGGCCTTGAGTACTACTCCATGCCAGTTGAACTCGGAGTGCGTATATTCATGACTGAGACCTCCTTTATCTTCCCTTCCAGTGGTATAGCTAACAATTTGATATAGCCATCCGGTGCTGAGAACATCATCAACATCCTCCCCAACGTCAACGACAGAGAAAAGGCACTCCTTGAGGTCTGCAAGACCGGCCTCCAGGGCAACATTGCCAAGGGAATCAGCTTCGTCCAGAACCCTCCACAAAAGTAAAACACACCCACCTCACTTCCAGCTGCCCCTGAAGCTCCTGCTTTCCATCCTTTGGTGTCGCGTTTATCGGATCATCCTTGGTTGTCTGTTGCTTCTTCCCATCCATCCACTTTACTCGTGGCCTTCCTAGGCTACATCACGGCCCACAACCTATGGCGAATTGTTACTAACCAAACACCCTGTCTCCCGGCATATAGGCTGTAGGTCAGGAGAGAACATACATAGGCTCTGAGTGACCGAAAAAGGCCTGGTTTCTTTTCATTCATCCGTAAGAACGAGCAAGGGCGCATGCACTGCTAGGGGGTCGCAAAAATTAGTTTGCCCAGTCATACTTCTCATTCTTTTATGTCAATATTCCATCTCCCTAGCCAGAACAGAAATATCGCTGTCAGGTTTCTCCTAAGTCGGAAGGACGAGCTGCATTTAAACAGAAAGCAAACAAATGAATAAAAATAGGGTTACACCTACTTGCACTCCCCTACTTCATCTGTTTCTAATCCTCTGCAACTGGAGGTAAACCAGGGACGGCCGTTGGGTTAAAAAGAGGACGCCAAAGAGAAATTGTATATTATGCGTGGGTATCTGTACAGCATAGATGTGGTATAGAAACAAATAGACGTGAACTATGCCTTGCCTGGTAGTTATATAAGCAATGCATTTACTATCATGAAACCGCCGTCAAGCTTCAAGCTACCATCGGTGTACCAGCGCCGGCAGTATTGGCAGTGACCGTACTATTGATAGTCTTGATCTGGAAAGTAGCCAACGGGAGATCTGAGCTTTCCGCCTGGACCGTGGCCTCGATCCCCACACTTGCGAGGGTGCCACGGATTATACCGCAGGGAAACCAAAGATACTTTAGTCGATGTTAGCCTGCATCAATCAACAAAATAGGGGGGAAAGGGGGTGCTTTGAGTGAAATATCCCGTACTGTTTGTGCACGCATAACTGCTTCACTTCTAACAGACATGCTCATGCGGATAAAGGGCCGGAAAGCATTATCCGTTAAAACATATACTCCCTATATCAAGGTAGATTGATTAGTTAATGGTCAATCAACATCAACAGGCCTGAGGTAAGTATGAAGGCTCACCCTATGATTCGTCTTCAAATTATCCACCTGTTTCCTGAACAGGATCGTCCAAAGATCTTTACATAGAAACTTAATCACATCGAGATTATCAGTAAACCGGGGCCTATCTCGAGAAAACCTGTAAAAAATCCGGCACATGTCAGCTCCCCCTTCCTATATTTTTTCGTATGGGTATACCAGTAGCAGCTGAGTTCCGCATTACCTTTCTCCCAGCCCCAGGCCGACTCTATATCCCAATGACTCCAGTCTAAAATATATAGCCTCTCGGTATTCTTCGTCATCCATAACGGCCACAGATGACTTGCTATCTTTCTCCTCTCCTTTCCCTCGTTCCTTATTTTTGGCATCTAGCGCTTCGCCTTGCTTGACTGGGGAATCCTTTTCTCCGAGCTCGAGTTCTTGGACTAATCGTTCCGCCATAGGTACAAGCTCGATTAATAATAGATCTAGGCATGATGCGTTTAGAAAGCGAGCATGAGGGTCGGAAGCGCTGAAGGGGGGTGTAGGTGTGTCGAAGGACATTATTGCGGTTTGCTTTAGTTTGTGAAGGAAGAGGCTAACGGGTCTGGTTCTGGAGATTGGTTCTTAGAGATGGAATCCAGTAAGACAGAAGGTTATCTATAAAATATTATAATTGAAAGAAATTCCAAGGGACAGCTTCGATTGATCTTCTTTCCCTTTGACGGCTGTTGTTGTGTCTTGAGCTCGTCGTAGTTAGTTTACAGATTAACTGATTTGTATTACATAATCAGCAGCTTTATTTCGACCCAAACCAACATCTGCAAACAACTGCGTGTCTGTCTTCCTATTCTACGCCTCTGGCAGACGGAGGATTGCTCGTTGACAGACGCTTGCTAGGGTTATGGAGTATAAGCAAAATTCTACTGGTATTGGCATCGATTGAAGGCTCGACTGATCAGCGCATATTCTCCGGATAGCCAGGCCTCCTTTTATATGCTACCCCTAAAACTGGCCGTAATACATAGGTCCGTCAGCGTGAGCCACCGTGGCTTGCCCCCAGAGAAATAGGATTTATGACTTGATGACTATCAACCCCGTAAACCACTAGGAAGGTCTCAAAAACGGACCTAGAACGAAACATAAGCAAGGGTAACTCCGGGATTGGTGGAGCGGCAGGCTGGGGCGTACATTTTATTTCATTCAGAGAAATCTCGTATATCTGCAAACCTGAACCAGATTAAAATCATTCAAAAGGGCGTCAGGAGAGCCTTGCACGGCGGAATTCGATCGATGCGATGAGAATTCTATAAGCACACTCTCAGGCCTGCGACCAAGGCCGGTTTGTCGATATTAACTACTTACTATCATGTTGGTCTCACACTATTCCCATCGACGGCTGCTGCTTCTCACCAGCGGCGCATTCGTCCTGCTGTTCATATATTACTTTGGCACCGTATACCGACACCAGCTGGGCGTTGTACCCAAACATGGCGATTCCGTGCATGACGAGCACGAAGAGCCTGAAGAGAAATGTATGGGCAATGATCCAATAAAGATGCTGTTGGACAAGGCAGACAATGCATGGCGCAAGTACGACACTGCTCGGTCAATGAGCTTCAGTGATGCTGTTATCGAGTATAGATTGCGGTATGGTCGCCATCCGCCGCCTGGATTCAAGGAGGTGAGTCCTATCTGTATATGCGTTTCACTGGTTTATGCGCTGGCTTTATACTGCTTGATAAAAAGGAGCATATAACTGACCTACGGGATGAACACAGTGGTATATATTTGCCCGGGATAACGATGTCCGAAACGTCGACGACTTCGATCAGATAAACGACGACCTCCGGCCGTTCTGGTCAGCGGAGCCAAAGACCATCCGGCGGAGGGTAGCCGCAGCCTGCCAGGACCCCAATGGAAACTCGATTGCAGCACTTCATATAAGGAACGGGGCTATTGCGAACATTACTGGTGATGGGTGGCGGATAGATACGATGAAGTCACTGGTGGCACGGTTTGCAGAGAAGCTACCTGATATGGACATTGCCATGAATACAATGGACCAGCCTCGACTGGTAACCAAGTGGGAAGATATGCAGGCTATGCTGAGTAAGGAGATAGCATCCCGCGCTACTCCTCCCATTGCGACCTATTCATTTACAAAGAATATGGAAGGATTCGTGTCAATGACGGGTAACAACAATGTGACAGAGGAGGATAAAGTCAAATGGGCTGGAATACCTTCCAAGCAGTACATGGAGGTTGCGGCTACTGCCTGTCCTCCGGAATCTCCAGCTCGGAATCCGATCCTGAGCATTCAAGAGGCGGATGCTCGTTACAAAACACCCGGTGCCGGCCTTGTGTCTAATTTTAACATGTCCAGTGATCTATGCGTTGTTGGGCCAGCCATAAAGGATCTCCATGGATTTCTATTTTCGTCATCAAGTATCAGCCACTCAGATGCTCTTATACCGATATTCAGTGAATGTAAGGTGAACGTCAACAATGATATCCTCTTCCCGGCAAACATGTACTGGAAGAATGATGAACGATATACCTACAATGGCGTTGAAGATATCGACTGGAACAAGAAAAACGAGACCCTCTTTTGGAGAGGAGCTACGTCTGGCGGCATTCAAACTGCAGATAACTGGTCTCGGATGCATCGCCAACGGCTGGAGTTCAAGATGAATGGGACAAAACTCATAGGCAAGACAGAGCGAGTCCTGCCATGCAACGACCAATCCTTGAGCTCAACTGATCCCGCATCGTCGAGCTTCCAACCAACTAATTTCGCCAACAAGTATTTCGATTTCGGTTTCACGGACCCCATGGCTTGTATGCCAGCCAACTGCGAATTCTACAATGACACCTACACGTATAAGGAGAAGAGCCCTCTCTCGCATCAGTTCGTAAACAAATACCTGGTCGACATAGACGGACACAGCTTTTCTGGCCGATGGCGTGCATTCCTTCTTAGCAAGTCTCTGGGTATAAAAGCCACCATATTCCGCGAATGGCATGATTCGCGTCTCTTTGCATGGAGACATTTCGTGCCCCTAGACAACCGATACGATGACTTCTATGCCCTTATGACCTATTTCATCGGGACAGGGGCAAATAATAATACCTCTCCCAGCAATCCCCATGTTGCCCGTCATGATAAAACTGCGCGAATGCTGGCCAGACAGGGCCGTGAATGGGCTGAGAAGGTTCTTCGCAATGAAGATATCGAAGCCTACATGTACCGACTTCTCCTTGAGTATGGCCGAGTCATCGATGACAATCGAGACTCCATTGGCTACCATGGTGATGGTAGCGAACTAGCAGAATTTGATGAGCATTTGACGCGGTGATAACTCTAATGAACGGCGATTTGGCTTCATGGAATATATGTTTTTTTTACGGGGTACATATGTACAGCTTCAATATTTACTGATTTGTGTGGTACATGCTTCAAAACCTGGGCAGCCATGTACTATATTTTATTCGTTGTGGGCAATAGGGAATTAATCATTTAGAACTTGGTTATCTATCTTAAACTATTTAATATAAGTAATAGTCACTTCTTTCCATGAACTAGCTATTGGTATTTCCTTTGCTTTGCCTGTACGGACCCGAAATTCTCTGCTGGCAGGCAAAAGTATTCCGTTGAAAAGCATTATTATTAAACAATGCCGATAGATGCCGCGTTAATCGTTGGACCTATTTGACGAGCATACCTCCCCAATCCCTATCCTGATGTAGAAGAAGATGGAAGCTCTGGAAACAAAGCAAGAGAAGAATAGAATAAAATACCGTTAAAAAAACTCCACGCCCCCGTTATGCCCCGTTTGTCCGTTTTCCATCCTAGGCCCATAAATAACAACGATTGGTATAAACCCGCAGAATAAATGAGAATAGGCAAACTCCTCAAATGATCTAATAGAAGGAAAAAGGAAGGTCGGAAATGGTGTTGAAAAAAAAACCAAAAAGCAGTTTCCTGAAAATGCGGAAACGGCTGTTTGTTATGGCCAAAAAAGTCTTGAGCTCCGGAGAGACTCTCTATCGGTGGTAGTGATATGAGCCGGGAACAGGTGAATTCGAGGATGTTGACGCAGAAAGTCTGAGCGGGTCAAACGGTTGATGATGATTTCCATTTGAAAGGTGAAATGCGAGCCGCTTAGCAGGGCGAGGAGGCTCCTCCTCATCATCACTGCCGGTCAAATCAATGACTTGGCTAATGGTTCTTTTACCAGTTGAAGGTCGTGGAGCTGACGCTACCGAGGAGGCTTCCCTGGATGGAGTTGGGGTTGTACGGTATACCGAGGCCTGAGAGTCGAATTCCCGCTTAAGGGTTGGTACACCACAGCTGTCTACCTCGACCAAGTCCAACTCGTCATCGTAATCATCCCCATTTTCAATGCCATTACTACCCGGCAAGTCTTCAGGGGGATCGTTGGGGTTTGACCATTCCCCGTTCTGTTCTATAGTCACTTGATCGACCGATTGAGGTGTTGCACGTAATATGTTATCAACATACCTAAGGCGTATTAGTTATTAGATACCAGTATGCTAAGGATTGTTGATCACTTACTGGTCTACCTGTAAAGCTTCAAAGCTGGTTGCTTTATAGCAGATGGGGCAACTCCACGTCGGTGCCTGTTCTTGCAGTTGGAGGAACGAGGTTGCATCAAAGCATTGGTTGTGTGTGCATAGCGAGGTGCGGCATGGAACTGAAATCCGGAGTGTTGAGAGCGGGCATTTTAATGACATGACGGCTGATGTTGTTACAATATCTGCGTCCTGTGCCCTGGCCTGCACTGTAATCCTTTGTAAGATTCTGGTCACGTACAAAGCGCTTCTATAGAACTTACTCTCTCTGATCACCTGCTCGGCGGAAATTGTTTTTCTGACTTGAAGCTGGGTAACCAATTCCTCCACAGGATGTTTTTGCACAAGGTTGACGACAATGAAGAATTTCTTAAGTTCCTGTTAGCTATCTGACGGCAATGTGATATGGAAAAACAGGGGACAACCTTCTGTGTTAGAGCGTATGTCATCGTGACGGAGTTCGAAAAACCTGCTTTCTTCCTGATGAAGTTCGTTATATCTACCGGCCTGGTTGTACCTGGCTTGTTTTTTAGACCACGCATGTTTGCCTTGACATCATCAAGGTTGACTTTGAGTTCCACTTGGTGTGGGAAGGCGATATCACATGGAGAATAATGCGTAAGGCCATTGTCTGCAGCACCATAAACCATGACCCGGATGTTTGGATCTGAGAGAAGCCGTGAAGCAGTTTCAGAGTTGAGAATCACCCGCAAGTTAACAGTATCTTTGGAGGAATCCCGAACTTTAGTATTGAAATCCAAGTCAGATTTTGGTTGACCTACTTTGCGGGATATGATTATAGGGTAAGTTATTTTTGTCGTATCGTACCTTGACACTCTACTACAGAAGTCAAAGCTTCTAGAATGGTATAAAACGGGCTTTTCTTGAAGGTCAAGCGACCTATATAATTCTGTCAGCGGGGGAAGAGACTCTCACCATAGCGGAACCAACACCAACGTACCTAGCGGACTCGGAGGAGGAGGGAGAGGGACTGCTGTCCGGAATGGCGGCAATGCATGCGAAGACTGTGGTTGAGGAACCGGGGGATATTGGGGTGATAATGGAGTCAATGGCGGAGGTGACGGCTGGCCCTGGGCGGTTGCGTATATCCGTGCAATGAGGCTATTCAACCGGCTCTGGTTCGCCCACTCGCCATAGGCGTAGTAGTTAAGACCTATAAGGAAAAACATAGGTTACTAGGAGTAACGGGTATATGGCATTCATTAAGTGAGGACTTACGGCCTATAAGCCTGGCCTGAAGTGTTTGCTTGACGCCTGAGACCCCCAGGTTCTCACTCTTGAGGATCGCTTTCAACTGGGTGTTGAGGAGCTTGTATAGCGTCCCCATAACACGCTGGATCTCCTGGTTCTGCGCCTGAGGCGCCATACTGGCTGCTTCACAGGGCGTTTCTCCGAGCAGTCTGGTCTCCCTGGCCTGAATGACGGGCTGAGGGCGAGGTGTTCGGGATCTCGGGGGGCGGCTGGTCAGGCTCGGAGCAGTTCTATCATGGTATATGCTGTGCTAGCTTCAGCGACCGTCTGCGCACTCTCTCCAGTCCTCGATTCGAGCGTCACCGTCGCAGCGTCCGGGAAGATGTTTCTCTCTTGCTGTCTTCGCGAGTCTCGCCCACGATCGGATCTAAAGCAAAAGAAAGTTGCGGATGAGCAAAATGCTTAGTAAGCTTGTCCTTCGATGACATAAGCCTGTCGAGTTTTTTTTTTTTATTAATAGAAGTTCGAGGTTGATATTGATGTATTGTTTAACCGGGTCATTGATTATTATTGTGCATCTGGCATTTTTGAGCTTGGGATAACAATAGGGAAGCGCCATGGCAAAGGGACTCAGGTCGAGTGTTAAGAAGCACAACAAGGCTCTCCTGCGCGAAAAGGTCTTTGGGCCGGCAGCAGATGCCAGAACTGAGCGGCTCTCTGCGAAGCTGCAAGAGCTCGCAGGCACTTCCAAAAGAGATGCTAACATGACAGATGCAGACCCAAATACTGCAGGTGCGTATCTCTGTGAAGGTCGCTGTTGAAGGGTATTCAACTAACAGGCTGGTCTTCTAGATGCCAGTGCAGAGAAATCTAAAACTGATATAGCAAAAGGTAACGGCTGCCGAGTCAATACCATTTCCTTCACTTTTCTTTCACTTTTGCCTCAGATATCGGAGCTCCGATGGCCTTTTGTGAACCGTCTTTGCTACCTTTGGAACCTGCTCTAATGCTACGATAGATAATGAGCCTACTCCCCTCAAGATTGAAGGCGGGATCTCTCGCAAGACCGGCCGAGTTGAGAAGCGCACACGAAGAAAACCACGCAACACCATAACGTTTGCGCCTCACCCCTGGGAAAGCGAAGAGACTCAATGGGAACAAGAAGCGATGATGTTTATGAGCTTCTAGCCCGACGTTGAGCTGTCTGATTTCACGTTAGACTGGCTGTTGAGCGGAGTCTGAGATCTCAATTGCGCATAGTAACACGAAGAAAAAGGGATTTGGAGTTAAACGGAGTTCCAAAAGGATTAATTTATGATATGGGATTTTTCTTTTGGCCTTTTCTTTTAGCCACGACTATTCAAGACGAATGATATCAGAAGTTGAAAATGGTCTTAGACACCTTTATGCTATTTTACACTCTACGGTTGCTGACGCGACCTTTTAAAATAACCATATCCTCATAATCGGCGCCGAAATGTTTGCTTAGATAGCTGCTTTATCGCTAATCAGAATCGCGGGCGCAGGCACGAATGGCGCTTGTTCCTTTTTTTGGGTTCTTATCTTATCGCGGCGCGCGCAAGACCTTGAGAGACGAGGAGGACGTCAAGGGAGTAAACACAACACCTAGCAGGATGAGGACGACGGAGATGGTATAGACAGCGAGTAGAAGACGATAGCGGAGGAGATAATGATTTTCAGTCAATGACGCTCGTTTAGACAAGTCTCTTTCTTTCAAAGATGCGCTTCATCACTTCAAACATGGCCACGCTGGTCTCCTTTACTCTTTTCCCCCTGGCGCTGCTCCTCTTCGCCAGCGGATTCTTCCCGTACAAGCCATTCATCCCAGGTCTGGCAACCTTTGAAGAAGTTGAAAATGGCAGTCGACCGTCACCTATCTTTGACCGGGTCATCTTCATGGTGGTGGATGCATTGCGAAGGTGGATTGGCTCCATGTTGTCTCTCCCATATCCTATGCGTCAGCTAACCCCCGTATTTAGTGATTTCGTGTATGGGAACCATTCCGGGTTCCAATTCACCCAAGGGTCAGTAAAGATGAATATGCTATGCTCCAGTAGAGCAATATGGAGTCAGCCTGTTCTAATTTGTGTATAGGTTGATCAAGTCTGGCGCAGCAGTACCATTTACTGCCCATGCAAGCTCGCCGACTATCACCATGCCACGGGTCAAGGCAATTACAACAGGATCTGTCCCGTCGTTTGTTGATGTGATCCTTAACTTTGCAGAGTCAGATACCACGTCGACTCTTGCTCACCAGGATACCTGGCTGGCCCAGCTGAAAGCCAAACCCGGTGGGCGGCTTGTCATGTACGGCGACGACACATGGCTGAAGCTGTTCCCTGACATATTCTACAGGCATGACGGGACTACCAGCTTTTTTGTTTCCGTACGATCATTCAACTCTCCCCTCATGCTAAATCAATATCAACTGACCCTGATTAAAGGATTTTACTGAAGTCGACAACAATGTGACTCGGCATATACCTGAGGAAATGGGCAACGCTGATTGGAATGCCATGATAATGCACTATCTCGGCCTTGACCATATTGGTCACAAAGCTGGCCCAAGAAGGTGAGCTCATGAAGCTATAGTAAGGTCCAAGTATTACGACATATGGAAGCTAACGTTGCAGAAGTCCTCATATGATACCCAAGCAGAAAGAGATGGATTCCATAGTCAAACAGATATACAGTTCCATGGAAAAGGAGCCTCATCTATCGTCCGCACTCCTTGTTCTATGTGGTGACCACGGTATGAATGATGGTGGTAATCATGGTGGTGCATCGGCTGGAGAGACCTCCCCTGCTCTTACATTCATATCCCCGAAATTTCAAGGCATGGGGCTTGAAAGGGCACCTCTAAAGTCTTCTTCAGGGGAGTTCGATTACTACGATACTATAGATCAATCAGACATAGCTCCTACTTTGGGCGGCCTGCTCGGTTTTCCGATCCCCCTGAACAACCTAGGAGTATTTATTCCGCAATTCCTCCCATTATGGAAAAAAGGTTCGATCCTCGCGTTTTTTCGTCTTTGCCTATGTCTCCAAACTAGAAACTAATACAGCATTATAGATCGGGAACGGCTACAACTTCTCCAGGAAAATGCCAAACAAATGATAAACATTGTCAAGCAAACATATCCAAGTTACAAATTCGACTCTACTACCCAGTTGAGCTCTTGTGACGGCGGTTCAAACTCTGAGATAGCAGACCTGGAATGCAAATGGCACAAGGCGCAGCAGATGATCTCTCAGACTACTGACGATACCAATGTCTCCCCAGCCATAGAGTCATCACTTATAGCCTTTTTACGAACCGCACAAACCATAATGTCCAGCACAGCGAGCAATTATAACCTAGCAAGACTATACCAGGGCATTGCATTCTCGGGGATTTCCTTCCTGCTTTCTCTCTATGCATGCGTGCAAAAGGGCCGTAATGGAACTGCAGCTGTGGGGTACATATTCCTAGTCCTATCTGGGTACGGAGCCCTGATGTTTGCAAGTAGCTATGTTGAGGAAGAGCAGCACTTCTGGTACTGGATGACTTCTGGTTGGATTTTCTATCTCTACTGGAAATCGTAAGTAACATCTAACCTTTCCCTTTATCATCGATTTTAAATGCTAACTGTTTGTCCTCCCAGTTCCAATAGACAAGAGCGCAAGTCAGCGTATGCCAGTGCATTTATCCTTGCTGCTTTGACAAGAGTTATGAGACGCTGGAACCAGACTGGCCAAAAGTTTGCCGGAGAACCAGACATTGCCAACACCTTCTTTAGGGAACATCCTAATGTGTTGTGGCTGCTGATTCTTTTCACATATACTGACCTATATCAAAGATTGCTGCCAAACACATCCATAGCGGATCCGACGAGCAAGCTGTTATCGCTACTCTATCTTCCCTTAACCAGTTTCTCGTTCATATTCAAGGTGGTCTTTACAGACGCTGACGCACCGGAACTTATACGGAATACCCCTTTTCTCCCTTTCTTGATCAAGGGTGTTCGAGGACTGTCCCTTGTTTTCCAAGCGCGGGTTGTTCTTATTGGAGTCTTGGTATGTTCGATGTATACGATGTATTTGAGAGCCACTAGGAATGGGAATCGAACCGGCGCAAGAAGAGGTAATAGAAGCCAACAAGTATCTTTCCTTCGAATTAACCATCTCCATACTAACGTCTTCTCAACTAGATGTTCGAGGAACCTTTCATTCCCTGCTCAGTCTATTGCTCATCACTCAGTCTCGAGCCACCAATATACCACTGTTCGCCTTCTTCCGGATCCAGCAACAAGTCCTCAGCTCCATGTCGCTGTCTACCACAGAAATCACGGTCACATCCCTCCTGTTCCAGTACGCGAGCTTTTTTGCTCTCGGTGGCTCAAATGCCATCTCCTCAGTCGATTTGTCCAATGCATATAACGGCGTGAGCGGGTATAACGTTGGTGTAGTAGGTATACTGACATTTATCAGCAACTGGGCTGGGCCGATCTGGTGGGTATCTGCCACTCACCACCTGCTGAGCATTACTCGCTCAGCTCGCCGGAACCAGTCAAATAAACATATCCAGCTTTTGACCTTGTTCGTTGCCACGAGCCTTTTAGCTGTCATGGTAGCTTGCACTGCTCTTCGAACACATCTATTTATATGGACTGTGTTTTCACCGAAGTTTCTTTACAGCATGGCATGGACGCTGGCTCAACATATCATCATTAATATTTTATTCGGAGAGTATATGTTGCGATGGTTATACAATTAGACTGCTTTCCTCTTTAATATAAGGATTGCCTTCCAAGCCTCTTTCAAAGAGATATAATAGCTCTCTTTATGTGATCTTTCATCTGCAATTACAAGCCAGCAAATATATCATCTATCGCATTGACTTTTCGTTTCTTCTTCTTCGTCTTCTTCTCCTTAGAGCTTCCGGGTTTGTCCATGCTGACGGCCATAGCAGTATCATCGTCGACTTTTCGTTTTATGCCTTTATCAAGGCCTGACTTCTTCTTTTTCTTCGTTACAGCTTCACCATCAGTAGACACAGCTGAGTCGACTTTCTTTTTGACTTGGGTGTCAACTTCAGAACGTCGAATCACTTCACCAAAATCTTCATTGGCAACAGCAGCATTACTAGCTGGCCTGGGAGTGGGCTCCGAGGCCTTCTCATCTCCAAGTTCCTGAGCAATATTCGACAGTTCGCCCTTATTTATCTGGACGACTTTGAATACTTCAGCAAGCGTAGCCAGCAAAACAACACCCAAGGAGCAAAATTGGATATCTGCAACCACAGTAGAAAATGCTCTGTCCAGAAAGGTCAGTCATATTTCATCATTTGGTATGAATACTGCTCTTCAGGTCAACTAACCTATAGCACCGTGGAACAAGCTCGTCGTGAAGATAGCTCATTATTCTCCACACAGGAGCAAACGGGTGTTCATCACTGCCATCTGCGCTCCGGACGTCCTCGAATTTCTCGATCCTTTCGATTTCACACGCGAGATTCAGTGTCCACCGCCTCAGCATGTTCAGCCATTTCCACCATTTCGTGCAGCGATGCTGGTTCTTGTTGTGGTGGTAAAGTAGATGCAGTGTTCGGTGGATCGACCGGACGTCACTGGAGGCTGCAAATGGCGATGATTCAATCAGTTGAGTGGACATTTACGCCAACTGGCTTCGCCTCCTCCTTGCCGTGTCCGCTGGCTCTGGCTTGAGGGCCGTCCACTAGTCGATATGGGAGTCGTAAAAAAAGCATCTCCCGGTCAAGGATATCAAACTCCGAACAAAACGGCAACGGAACCAACCGCCGGCTTAGTCATCAGAACAACTCCATTTTATCGGGGTTTTCTGGGTTCACTTGCAAAAGTTGACTCGAATACGAGAAGTTAAATAGACGAGCTCTTCCTCTTCTGCCAACGAGCAAGCAGGGGCAAAACTGAAGGATTGAGGCTCAACAATGCATCCTTCCAATTGCATGTTTTATCCATGTTGCGGCGCTGGCGGTCGGAGCTCGTAAAGGGGCATCCGCCGACGTTGGTGCCTGGAACGCCGCCTGAGACATTTCGTCCGTTGCATGGATTCGAGATATAAAGGGACTCTTTCTCCGTCTGGGTCCCTTTATATTTCGAATCTTTCCCATTTTTCTTCCCCCATATCTCTGTTCAAGGGCGTCTCTTTGAATATTCTCAATTTTTTATACACCACCAGGAAAAGAGCCATCTGTACCAATGGGTTTTACTACCGCTGGCGGCAAACGGGGCCTGGCCTCCAAACGGTCAGCGATAAGTCTGCACGACCAGCAGCCAGTCGAGCCGTACACGGATGAGCCCAGCGATGAGCCACCGGCTTATACTGATGCCACTCCAGGAAGTTCAAACTACAGGCAAACTCTCCCTGACCTACCGGCCCCACGAGGCTATACCAATCCATATCAAGAGGTTATTGGGAGCCGCGTTGTCAAAACATATTCCGGACGGGAATCGTATCTTGTGACTGTTCACCCAGAATACTCGAATACTCCACAGGATCTGTACAACGCTATATACAACCAAGCCGGTGTGGCGCCTACTGTTCTCATCTCCGTCAAAGGAACCCACACCGTCAAGCAGCGGGATGGGAAAAAGGACTCCAGCTCTACGGTTACGGACTTTGACTTTCGAATCGAGACTCAAGGAACTATATTGCCGATATCTTCGTATGATCTGGAAAGACGCCCGTTATTCGATTACTTCCGCGAACTAAACGTGGTGCGGGACGGTGACAAACAGTCTGCGTACCGCGGAGGGAGGTTCAAGTGCAAAGCGAGCAAGAAGTATAAGCCTGCCGAAGCCAACGATCCAGAACAAGCGGCGATGAATGGTGAACAGATCGAGGCAGAGACAAGTCTCGAGAGTACGCTTCAGCAATGGTGTACTCGATACTGCGAAGACAAAAGCGGAGTGAAATCGTCAGTAAAGAGACAACCTGCGAATAAACTTACCAGTATACTAACTGCCCTTTCATAGATTCACGTTACGCAGCACAGTTAAAGGGCTCGACATGAACATTATCAGAACCGAAATCGCCTCCATCATTCGCTCTACTAACTACCGTGGTACCATCAATGTTACCCAGGAAACAACCCACACAGCACTAACCGTCTATTCACCACATTGGATAAACAATCTCCGAACCAACAGGTTCGTCTGGTGGGCAGTTGTCATTCTTCAGCTTTGGATAATTACCTGGCCTATCATCATCTTGCTTGAGAGGCGCTATGAGCCCGTCACGGCCCAATACTACGTCTACCGGGAATCAGAGTACAACCCTCCCTTCAAGGGTGAAGTTGAATGGACAAAGATGTTTGCCCCTGCTATTAGCGCTGCAGCGCTAAATAGAAGGAAAGACGAAATTGTTACAGTAGCTGATGTGCAGCGGGCTACTGATGCGGCTCTCAATGGCCGGGTTCAGGAGTCTCCAGCCGAAAGAGAGAGGAGGGCAAGAATGAATAACGGGAATGGAACATTTATGGATTCTGTTATTGGTATAGCTAGGGGTGTGTCGGAGTTGAGGAGCGAGTATGATCATGCTAGAGGCTGGGGTGCGAATGAGTGAAGGATGCATCGGATCGGGTCTATAACCTGTCTTTTCTTTTCGTAGCGGGGGCTAGGGTGGTAGTTGGTTTTGCTTGGTTAGTTGGAAATATCATTTATAGAGAAAGAAACATGTCAAAAGGAAGCATACTTGTCTTCGATTTGATGTAAAGCGACATAATGTCCGCTTCCTCCACTAACGTACATAACGGTTTTCACAACTTGATTTGACTGAAAAAGCAAATGCGCCCTCAAGCCACAACACAACCACCATTGCGCCATGTTGAAAAATAAGCAAGTAAAACCATAACAATGGAAATGAAAAGAACAAAGCAAATATCCCTTTTTCGTTCTGTGTGGTGGTCATGGTTGTGGTCATCAGAAGCCCCATCCTTGACGCCACGAAATCCGCAAATTGCTGCCCAGGTGATAATACATGTTGATGAAGGGAAAGGTAAAGAAACAAAACAAAAGGGAGAAAATACCAAAGTGAGTTAAATACAGAAGTATGAAAGGAATGTTAGAAGTTGGAGCATATCGCAAAGGATATCAGAAAAGCAGAATGCGAGATAGAGGAGTTGGATAGGTGGATAGGGTAGGTAGAACGGATGCTATGAATGTAGGCGGGCAAGCACAGGATCCTGTCTCTGTTCTCCCAAGGTGATGAGTTAGCTGAGTCAATGGTCCTTTGCAAACCAAATTTCAAGGCAATGCAAGACTCAATAGTAGGAAGAACAAAAAGACAAGATCGGAGTCAAAGAAACCTGACAGTTGAACCTGAGAGGTATCGATAAGGGCTGGCAATAGCCTTGATACCCAAATCTGCAAAGGGGAAGCCAGGCAGATAAGCATGTAGAACCAGTGTTTGACAAGGTGTTCCTGTGGATGTGAACGGGTTTGCCCAAGCTCCGTGCTAGCCTGATTTGATGTGCATTGTTTCGGGTATATGTGGTATGTAAGGCAAAAGAAGGCAGGGGAAAAGGGAGGAAAAATGGAGAAGATAATACATGTAGAAGAAGGGAAAAGAATACTAAAAGAGTGGAAAAATTGCCAGAAAGATGACTGAAGATAAAGGGACGAGACGAAGAAGACAAAAAAAGAACATCGAGATTGACGATGTGAGTCATGTTCGTTGAACTGGAGAAGTTCAAGTGCATGATGGTATGAAAGATGGGTAAATATGAGGATTAGTTATCCAGAGAGATGGTGATGATGATTGCCACCAGTGGGTTCATACCAAGGGTTCATAACGCTGGGGCGGATCTGTTCCATGCGCTCGGAGTGGGCAGGCCAGTCGCGAGTCCAGTGAGATTCACGTTCGGCGGCGGTAGTGCCACGGTCAAACTGAGAGCGACGACGGCGTTGCTCATCACGGTATTGCTGACCGACCCTGGGAGCGAACAGGCCTAGGAAAAGGGTCAGACATGGTATGAATGTAAGGGACAATGCTATACATACCGACATGCTCGGCATTCTCAACACTGCGGCGCATCTTGGATGGGTTGTCAGGACCAGGGAAATGGTCTTCAGTGCCAGCCAATGGGCCAGTGCCAGTGTGGAAAATCTAGAAGCTGTAAGTGAGGTGGTCAAATGGGAGGAGAGTGAAATGTTCGTGAGAAGCTTACCTTTGGTCGGAATGAGGGATGTTCGAGCATGACGGAACTGTTGCGGAACTTTTGGACAAGACAGTCTTTTCCTTGAATGGCTAGTATGGTGTTAGCATATGTATCAATGGGGCAAAGTAAGGAGAATGCTTACTGGCATAAGAAATCTCAGCAACCTTGTCACTGTTGAAGCAGTTCCTATTGATGAAGTCAGTAGATAGAGGTATGGATGGGAATGAGGATATAATACCAAGAACGACCAGCACGAGCTTTGGCAAACTGTGTGCTTATTAGCAGATGGCCTTGGCTGATTGACATGTAGATATGAACTCACATCAATGATGTCAATTGGCTGTATAGCAAGTTAGCATGGAGTATCAAATATATGAATGATAGGAACATAACTTACATCTTCGAAGTTGATGAATGCATAGCCGACACTATTAGTTAATTAGCAATAAGCTCGTGGTGAGATTGACATAGACAGGATAACTGACTTGCAGTTGTTGGCGAAATCTATGACAAATTAGCTGATGTAGACTAAAGAAAAAAGTGAAAAGGAAATAGCCTTCTTACCTATGCGAAGATACATGAAGTCGTATTTGCCATGGCTAGTCTCATCGACAATATCCTTAAGCATAGCCTGATCAATTTTGTTTGGGATATTGCGTAGCATGATCTGGATGAACTCAGTATATGCAATGCATCGGGAGGGGAAAGAGGAAGAAGATACTAACTGTAGTGCGGACGTCAAGGCCGAGACGAATGCGTTCAATGTCAACGTGGTTTTGGTTCATGTTGTTATGAGTATTGTTACGGTTGCGCCCAGAGCCATGACGAGAACGGAAGTTGTGGCATTCATCCGATCGACGGTTCCAAGTTGCAACTGCAGGATCACCAATGGGAATGGTGGAACGGCCAGTTGGGCTAAGCTCCATGTAAGGGGTAGGAGAGGCAAAGCTTCGACGGCGAGACATGGCAATGGCACGGTCGTTCATCATGATTGGAGAAGTGCGAGGAACAGGTTCTTCAGTTGGGTGATGAGCATGGGCATGGTGGGTGACATCTGGTTTGAAGTACTTGACATCGATGGCGCACTCCTATACGTACCATGAGCATAAGAAGAACCAGGGCAAAGGAGGAAGGATGACTTACAGGAAGAGAAGAGCCATTGAGGCCAGCAACAACGTTATCAGCAGCACGAGTATCGCTGAATTCGACGTGGAAGTTGACAATGTTGTTGTGGTCAGTGGGGATGCTGTGGAAAGCCTTGATTTCACCGTAGGTAGAGAGTAAGTTCTTGAAAGTGTGAGAGATGATCCGGCCATCTGGCTCTTCATGACCAGCGTTGTAGTAGACAGTAGCAAAGATTTGACCTTCATAATCTGAGGTGGTGGGGGCAAGCGAAGGGTCAAACTTTTGGGTGAACTCCCTTGCGGTCAAGGCATGGAAACGCCAATTGGGGAAGAAGGACTTGGCTTTGATGGCAGCCATTTTTGCTTCATAGATGTCGGCGAAACCAACGTAAATTCTGCCATGAGAAGCAAGCTCACACAGGACAGGTCCCTTGACAGAGTTGAATTCACGGCGCTAGGAATGTGTTAGCAGGGGAAAAAAGTGAGAGGGAAAAAAAGAAACAAAGAAATACCTACATTGAAGATTGCAGCAATGTCATGGTAAAGCATATCCACTGGAGCACCGTCGATGACAAAAGCACGATTGCGGTTCTCGGCGTCAAAGTGGCCTTGCTGGTAGTACATGGCATAGGGACCAGGAATGTATTTGGAGCTGGAAGAAGAAGGAGGGGAGACTCTGGCGCCGCCAATTGGACCAAAATCAACAGAGCCACGAGGAGTAAAAGTGCTGACAAGGCCAGGAGTGTCAGGAACAGAAGTTTTAGTTAGATCAGCAAGATTGGCAGGGTTTTGATCTTGGATGAAAGTAGGAGAAGACATAGGGCCGGCAGACGGGTTTCTGTCAAAACTGCCAGGAGTGAAGCTAGACGCAGTGGGAGAAAGCTGAATACGTCTGGAAGAGATACCAGAAGGAGGAACAGTAATAAATGGGTTTTGTGCTTCCCTAGACACCGAGTCAGAGAAATTCAAATAGAAGATGAAAGAAGAAGAAGAAGAAGGCGAAGAAAAAAAGAAAAAGTGATAGGGAGAAGCTGCTTACTGCTGAAAGATGGAGCGCCTCAGAGAGGAACGCAGAGACAACTCAAGAGCGGGAGCAAACTGCTGGGAAGAACGAGAATGCTCAGGGGAGAATGCAGTCAGCCTGGTCTCAGGCGAGCCATTGCGAGAATTGGCCTGCTCAGAGGACCGAGGGCTGCTTGCGAGTCTCGACATTTCGTCTTGACTTCTGCCACTTGTCAGGATATGATATATACGAGGATATCTGGGTCGTAGTGCCTACCTGGCTGTCAATTGAGCTGTACAACAGAGCTGAAGATGAGGAAAAAAGTGAGGATGCGGTGAGTAACGGCGGATAGAGGATAGTTGGTGGTATGAAATAGCTGAAACGGACGGAGTAGAGATAGCAGCAGAAGAATTGACAGGGGAATTGAGCTGAACAGAGCGACTGAACAGCTGCTGGAGGCGAGGATGAAGATGAAGGTGAGGATGAAGAGAGGATGAAAAGGAGAAGAAGAAGATGAGGACGAGGATGAGGATGAGGTTTAAGTAGACTCGAAGGGAAAGGGAGGAGGTTGGGAAAAGGAGGAGAAAGGCGGCGGCGGACATCGAACCCCTCTTTTTTTCTGCCTGCTTGCCCCTCCTTTTCTTCTTTGAGCAGGAAGAGGGAGAAGGAGGAGAAGGAGGAGAGTGTGTGAAGGAGAGTGAAGGAGATGTCTGCTCACCAGGCAGCTTGTAGGTATAAAGATCGACAGCAGCTGCACAGGCTTGACTGCCCAGGGCCTGCATCGGGTGGGCGAGTCAAGCCTGGTTTGTCCACTTTGCTAAGAGGCTCTGGTGTCCTCATCAAAGTCAGCCAAGGGAGGAGAAAAAAGAGGAGGCTGGCAGGAAAGAAGAAGCTGGACAGGGCAGAGAACACAGCAGAGCGGAGACAGAGTGAAGATAAAGACAGTGAGGACGCAGGCAGACGACGATAGAAGAGAAGAAACTTACCTGGTGGTAAAGGTCCCAGATAGACACTATATATATACCAGGCATCTGGTGTAGATATAGAGAGGGCACACACACACACACACATATATATATATCGCGTATATTAGATGGATAACAGTGTCATCCATATTAACAGTTAATATATATATAGGATATATAAGATAAAAGATAGGCACAGCTGTATATATATATACTATAAAGTACACTGATATATCATTAAGGCTGTGCAGAGAGAGCAAGAAAGAAGAAGAAGAAGAAGAAGAAGAAGAAGAAGAAGAAGAGAGAAAAGGGGGTATTTTATATGGCAGGAATAGGAAGCCTTCCATCACTGTTAGTGCCAATTAAACTATCTTTACTTCTCTCCTTCTTCCTCCTTTGATCACTGGCTCTTTGGAGGTATCTGGGTATATCCTTGTTTCTCCATGTTGGCTCTCATCTTGCTTTGAGAGAGACTCAGTAAAGACGGCAGATGCCTTCATTTTTGGTCTCTTCCTAATATTTTGCCATACATTCTTCTGCATCTTTAATCTACATAGCCATGATTCGAGAGACCTCTCAGAGCCTGATATCTCAAGGACTCTCTTCATCTTCACCTTCATCTCCAGTCTTTGCCTCGTTGTTTTGATGTTGACGTTGAGATTACCTAAACATGCTTCACGTGACATCCCGAGGGCTCAAGTCGGAAGAAAAGAAAAAATAAAGCTGGTGGAGACGACGATGGAAATAATAATATCATCTTGCATATGAGAGTTGCAGGCATCGCAAGGCATCCTGGGAGCCTTTCCCAGCGTCGACACCCATGCTGGAACTCGCGGCTGGTGTCAAGTTGACTTACTTGGCGGAGGGTGCCGCCAACATAGTCTATAGTATCTCCGCTGCACCTCATCCCCAAGCCACTCCCGCCAGGGATACGGACGTTTCAGGCCCAAGTCAAGCTCAGCTTGCGTATCCAGGCAAGCTGCTCCGTTTGAGGAAGGAGATCGCCTCGGGAACACCCTACGAGGAGATTACCCGCAGCTTCAACTCGCAGATCCGCTCAATATTCAGGGACGACGAGCTTGTCTCGCAAGAACTCATCAAGCTACCGGATGGACTCACCACGGCCTGCAACGAGCGCCTAAGGGACGATGAAGCGCATAACCGCCGGCCCAGAAAGCGCCGGGGCGACTATCTCTGCACCGATGAGCCCTTTGGCCTGCTCATCAAGGACATGACTGGTTCTCCGGGCTCCGGTGCAACGCTCTGGGAGCTCAAACCAAAATGGCTCATACAGTCTCCCTCGGCACCACCAGACGCTCGCCGGTGCCGCACCTGTGCTCTACGGGAGAAGAGACAGTTCGTGGCCAGTCGGGGAGCAGCCACGGACAAGAAACCAGAACAGATTCATCCCAAGAAGTCATTCTGTCCGTTTGACTTGGTCTCTAACAAGCTCGAGGACGTCCTGTCTGCGGTATCGGCCATCAACAACAATCCTGACGACGTTCGGCGAGTAGCTGCCTTCATACATCGAAACCCGACTCTGCTCAAGCTTCGTGACAGGCAGTCCCAGATGAACGCCGTCGGACTAGCGGGTATCCATGCATCGGCCGAGGAGAGAGCTGTCTCCATGACGCTAAGAGACTGCACGATGTTCGTCAAGGTAGGATTCTATACTTACAAAGCTGGATGAATAATTTTTCTCAAACCGTGTCATCTTTCCTCTTTCTCCAACGTTTATGTGTTTACTTTGTATCTGACGGGTGGGCTTGCAGGTTCCACGGAAGCACAACGAACCTTTTGAGCTTCGTCTGGGCGACCTTGACTTCAAGAGCGAGGATGGAGGCAAACTTCAATACTGGCAAGACACCGAGACCGAGCTGATCGAAGAAGGATGGTACTTGGGTGCTCACAGGAGTCAGGGCAAAAACACCGAGTGCGCCCTTGGACGCTAATTTGACTAGCTCCACGTTCTGACCGCAAATTCCGCCATAGGTCAGGCTAAATATAGCTCGCTGCATAGTGGTTTACTTGGTTCATGCCATCACCCTTTCATAAACTGGCTATACAAACTGTTTTATATCTATGAGTTTTTGTTTTTTTGTCTCAAACGCTTTGAATTGGCCAACCCCGTATCACGTGAATAATTTACTTACATAATCACATACATCATCGAACTGTTGTAATTGGGAGGTTGTCAAATCTGACGATAGTGACGGACGATGCGACAGGGAGGTGGTTTGCGAGCCGACATACCCTCGAGCAAGCCTGAACGGCGCATTATCTTAAGACTTTAATACTGTATCTTCCGAACTAGAAGGACAATGCGCAGCCTTTTACTTTTCTTATTACCATTTCCTCGTTGATATCAGTTAATCAAGATGCTGCCCCAGTATCACACCGTAATGACCTCTCCTCCGTCCTGAACCAGGTAAGTAAACAATAAGCTGTCTGATACTATGCTGCTACAGCCCAATTGACAGAACTTTTGTAGATCGTCCTATCCTCATCCGACACCGACTACCTTGACCAACTCATCCCTTCTATCCGCGAATACAGCCATGGCAACCGAACAACACAACTCCTACACTCCCTCACCAAATTCGCAGATGACCGCGAAGCGAAGATCGAAAGCATATGCAATTCTACACACCAAGACTTTGTCTTCTCCGTTAACCAACTTCTCCAAGTCCGCGAAGGAACCGTCAATCTCACGGAGGAAATTCTCGGGCTCAACCAGTCCATCCTCGCCAGCACAAAGCGCCTAGCCGAACAAAAGAAGGCGCTGGTCGAATCGCGCAGCCATCGCCAGAACATCGACGAGACCTCCAAGGCACTACAGGACTGTTTGGAGGTTCTACGTCTAGCAAACCAGGTCTATGAACTACTTGCTAAGAAGAACCATTATGCCGCGCTCAGGGCTCTGGATGAGTTACAGAATGTTCACCTCAAGGGAGTCACGCAATATAAGATCGCGGAAGTTATACAGCGGTCTGTACCGATGACGCAAAAGGCGATTGCGGATGCGGTCATGGCCGATTTGAATACGTGGTTATATCGCATTCGTGAAATGTCGCAGTACCTGGGTGAACTGTCGCTTTTCCACACGGATAAGCGAAAGGAAAGACTAACAGAGCGGAGTGAGAAAATACCTTACCTGTCGCGGTTTAAACTCAATTCAGCCATAGAGCTGGTATCTGATGAGATGGAGGAATTTGATTTACTTTATAATGATGATCTGCAGGTGGACTTCTCGCCCTTGCTCGAGTGTATGCATATACATCAATCTCTGGGCCAGATGGACAAATTCCAGGCTGAGTATGCCACCACACGAAGGCATCAGAAGGATCTGTTACTGCCTACCTCCATAACTTTGCTGTCAGAAGATGGCTCGAGTCTTCATACCTTGCTTGAAGAGATTGCTGGTTTTGCGTTGGTCGAGCGAGCTACAATGAAGAGAGTTCCTGAGTTGAGATCTCCCGTGGATGTAAGTGGCTTTTACTTATTATCTATCTATCTACCAAGCAAGGTAGCTAATCATATCACTTAACACAGGTCGAAGAACTATGGGATTCAATGTCTCAGACCGCTGTTGGGTTGATCTCAAAAGCGCTACCGACTGTCGATAACTCAGAGGATATTCTTAAGATCAAGAATCTTATTACTCTTTTTATGCAGACAATGAGTGTAAGCCTACCGACCCTCTTAATCACAATCTATAGCATGCTAATCTGGTTTTCCTGTCAGGCATTCTCTGTTGGTCCTTTCGATAGACTCCTTTTAACATTATTCGAGAAATATACCGAACTACTAAAGAGAAGGTTCAGCGATGATTTCCAAGAGGTGAGTGCTTCTTTTCTTTCTCTCTATATTGCTAGTTGCTTACTTTGTACCAGATTGTTCAAACAGATGACTACATGCCTATGCCTATCCGGAGTGACGAGGAGTATGACAAAGTTCTGAATGTCAGCTGGTATACTCCTGAGAAACCTCGAGAAGAACAAACGTAAGATGCCCTCCTATAACTCCTAGAATGCCTTGGTTCTAATGGCAAAGCAGATATCCTTGTGTTCTCCCGTTCTCACAGATGTATCCATTATGCTGCATCGATATCAGAAACCTTTTAAACCAGTTTTACTATTTCTCAGGGGACAACTTCAATCATCCAGACGTTATAGACGAAACTGTCCGAAGCGTACGTTCATGGCTTTCTCAGTTATCCAATTTGATTCCATCTACTAAGGTTTATTATGATAGTCACTGGACGAGCTCCTCTGCAACAAAGTATGCGAAATGCTCACGGAGCGCCTTGGTTCCCAATACCTTGGCCAAATAGTCCAAATCCTCATCAACCTAGAACACTTTGAAATCGCCTGCCAGGAACTAGAAGTCCTCCTCGCAGCGGCCCGATCATCCAACTCCGGCGAGGGTCCTATCGCCCTCAACGCCACGGAGAAATTCCGCATGAACAAAAAAGCAGCTGAGAAACGTATCTTCGAAGTCGTCAACTCGAAGATCGATGACCTTATCGAAACAGCCGAATATGAATGGAACGCGCCCAAGCTGCAGATGGAGCCAAGTAACTACATGCAGACGTTGACGAGATTCTTGTCGAACATAATGAACTCTACCCTTCTTGGCCTGCCCACGGAAATCAAAGAGCTTATCTATTTCGATGCCCTCAGCCATGTCGCTAGTAGGGTTATAGTATGTGTTTCGTTCCCCCTTTCCAGCTTGTCGCAGGTTGTACTTGTCTAACACTTCACCGCTAGGCCCTCCCCCTCGATCCTGAGGTCAAAGTAATCAACCCTAACGGGGTAGCTGCTTTGGCTCGAGATGCAGACTACCTGTCCAAATTCGTGGATAGTCTAGAAGTCCCCATCCTACGTGAAAACCTTGATGAATTACAGCAAACGGTCCAATTGATGATGGCCGAGAACACGGATGAGTATTACGATATTGCGGTGAGAAACAAGAAGTATGGACGCATTGATCCTATGAACGGACCTGTCTTGCTCGAAAAGTATGTGTTTCCCGCAGCATGAAAACTCGGTCAATGGCATCTTACACTGACATTCGAATAGGCTTTCTCGAGCAGTAGTACAAAGCCCAACCAAACCAGATAGCAAATTCAGCTTGTCAAATCGCTTTGGAAAGAAGTATTGAGCTGAGCCTAGCTGAGCGCCATCTCATGTCTCCAAACACAAACAACAGAGGGGCCTTTCTTTGAATATACACGTCGTTATGTACTATATATACCCGCCACGGTTGAAGCTACCTTCAGACGCCTCCCCGCCTTGCATTGTTATTAATATGCCCCTTTGCGAGATGTTGAAAACTGTACAAGAGAAGCCTTGGGATAGGACAGAGTAAATATGAAAGAAAGGGCGAGGAAGGGAAGAAGATGCACGGCTTGATGATACCAAATTCTTTTCCATGTAAAGGGGGACGGATAGGTGTGTAAACGAACAGAGAGAGCGGAGGAATAAGCAGTGGTGGGTAGGCGGGGCGGTAATGATAATGATAGCTCACACCCAGCAAATGACAATCAATACTTAATAACAACGCACATCTCTCAGTCAAGTCAACCGGACGTCAAGACGAAAGGGGGAGGGTGGGAAAGGTATCAAAACAGATGAATAGAAAGGGCAACGGAGGTGAGCGAGCTTAGAAGGACAGGTCATAAAAATAATAAAACGTATATAATTAAGGTTTCGTCCCACCAGGAGCTCCGTTTTGTTCTGCCCATAAATCCCAAAGAGCGATTGCCGAGTCACCCTTTTTGGATTCTACTTTGATAGTGCATCGACATGGTATGTAACATATGAATTGGAAGGAAAGTTCGGGGTGGTTCGCACTGACATCATCCAGAGCTCACCGGTTTGTTTTCGAGTTTTTGATCACTGTGAAATAGGTTAGGTATCAATACATTGGCCTTTGGAATGAATGGATGATGCAAGGGTACTCACCTGCTGAGGAGGTAACTGAGAATATCCATACATCTCGCCAAACATCTGGGGCTGGGGATGACCGTAGGCTGGGTCTGACTGTACTGCACCGCCGTACATAGGAGGCTGCTGCCGGTAGTCCTGTTCCTGACCGAGAGGATGCTGTCCCATGGCACCGTACTCTGGCGGGCCCATGGGGTGCTGCTGAGGTACACCTTGTGGCTGGGGTGGTAGCTGGCCTGGTCCTGGCGCCTGAGCAGCACCGGGAGCTTGGGGAGCTGAGCGTTTGGTATGAGAGGTAGCCTCTTCCCTTGGAACGATATCAATCAGGAAATCAAACATGTCTGACTTTGCCAATGCAGCTGCAATGTCCGACCGTTGCAAGGTACGTCGTTTGTTGTCTTCAGCATGTATCCAGGCGCGCATGGTCAGTTCGGTTATGAATACGTCGCAGCCTTTGGCGAACAGGATTGGTGCTTCGGCTGAAATCATCTTCACTTCCGGATCGGCCTTCATCACCTTTTTGATGCGGGCTAGCGGTAGCTGGTGGATTTTGTAGTCATGGTTATCTGACTCGAGGTGGTTGATGGTGTGCTGCCAGTATGTCGTCAAAATATCACGCGCAGAGCCCTGGAGGCCCTGGTTGACCTGTTCCGCCATAATTCAACGGTTAGCGCGCGTACTCCCAGAATAGCGAGGGTAGGATAGATATATATGTGCGACTCCATACATTTGCCCATGTACCTGCATATAGCTCTGGGACAGGCGCGTATCCTTGTGCAGACAGCTGGTCCATCAAAAACAGCCAATTAGTGTCCAGCCTCTCGTATATAAATATGTCAAGCACCAAACCATCTTGATGGAGAGGATTACTGCTGATCAAACGTGTGTATGTGGGGGGAAGGAGAACAGAGCGAGAGAGTATTCTCTTTCAGTTCTTTTGTTTGATTGAACATACCGCTGCGCTTGCGCCTGAGAGAGAAGAGCCGTGATGTTAGTATTTCCATGTTTACCATAATCAAGGAGCATAGAAGGGAGAAATCAGCGTGGACGAACCATAGTGGCCCCCATTCCGGGTGTCATATACCGGCTGCTGCGATTGCTGTGTCTGCGGCTGTGACGACGCTGGCTGGTGGTGCATGAGGTTCTGGCGAGCAGATTGCGATGGCTGGCCCGCAGCCTGGTTTTGTTGCTCCATATGTCCTGTCTCTGTCTGTTTGTTTCCTGTTGCGTGTATCCGTGACGCCTCTCTCCGTCTTCTCGTCTGCGTCCTGTTGCGAGTTGCAGGTGGTACACTCGGTAGCTGGCTGGCTGGCAGAGAGACACCGGGGAGCGAAGAAGGGCCTCGCGCAGAAAGGACGGACTGATCGAGTGGCGGTGAAAAAGAGCCGTAGGGGAGAAAAAAGAAGAAGGCCCTAGAGCGTCTACCGTGTTGGGTGGGGAGAGTGAAAAGAGAGAAGAGAGAAAGACGCAGAGAGACGGGATGCTGCGCCCTCGAGCTAGATAGCAGGTAGTTATATAAGGAGACGACGGGGAGTGCGCCTTGAGCTGAGGACGGGCTAGTATTCTTTTTTCCTCTCTTCTCTTTTTCTCTCTCTGCCTTTCTCCGTCGCGATGGCAAGGATTAGTTTTAGGGGGAAGCAGAGGAAGAGGAAGAGACAGAAAGAAAGCTCGTTCTTTTTGGTAGCTTAGGAGGAAAAAAATGCTGAACCCCAAAGGCACGACCAGAGGGAAGACTATATAGTTGTTATAATAAGACGAACGATAGTTAAGTTATATAGCTAAGGCTACATAGCCCCAGAGAGGAGCAGTGTGTGTCTGTCTCGCAGGTACCTGCTTCCCAGTGTAACCAAACACCCCGATCTCTCGATGACATCGCTGCTCCTAAGCATCGCGTCCAGACGATGACGGCACTAGATCTTCCCCCATACGAACGATAGACATTTCAGACAGCGGCCTCTCATAAACAACACGTCCCAGAGCCCCAATCATGGACGGCGAACCCAGTCAAGGATTGGAACACAGTCTCCGACAACCACCAGCTGGTCCTCGAATCGGATGCGCTGTCGGCCCCCTTGGCAGCCCTATCCGCCCAAAGATTGGAAGATTGGGCGCCAATGAAGCACCAGCGAAGCGTTGCTTGACTCCCCAAGGGCCTCCCCCCCAAGCTGTCTCCAATCGTGTGCTGCGTCGCGTGTATTTCGACGTTCGGCCGTCATTTCAGGCCCCCCTTGGGGCTCTGATGCGTTGTTATTGGGACAGTTGGGCGCAAAGGGGAGTCCCTCGCCTGCATTGCAGCTGGGCAATCGGGTGGCGTGGTCGCTTCGGTCGTCTACGGCGGGCCCCGCGAGATATTCGATGCCCGCAGCATCAGGCTGCCAGCTCCCTTCTTTTCTCCTTCCGCCTGTTCTGTTATCTCGCTACTCCGTAGTCTCTCTCTCTCTGCTTGTCTCTCAGACGAGCTGAAGAAGAAAACATCCTTGAAAATACGAAAAAAACAAGTTCCTTTATCCTAATTGGGCAATTCCACTGAATATATCACGTGATACTCTCATATTTAAACTTTACTCGCACAAGAGAAAAATTCGTTTTTCTTTTCTTCTTTTTCAATTTTATGTCAATAGAAGAAGAGGAAGAGAAGGAGAGTCGAAAAGAACGAGAAGAGCTGTGAGATGGCCTGTAGAGCTATCTGAACTTCTTTCTCAAGCTGCACAAGGACGGGTTGAGCCGGACGCCATGTCTGTTGAAGTGGTGATTGTGAACCCGGCGTCGAAGCCGCAGAAGGATGAACCGGAGGAGGAGCTCTCTGAAGAGCAGATCCAGAGTCTCCTGCTAGAAGCTGAAACAAGGCTGAAGAAGGCCTCGGGTAGCTCCAGCAAGCAAGACGGTGATGGTGATGGAGTCGTCTCCCTCGCTACCGGACAAGAGGTGGACGACTCGGCCTCGCGGCCAAGGTGTGTACTTCCTGCAGTCCTCTCTTGCTGATATAAAAACGCCTTTTATACTAATAATACACCCTGCAGAGTCCCGAATTTAAACCATAAGCAAACAATTCAGCCGTATGTGCAGCAGTCTAATAGCATTGCTACTATCGATAAATCCAGATTGGTCCCAGATTCGGCAAAGAAGCTTGCTGAGACTATTCACACCGTCGAACAACCGTTTGTCAAGGTAAGCCACCACTCACCGTTCTACCCGCACTATTCCCCCCGAGCCTGTTATGAGGAAAAATTATCCCAAGCCTTGTGCTCTTGATGCAGGTTTGTAGTCCGTCTTGGATTATGCTGCTCCCATGAAAGTTTCTTTTTAATCATAGTTACTCTGAACAACACTCGATTACTCTTTACAATTCATTTTACACCCTGTTTGACCACATGCTAGCTGGACATCATGCTAACGAGTCATCAGAACAAGGAAAAACCAACCTCAGGGCCAAAGTGGTTCAACCTGCCCAAGACTGTAGTTACTCCCGAGTTAAAGCGGGATCTTCAGATCCTCCGTATGAGATCCGTACTTGACCCTCACCGCCACTACAAGAAGGATAATGGCAAGGCCAGTATACCAGAGTACTCTCAGGTTGGTACCATCATTGAAGGCGCCACCGAATTCTTCAGTGCCCGTATCACAAAGAAGGAGCGCAAGAACAATTTTGCACAGGAAGTAATGGCTGCAGAGAAAGAGAGTGGCCGTTTCAAGCGCAAGTATGCAGAAATTCAAGCTGCCAAGACCAGTGGGAAGAAAGCACATTACAAAAAATTAAAGGCAAAGCGAGCCAGGCCAATGAAATGATTGCATTGCCCTTGGGTTTGTCTTATCTAACCCTCTATCTATATATCTATGACCCTTTGGGATGTGACGGCGGCGGCAGCCTGCTGTCAACTCAAGGAAGGGTGATATCACAACGCCAGATCGCCGTGTTCGCCCAATCATTGAGCGAACATATCCTCAACGGCTTGCGAGACAAGTTTCTATGTGGTTGGGCAACAAGGTTAGCTATCATATCATTGGGCTTGCTTAGTTGTTGATAGGTTTCGTGTGCTCTGCGTACCTGCATGTCTGACGCAGCCTGTCGACCAGCTTCCAGCACTTCCTCATGGTTGGCCTTGCCTTCATCGATAATGGTGTTGAGCTCTTCTGTCGTCGACTTCTGAAGCAGATGGTCATCACCACGAGGTACCGGTGACAAGACACAGTTGTTCGTCACCAGACTCAGGGCCAGCACCTTCATACCACAGTGCCGTGCCACAATGATTTCCGGTACAGTCGACATTCCAACTGTATCAGCACCCAACATCCTCATCATCCGACACTCAGCTCGAGTCTCGAAGCTGCATTTTCACCGGGGTTAGCTCTCTACTTCTCGGCGGCAGCCACGTGATGAACATTTGTCTCAGGGTTAGCCTCACCTTGGGCCAGAACAGTATGCATATACTCCTTCATGGATGCGTCGCTTTGACTCTGCGGCCACAACTTTGTTCCAGGCTCGATGAGCTGTTCGGCGCAAATCTAAATCATATGCATCGGAGAGCGGCGGGAAGCGAGTTCCGAACTCTTCGGCATTTGGTCCTCGCAGGGGGTGAGCTCCCGACACGCCGGCAAGGAATATGTGCTGCAATGGAATGTGATTTTTAGTAACAGATTCCAATATTGCCCGAGGCTGTGGAAAAGAAGAGACACATACATCGTTGAGCACGACCACGTCTCCTACAACATAGTCGGGGTTCAGCCCTCCACATGCATTTGTTACTATCGCTGTCAGCTAGTCCGGCCCTTCATCATTCAAAAATAACAATTATCCTTACCAACTACTGTCTCAACTTCAAGGAGCTTGAATATACGCACTGGCAGTGTAACCTTTTGCATTGAATGTCCCTCGTAAAAGCTAGTCTTCGTCAGCAACATACTCATCACCATCATCGTCATCTAAAATTGGACGCCTTACTGGGCTCTCCCAACCATCAATACGGCCGGGATCTTAGATCCTAGATACCCAAAGACAAGTTTTCCCAGATGTCCCGGAACTGGTACAGTATCACTTTGTCAGATCGAAAATCTTCAAAACCATAGCGTTCACACACATCACTTACCAGTCGAGCTGGGGAAATTGGGGATGGAGCCATAATCAAATTCGTGCTTTGTCTTGGGATCTATAGTATCAGCAAGACCACCAAGACCAGAGCCGCAAATAATAGCAACTCGAGGCTTTTGGAATTCCTCTGGTAACTGAGGTCTCAGATATTCTACAGCAGCCTGTGCCTGCCCAAAAACAGATGCTTCTGCCATAATTATCTGCTGTCTTTTCGATTGTTCCTCTGAACTCGCTAGTTAGTTGAATTATGCGTAAATATTAGTGCCTGCAGGTTCTTTTATACACTCTAAACAGAGCTTATGTCTCCGCAAGAGCAAAGGCCAGTAAACAGACAATATGAACTTCTTCCGCTTCGAACAACAAGAGCAACAGAGGCTTTAATATATAATTATCGGTGAAACGATTTTTTAACGGAACTCCCCGCGGCCAAAACGATAGAGAAAAAGCCTGATGCTCATTGGCTAAAAACAAAAATATGATTATGTAATATTTCGACATGAAAAATCGCTGTTGAAGCAGAAGTCGAATTGAACAAAGTGACGAGCAACGAGATAGCAGCAAACACACAGCCAGCACGCTCACAATGTTCTCGCCGTCCTCTTTCCGCTCCGTGCTGGGAGTCACCAAGCGAATCAAAGTAAGTTTTGCCTTGTCAACAACATCTATGACAGCTCAATGGCTAATTGCAGCATGTCAACAGGTCACCAGTCTCTTCCGTCCTCTCTCAACTTCCTCTTCCTCTTCCGATATACCTCCAGAGATCCTATCAGCTATACAGAAGGGAAATGCGGAATCGAACTCCGGAGCCCCTGAAATAAAGTGAGATTGACGGCTGCCGATATCTGACTTCTTTACATCGTCCGTATCAAGAAATATCAAAGCTAACCAACGCTCCCTACAGGCGAGAGGTCTTTACCGAACCCGAACCAGAGGCTAAACCACAAGAATGGTAAGCCTTTTTGCTCCGGTGTTGGTCGCATGCACTAAACAGCTGCTCGCTCGTTTCAATTTTACCGCGCAACTGAGCTCGGCTAATCTGGTATCTTAACCTTCCCAGGAACGACCGATTAGAAGCCTACAAGGACAAATTCCGCTTGCCCAAGGCCGTCCAGGCAGCATACATGAAACCCCTAAAGCGGAAACCTGAATACGGTCTGCCAGTTTGCAACCTACAGCTCCGCTCGTACAGCGCACGCCACGTCGAATTCTTCGCTGATTTCGCTCTCCGCGCCGCCTATTACCTTAACATCCCCGCGACCGGACCCGTACCGCTACCACGCATAGTTGAGAGATGGACCGTCATACGAAGTCCCTTCGTACACAAGAAGAGCAAGGAGAACTTTGAACGTATAACTTGCCGACGATTGATACAGCTTCAGGATGGCCACCCAGAAGCCGTCCAAGCGTGGTTGTCCTTTTTGAGAAAACACGCCTTCCATGGTGTTGGTATGAAGGCAAATGTGTTTGAGCATACTTCCCTAGGTATGTCATTTTCCCTGCTGATATCTGAAGTTAAGAAAGGGATGTTTGGTGCTAATGCTATGTTATAGATGTTGGAAAGGAAATGGATACAGCGGCTAAAAGCTTTGAGAAGGCTCTTGATGAGGAACTTGTACATTTTGGAGCAAGGAAGGACGCCGAATTCCCAGAAACCCTTGTCTCTATGCTGGAACGAGAATCACAGACGAGAACTGCCGCACCACTCACGGAGGGACGAAAGGGTTGATATGGTTATATCTTCGCTTTTGCTTCCTTTTGCTACATTTTTTAATCTGTAACATATGACACTTGATATAGGATGGGTGCCGTGTTTCTAGCTGGCTGTTTTTAGATCATTTATCAGGACCTGTATACTTATCAAACCACTTTTCTTGGTCACCATACATCCTTCATTCGTACCCATAGGAAGCGAGCTCTGTATACAGAGATTCTCCCTAAATACGTAGTTAATTATGGCAGTTATTAATTGATATCGATCAATGTTGCTCTACCTCTAAATTTAGCCCTCATCTAACTACCACGTGATACATGAAGCTGGGCTTCCCAAAGCTTTCAACGCTTCAAACATTGGAAAGTGACACAAAGCTTCAAGATGTTCACCACGACGTCTCAGAAATCTCTTCTGAGATGTTGCAGGCAATATATACCATTGAAATACTCAGGGAGCGCTAAATGCAGTTCCCAATGGCTTCGGTGCAGCTCCACGACGACCGAACCGGCACAACCGAAGGAGACAGTCATCTTCTCCGGCATTCAGCCCACGGGTATCCCACATCTCGGTAACTACCTTGGAGCCTTACGCTCCTGGGTAGATTTACAGAATTCCTCCTCGCCGGATACGAAACTGATATATTCGATCGTCGATCTACATGCGCTCACATTACCGAAAGCTGCGGAAGATTTGCGACAATGGCGGAAAGAGGCCCTAGCTGTGTTGTTGGCGATAGGAATAAAGCCGGAGAGGGCTACACTATTCTACCAATCTGATGTTTGTCTTACGTCTGCTCTCTGGATTGGGAATGGCTTTTGGGAGAAGGTTGCTGATAATCTGCTGTCTGGGATGGTATAGGTGCCGGCGCATTCAGAATTGATGTGGATTCTAAGCGTAAATGCGTCAACGGGATATTTATCGAGGATGACACAATGGAAGGTAATTAGACGAGTCTCCAAGTTGCCACGGACTGAAGATCTAACAATGTTTTGTTATGACAGAGTAAATTGAATCTACCCGAGAATGCCAAATTCGATCTTGCTGCGCGGAATCAACTAAAACTCGGCCTCTTTTCATACCCAGTACTACAAGCCGCAGATGTGCTTGTCCACCGGTTCGTCACTCGATATATCCAATCTCAAGGAGACAGAATAGCAATTGACCATTGACTGTGAGAAACAGGGCAAATTACATACCCGTCGGAGAAGACCAGAAGCAGCATATTGAATTTGCACGCGAAGTAGCCAATGGCTTCAACCACTTACACGGGCCTGTCCTTACAGTGCCGGAAGCAATGATCTGTGAGATTTACCCTAGAATGCGGAATGTTGCACTGAACTTATTGCTAATGTATGATTATGCAGCGCCTGCCAAACGAGTGATGTCCCTGAAGAATCCAAAGCAGAAGATGTCCAAATCCGACGCAGACATTAAGTCCAGAATTCTCGTCACCGACACACCAATGGAGATCCACCATAAGATCCGCCTGGCACTGACAGATGCAGGCTCATCCATAACGTACGATCCCGAGAAGAGGCCAGGTGTCTCTAACCTGCTTGAAATGTTCAGCCACGCCGAGGCCCTGATATCTGGCCCCTCAGGTACTGGACGAAGCCCGACTGAGATAGCATTGGAATACGAGAACAGCAGCTTCAAGGCCCTCAAGCAGGATCTGTCCTCCAAGTTGATTGAGATGTTGAGTTCAATTCGAGAACGGTACGTTGAAATCATGGAGGAAGATGCGAAAGTGGAGTCGTCTGGCTCGTCTGATAAAGAGAGCTATCTGAGCATGGTGGCTCGAAAGGGAGCAGAGGAGGCTTCTGCCAACGCGGCGATTACGATGAAGCAAGTCAGAACTGCAATTGGGTTATCATAAGCCTGGGTATTTCCACTACAGTCGCCATGTACAATATAGAACCTACCTAATAGAAATATGCGTTCACCCTGCTCGCTTCCCTCCCTGTTCTATAAATACCATAAGGGAAATGGAGAGCGGGGGCCTCAAGAAACCTTTAAGTCCGAAGTCTACGCGTGAAGGACTTTAATTTTCGCACTTAAGGGCTTTTTAAATCCGCTTTATTTCCCCTCTGGTAATTAGATCATTATTATTCAATATGACGGGGCCGTAGTTTGACCCTACCGTAGTCAGGATCCGCCAGCTTAACAATAATTACAGGCTCAATATATACAATTTTTCCTATATAAAGTACCATTTTTAGAAAATTTATCTCCCACCTCTATAAACTTCTAAATAGTAGGGAAAGTATTCTTTTTTAAATATAGATTCCAAATATCTTGACAATAAATACGATTTTAATATAGAAGGGGGGGGGGGGGGTTAATATCCATCCTCTTTTTAGAGGCCTATTTCTAGAAACTCGGTATGATAAGCTATTTTTATTCTAAGAGGAAGGGGGATAGGTTACTTAGGGTCTTAAGGTATTTTTAATACTATCTAGAAGCTCCTAGTGATGTTGGGCGGGAGGTAACAATATCAAAATTTATTTTTATATAGAAAAAAGTACTTTTATTCATTAGGTCAAACTAAGGCCCGGTTAGGCGATATAGTCAGTCATTCTCGCTTCAAGCTTGAAACCTTGGAATGGATTCACCCTACCGGGGCAGTCAGCTTAATTGTAATGAGATTATTTACATCTTTTCTTATATTCTATATTATTCTCTCTTGCCTACTTTTACTTGTCTCTATACCCCATTAGTTTACTCTGCCTTTTAGCTTGACGGATAGCAAGATGAGCAAATCTCCAGAAGACAGTGGGCATCTAGAGGTCTCTCCAGCCTGCCATCCATTAGCAGTTGGAAATCCAGGTGACGCACGACCATCTCCCGAACAGATCTCGACGGTTGTCTCCATTCTTATAGAAGCCGGTATCTGCTGTTGTTTCGTTGAAGAGTGGGCTCTTTACTTTGGTACTTCGCGTTTGCCCAATGTAGGTGTCACTCCTATTATGCTCTAAGGCCGATACTCAATTTGCCTTTCAATATTAGGACCGAGTTTTGTGTATTCCCGATGAGCATCATGAACTTGCTGTCAGGCTTTTTTAAGTCACATAGTGACATCCTGGAACCTTGTGGGCCACTTCCACTGAGAGCGCCAGATTCACTAAACCACAAATACCCTCGATTCAAGCCTATTGGAAGGACCGATTTCTGGCTGCTGTTGCCAGCAAGCTACTGTCATATTGTCTGCGTTCCTGAAAACTTAGAGTGGAGCAAAGGTCAGTATATGTATATCTGTTATTGAAGAAAGCACATTCTGACTTGGCTAGGCAATCTTCCTTACCCAAAGCTCCAAGTGTATGTACAGAGCTTGATTGACACCAAAAACTTGGGTGATCTAGAAGATCTTGTTGATGGAATGGATCTCTCAGAGGAATGGGGGGAACAAAACCTCAGTCTTGAAGGTCATGCTGATAGCAACTGGTCCGAAAATTGCATTGAAGCTCTTATTGCAGATGGCACCGAAGAAATGTTCATCTTTATTGACCCCAGTCCTACCCCTCAGAGAGAGATCTGGCAAAAATGTGTTCGGAACAAGCAGAGACGTCTGGGTTGGAAGTATTCTCCAGAGATATATGCAACCAGGTACCGACGCCATGGGTCGAAGGATCCCCGTGAGCGTTATCGATATGCTATGTAAGGAACAGAAATCGAAAGAATTGTGCTAGAGCTTAATGGTGTATCTCGGATCGTACTAGCCAAAGGCTCTGACATGCTAGTGATCGAGAGGCCGACGATAGCCCTGTTACTGAAGCCCAGAAAATATCTTTTCTACACACATGGAATATTGTTTGAGAAAGGAGGTAGCATGATTGAAAGTGAAAGATAACGGTGAGGCAGTTTCGGGTTATTTTATTTCTTCAGCGGATAGACCTCCATGACTCCGCAAGAGATTTAATATCTTATCGAAATGACACAGAAAATTCTCACATTCTTCATCCACCCCCCGAATTATGTTAGCTTGTTAAGTTCCATGCATTGGGAGTTTGATATTAAACTTACCTGGCTTGGAATAAAATTGTGCTGAGTACTTCTTGAGGTTCCCGGTGCTTTCTGCTATCTTGTCAAGTGGTGTTTGACGACTGTTGTTTTGGCCGTTATCACTGACATTCTTAATAATGCGAATTGCATTCACATCCGCTCCCGCCATCAACAGGACCGTGCAGCTTTCGAAAAGGCCGCCACCAGCCATATAATGCAACAATGTCCCACCCGCCAAATCCGCTCGGTCAATTGCATGGCCTGCTAAAGGGATATTGCGCGCTTCTTTCGCAATGCCGGTTCTCAAAAGTGGCAGGATGTGCTTGCGCAGCATAGCTGCTATTTTCCGGTCAACAGTGTCCATTTCATGCATCCAAGGAGATGCGAGAAGCGCAAAAACTGTCCGACAGTAATCCGGTAATTTGTGAGCGTTAGCAGGTTTCCCGCCGGGATGCTCTATCCTGTCCAAGGCATTGGCACCATGGTCGAGGAGCGTATCGACAAGATCCACTTGGCCTAATCCCGCCGCATGAATGACTGCGGTATCTCCATGTTTATCACGAACATTGATACAGGGCTTCAAGGGCAGGAGTAACCCTAGAACCCGCAACCGATCCTGTGAGATGTACACCTCTCCTATTGACATTATAGGGGTCCGGCCCTCGGAGTCAGGAACTTCAATGTCCGCCCTTTCGTCTAGTAAGCACTGTACTACGTCAATATCGCATCCTCTGATGGCAAAAATCAAGGGACTACAGCAGATTCTGCTCGAGCTTCCCGGAGCGGACAGTCTGTTGATATCAAATCCATGGCTGAGAAGGACGCCGATAGTCTCGCGGATGGATTTCATTTGAGCTGCATGGGTACCACGCATAAATCTGTCATTGAAGTAAGTTGTTTCGCTGATACGGTACCATTCCTTGACGTGAAGTTTGTGCATCGGGCCATAGCCCCTATCATCTGTGTCATTGACACGCACGGAGGATTGACTGGCTAACAGGAGATCAAGAATCGCGTGGTTCCAATCCCAGACGGCGATGTCGATGGAACTTGCCCCTGTATGATTAGTTATAGGCTCGTTTGTGTCATCTTCGTTGTCGTCGTTTCTATTGCGGCCAGGAAGAGGTCGTAATCGATCGCGGACGTATGGCGAAGCTCCGTTTGCGAGAAGAGTTTTGACAGCCTCTGCGCAAGAGAACTGGACCGCCCAATGCAAAGGTGTACCCACTGGCAACACAAAAGGGTAATGAAACATTTTGATGCGCTGCGTGCACAAAGAATTGATGTTAGCACCACGGCTAATCAAACCCTCTGCAATCTTGGGAATATCCAATGGTTCAAATACAGATAACCAATGGAGACACGTTGGCCCATCCGAGTCTGGATGTATAGATGCATCAGCTCCCAGGGACAAGAGGAATAAGACTGTCTCTGAGGATCCACAAAGACATGCTCGATATAGAGGTGTTTCTCTCAGATTATTCGATATGTTTACATAACCTGGCGTAAGAATATCCTTGAGTGCCAGGGTTGCTTTTGGACTTGCAGAAGATGCCAGCACATGAATGATACAATCTCCCCTTGGATTTAGAGGTTTGTACGGTGAAATACCCGAAGTTCTATAGCCTTCAACTTGTTTGGCCAGAGTATCTGGATCAAGCTGGCTGTAGTACGAGTTATACCCCCCTGATTCTCGGAACGAACGGACTGAGGTGTTGAATAGAACCGGGTCGATTGCCTGAACCTCACTGGTTAGGAACAAAGCACCCGTGTGGATTGAATCAGAGAGCCATTTTCTCCGGTTACATTCAAGATCCGGGTCAATTTTCTTCTGGAAATACTCGTGGATCCGAAATATAATAGCTTGTGCTGGCTGTACACCTTCTCGAGCGGCCCTGTCGAGGAGTGCCAGAATCTTATCTTTTTGCTGTGGGTCATGAACCGCCCGAGATATTTCGCCGAATCTACCAAGTCTAAATTCTTCATGACTTAGAAAGGCCGCGAATGCCAATTCGGGAGTTAAGAGATCTGGGTCACTCAGAAATGGTTTTATATCTGGGAACTCCCAGTCAAAGCGACGGCTGAAGAACTCTGGCCCAAGTTCTACATATTGATCAAAGTCAAGATCACTACCAAACAAAAAAAAAATGGTTAACTAATTGTCTGCAGTTTGTTCAATACTGTTTATCACAGTCAGATATTAATTAGATGGAGACGATACATACCTTATGTCCACCTCCTCAGAGTCGCCATCGCCCATCCAACCTTGGAGGGTTGTCACACGCCTTGTTGGATCCTGATCAAGTAGTTTGAGTATCACATGTTTGGTTTTGTGAAGTAGGCTCTCAGGAATAACTTGGTGACACTCCTCAAAGTTGGCTAGCGCTACGGAGACGGCGTCATGACTTTCTCCGCCAGAAGGGGGTCCGGGTAAATTACATAGCAGACTCCAAATGAGTAGACCGTACGAATAAACATCAACCGCACTGACAAAAGCCCGGTCCAGTGCCTCACCGTGGTCGTGGAAGCGTCTTAATTCTGGCGCACGCCAGCCAACGGTTCCTCTTCCTCGAATGATCTCATCTTGAGAAAGGTCGCCCCCGCCACCAAAATCGGCTAGTTTTCCTCTACACTTCCCGCCTGGATAGAAGATGAGGATGTTTGACGGTTTCAAGTCCCCATGCACAAATCCAACTTCATGCATCGCATCTAGACCGTTGGCGACGTCAAGTAGGATGGACTGCCGGTCGGTCATTGACAAATCGGGCTGTGTCCTCAAGATGCTCTCGAGATCACCATCCGCAGCTTCGAGAGCAAGAAAAGGGGGCTGGTGCCAGATGCTGGTGTCAAGTCCCCAGCCCATCAAGTGGACAATGTTTGGGTGATTCCTGAGCTTGGGATGGCATAGCACCGAAAGCTCAGTAATCAGGTCGCGCACATGTCGTCGCACAGCCGTATTAGACAGGCTGAGTTTTTCATTTGGATCAAGAAAAAACTTGGGCACTTTCGAAACCACGTCGTGCTGCTCTCCAAGGGTAGCTTCAAATGTGACCACCTCCTTGTTCACCGTGAACTGCGCTCCTGAGGCAATAAACGAGCGAATACCCACGTCGTAGCAGCGCGGCACATTGAATCTCTGGAGGAGGAGGGCAAACTCAGTTGTGATAGCAACCTCGCTGGCATTGTTTGGTGCATTTGGACTAAGAACACTCCATATTTCCAGATCAGAGTGGGCTATCGATAAATCGGTGATGAACGCTTGGATGTGAACATCCACATCAATGCTAATATCTTCAGGCATTCCCACTGCTTCGACGGAAGTAACAGCATCGGCATGACGAAGCTCCAGGGAACGCAGAGCCCCGCGTTAAGCGCCAACACAAACGCGACGTTGATGGTTACACCCAATTTGGCGTCGATGAGGGGCTTATCTGCCGCGGCTCCTTATCTGAATAGTTAACTACCCCTAGGTACGGTCTTTAATGAGATTGATTATTAAACGCGCGTTACGTTGCCTTAAACAAGCGACTTTTATTCGTTCGTCTAATAACTTAACAGGCAACTGTGCTGCACACCTATGTTGCAGGCTGCCCTAAAGAGGGAGGGACCACTCGGTTGATAGCTACATACCTCTCAGTGTCCACACGCCGCATCTGCGAATTTTAAGCGGACCACGGACTGGTACCCCTCTAGATCGTCATTGGGAATTCAAATAATGGCGGAAGTTATCCTTGGGGTTGCTGGCCTGGCAATCGGGGTCCCAGGCGTACTCGACATTGTGCAGAAACTCGGCAAGGAGTTGAAGCAAAGAATCAAAAGATATGATCCAGACCACAAAAAACTGACCGACCTCATAATTCAAACAAACCAGTCACAGTCCCATGAAATGATGCATTACTTTGTGAGCGAGGGAAATGCGATACCAGAGGACCTTCAGAGCGAGTTGCTGGCGCTCTTCCAGGCGCTACGCAGCATCTACGAGGAACTTCTGGCCGTACTTCCTCCTGACCCGACGAATTACAAGTTGAGCGAAAAAGGGAAGCGTAGGATCGATGCAGCTGTCCGCAAGCTCGAGGATTGGAATGAGCGTTTTCTAAAAAGAGCAATCGTTTTTGTGCTTTTTGGACGTCATGTTCGCGAGCCGGATTCGTTGAAAGATCCTAGTGCTACTGAGAACGAAGGGGGACTTCTAGGAGTAAAGAAAATTGAGCGACTGCGGGACGCTGTTGAGACGACATTGAGCAAGAGCAGATCACCATCACAGCAACTTTCGATAGTAGACCCGGAACCAGATGATCGCAATCCCTTGGCTTTCTCATCGCTTCAGTTATGCCGACCACGGGATCCAGCTAGGAGGCCTTTTTTGGCGGAGTATCGAACTTACAGTGACGACGCCAGCGAGAGGGATATCCAAGGCCAACGGAAGATAGTACGCGAGGTGGCGGCGGTTTTGCACGAAGCCGATCCCAAAATGATGGGAGTTTTACATTGTCATGGCTTCTACTGGGACGCCGCGCAGAACCGTTTTGAGCTTCGATTCCATTTCCCGCCGGGCTTGTCAAGACCAAGAACTTTACTAGATCTGCTTTGTGACCCAGACACCCAGAAGCGGGGAGCTAAGCATCCCCTTAACCATCGCATCCGTCTGGCCAAAAGTATTGTCTCCGCGGTATTTGTCCTGCACTCAGCAGATCTCGTGCACAAGCAAATCCGGCCAGACAACATCGTCGTCTTCGATCAGGAAGTCGATAATACTTCTGACTCGGACCAAAGGCATCAACAATACCCTTATGTCTTGGGTGACCCGTTTCTGTTGGGATATGATGCCGTCCGTAAAGCAGACGCGGCGTCCCTGATGCTGCATGTGGAAGACTGGAAGAAGAACATTTATCTGAGCCCCGATCGGCATCGACTCCAACCGGGCGACGAGTTCCGCATGGAGCACGACATATATAGCCTTGGAGTTGTTTTGCTAGAGATCGCGTTCTGGGCATCTTTCCAGGATCGACGATCCCCTAGTATAGGGCATCTCGTTTGGCACGATTCTAAATCTCTGCGGTCTCCGGAGCAATTGAAGCAGGTTTACCTCTCCTTGGCTTCTGGTCCTGTGGCACGGCTCATGGGGCAGCGATATGCTGACGTGGTGCGGGCATGCATCAATGGCCTGGAGGACAAAGTCCAAGAGAGATCCCTGGAAGATGTTGATGGGATAATTGTTGGGACTGCATATATTACTGAGATTATTAGAGGACTCGAGGAAATAAGGCTCTAGAGTTGACGAAGTCTCTGTACTTATTGGATGCAGCCACCCAGGTCTCAGACATTAAAGAGCTAGGCGGAAAAGAAAATAGATCACGCTGGACTGGATGTTTGTGCTAAGTATATAAACTCTTATGAATATGGATACTGATGTCCAACATCTATTCAGAGAATGACATTCCACTCCAGACCATACCCGCCGGCAAAAGCGGCTAGTTGGTGGGCTTCAAAGTGAAAACCCTCTCTACTCCACTTGGTTCCCGCAGGAATTGATTCTTGAATGATAGCACTAGTAGTGTTCTGTCAACCTAGATTGACTGACTTTGCTTGTGTAGAATGGTGACTTTGAGTAACAGAAAATTGGCCAGTTTGGTGAGTTCGGCTTTTCCATGTGGTGCACTCCCATCTATCGATTTTTATCATTTTCCTTACGTCGATTGATACCAAGCGCAAACACAAATGTAACGTCCCCATCTGAATTATTCAACTACCAACAAGTTTTATTCGAAACACTCGCAATAGATGGACCAGATGTATTTGAGTTAGGCTCTTCGTTATGAGAATATCGAATGAGTGGCAGCTTCATGTGGTCGAGAAGGCAGCTTTGCTATCCAGAATCTGCAAAGAGTGGAGAGAATTCGCACGAAAATGGGATAATTCTGGTGTGCTCAGCTTCCAGGACGAGGCAAAGGTCGCATTTTCGCTTCTCAGGTAGCGATTCACACCCTTTCCAAGGGTGTCTTTCAGTCTCCATGGTCTGGAGTAGGTGCTCCTGCCCCTGATATTGGCGTTATCTTGTTCCACAGGGTAGGCTTGACAAAAGGTCTTCCGCTGGGGTTCTTCTGCTGTTGTGTATTGACGCCGTGGTATGCAGTATGGATGGTAGGTAATTTGCCTAGGTAGGCCCCTATAGCTCTTCACTGTCAAGCGAAAGGTATCAATCATCATCAAAATCACTTAGTCATGATAGTGAAGCAAGAAATTCTTGTCTTCCACCGTATATGTATCGTCATTGCCTAGAATAATATTAGTTCTTGAAGGTTTCATTTTAATAAATACAAGTAGTGCATTGAGATGTCAAAGTCTCGTCATTTTCACTAAGATATGCAGCCCTTTCGAAGGCGGGCTTAGGCTACCCCTTTCTTCTTCTTCTTCTTCTTCTTATTCTTCTTATTCTCTCTTATCTACTTAATATACTTGAAGATGGAATAGTTATTGTCCCCACCCACCTTAGCTAGTTAGTTATCCGGATATTTCAATTTTCAATAAGCAAACCACTATATGGGATCCTGCACTTATCGGTCCAGAACATCCCGGTCGAAGTCCAGCCCAGACCGTGACAACTTGAGAAAATTTTGCATTCCCTGGAGCCCAGGTTCGAGAATCGTGTCTGCCTTGACGATGCGCCACCTGTCGCTTTGACAGCTCTCGTTTCACTTCATGTCAAGATGTCCTGAGAGCGAGCCAGCCCCTCCCTCGCCCGAGTCTGTCCCCCTGGCTTGCAAACGTAAAAAGGCCCAAGGAGTCGGAGGCCCAACTGTCTCCATCGGACAGAATCATGAACATTCGATCCGATGATGACAAATTCGTCCGTGGGCAGGCAGCAATTTTTCTCAATCGATACGGAATTATTACATGGAGAAACTATTAACTAGTTAACTGCCTAGTGGAATGTAATGGAATTGAGGAAGGAAAGATTGCGGCGCAATTGATCTGTAATCGCGCTCTTATCCCCGAGAACCAAGCATCGATCGATATCAAAAACAAAAAGCATCAAGCCACCTCGCAAGGCCCAAAAATCCAATCCGCCGTCCTTGTTCCATCTTGTTCCTTAGTTGACTAGTGGATGCGAGATGACGTCTGCCCTCCCACGCTATTCGCTGGCTCCGGTATTACCGGACGAAACGACCTGCTTCTGTCGACTGATGAGTTAGGCAGCATCAATCGATTAACTTACGATTGACTCGACGAGACGAAGCAATTCGGTTTCTTCTGGCGTGACTCAGGATGAGTGATAGAGTTAGCTGTTCTTGTTTAGCTAAGGTAGCTAGTTACCTATGATCAGTGTTAGGTAGGTACGGAGTAGTTACGCCCGGCATCAAAGCGTTTGTTCTTCCTCCCTTTTTTGCAAAACGTCGGTATCTTAACTGAGCAAGTATGTAAGTATCCGAAGGAGGAAGAGCCAATACAAACGGAGAAACCAAACGACTGCAGAGGGAGAGAGGGATGGATGGATGGGCCCCCCTGGGTTCGAGCGTGGGATGCGTGATGCGACTGATAACTACGCCACCAACCACGGCCCATCCGCATAGTGGTTAGTCAATTGGTCAGTTAACTAGTTAGATGGTTAATTGTTAGTGTTACTGCTTTCGTCCCTTCGCAAAAGTGCAGTGATAGATTGAGTATCGAGAACATGGTCATCCGCGCTCGCATGCCGTCGTCCCCTCAAGTTTATCCTGACCGTCCATGCGGAGTCTTGCCGGGGCGGGCGAGTCCGACTGACACTTTGGATTATGTCTCGCTCGGGAGGCACAAGAGGAGAAGGACGAGGAGGGATCAGCCTAGCGCCTGACTCATTCACGAGACGGCGAGTAGCGAACAAGCGGTCCCCTTGGGCTGCCATTATTGGTTGGCTGGATAGTCTAGGTGGGTGGAGGGGGAGGACAAGGGACAGGATAGAGTAGGTCAAGGTAAGTCAAGGGGGAGAGAGGATGTACATAGTATTTGCTTTTTCACGAGTTGGGTTGCTGTGAGACGTGAGGAGAGCTGGATCTGGAATCTTTGGATCAGGAACAAGGTGTGCATGTATGTTGTACCGGTTCATGTGATTAGTCAATGGTCGCTGCCCAGGAGCGCTGGCAGGGCATGTGAAGTGGCTATTTCTTCAGGCAGATAGATTGCCTGGCTGTTGCAGAGTAGGCGGATAGACGAAGATGCGCAAGGCTACGTCGGTTGGCAGGCAGGCGGAGGGGAGGTATATGGGAATTTGAGCGAGTGAGATATATACTTAGCTCGAGAGTGTTGAGTACTCTGTACAGCCCCCTTCCCCGCGGCACCACCCCCTGGCCTGGCCTGCGCTGCACTGCGGTTCGTAGATCATAGTCTAGTGAAGGGATCCTTGCACTGCAGCTTAGCGCCGGTACAGAGTACAAGCTCATCTGGTGCCCGGTTCGAGGACGGAGAGAAACAAACGTGGAAGAGGGTGTCACAGCCGTCCTCTATTTTTATCACGGGGCGGATGCACGACCAAGATTGATAGCTAGCATTGACGAATAGGTAAAGCTGTGTAAAAGAAAAAAAAGGAGTAATGTGATATTGATACAGCTAGTAAGGAAATATGTAGTAGATGTAATGTACTTAGACGAAGCACTTGAACGCCCTGACGGAGTCTGAGAAGTTCCAGCAAGACGTCGGCTTCATGATGAGAGTGTCGGCCTTCTCCTTGCAATCCGCGTCGCTTTTTGGCCGGTCAGTCGAAGGTAGCTAATATAAGCAGTTATAAAGAAGGTGGACGTACTTGTAGGTTATGCAGGCCATGTTCACGCTGGTAGAGAGGGAATCGGCAATGCTGGTTTTTGTTAGTATATAAGTATATGGCAACTTAATATATACATATATATGTTGGTACTCACCCGCTACCAGCTTTGACGCTGAGAGCTATACACTCAGAGTCACTTTCGCCAAAGGGTATCAGCCTGCGGTCGCCTCCATCCTCACAGTGTCCCTGGCCAATGTATAACGTAGCGAATGGCGTCTGTTATAAAGATATTAGGTCATTTCATGCTGTTATTTATTAGTGGAACGAGCATCATACCGGTTCTCTGTAGACATCCGGACTAGGTCTTGCAATGCCAAAAGCTGCCATGGACAGCACCAAAACAGTGAAAAGATGCATCTTTTGGCCTTGGATTTTCGTCCTCCTTATTTCCGACTGCCCCTTGACTTAGGTCAATTGATCGTCAAGACGGCTGGCTCTATTGCCCGGAATAAGAGACACTTTATAGCTCGCTCATTGAAGCTATGTATGCCGTTTATTCATCATGAAGCCTTCCCCTCTACGCTGGTTTTCTCAAGTTGATTAAGGAGAACGCAGAGTAGAAGAGGGCCATGTAGAGTGATTACTCAGGTAGGTAACTATCTGGTCACCATCTCTATCATCACTGTCATCATCATCATCGTGTTTCACCTTCTGCACTCTCAGTCATGCCAAAGTCGGCCGTGGTGACTGTCGACGCTGTAGCAAGTCGAAATGGGGTCATTTATGTAGCTGTTTATCGATAAGAGCAGCTTATCTGTTATCGATAACCCAAAACAAAATAAGGTGGACGCTTTCCAGGGGGCGAGCAGGACGAGCGAAAGCGCACTAGGGATGGTCCGCTCCTTTTTTTATTTATTATTCCTTTTTTTGCTGACCTTTCCTTTTTGTTTCCTGACGCACCCCGCAAAACTCAACCTGTAACTCGGGCCATGCCGGATAAATTCAAGGGGAGAATGAAAAGAGAAGACGATGACGAGAGAGCGACGGCAGGATACGCTGGGATGACGGCAAACACTCCCAGGCCTTGCCGATGCTTCACTTGACAAGTTTTTCCAGCCACAAGTCAATGACGTTTGCCTCTTTTCGGGCTTAGTAAGGATTCCAGACTGCCTGATGAGTCACGTGGAACCGTATTAGACGATACGGTAAGATACAAACGCGTTTCCATGGTTCCAGTTTAGAAGGACCGTCTTTTGCAGAGAGAGCGAAGAGAGCGCGAGAGAGACAAGAAAGGACGATGAAAAAGAAACGAGACAGCGGAGAAAAAGCAAAGAGGAGATGACTTTGAGCGTCTTGACGAAAAGAGCGAGAGGCAGAGGGAGAGAGACACTCTGTGTGTCTGTCTGTGTGTGTGAGCGTCCATGTTCGCTGCGGGGCGGGCGCATGCATGCATGGAAACTGGCCCTCTATCTTCTGTGCGCCCCCCCAAACGCAGCCTGGCCAATAATGGCGGCGAGAAGACGGTTCCGAAGGGCGGTCGAGACGAGAAAGAGGCGACGGGCACATCACACGGTCGGGTCAGCCTTTGATGGCGAGAGATCAGAACCGTTGGACGACAGCCGAGCGAGCGAGAGCGTAGAGTTACTTTTGGCAAAAGCCTGAAGATCGATGGATGACCCGATGACGATTGTCATTATTCTCACCAGAGTCAATTGAAGGACAGGACCCCAACTACCCCAAAAGAGTTAATATTTTCCCCCGTCCCCCCCTCAGTTTTGGATGAAGGTCTGGCCGATAAGGGCAAAAAATTAATTTGCTTATCAAGTCATTCTCCCCCCGGCTTGTGACTGACATGGGGTCGGAAAGGATTGGGGCGGAAAGAGGGCACAGGGATAAGGGGGGAGGGAGGAGGGAGAAAAGGAAAGATGGCCCGATCCCAAGATCCCAAGATAACCAATTCTTATTTTTTTTTCTGTTGGGTTGAGTCCAATTGACCGTCTCTACCAGCGAATTTTTCAAAGGTCAATCTGGCTGCCTGAATCAATTGGGATGAAGAAGAGCGCAGAAGCGATTGACCTGTGATCGGTGGTGAGCCCACGGCCAGGCTGCTGCTGGACGAGAACAACCCCCGTCAGCCGCATTTCGCAGGCTAGGCTCCCCTTCCCAGCTGAAGCAAAAATAAAAGAAAGCAGGCGGATGTGGGTCGACCAACGGGACAATAAGACATTGACAGGGGGCGCGCTTTTTTATTATTATTCCTTTTTTGTACGTAGTAACTGAGAGTTAACTGTATACAGAGGAGTCTCAGGGGGGGCCAGCGTGTTACTGTTACTCTGCTTCGCTTCATATTATTTTATTATCCGTCCTGTTTTTGAAAAAATAGAAAAATAAAGGGGAGTTTCATTAGTTGTTCCATTTGAAGCCCAGCACAAAGGAAGGGCGAAATAAGGCAGTCAATGGGCAGTCAGGGAGGTGAAAGTCATTGATTGACGTCAATGGGCAGAGTCAATGGCTGGCTGGCTTGGTTCCAATTGATCAATCAGGCCACAACAACACATTCATTCCCCCAGACAAGTCACGGTACGGATCTCAGTTCGCAACAGGCGGAGAGAGGGAGGGGAAAAGACTAGCGAGATTGATGGCAGCCTAGCTCTGCTGATTGCTTCTGGCCTTCTTCTCTCTCTTACTGTCTGCTTCTCTGCTCTCTGCCTTGTATGCTAGCTTATCTGTTAGTTAAAATGGTACAGCCGGCCGGAGTATGGCGTTCCGTCTGGGGGATTGCTCTTCTTTTCTTTTTTTCCTGCCTCTTTTTAGGCAGTGTTAGCATCTAGCATGCAGACGGGCCAGTGAGAGGTCGGTGACGAGGGCGATTTAGCCGCCTGGGACCGTCGTGGTGGTAGCTTGTTCGGACTAGTTATGCTATGCTATCCAAGATGTAATTACTGCCATATCCTCTGCATATACGCAAAAGAGGAAGCCAGGTTGATGGTGTGATTGATGTATTATGGACGAGAGAGAGATAGGAACCAGTCAATGGTACCATAGAATCCGTGGTTCTGGTCTCAATGGTAGAACCAGACATCAATAAAGACTCTATCGGCTATTTAAACCCAGCCACTTCCCTCCCTCCCCCTTCCAAGCCTCTTCTTCTCTTCTTCTGCTCTTCTTATCATCTCTTCTTACCGACCTTTTCTCCTGGGTTGGCTCACCGTCTTCTCATTGCGCTTCCCTTCCCCTTCGGCTGGGCAACAGGACAAACAGCCTTTTCCTCTGCCGCATCGATAACAACTTACTCCGTACCGCGACCGTCGAACCAAACCTCCCGCAAACTCCTCAATTCAACCGTCGCTCTCCCGCTAGCAAACACGAACCCATCTCCCACGTCCGACAAACGGCAGAAGAAGCAACTCTCGGCCTCAGCGAAGGGAACAGAAGCAATAAGAAGCAAGAAGCAAGAAGCAAGACGACGACGACCGACTTCTCTGCCTCTCTGTCTCTGCTCCCCTGCTCACGGAGTACTGATTCCTGTGTTCGTCACAAGGAAAAAGCAAAAAAAGAGGCTAAGCCTCTGTATTGCAAATACAGCGCCCTTGTGTAATTTTTTGCAAATTACGGCGGCCTTCGCCTGCGTTTGTGGGATCTCTCGTCTTCTCAGTCATCGCCGTCAAAGGTCACCAGTCACTGGTCACTCGCTGGGCCGACAGAAGTCCCAGCTTATAAAGTCCCCGTTCGCCGTCTCCCTCGCACCCGCATACCTTTTAGCTTCCTCTTCTTCCTCCTCTTCTCTCTGCTCCTTCTGCTGCTCAACTTGTCCTGTTCTTTTCCGAGAGTTGGTGTGCGCAGGCATCGGACTTTACACTCCCTGCTTATCGCCGTAACGCCCTCGCCACGACCACACGAGACCCGTCCGAAAAGGGACTAGCGCCATCTGACAAATCCTCGCCTTCCGTCACTGCCAAGCAAACCTTTTCCATTGACTTCCACCTGCCCTGGGTCGGGCTGCCGTCCATCTGACCGTTGGGGAGGAGACTATAAGTTATTATATCAACCATCCATCCTCCGTCTCTCGCGCATCCTCCGTCTTTCCTCCATCCATCGCCGTCCTCCATCCATCAATCATCACCATCGAATATAAACGAACGTCGACCCCCGTCGTCCCATTCGAGATAGACCGTCGTCGAACAGAAACCATAGTTGAACACCGCAGGCAGCAATCGAATCGACGCATGCAGAACAAGGGCATGCACAACATGAATCGCTTACCGTCTGTCGCCAGCCTGATGTCTCCTCCAGAGGCAAAGCCCCACGACTCTTTCAACCGAACCCTCTCTCCCTCCATCCCACAGCAGTCCTCCTTCGAGAGAGATAACAGACTGCCCCCAATCTCAGACGATCGCAAAAGAAAGCAGTCCGAGATGATGGATCTGCCATCGCCACCCGTCACACCTTATGTCGAGAGCAAGAAGCAGCGAACCAACGATGATGAGCCGGTCGATAGACAGGGTGGCACTGTCGGTAGCAGCATCAACAACCGAGACCCCGTCCTCTTCCCTCGCTCAGACGAGAGTGCTACCGCCATCCCCAATGATGAACCACTCTTCGCTTCAGACGAGGCTACAGTCGCCGACATCGACCAACACATTGCTGCAAGCTCATACAAACTCAAAGTATCCAAGGAACACCTGCCCAGCCGTCGAGAGTATCTCTACTTCTGGTCCTGGGTCACCACCCAGTACAATGCAAACCCAGCAGCCTATGCCAGGGACGAGCGTGCCCGCTTGGATCGCCAGATGTCAGAGATGAAACAGTATCGACCCATCGTACGACCGTCGACCACCAAGCTCAAGACCCTGGCTCCCGCACCTGCAACAAGACGCAGACCCAGCAGCAGCGCTTCTCCACCTTCAAATGAGGTATCCAGGCCTGTTCGTCCGCCAAGGGCCAGACGAAGCCCCAAGTCGACTCCCAAGACCAAAGTCCGGGATTCATTCGACTCATTGCCCAAGCCAACCCGTGTAATCGGTGCCAACCGTGATGAGACAGATTACCGCTTGCTGCCCAACTTCTGTCCACCCATAGAGACCCTCCGCGGCAACACCAAGGGCCTCAAGGCCGACTGGAAGGGCCAATTGCTCGATCTCTCGGCAGACCCGGACCGCGATGCTCTTGATCCCGCTGAGATCGGTCTGGCTTCTACCCTACGTCTCTCTTGCGCTAGCTATCTCGCTAGTAAGCGCCGCATCTTCGAGGCAAGAGTCAATGCCTTGAGAGCTGGCAAAGAATTCCGCAAAACCGACGCTCAGCAGGCCTGTAAGATCGATGTCAACAAGGCCAGCAAGCTCTGGACTGCATACGAGAGAGTCGGATGGTTGGCTGAAGAACATTTCCGCCAATACGTCTAAGGCGTGCCATAGCAACGACAACAATAACCACACGACATGACGAACTTGGACTTGACTTGCTTGCCACTTCTTTCCGATTGATATCTGATTGATTCGGCCTGTTTTGTCGTTTTTTCACTCAGCATTTTGATTGTTTTGAGACACGAAATTGAACACATCCAATACCCCAATCCACTCATCGCGTTTTTTTGCTACATACCATTTCACGACCCGGCGACAGCGCCTTCTTTTCTTTGTCCCTTCTTCTTTTCCCCCATTCAGCACTTATTCTTCTTTTAATACCAGAATGACTCCCCAATCATGACCCAACGGCGTTCGGCTTGCCTCTGTTTTTCCTTGTTCTTTTCGCGATGCGGAAATCGAAGATGAAGATGAGATGTTGCGTTAAAGTTTTTCTCTTCCCTACTTGACCCGGTGTGCGGCTCTGGGGGGATGGCCTTAGCTGGACTAACGTTTCCCCGACCCACCTTGCTCCGATGACCTTAACCAACCTTACATCGACGGCGACGACTATCTACAACTCTTCATACCATTGGGGCTACGCATGACAGCCTCTGGTGTCCAGATACCAACGTCGATGAAACTAGCCACCACATCGGGTCCTCGCCTCTTCTCATCTTCATGACTTTCCTGCTTTCTTTTTTTCCTTGACTGTCATCCTCATGTCCAGCCTTTTCATTACCAGGGGTTTTTTCTTTTAACATCATGTAGCCATCTTTCCTGCCGCTTTGGCGTCGGTTCTACTCCTTTCCAGCACAGCACGTACAGCACAGAATCATGTTGTTCCTTGTTTTTATTTTCGCACTTTTTTTTCACACACGCATTGCAATGGCAAACGGGGAACTAGCATCATATCATTCTCATTGGGAGGAAGATACGGGAATCGGATCGGTGGTCTGGTATTGGGTGGTTGCTATTTGCTTTTGTTTTTTCTTTCCTCATTCCTTGTTTGCCCCCCATTTTGCGTTTTATTTATCAATTATCCATTGAGTTATCCCATAGCAAGCAAGCAAGCAAGACAAGACAAGACAAGAACTATCATTTCCTTTATTTTAACTTTTTTCATTATCTTCTGTTTCCTTCAGGTCACTATCTAGGGCATTGCATTGTCAACTTGTTTGTTCCACATAATAATACAGCCTACATACAATATACACGCTCAATAAACCCAATTGACACATTCTATATTAAATTAATACCTTCATCCTTCCCAACAATAACAACAATGGCAACAACCAAGGATGCAATCATGCCATTGGCAACCGGGAACATTTTTGCATCGGACATACTCTTATATGGAATACATACACAGATGCATTGATTGATCTGCAATGCAGAAAAAATACCACTTGAAAACGGCGACTAAACGGCGCAGCATATACCCAAAACCTACTCTGCACGATAAGCCACAGACTTTCCCCATCCTTCCACAGACCTAATTCTAGCCTCGCTGTACCTCCTCGCCTGTCTCGCCTGTCTCGCCTTCGCCCTCTTGTCCGCCTTTTCGTTAACTTCGCCCTGGAATGAGTCTATTAATAGACATAACTAACCTCGGCATTATATAATCAAATGTATACGTAATCCAAGGCTGAGTGCTGACTAAACATATAAGTGCAAACAAGGCAAACAGGGCAAGGTTCGTCTTCCCCTTTGGGAGCGCCTGAAAGGCGGAGCGATTCATTCAAACGCCAGAAACAGCGACGTTGACCATCGAAACGGAGACGGCCCCATCGACTGGTATAGCTGGACGACTCTACCAGCCGCGGCCCATTTACTTACGACTCGGTTTACCACAGACGAACGATATCGACTCGAGGACGGGGGATACAAATTTCTTGACGTGGCGTATAGTCGACCGCGGCCGTGATGGCGCCGACTCTAACACAAACGGACTCGCTCGAGGCGCAGGACCCGAATATCCATAAGAATGAGAAGAAGCAGAAGAGCAGAAGGCCTGCAAGTGCGTTGTTCTGACCGTCCTTGTGCTATCGGAGCACCCGCCCCTTTTTTCTTTATTGCTGCGAGGTGAGGAGCAAGACAGGCTGACCGGATGCGCGCGGCCTTGGGTCCGCTGCTTTATAGATACGGCTTTTCGTCAACAGCGATTGAAAGCATGGCAGTAAGTGGCTTCCGATCCTAGATGGTGAAGAATAGGAAAGGGGTGGTGTTTGAAAACAGCGAAACTTACAAATGTCGTTGTCTCTAGGCCGATTTTAACTCCCAAGACTGTTCTGCCACTGTTTTTTATTATGGGCATCATATTCGCACCGATAGGAGGACTGTTGATATATGCTAGTTCACAGGTATGTTTGTCATTTGTGAGCGCATATCCATAAAAGGGGGCCAGCACCGTTGACGCAAGAACAGGTTGAAGAGTTAATATTCGACTACTCCAATTGCAAAGATGCACCTATCGGCAAGGATAATGCGAAAGACGCCAGAGCCAACGTTCGAGCCTCGTTCAAAACAGAGTCGAAGGGTGATACGCCTTATCAGTGGTACAAGAATGATGACGTCGACATTACCCTTGATAACGGCGTGCACGTCAATACAACCGTCTGCTCACTCATTTTCAACATACCAAATGATATTGGGGCACCTGTATATCTCTACTATCGTCTTACAAACTTCTACCAAAACCACCGTCGATACGTCAAATCCCTCGATCTGGACCAGATGAAGGGTGTTGCCGTATCAAACGCGACTATTGGAGCCGGCACTTGTGACCCCCTACGACTTGACCCCAGCGGCAAGGCATACTACCCATGTGGCCTGATTGCGAACTCCGTGTTCAATGATACGATATTGGAACCTAAACGTATTGGCGGCGGTAATGACGGAAACCAGACATACCCCATGACTAACAAGGGTATCTCCTGGTCGTCCGATAGGGACCTTTACAAGCCCACAAAATATACCTACTCTCAAGTCGCCCCGCCTCCAAACTGGGTAAAGAGATACCCAGACGGATACACGGCGAAGAATCCGCCACCAAATGTCCAGGAATGGGAAGAATTGCAAGTTTGGATGCGTACTGCCGGTCTACCAACTTTCAGCAAGTTAGCCAGACGAAATGACGGAGACCGAATGCTTGCTGGATCCTACCAGATTGATATCCACGACAGTATGTTGCCTTGAGATAATTTCCCCTGTCATCTTGATACTAACGAATAGACAGACTTCAAAGTTGATATTTTCGGTGGCACCAAATCTATCGTGCTCACTACACGAAGTGTTATGGGTGGCAAGAACCCATTCTTGGGAATTGCTTACGTGGTCGTTGGTGGAATCTGCATTGTCCTTGGAACAATCTTCACATTTGTCCATTTGGTTAAGCCAAGGTACGTCAACACTACCTCCTTCTTATCCCCTGCTTATCAAAACCCGTAACTAACAAGTGTTTAAAGAAAACTCGGTGACCATCGCTACCTCACCTGGAACAGCGAAAATGACGGCACAGGTGCAGCAACAGGAGCATCAACTACACCAAAATCGTTCTTCAATTTCCGAAGGCGAGGTTAATTTGGTATCTCCATTACTTGCTTCCTATACGCTACTTCCTATGTTATAAGCTGTTATGTATTTATGTAAACTCACTGGCGTCGCAGTTATGTCTCTTATCTTTGTTTTTTTATTCTATTTTCTGTTTTCAGCCTGCCCCCTTAGAAGCAGCAACATTGCTACGTTTTTATCACCACCCGGATACCTTGAACTCAAAGAAAAACTGTTTTGGATTCAAATCACATTTATACCACTTCTTTTTGCCTTCCCCCTTACATGCCAATTATTCTCTTTTCCTTCCTTTGCTTTTCCTTCACCGGGGTTGAATATGATAGGGCACGAACTTAGCTGGACTGCTGTGTTGCCCTTTTGTATAAGGTTGATTTGGCGTTGTCTATTTATTCCATTCTCTATCTCTGGGTTTTCTTACATTGTCGATCTACATATAATAGGAGCAAGTAGCTTCGTAGCTTCATGGTAATATCCGATTTTTCTTATACGCCGGATTCGCAGTATTGGTAGTTTCAAAGTTGGTTCATTCTGTTCTTTGCCATATAACTAGACCTTATCTGCTACATATCTCTATTTATTGCTATTTTTCCTACGAAAGTAGCAGTATAACGATGGCAGTCTACTGCGGGTACAGCCAAAAGTTGGTATTGAACTATTAATGGCCTAAAATGAACAATGCTCTTTTTGCCCTTTCCCGTCCCTCTGATATTACAGCATTTAAGTGAAAGATGAACGAACAAAAATACATATTGTAAAGTGGAAGAAAACAATCATTGATAAAATTCGGGGGCATAAACGTGACCAGGGACTACCAGGAGGGCAAGGTATGCGAGCTTAGCGCTTTCTCTTCCTTGGCTTGTCACCGTCATCATGGCCTCCTCTAGCAGCCTCCTTGTCTTTCCTAATGGCTTCCTTTTCCAATTCATCCCAGTCAGCGCCTTCATCACTCTCATCATCGCTGGCAGCTTCGCTCTCGTCGCTGGCATCGTCATCATCATAGCCGCTCTCCTCTTCCGAGCTTTCGTCTGCTGCGACTTCAGAGTCAGACATCTCGAATGCGGACTCCTCCTCTTCTTCATCACCCTCGGAATCAGAATCACCGCCGAGGAACGACCAGCCACCATCCTGGAAGAAACCGTATGGATCACTGGTAACGGTCTTCATGATGGCACCCCAGCTGAGATTGAGAGGTCCTTCGCTGAAGGGGATATCAACGGAGTCCAGCCAGTCCTTGACACCTTCAAGGTTCTCCATTGGAATGGTGTTGATGTGCATTGGTTGGCGATGGAAGTCTTTGAAAACAAAGACAAGATCGAAGTTTTTGAGACCGAACTATACTCGCGTTAGCATCCAAGTACGAAACTTTTGCATACGGTTAAATTTACCTGTACTCTCTCCAAGTGAGCAACTTCGATCTCACTCAAGGTCAGGGCAAGGAATGGAGGTTCCGTTAGCTGAGCAATTGCGTCGGTAGTTGGCTGGATCAAAACATTGGAACGGTAGGTGTGAGGAACACCGGTGAAACCAATTTCTCTGAATGGGATATCGACATCAACGCCTTCGTCCTTCCCGGCGTCAGAGATCTTCTCGGCAAATGCCTTGAACTCTTTGTCCAAAGCAGCTCGGCGTCTCCTCTCCTCTTGTTCAGCCTCAAATTCTTCTTCATCTCCATACCGGTGCTTTCGTCGTCTATTACCAGTTTCGTCGAATTGCATATCCGTGGCCTCACGGTAGAATTGGACATCCCTAGTAGTACGCTTTCCAATCATAATTGGTGTCTTAAGATGAACATGAATAATGACCGTCAACTCGTGTTGACAGGGCTGGAAGAACAGATGCTTGACGTTGTTAAACAGGACGTCAACATTGTCACTCCTTAGGGGTGATAGGTAACGAAGGCCATTTTGATGAATTTCAACTTCTCCAGGCACACGTTTACCGTCCAATTGTGGACGGAGGTAGACGTCTGGTAGTTTAATGGGTCGTCGGTCTAATCAAGTGGTTAGCATATCAAGTATCAAATGACAGAAAGAAAACGAGCCGGTCTTACTTCTTATCTCAATAAGCTTATCTTGCTCTACAACATCCTCCATCTGTTTCTTCACCTGCTCTCGTCGCAGAGCATTCTTTCTAAGCTCAGTGATATCCTTTGCAATCTGAGCAAAGCGGTCGTGGTCTTTAGATCTGAGGGTAAGATTTCGCACGAAGTGGGCGGATGCGTCCTCAAACGGTTGATCATCTTTCCTTCCAACACCTTGACCAGGAGACAAGAAATTGATACGGAGATAGGCATATTCTCCTTCATCACTCTTGCTTGCGTTCTTGATAGTGTTGATATGGAATGGAACTGGGCGTCCTAGAATAGGAACAATAACTGACGCAGCTTTATGATCAACGTAAATGATCAAGTCTTTAACGCGAGAAGGAAGCTGGCTATCTCGTTTATACGATTCGAAACGTTGGAAAGTCTTCTGCGCAACGCCGTTTTGATTTCCCTTGGTACCGGCGAAACGCTCCAGACCCTCCTTATTCTTCTTTGCATGTAGTTCCTTTTGATGTTCACGTCGACGTACATCAGCGCCGTCGCTGACCTGGGTTGGACGCTCGGCTCGGAGCTTCGTCTGTATAATGTTCTTGCTGACAATAGTGCTGTTTCTATTGCTCTCACCCTGGCTCTTTTTTGGCTTTTGGGTTTCCTCCTCATCGCCAAAGTAGAACGAGACTGAGTCCATGTCGATTCCCGCATCCTTGGTAAAAACAAGTGGCCCGCTCTCGCCAACACGGATTGTATCAGTGACTACCATCGAGTATACTGCATTCTTCTTGTCCTGGGGGTCTGGGTCAGTAACATCGGTGAATCCGATGGACACACATAGTGTCATGCCGCTTCTGAGAGTCTTGGTATTCTTTCCATTAAGGATCATGTTGGCATCACGTAGTTCAATGCCAATTCCAGCGCCAATGTTTCGCACAAAGTGTTTCTCGAGCTCTGGCTTCTTTGCTTTGATCATGCCCAAGGCTTTGTTGTATAGATCTTTGACGACGGTTCCATCCCGAATATCCTTCACAACTGCGTCGTAAATAGCAAGAAGGAAACCATAGTTTGCCTCCTGTGATTTGCTGGGATCAACCAAGAATGTTCGTGCAATGGCAGCAGCGTATGTTTTGTAACGGATGCCAAATCCTGCAATGATGATACCAGGGGAGAGATTTTTATCATCAGCTGTTGCAGAAAATCTGAGATCGTAGTTTCCACCACTCTGGACAACGGGTCCGTAAGCCCAATCGATTTGCTGAGCATCGAATCCAGTTGGCAATTTCGCAAGCTTATTGAAGAACTTTGAGTCGTCAATTTTGGCCTCAATTTTGCCGGATAGGGTTTTATGGCTCATTTTCTTTTCCTCGTCAAGGAGTTCTGACATCTCATCCACAAAATATTCAGACATCAGACCAGAACAAGCTCTGGCGGCGTTGCGCATCGATGTCTTTTATATCAGTTAGCTATTTTGCATAATGGCCAATGAAGGGGGTTTATCACTAACCAATTCTTCTGGGCCCTTCACGGAGAAAGCGTGAGCTGACAAGGCGGGGCTAATGTCCACTTCCTCGATATCTTTAGAAATGTCTCCAAACATTCGTTTCCATTCCTCAGCAAACGGGCCAGATGAAGCATCCTTCGGCAAAGTTCCAACTTTTTTCTATATTCACCCGTTAGGCCCTGAGAAAAACGCTAAAGTTCGTGTAGAGCGGTAGGTACATACCCCGGCATTTTTGATTATTTCCAGACACTTCTCAAAAATCTTCGTCTTTTGTTCTGCGTCGCGGGATGTTATCAAGAGCTCGACTGGAACTTTGCCGCCTTGAAGTGGCTCGAGATGTTTGGCTGTAGGGAGTAAAATCGACGAGTTAGCACAGCCCCACTTGAAGAGGGAGACAATTAAGTGTCTACACACCTTTCTTTGCTGTAGTCACCACATACATCGCCTCCGTGGTGAAGAGGAAAAGGGTAGCCGGAAATTCATAGCCGAGGAGCCAGAACTATATAGAAAGCAATTAGTATAGCCCTACCACCATAAAAGTACCTTCTCGTAAAGCCCCAAAGTAGCCGTAAATACGCACATGCATCGCATTGTTCTTCTGGAATGAGTTGGTGTCTTCAGTCTTGCCCATGAGGATAACGATCGACGAGGCGCCGCCGAAGACCTGGTTTGCGGACCTCTTGTCCGCCTTCCATGCCGAATAGAAGCTTGAAAGACGGTTTGAGAATGCCGTAGCATCAATTTTAATAGCGTCACCCATGACTAGATGCTATGCCTCCGGGGGGGATTGGTAGTGTGAGCGCGGGTTGAGCTTGCAGGAGCTTGCTTTGAAGCTTGGTAGCAAAGTAGCAACGAGTGAGGTATCAAAAAGAGCCAGCACCCTTCCCCTTTCCTTATCTCTCTCTGAGCAAAAGAGGGTCACTGGCTCATCCGCGAGCCTGTGGGAGATGTCGAAGAGCTGCGTGAGCAAGCTGCGCTGTTGGTGCTCGATCTTTATGTCTGTCTGTCTTCGACCTTTTCAACTTTCTTTTCGCTCTTTTTCACTTTACAGAAACCGACGTGAGGCGCGTCTTCAATCTAACCGCTTCTGGCTAGCGCCAAAGTGAGGCCGTTTGCACTGTTTGAATCTGAAGGTCATCCATCCAAAAAAAGCGAAAGGGAGAAGACGAAGATACGAAGTAGCAGCAGCAGCAGCAGCAGACAAAGCAGGTGACGATGAGGAGAGCGCTGATAGCTTTCGTTTGACCGGTATATTTTAGCGTGTTTTCTTTGGATAGGCCATCATGCTCTTCGTCTCAAGGCCGTTCTCTTTTTAAGCTGCCCTCCCTGCCGATGGATACTTCTCTCCTGCACGACGACCATGTCCATACCCATCGATAGTCCGGGACAACTGAAAGCAAGCCACCCGAAAGTTGGGAATGATGAGCCTGATGGTGATGGTACAGGACGCCGGAAGCCCAGAACAAATGCGGCTACCGGTGCTTCGGCTGCTGGAATGCGCGCCATAAGTGCTCAAGCTATAGCCTTTTACTTTAGAACTCCGGTGAAGGCATTCTTTCGTACTAGGGTCGAGTAGGTAGCTCCTCAGTGTGTACATACAGTCTAGATTAATGCTAATATATCTTTTGCGTAGTTACATGGTATGTTCTCAGCCTTTAGATCGTCAACGCCCACCGCTAATAAAGTGCCGAGGGTAGGCTCTAGCCAAAGCGATCGGACCGCAAACTACAACAGGAGGATGGTCATGGAAAACGACTACCCCTGGACTCCTTGCAAATGCCGTCCAGACACATGGTTGGGTTTTTATACCATACCAAGTCCTTCCGCCGCTCATAGCGAATGTTGGGTCAGTTATTCCGTCTGATGTCATGGAGTGAAGCAAGATTCTAATGCAGGGTACAGAGTTGGTGCCATACTGTACACTTCCTATCTACAAATACTTGGAGCTATGCATGAGCCGACACTGATGGGCGGTAAACGGGTCTATCCGCCTCCCTCACCTCCTGTCACCTTCTTCGCAGGTTTCGCTGCAGGTGCCATTCAATCCATTGCTGCAGCACCCTTAGACGCTATACAGGCCCGGTCAAGGACCAGTGATATGATAAATGGGCAGTATCGCAGCGCATGGCATTATGGCTGGGATAAACTCAAAACACTTGGCGCTCGAGGGGTGTTTTCTGGCTGGACATTATCGTTCTTGAAAGATAGCTTCGGATCTGCCGTGTTCTTCAGCTTGTTCGAAACCGTCAAGGCTCAGGGATATTACCATTTCATCACGCGGTACTACGGTTCTCTCAAAGCGCAATCCATCCAGATACTATCCTCACCTACTGCACCTGGTGAAATACCTGTGATAAAACCGCATTATGCGCTGGAGCCTGCATTCCTCATGCTGGCAGGTATTACAGCTACCATCTTCCAGCAAGCCGTTCTACACCCTCTAAGCCTGGTACAAAATATCTATTACCGGAATCTAGACCATCTAGATAAACGGGTTCGTCACTCCCGCTCGGGCAGAGAGATGATGGAGCATCGTGCCAACGCATATATGGAGACATTTAAGAAATGTCAGCGCCAGGCACGGCGGGTAGGTGGCTGGCGGACGTGGCTGTATGGAGGGTTTTTCATGAACACTCTCCGCCAACTTCCTAGCACCAGTGCCGGTCTAATCATTTTTGAACTTGTTCGGCGCAAGTATGGTGTGCCTACTGAGGCCGTACACATACAACTTGACGGATACGATATTATCCTTACCTGAATAACTCATCCCCTTTGATAACCTTTATAACCCTGGGCGGCTTCTTCTATTTTTCTACTCCGTACTTGTGAGCGTTTTTACTGTATACCACACCTTGCTATAGAGATTTTTCTTATTGAACGCAAGGCGCAAATGGCGTCTTGGAATACGTCGGAGTGAGATGAGACAGGTTCTAGACATGCTCGAGACAAGCTCGCTAGTCTTTGAACCTTTGATAAAATCTGCTTATTGATGAGATCCAATAGGTGGTCTCACTATGTACATTTTGCAAGTTTCATGAACATAGGCCAGACGAATAGATAATAGGATATACACGAGTAGATTTCTCTTTCAAATGATAAAAAACTTAGACCATTTATGACTTAAGAAGTAACACTTTCTCCTATACAGAGACAATCAAGTTGAGATGTATTATTTGCCCTACAGATGCCAAGAATCGCGGGCCGCAACTCTAAAACCCAAATATCGTACAAATGATATCACCGCTTGAAAGGCCGTCATCAGCGGCCTGGTTCAATTTCCTTTTCCTTCTCTCCTCCCTTCCACCAAGTCCAGATGGCTTTGCACCAAAACCATGTCTCAATGGTTCCAAGAACAGAGAGCACCACAAGCAAGAGTATCTTCATATTTTTCCCAATACCAAGGGACTCTAAGCTGACAGGTGGAGTTCGATACGGATCATTGTTTGGGTCGGAGTCGGGGCCTGCTGACGCATTGCTTGGGCTTTTTGAATTGAACAATGCTGCGTATGTAGAGAATGTTGGTACTGATGTTGGTCGCGGATTGCGGAGAAGATGTATTTGGGAGAGCTGAGGCTGAGGTCCGACCCGAACTCGCGAAAGCCGGAGGGAGCCTCTGAGTGGTAGGCGAAAGAGCTGTTGCATTGAAGACATTTTTTGTAATGAGGAGTGATTTTTTATGGAAGGAAGTAGGATATTTATGTTGCGTGGTTGTCCATTTATATACCTAGGTACATGGTTGAGCTTGAGGCTGATTGACTCAGGCCCTAGTCTCAATCTGTGCATATCTGCCGCTCGTATTCTTTGGTCAACTAACCAGAATTAGCTGGCTAGCTATTCATAGACAGTTCCAGTTATCCTTGTTAACACATATTTAACTATTGATCCCCGTCATAAAATCAACATATTCAGAGCTTTGAGGAATGACAATGTTTATCCTCTATTTAACTTCTGCATATACCTCTAGAGCATCATGCAACTTCGCAAAAAGACCGTCATGCCAGCTTCTCAATTCCTCCCACTCGCTCGCTGGCAAGGTCCCGCGCATCATTCGCAACCATCCACCAACGATGAAGTCCGCATAGGTAGCTCTCGTTCCCATTATGAATGGCCCGCTGGTGTCCCTCAGGAAGATCTTGGCGAGCTCGCCGAACGTTTTCCGAAACGACTCTTTCACCTTCTCCCGCGCCTCGCCGGTAAGGGCAAAGTCATCCCAGGACGAAGCACCAGCACGGCGGACAAACTCAGCCTTACTGATCTCAGCTGTGGCTGGGTCGAATGGGAACTCCTGGGTTGAGAGCTGCACATGTGTGGTGAATGCAGCGTCGACGTTGACATTGAACTTGGCGTATTCGATATATCCGCTCTGCGGCACCTCTGAGAGGGGCACCACAATTGCAGACTCGGGAGTAAAGGTGTAGTCGAGCTTCTGGTCTGGGAAGAGATCCCCCGCGCCGGAGTCTGGGTAGGTTTTCTGCAGGTAGACTGCGATATCGTAGGAGTCGCCGACAGCCGATTTGGTGGCGGGGTCCACGATGACGGGTAAGGTGTAGAAGTCCGACCCATCGGCAAACTTGCGGACAGCGGGCACATTGAGGCTGCGGCGGACCTTGGCTACGTCAGGTTGAGGCACCCATTTGGTTGTGTAAGGGACACCCTTGAAGTTGAGAGCCAGTCGGGCTTTCCATGGGTTTGGAGAGCAGCAGGTCTTCTCCACTGGCGGCCGCAGGGCGATGTCATAGAAGACAATGGGTTCTGAAGTAGAAGACATGGTGGACGGTAGGGCTGTAGTAGTCTCTCCTCTTGTGGGTTGCTCCGTGTGCATTTAGTTATCGTCGTTAAAGGAATTGGTTTGATAACCACCTAGGTAGTTGAGTTGAATTGAATCTACCCAAGTGCTATTTATGTAATTATTTATGGTTACACTTGGGCCTGGTTTAGTAGCTGTAGACCATAAACCTTGGTACCGAGTATGTTTATAAGGCTGACTCACTATGACTGCTAGTGAGCAACCCTGCAGCGCATCATGAAGTCTCCGTTGGACGGTTATCTTTTCTCCTGCTGCAATGATATGTAGTTAGTTATACGCATGCAGCATTCATAGTTAAGGGGTTGAAGTGTCTTCCATCAATGCAATGCCAATTCAACCGCTCTTCTTTCTGCTGCCGTGTGTAAGGAGGACAGACTTCGGCTTTCCCCCAGAGGCATTGCATTGAAGGGTAATACCTGCATCATGAAATTTAGATAGCTGGTTAACTAGCTTAGGTATTTGGTTTAGTTAATCGCTGATAGTGATACTCCGTAGACGTAGCGAAATATCCTGGTTCATCCTTGCCCTCTACTCTATGGATACCCATGTAAGTTATAACAAAGCAAATAGACAAGTATCTCTACATCGAGAGACCCAATAAATAGAATATTATTTGACGATACAGTGTCTGTAAATGTTAGGCATAACGTCAGTGTGGACGCATAGCAGGTCGACTAAAGTTTGGGTCCATCGACGGAGAGAACCGCAAACATGAAGACGTATTGTTTCTTTCAGCAAACATTGCGGAGTGCTTCTCTTTCAAACCATATCATGTTAACCATTTTTGTTGGTGCATTCAAGGGAGAACCCGACGGTGGCAATCATCTTTAATTCACCAATTTAGCCGGTGATGCTGAATTCTCGATGGATCCAACCACCTTTCACTAGTACATGATACGGTAGTTATATCACCGACAGTTTATAGCATCCTGGGTTCACCCATGGACAACCAACGGTGGCCATGGGCTGACCAGGTTCGGAGCTTTGGCGCTAGATTCACCGTTCATCGTGTGGAGTGCGAATGCCATCCTAACTATCGATATTGTATGGCGAGGATCTTCCGTGGAGTTAATTCCTTACTAATATTAGTAACTCAAAGTAGTATAGCGTGTGGTAGTAGCTTAGTCATCTTCCAATCAAACATCTTCATCCGCTGAATTGCGCTCTCCTCACCATCACCTATCATCATTTATTATTTTCACTGCTGCTTTCGTCTAATACCAGTTTACTGGCATTTTCTAACTTCTCTCGATGACAGACCCAAAGACTAGTAAAATGCCCACTGAACTTCAACGATTTCCAGGGTTCCGGTTGGCAAAATTACGCGCGAATACTGTGACTGCTCTGAGCATCCATCCGCCCTATATTAATCGAGGAGCATTGGGCGTGTTCCCTGCTTTTATATAGCCGTCGTAGGGCTACAACGACCATCAATACTACCAAACACATACTATCCTTTATTATCTACAAAATTACAAGAAAAATGTCAGGCCCGGCTTATTATTTATAATTAACGGTCACCTATATCCTAACTATGTGAATAAGCGCCTCGGGGACTCCGTGCTACCTATACTCTGCTTCTGAAACGGCAAATTGCAGTATAATAGCCCAGTTGCTATGTTATTGGCCAACACAATAAGCATACCCCGAAGCTAAATTGCTACACTCTTGGTTGACGCCCCTATTGAGCTGGCGAAAGCGGCTGACGATAATACCATATTTCGCCGCGATTGATTCGCATGTCTCTCCTATAGGTTGGGTTAGCCTCCGCATAGAGGTGGGAAAATAGAAGAGAAAGAAAAGAAACGAATTCATATTATTACCTTCTTGCCTCAAATGCCACTTCTGGCAATTTGGATTTGAACCTGATGCTGTCGGCCCGGGGGGGCCTGCTGGTGTTGTCGTTGCCGTTGGAGTACTGGTCTCGCTCGTTCCCTCCCAGATACGCACGCAGACCGCAGATCCCACCCTTAGATTGGTACACTGCTCATTAACGCCAGGATTATATCGATGGAGCTTAACATCGTTTATTTTGTACCTCGCCTCAATTGCTGCGCAGGTATCACCTTGTTTGACAATATGCCATTTATTACAATTGTCCGGAGAGCCGCTCTGCGTTGGGGCCGGTGGCTCTACCCACTCTTCTAAGATGGTGGTGATAGTCGGATAGCATGAAGAAGGAATAGTCGTTGGACTTGGGAGGATGGGGTCCGCGGGTTTGGGGAAGCAGTAGGGATCCCAATATTCGTCTATACATTCATATGGAAGATCCCAAGAGTGGAGGTGATATTCGTCTTCCTCAAGGCCTTCGTCCCATAGGGTCGAATTGTTCTCCGAGTTAAAGGGACAGAAAGTTATGCGCTCTCTCATGGCGGCAATCATTTCATTGGATGGTATCACAGCCGATACGGTAGAAATACTAGGTGGGTCTGTTGGGAATAACCAGCTGGTGGTGAAATTGACTGAGCTGGTGATAGAGTTCGGGGCCTGTTCCCAGCTGTATGTGCTCGTTGGCCCGGTGCTAACTGAAGGTCCCTTGGGAGCTGAAGGCAAGGTTGGGGTAAACTTGCCAGCCTGTCCAGGTGGCCCGATGCAGATATATTTGCCAACCGCGGAGTGGATGTTCTTGCATTTATACCCTAGGGAAGGGTTCCATGAACGCATCATAAGGTCACTGACACCATCTCCCGCAAGTTTGAGCAAAGAGTTGCAGGTTTCCGTGGCAGTCACTTGATGTATGAGGCACTTTGAAACCTCATCCAGACAAAGTATCTCCCCCCCAGTGAACGACAAGTCTGCAGTAAGAGGAAATCCATTATATACCAAAAGGCGATCAGTGGCGACTGAGAGGCTCTCCGCAATGGAGTTTGGTGTATCTCCAGCCTTTGCCTTATAGGGCTTATCGCAGCTCGGCCTTGTCCGGGGTCAGTACTAGGTGATTTCCAGGATAAGGACGATGTACATGCTTACGTTTCTAAGGGTACCTGGCTTGTACTTGTTCTCGTCACCGGATAAGAAGTTGATATTCCGCAACTTTCCTTCAAAGAGCTAAAGTCCTCGGGGCTGTAACGGCGATTTTCGCGAGACATGTTGATTTCAAGCTGAATAGACTTCATATAGCAGTCTGAGCAAAGCGCCGCCTCTTCCGTTAAGTTCGCCAGTTTGTCTTTACAGAATCCTTCCTTCCGTACATTAATGCGTAAGTTGACGAACTCTTTAGGGGTGGAATTGAGACTACTCATCTTGGAGACAGGTAAGAGAATGCCGATATATAAACTGTTTCGCTAGGTCCAAAGGCGCAAATGCGCCCAGCACCTCGTCTCCATCGGTAATGTTGACCGTACCCTTTCCACATCTTGATAATGCTTGCGAATACATCGACGAAATGGCTTGATCACAACCATCTGTGCATATCTGAGGCAGGTCGGAGGTTAGGATCAGTTCCGATGGGTGGCTAAAAACATCTGAACACTCGCTGATGTTCATAGCCAAAGTTGCTCTACATGCAGCCCGCACAGATGCTGGAAGGTGCCCCGGGCTAGGAATGACAGATAAAGAGGCCGCAAACCCCACAAAGCCAGTAAAGATCTGAAGAAACATTGCGAAGAATTCAAAAAACATCATCATTCCTGCGACACAAATGTCGTATGAATCTAACGGTCCGTGGATTGGATGAAGGAATAAATTGGAAATAGGACAAGATAGGTCAAAAGAAAACTATCTCACGGCGCAAGCAAGCATCCGGAAGTAATGTCGAGGTGCGGGACCCAGGCAACAGAAATATTTGTTTAGATTCAGGTCCTGGATAGCCATGTTGATATCGGATGATTGCGGCTTGTCTTCGGCGGGAAAATGGTGATTCACAGCTTGGTACCTCCACCAACCATCCAACAAGATAGAGACTACCTAGGTACGGAGTACTCTGAGCCACTGCTAGCTAGCGGCATTCTCGGTGGACCGACCCACTGACCGGGTGCCCACATCCATCGCTTTGCTCCGACAGGGATAATAGTTAATTAAAACTTATCTTAAAACCAACGGTAAGCAGCACTTGAACAGGGTTCGGCATCATTATTGACTAACATGGAGACACTATAGCGTCCGACCTTGTCCGGTTCAAGTACGGAGTACAGCTGCATTCCTGGGTTCAACGAAAGGGCGTACGTACAATGTGCTCTAGTCAGGGGCTTGTACATGTTGGGGCCGGCGTCGTTTTCGTGCAGTTGGCCTCGAACGCTGGACTTTGACCATATACCTCATTGACTAAGACCCGAGCCTAGAACTCATCTTTCAAAGTCCTCAGTTGATACAACAACGGGAAGATTCCGCAAATACCCACAAGGCCCAGGATGGAACGACCTCGGACGAAATGACCCCTTAACAGCTCTTCTGTGGTTGTGCATAGAGCTCGTTGCTGTGAGATATATTAAGAACGAAGCATTCAATGCGTCCTTCTGCCTCCTCACTTTGCAGTACTCTCTATTATTACACTTGTTCAACTTCAAGCCAAGTGCTTGTATCTAAATATGTACCACTCCTTCTTTTCGTTCAACGCATTTGCCAAAGTTTTTATAGTTCTTGTCTCTTTACTCTCGATCGTCTTTGGCCAACAGGGCTTTGATTGTGATACGGAGAACCCATGCAAAGTTGGCTGCTGCTCAAAATCAGGCAGCTGTGGGTTTGGACCCGACTGGTGTAGTCCAGAAAATTGTATTGGCACCTGTGATGCTGTTGCGGAATGTGGCAAGTATGCCGCTATCCCAGACTCAGAATGCCCCCTGAATGTATGCTGCAGCCAGTGGGGATTCTGTGGCACGACCGAGGAATTTTGTCAAGTCTCCTCTGCGCCCGGTAAAGGTTGCCAGAGTAATTGCGGGAAGCCGGATCGAAAGAAATGCAGCGCCAACTGGACAAAACGGCGAATAGCTTACTACGAAACATGGGCAGATACCCGAGAATGCGACCCTTTCAGGCCTGAGGATATCCCAGTGAAAGCCCTCACTCACCTCAATATTGCGTTCGGTGGAATTAAAGACTCGAAAATCTCCATTGATGACTCGGAAATGATATCTCGAATTGTTAACCTGAAACGTCGCAACCGATCACTTAAAGTGTTTATTGCTGTTGGAGGATGGGCCTTTAGTGACCCAGGTCCGCGATTTTACCCAATTCCTAGAGATTTTATGGGCATGTTCTGATATACTCTATAACAGGACCAACGAGGACTGCATGGTCCGATATGGCTGCGGATAGGAACTCTCGCGGCACTTTTGCATCGAGTGTCGTGGATCTACTCGAAACATACGGCCTAGATGGTATTGACCTCGATTGGGAGTATCCGGTGGCTGGTACGTATTACTCCTTCCTTCGGAGCCCATATCCCTATACCAATTTACACATTATGTTGATTGTGATTCTTCTATCAGATGACCGTGGAGGTAGCCCAGATGATTTTCTCAACCTATTCCATCTTGTCGCCGCCCTGCGAAAAGCCTTTAACTCTCACAACCCTGCATGGGGTATTTCTATGGCAATTCCCGCAAGTTACTGGTACCTTCAGCATTTCAATCTTGCCAGCCTACAAGGCCAGGTCAGTTGGTTCAATCTAATGAGGTAAGTTGAACATAGGTTATCTGTGCACGCAGTATATATCACTCAATTATTAATCTCTTATTTAGCTATGACATCCATGGAAAGTGGGATAGAGACAATAAGTACACGGGGCCCTATGTTCTTGGGCACACCAATGTTACTGAGATCCAGGATGGGCTGGATCTTCTGCGAAGAGTTGATGTCGATCTGCAGAAGGTCAACCTAGGTATCGGCTTTTATGGACGGTCTTTCACATTGGCCGATCCTAAGTGCAACACACCAGGTTGTATCTTTCGCGATGCCGGCACAAGGGGGGAGTGCTCCGGTGAACCAGGCATTCTTACATTCAAAGGTACTGTTGCATTTCCCATGGCATTAGTTTATTACCAAATGAGAAAATTATTGACCCCCATTCATTCTAGAGATCATGGCTCGTCAAAAGCGACTAAACGAGAAAACCATTCATTACGATGAAGAGGCTGGGGTTAAGTATATGGTATATGATGAGACTCAATGGGTCACTTACGATGATGCAGAGAGTTTCGGAAAGAAACGTGAAATCTTGGACAACGACTGCCTTGGGGGAGTCATGATATGGGCAATAGACCAAGATACTAACGATTTTCAAGCGCTCTCTGGTCTTCTTGGTGACGACTTTGTCTCAGGCTCTCTCCTAGAAGGAGGAAGTTTGAGCGATGATGAGAAAGCAGGACTGGCCAGTGACCTTGGCGGACTTACGGGTGACGGATGCTATGTGACGTTTGGCTGTGCAGGGGAGGACGGCCACGGTAGATTGAGTAAATGCAACCCCGGTGATATACCCGTTGCGCGGGTTCATTCTCCTCGCGAGGCAGACATAAATCTCTACGGCCTTCTCTCTCACGAAGCAAGTTACTGTCCGAAGGGAAAGTGGAAAACTGTATGTTGTTCCGCGAAAAGCCCAGCGACGAACTGCGAGTGGGTTGGCCAACCGCATAGGGACTGGAAACCCTGCACTGGAGGGAAGGGGACCGATACCTGCGGGCCTTCACGGTACGAACTCATAACAGATACCGCTATTACCGAAACAGGGGAGAAATTTTGTTCAAGCGGAGCTAGATCACTTTGCTGCGATGCGGCCCCAGATCTCGAGCAGTGTCATTGGACTCATTGCACGCAGTTTGGTAACTGTCCACTGGGTGAGAAGCGGATTGCAATCCGCGGCGACAAAGAAGGAGGAGCATCATGTCGCGATGGGGAATGGCAAAACTTCTGCTGTGCTACTAAAGGTAAGTAAGAGAGGCCCTCTGAACCCCCTATCGTCTTCACTCTTCATGGGACAGATAGCATTAACACTTATATTAGGGGCCCCTGAGAACTGTCAATGGAGCCCGGAGGTAGAGCCTTCGCGTTTAGAGGACGGAGTCACGGTTATTAAATTTCCAACCGCGCAAATGTGTTCCATCACACGATGCAAATCGACTCAAGTTACGTTTGGGAAGTCGATGTTACCAGAGCGGACTGGTGGCTCTCCCTCCCCCTGTGGTTATTTCTATGAAGGAATTCAACATCGGTTATGTTGCGATCCTCTCGCCGAACTCGATTTACCCTTTGATGTTAAGAAAATATTCCCGCATCCTATCGGCGATGATGTTATTTATCATTACTCTGATAACTATGGGAATAATGACCGTGACCCAAACGGCCCAGGGGAGACGGATGTAGGCGATGATCCCTACGGCTTTATTGTTCTTGATGGCGATCAAGACGCTCTTCAGGGCAATTTCCCCAGAGACTTTGTATTTGTCCACAAAGATGATGGGACAGGAAATCCCCTAAGGAGACGTGAGACCCTCACCCGTGATGATCCCGATCTAATGTCCTGGGTATTTGAACATGAGGAATCTGAGCACCTAGTATACTGTCGTAATGGCCGGGGGCAACATTGTGAAAAAATATTCAGCGGAGGGGCCGCTGATACTATCATTGGGCTTCCGCGGCACATTGGGTCGGGCCCATATGCGCGCGTTGTCTCCATGGAGCCTGTGGACAACAGTGAGCTACCCAAGTACCATATAAGGAAACGCTCAGCGGAGGCACATAACTCTACTGTTTACAAGTTGCTCTTCGACTACAATTTTCAGGCGATTCGCCGATCAGATTCGAGAGTGAATATCCGGATTGACTATACCAACCTTGTTCCCTATTGGGATGAGATGACAGGCAAGGAGTCTGAGACAGGATCAATGGAGAGACGTGCTTTGCGCCATGAGAAACGCTGGTGGGGAGGCTATACGGAATGGATAGAGAAACTCTCGAAGGTCCGCGCGTCAGATGAAGGCAAGTTACCACTCTCGATCCATAAACGGATGCTTCTTTACCGCCGAAGAGCACAGTGCGCAAGAGGAAACACTGTCCTCAAAGCAGGGCTGGACGTCACTCTTGACGCCAAGTTTGATATGAATGCTAGGTGGGCGTATTATGCAGAGGGCACAATCATACCTCTAGCTATCGACAACGTCTATACATACTTCGAACTAGAACCTGAAGCTCAAGCAATCATTGAAATTGATGGAAGTGCCGAGATGGAGTATAAGAGTCAGCGGATAAAGATTATTGATACCCTCTCATACCCTGGCTTAGCCATCAAAGGCATTGCAGCGATTGGACCGACGTTGGACATATATGGCTCCATGGCGGCTGGTGCTAAACTTGCCGGGACACTCAAAGCAGGCGGGAAGATCAAGTTTCCGAAATATGAGTTGTATTTCCCGCAGACAGAGGACGCGGAGAGGTACCAGAAGTTCCCTACTCCCCGAGAGGAAGACGAGCAAAGAGCTGGGGGTGTTGATACGATACCCATCTTGGACGCAAGCGTTGAAGCGAATGTTCACGTCGATTTTATCATTACACCCGAGGTTAATTTAGGTATCAAAGTTAACGCCCCTTCCATCAAGGGACCGGTATTGGATGCTCAAATAGTCGCATTCGTAAACAATACAATGCGTTTTGAGGTGCAGGCGAATGCAAATGGGGGAATTGAACAACCGCCCGCTGCTTCTTATAGTATTTTTATCAAATACTTTTACAATTTTGGTGAGCATTCAATCTGCCCAATCTTGTCTACACTATATTTTCCGCTAACACAAAACCTAGGATATGGTGGAAGAGCTCTGTAAGTACTCAGGGACCCGAAGATTCGAGTTTCATCGTTCTAATTGGATATCGTATATATAGCCTCAAATGGCTTGGAGGGCATAGATTGAAGCGTAAGCACACTTCCATTGCTCTCAATCTCTGAAGGCTTTTCTATTCAAATAATTCCCCGTCCTTGATTCAGAAGCTGACAATATCACTAGCTCGAACAATTTGGCCCGGTCTTGGTCGTCAAATTGTTTTATTCGAGCATCATGGCTCCACGGCTGTTTCGAAACGAAATACATTAACTTTGGACAGCTATGAAACCGACAGATTCATGCCTTTGTACAGTAGCAATTCCACGACCCGTCGTCTCAGCAAGAGGGGAGAAGGCCCAGCTGAGGTTCCGTCGTTTGGCAACAGTCTCAAGAGTTTCTTCAACTGCAATGATAAAGGCCAGTGCTCCACTGGTGGTTGCAATGGCGATGCTTGCGATTGGAACCCTTCTAAACAATCTTCACTTTCTAAACGTGATGATACTAATAATGACGATGAGGACCCCGTGGATGTTGATCCGGTCCAAAACTGTGTGAATTCAATTCCTGCGATGATGTATAATTGCAAGTGGTTTCCAGACGAGCACACTGGATCTGGGGTGTTCCCAGGTATCTGCCGCAACATTCTGCAATATTTCACGGATAATGGCCTTGGTTCAGGCCCTCTTCAGGCAACCTTCAGTAACATAGGGAGCTCAACAGAAGGAGCCAACAGAAACTTTGCCTGCGGGTCTCGTTCCTGGCATTCTTATGAGATCAATGATCCCAACACAAACAATTTGATAACGGTCACCGAGACTTGGTCGCAACGGTGTGCGCGGCAATCGAATACTTTCGCTGATCTATCCCAAAAGCCGCATGGCAAACCTGGGAACAAGAACTGGTTTAGTTGCGATGAGTTTCCATTTAACTCACTAAAGGAAGGCGGCGCGGGTGCCCAAGTTGACTGTGTTCCTGGATACCAACAGGAGATGCAGTCGAATCTGAACAAATTGCCACGAGGCTTGGAGCAAGAAGTGACCTGGACGGACAGCCAAGGACAAACCCGAACAGCATTCAAGCTTTGGTCTAAAGACTGGCAAGCCTCGGCGGCGGTGGGCACCAGACGCGACCCGAATAAGGATACAGCATGGAACTGGGAGCTCAATAACGAGAAGTCGTTTACTTTTCACCTTTTTAATTCAGATTCACTTACAACCACCACGGGCGGAACGTATGAAGTGTTCAACCACAAGCTGAAAGATGTTGCCAGCGGCAAAAATCCTACAGACGACATAAACATCGTGGTCGCCGCAATGAATACCTTTGATAACAAGAAATATAGAATGCCAGGCGCCAACGCTTGGTGTCACAATGTTGGAAATCCTTTCAGGAATCACGAATTATGGGGAAATGCTGGAGGCCGGTTCATTCGGATTGTAGAGTAAGTTAAGAATACTCTCCCCTTCCAAACTTACCCATGGTGTAATATGTGTCCTAATTTGCTTCACTAGGTGCACTGTTGCATTTGATAATGGTGCTGTGTCGGGGAAAAGGAGAAGAAATGAGGAGCCAACAACAGAGGAGTTGTTTAACATAAAGAGTAAGCATGTTCTTCTTTCTATCCACGTTTAGTCTGTTTCTGAACAACCTCAGTGCTAATGTATATCACTTTAGAAGTGACACTCATAGAAGGCGGAGCTGAGTTTGATATTCCAATAGATAGCTAGCATATTCCTAGTTGACAAGTAGTTTAATTACTTGCCCAGCCATCACCACTACTAACATAGTACTCTTCAATTGTTTCTTCCAGCAGCCCTTCAGCCAGCTGCTGGCCATCAGACCAGTCTGCGAGTTGTTGCACCACCAAACTAGCCTTATCTCTAATTCGATATGGTAGAATCTCACCTAGATGGTTAATCGCAAGAAATAGAACCCAGCCATCCTCACATGCCTCTCGATCAGCAATAAGAATAAGGAGTACTTGCTCCTGTTCTAGCCCTCCATCTTGGAATACCTCTGGGCAAGGCTCATGGCGCCACGGGCTATCAGACTCGCCATCTAGTATACCGGGACAACGCATCAAGATATGGGGTAGGAACCTCGGTACTATATCAGCCGGTGCTACATAAAGTCCATCTTTTATCTCCTCATCCTCGCCCTCGTAAAGAGCAGCAAACTCCTCTCTATTATCGAATATAGATATTGGGTTATCAAAATCATCGGTATGCGGATCGTCGTCCCCTTCATAAATGGATGCCTTCCACAGTCGCTGGTGAGCCTGATCTGCCGTATCTTGGCTAGCCTTGTCGTTCTTGTGGCCATACCAAGTACGAACCCAAAAGCTCCTACTTAGTCCACTATCATTAGAGGAGCGTTCGAAGTTCGAAAGGAGGTCCCGAGGAATATAATCAAGGTATTCCTCTTGGTCCCTTCGAAGGAAATATTCCTATAAAAGCATAGTTCCTCGGTTAATAAAGTGCCTTGGTGATATCAACAGAAAAGGGAGGACCTCTCTACATTTCGGTCATATTTCCCTAACCCAATCCACTTTTCGACAAGCACCCGTTTCTGCTCATGTTTTGATAGTGATGATGCCGGATCCCAGTTCTCCTGTTGGTCTTCCGGGTTAGATTGTTTGATAAACAGAGAAATCCCCAACTCACAGCAACGAATTGATCAAAGGCAAGAAGCCCAAATGGAATATCAAGTGACTCGGACATATTCCGCAGCGGTAATTGTATGCCTGCAACTGATCTAGTTTGATTCTTGGGGTGGAGTAGGTGATATAAATAGTGTGCGCTTAGGAAGTTTTCGGGTTTTTGAAGCTGCAGCCCAGTAGTTAGCCCTTGTATATATGTGAGTTTTTATACCATGGCATGAGTTAACTATATGTAAGTTTGTTTTGATAGTGCGCTGGGTTCAAGCTCCACTAGTTAACTAGTTAACTAGTTATTTAGTCAGCAACGGCTCCACAGATAAAATCTTATCAGCATTATTAGTGAGAGCTATATGCGTGGGAAGGTCAACGGAATTTACAGCCTATATTGTAACTTTTTATATCTTCAAGGTTGAAGGTCCACGACCATTGTTTTCGCATCCTTTGACCGATGCACTGCACACAACAGGGTATTCTCTTGAGCCAAAAAAGGCTATAACACCGAGCAGGGCGCTCAATGTTGTTCACTTTGCTTCTAGACCATACCATTTTGCATTTACTAGAAGTTCCCTGCTTCTTCTATTACTGTGGACAACAATGTGATGTCACGGTTACAGTGTGTGATATCAGCCTCTGAAACGCTTCTCGGAAGTCCTTTGCTGCTATCTCAAGCCCGCACAGTATCTACCCCTGTCTCGTTCTCCATTCGGTCAGACTATTTTAAATCAGGTGTCCAGTCTATACCCAGCAAAGCCAGGGAGAGTGACTTATATTCCCATGGGGGAGGACATACGCTGCATATGCCTGACTTGATCGAGATACCTGGAGTCATAGTACGCACAAGGAACAGAGTGGGAAGAAGGATCATGGACTATCAGGCAACAGTAAGAGCTTACAGGCCACTAGTTACGGCTCACGCTCCCCGGACAACGTTGGCCCGGTCGCCTCGATGGTTCGTTGGAAGGAAATGAGGACTGGTGACTGTTAGATCCTCAGCCGTCTATAAGAGTCTGGGTGTTCAGCACTGAAGTGGTTCTTTTCACTGCTCCTATCTCGTTATCCCTCACTAGAAAAAAAACCGGCCCTCTACAGCTTCATAAAATGATTGTCAAAAAGTGTGCGGCGGTCCTGCTTCTCTTGAGCATCCCAAGCGTTCTTGCAAGAAATGGGAAGCTCAGAAGAGATGAGGAGCCAAAATATACACACAGTCCTGATGCCACGCCATACTGTACTTGGTGGTATGATAATGATGGGTCAATTGCGTGCAAGGACATTCCTGCTAGCTGGTCTATAACACTGGCAGATTTCCGCCGATGGGTGAGTAGCCTTCCTCTCTTAAGCTTTAATTCTAGGAGAAGAATGGGACTAATAGTTGTTTATCAGAATCCATCTATCACCGAGACTTGCGGTAACTTCCTGAAGGACACATCTTATTGCGTGGAGGCATTCAATGAACCAACGCAGACATCGAGCCCTCCGCCTGCTGCTACCACCACCGCGGCAGGACCGCCAGGCCCAACACAGCCTGGACAGCACAAAGATTGTAACAGATGGGACCAGATTAACGCTGGCGATTCGTGTCCAACATTCATCAACAAATATCCTGGCCTGACGCTTAAGGATCTGATCACCTTTAACACGGGTATAGGGGAACAATGTGAAAACCTTTGGGCAGGTTATTACGTAGGTTATTCTCATCCATAAACTATCAAGGAATTCGGGCTGACTATAAGCGGTAGATCTGTACGGGCATTGCTGGCTGGGCCCCAGCAACAACAACAAAAACAATGCCAGCAACACCTACGGCCACAAATGGCATCACTACTCCAACCCCTGTCCAGCCGAGAATTGTCGACAACTGTGACTCTTTCCATAAAGTTGAGCCAGGAGATGGATGTGCGGCCATAACCTCGAAATACCATATTAGCCTGGCCCAGTTTACCAAATGGAATCCTGGAGTCGGCAAGAACTGTGAATCTATCTGGCTAGGATATTATGTTTGCGTCTCTGTCCTCGGTGATACCCCGTCTTCAACCCCAACCCCAACCCCAACAACCACGACATCTCCAACAAAGCCTACAAACGGAGTATCGACACCAACACCAGTCCGACCCGGCATTACAAATAACTGTGAAACTTTCCATGAGGTAGTCTCAGGTGACTACTGTGCCGCAATTGCCCAGAAATATAGCATTAGTCTTTCTCAGTTCAATAACTGGAACCCAGACGTTAAAGCCGACTGCAGCGGCCTGTGGGCTGGCTATTATGTTTGTGTGAAGGTGATTGGTAGTAACCCAACGCCAACAACCTTGCAAACTACTACTACTACCAAAGGCAATGGCGTGGTAACGCCCACCCCAACTCAACCTGGGATGATAAATAACTGCAAGTCCTTCTATAAGGTAGCCTCCGGGGATAGCTGCGCATCTATTGTATCCAAGGCCAAAATCTCCTTGGGCAAATTCTACTCTTGGAACCAGGAGGTTGGGAAAAACTGTGAAAATCTCTGGCTGGGCTATCAGGTGTGTATTGGGGTGATTTAGTTCGGGGAAGGATGAATGATCTTTGGCCAAGGACCTAAATGTTTATCCTCCTGCTCCCGCATTCCAACCTTTGGTTTCCGCATAGGCATCAGTAGTCCGACGGAGCTCATTCCTAGATAGATGTCGAGATAGCTATTATTATTATTATTATCTATTTACACATCTATTTCTCTCCTTTTCCAGTGCTTAGTAAGACGCTAAGGTATTCACTGCCTACTCCATTATATCTTATAGAGGTTATATTATATAACGTCCACCGACTTCTGTACCGGAAATATGTAAATTAGTAATACTGTTGGAATTAGACTTCCGTATGGGCGGTAGAATCCATTGGAAATTCGGGTGGGATAGGTAAATGGGCGGCCGCTTGGTTCTTAGGTAGGTGGGAATCAAATTTATCCATCCATTTATTTGAAATCGGAAAATTGGTATTCCGAAGGTATTACTTGGAGCCTCCCGAGGTCAGATCCGCCGTGAGAACGAGTGGGCCGAAGAGTACTCCGTAAGCTTGCCTCCTTCCCCTCTCCTACCATCTTAATCGCTCAAATTCCGGTATGGCCGCAATAACACATCACGTGCTACCCACGGCCCCTTCCCGCTATGTGGATACGGCGGGATGACTAAGCAGCACATGACCTCGTCATCCCCCAAACCCCAGAAGTGGAATTCAAAGCAACCGCAAGAAAAAAGAACGACGCCAGCGACGCAGGCAAGCATCATCGTCACCTAAAAAAAAAGTCACCCTCGCAACACCCAAGCCATCCGAGCTGTCAACTCAACCCGCCAGTTGGCCGGCATCCAGCATCCTCTCGCAGCCAACCACAGCGTCTCAGCAGCCCCAGCCTGACAAGCCTCGAGTGGAACACCTGCACCAAAAGCGATCACGCTCGCCTCGCCCTTCTTTGCCTTCGTTTTCCCTTCAGTCATCGGATGCACCTCCAACCCCCGTTGTCATCAACCACGAACGGGTTTCCATCTCCATGCCCACATCGCACTGCAGAGCCGCCCCCCCTGACCTGATCTAACCTCCGCTCTGTCGTCTCCGCCGTGTTACATAACGCCCATTACTCCGTAATTCTTTCGTTTACCTTTAAGCCGGAGTCCTAGGGCTGCTTCTGGCACGCCCTGGTCTTAAGCCGCCACAATTCCTCCATCACTCCAACCCTCAACCTCCTCCGCTTCCATACCTCTGCAGTCGATCCAGACATCCCGGCAGTCGTCTGAACAGTCCTCTTCGCTCTTCGACGCCGACCGAGACAAATCAGGCAGCCAGCGGACCCCGTCTCCTACCCCGTCAGAGTCCAACTTCTCCGTCTGGTCAGATTCCGGTGATATTGCAGACCAGCTCGCTGACGAGGAAGACCCCTTGCGTCTTCGGTTAAGAAGGTCTCTCGACCTCCAGGTGTTTGGAAAGTCTGGTCGACCGAATTCAACTCAGCCAAAACGGGTTCGCTACGAGGAAGACGAAGCTGGGGAGGAGCATACGCCTTTCGTCGACAACGGAGACCTAAAAGAGGCCGTCCGAATTCCTGAACCAGGCCCAAGGACCATTTCTAGAGCAGAGAGGCTGCTGGCTTCCATCATGTCGCCCCGGGATGGCAGGGCCAAAACCCATGGCCTCGTTGGGAAGCCATTGTTGTATGTTTTCCTTGGTTGTCCTATAATTACTTTATGCTGTTTTTTAGGAACAGTGCTGACAAGGAGTAAAGGTACTTTACTAGCATTTTCGTGTCGTTAGGCGTCTTTTTATTTGGATATGATCAAGGCGTTATGTCCGGCATTATTACGTATGTCCATCGTGATGGCCTCTTTGCTCCCAAACATCAAATCCGACTAACAGGCGTAGGGGTCAATATTTTAAAGACTATTTTAACCAGCCAACTCGTGCAGAGATCGGCACAATGGTAGCCATCCTTGAAGTTGGAGCATTTATATCCTCGCTCCTCGTGGGGAAAATCGGCGACATAATCGGTCGACGACGAACTATTCTCTACGGCTCCATGGTCTTCTTTGTCGGCGGTGCCTTCCAGACCTTTGCTACGGGAATCCCTATGATGCTTGTAGGGCGTATCGTAGCTGGTCTGGGTGTCGGTGCCCTCTCCACGATTGTTCCCGTTTATCAATCCGAGATCTCCCCACCTCACAATCGGGGTCAACTTGCCTGTATTGAGTTTACGGGGAATATTTGTGGGTACGCTGCCAGTGTCTGGGTTGACTACTTCAGTAGCTACATCCAGAGTGACCTTTCTTGGCGTCTGCCATTATTCCTCCAGTGCGTCATGGGTGCACTCCTCGGCTTTGGAAGTTTGATCATCTGCGAATCTCCTCGGTATGTCTCCAGCATTTTCGCCTTAACCGTGCGGGTTTTAAGCCTAACAATTAGTGAAACAGGTGGCTCTTGGACCAGGACCATGATGAAGAAGGAATGGTCGTCATTGCCAACTTGTACGGCAAGGGAGACCTTCACAACGACAAGGCTAGACAGGAGTACCGTGAAATCAAGACCAATGTCCTCGTCACTAGGCAGGAAGGCGAGCGGACATACAAAGACATGTTCAAGCGCTACTACAGACGCGTCTTTATTGCCATGTCTGCACAGGCCTTTGCCCAGCTCAACGGTATCAACGTTATCTCATACTATGCTCCCCTTGTGTTTGAATCTGCTGGCTGGGTTGGCCGTGATGCCATCCTGATGACCGGAATTAACGGTATTACCTACCTGCTCTCCACCATCCCACCATGGTACCTAGTTGATAGATGGGGTCGCCGACCAATCCTCTTATGGGGTGCTATTTTGATGATCATATCGCTTTCTGCCATGTCCTACTTCATCCACCTCAACGTCTCCTACACCCCAGCCCTGACCGTCATATCTGTCATGGTATACAATGCTGCCTTCGGGTTCTCGTGGGGTCCCATCCCATGGTTGTACCCCCCAGAAATCCTTCCGCTCAGCATCCGTGCCAAGGGTGCTAGTTTGAGTACTGCAACGAACTGGGCATTCAACTGGCTTGTTGGAGAACTTACTCCTGTGCTCCAGGAGGCCATTCACTGGAGACTCTACCTCATGCATGCGTTCTTCTGTGCCTGCAGTTTTGTCGTCGGTAAGTTTATCCTACTTCAATGACTAATATCATGGATCAGTTTGTAACTTACTCTCTTAGTCTACTTCCTTTATCCTGAAACTAGTGGCGTTCGCCTCGAGGACATGGAACTTATCTTCGACGATGCTCCATCCGCTGCCCCTACTCCAGCTACCCAAGCCGAGCGCGGCTCTCTCATGGGAGGCGTTGGCTCGCCGTCATCATTCGACATCCGACGCGGCAATGAGGCAGGAGGACCATCTATTCCTACCCTGCATCTCAACCCGCCCACTCCTAGACCTGGTTCCATGGCTGGGAGGCTGAAAAAAGCCTCTGAGGGTTCCCCACATCTCCGCCCAGCGAAAGCAAAGGCGGCATTGGAGCATGGATTTCCAACCTTATCAACCGCGGTAAGGACAAGAGGAACACAGGCGATCACAGCCAGTATCGTCAGCTCGGACAGCATGAAGAAGAGTAAATATAAATCTCCTTTTCTCATCTTCATCTTTATAGGCGTTTGCATATAGGTCGCATCGAAGCTCGATAGAAAAGCAATATGCTTGCTTACCTTTTGGATCGGTTGCTTTCATTTGTTAAGGATAAGGCACTCGCCTCCACCATTCATCTCATCAATATCATCATATATCATAATCATATATAACCATCCCATCTACCCATTCCACCCTTTTTTTTAACATTTCCTTTTACAAACTGTTGTTATACCAGCTTTTCGGCACCCCTAGTGAAACTGGGTTTCATGTGGGAATAAATGTATGCTTACCTTTTTCTTTCTCTTTTTCCTTTTCTTCTGTGTCTATATCAATCATCATCACCCTCTCTCTTGACTCTCGGGAATGAGGTATACCTTTACCGGCATCGTCTTTCTTCGGTTGATCATGATCTTCACACTATATATATGCGCACACGCACAAACGCACACAACCACACAATGTCCTTATAAAGAGCTTATCGGGGGTGGTATAATATGGCGACTCGAATAGACGTGGGCAACTATGAATAACTTTTTTTACATTTCTTTACATGCCCGTCGTGGATATATATATAATCCCTACTGCTCAGGAGGCAAGGGTAAGCTTCCTCCCATGTCGCAGGTTCAGGGGTCGGGCTGGTTTCAAGCTCTGGAGGGCGGACGGAGGCAAAATACACATCGGTAGTTATATAGAGAGAAACTCACCGGCAGCTATGTAGTATATACTTGGTGCAATAGAAGAATGCCTCGCTCTCATCTCTCTATCTATCCTCAACCTAGGTAGCTATCAATCTATATATCCTGTAGCTGCCTGTACTTTTGATGTATACTATCACGTGACTCTAACTGCCCACCTTCGACTTTTCTTCTTCTTCTCCTGCAGCTTTTCTGCTCTCGCTGCAGCTTCTATCGACCATTGTTTCACTTCTGCATCTTCTGCATATCGTGCATCTTCTTCATCTTTCATGCTGTCGCTTCTCGTGCGCTTTCGTTACTGCGACCGCTCAACGCCGTACGTGGCCTCATCTTGTCTCCGCCCTTAGAGTTCCGCCATCAGCCCCTTTTTTCTATTTCTAGCTCTGCCTTAGCCGCAACTCTGTGTCTGGGATCCCAAGCCACTTTTCTTCTTCCTCTTCGCCTTCGACCGGGAACCAGAGACACATTTCGCTTCTGTTTCTTCTGCTTCTTCAGCTTCTTCAGTTCTTCTTCACTCCCATTGCAAGCTTGCTGGAAGGGTTTGTTTCCGTTCTTTCGTTAAGAGGGATGTTTTAATCGAGTCGTGGTGGTTCTTCTTCCTTTTCAGCCACTACTTGTTCTATCTATCCCATTTAAAATAACTTGTCAGCGGTCTTTTCATTTCTCTTCTTTCTATCTAATTCCAATTTAATATCTTTTACGACCGGCCGGACTGGCTCTTCGTTGGCTTCCCAAGAATGGCGGCCGACGATAGAGCGTTTGCTTCTGGCTCCTCGCCGAACGCAGAAGTGCGGAGGAGAAATGTGCCTGGTGCAGAGAAGAGCGGCGCCAATGTCCCGATTCCCAGCATTGAAGTCGACGGCAAGAAGCTGAAGGAGAAGGTATGGCAGTTCTCTTGCAACGGGATTAGAGGCTCGGGTGTGACGTGCTAACGTGTCATTTTTTTCTCCTTGCACAGTCCCCTTCCTTCTGTGAGGTTCTCGATGACCTCGAAGTGTTCATTGCCCCATTGATCTTCACCGTTCTGGCCTGCTTCACTCGCTTGTGGCGCATTGGTCTTTCGGACATCGTTACGTGGGATGAAGCTCAGTAAGAACCCGAGACCGACGCTCTCATGTGCTGTACATATTCTGGGTTGGATGGTTGCTGATATACGCTGCGTCACTTTAGTTTCGGAAAGTTCGGTTCTTACTATATCAAACGGGAATTCTACTTCGATGTTCACCCTCCGCTGGGTAAAATGCTTATTGGATTGTCGGGTTTCCTGGCTGGTTATAATGGTTCTTTCGAGTTCAAGTCTGGCGAGAAATACCCACCGGAAGTCAACTACACCTTCATGCGTGTATTTAACGCCTTCTTCGGTATCATGTGCATCCCGCTTGCATACTATACCGCTCGAGAGCTTAAATTCCGCCGTCCAGCCGTCTGGCTTATTACCCTTATGGTGCTTTGCGAAAACTCCTACGCTACGATTTCTAGGTTCATTCTTTTGGATTCTATGCTTCTTTGCTTCACCTTCACCACTACCCTTTGCTGGGCACGATTCCACCGACTTCGACATGATAGCTTCTCCCCCGAATGGTATATCTGGCTTATCTTGACCGGCTTGAGCATCGGATGTGTCTGCAGTGTAAAATGGGTTGGACTCTTTTGCACTGCCTTGGTCGGTCTTTATACCATTGAAGATCTCTGGCACAAGTTTGGAGATCTAAAGATGCCAACGGTATTCATCCCTTTCTTGCCTTGCCTATTACGTTATGCGGTGACTAACTAAAATATATAGACGGTCCTTGCTCACCATTTAGGAGCCCGTGTTTTTGGTCTGATCATTGTACCATTCCTGGTGTACATGTTCTCCTTCTATATCCATTTCCTTGTTCTTGAGAACTCTGGTACTGGTGATGCTCAAATGAGCTCTTTGTTCCAAGCTAATCTGAGAGGAACCAATGTTGGAAAGGACAGCCCTCTGGAGGTTGCCATTGGATCGAAAATCACAGTGAAGAATATGGGATACGGAGGTGGCCTGCTACACTCTCACGTTCAGACTTACCCCGAAGGCTCGGGCCAGCAACAGATCACTTGCTACCACCACAAAGACTCGAACAACGAATGGTTTATCTACCCAAACCGCACTCAGCCAGATTATAATCCAGAAGGCCCTATCGACTTCATTGGTGATGGAGACGTTATTCGTCTCATCCATGCTCAGACTGGCCGCAACCTACACTCTCACACCGTGCCAGCTCCAGTCACCAAATCTCAGTATGAAGTATCTGCCTATGGAAACACCACTGTCGGTGACGCCAAGGACCACTGGACTATGGAGGTTGTCAAAGATGTAGCCTCTAGAGACAGGTCGAGAATCAGAACTCTCACCACTGCCTTCCGCCTACGCCATACTGTCCTGGGCTGTTACCTCAGAGCTGGCGGTGTTAGCTTGCCTCAGTGGGGATTTAAGCAGATTGAGACTACCTGCACCAAGGAGAACCGGCCATTGGACGTGTATACTCATTGGAACATCGAGTCGCACGTGAATGAGAGGCGTATGTACTCCCTTTTTTCAGCTTCTTTTCTATAATATAACATAAAACCTGATGCTAACATATCTAATATACAGTTCCCCCAAGTGAACCAGGCGCTTACAAGTCGCCCTTCCTCAAGGACTTTATCCACCTGAATGTTGCCATGATGACTTCCAACAACGCTCTTGTTCCTGACCCAGATAAGCAAGATGACCTTGCATCCAAGTTCTGGCAATGGCCAATCCTTAACGTCGGACTCCGCATGTGTTCTTGGGACGACAACGTCGTCAAGTACTTCCTCCTCGGAAACCCACTCGTCTATTGGGGCAGTACCATGAGTCTGGGTGTTTTCAGTCTGATCGTCGTCTGGTACGTGCTTCGCTGGCAACGTGGCTACAACGAACTCAGCATGGCTGACATTGATCACATCCACTATTCCGGTATCTACCCCATTGTTGGCTGGTTCCTTCACTATCTCCCCTTCATGATCATGGCCCGTGTCACCTACGTCCATCATTACTACCCGGCCTTGTACTTTGCTATCTTGACCATGGCTTTCTGTATCGACTGGTTCACTCAGAAGCTTAACCGGAAGGTCGAGTGGGCCGTCTACTCTGTCCTCTACATCGCTGTCATTGGCCTGTTTGTTCTCTTCAAGGACATTGTGTTTGGTATGGAAGGCTCGAACCAGCAGTGGAAGAGTCTCAACTGGTTGAGCACTTGGAAGATTGCCAACCGATAGACGAGCAGCGGTGTATGTATGAATTCACATCTATCATATCTAGTGCTGGTGAACGAAGTCACCGGCAGATGAAATGAGAGATATTTTCAGACATAGCTTTGCCGTCTTGTTATGACGGTAACGGATCAGGGGGGCTGAGAAGTTGCTCTAGAGAGGCTACGGGCCAGATAAAAAAACGACAGTAAGAGATTGGAAATTTCTGTATTCTAATAAACACTTCTCACTTTTTCCGTTCTATATAAAACAAAAAGAAAATTGGCTCTAATGAAATATTAATCATAAAAATCTACGGATAAGTCCTACCCAAACCGATCCTATCCACAAGCCTACCAGATCTCATAGCCCGCATCTAGTTCTTGGTACTGCTCCGGTTCAGCCGAGGAACAAGCCTGGTCAGGACTGAGATCTGGAAATCATGATCATATTCCCAGGACCCCGCCGGAAACCATTTGCAGCTCAGGACCTTAAATCCTCTTCTCTTCCAATATCCCTCCGTGAGATCAGTCCTAGTTCTAACCCAGAAAGTCAAAGGCGAAGAATCTCCGGGCACTCCCGTTTCTCGCTCCCGCTGTTGTGCAGCAGCATCCAACCTTTCCAGAAGGTCATCCTCTAACATCTGTACACAGCGAACAGCCAACCCTTTACCCTTCAGCGAGTCATCAAACGGCATGACAGAGACACAGGCTGGTTCCCAGTGTTTTACAGCGAGTAAATCCTCCGGCTCTGGGTCGTAACCTATTACACAGATATGATTAGCCAGGATTCCTTTTTATTTGCTTTTTTGTCTGTGGCATGGCCAGTCCGGATCGCAACTTTAGATAACTATAAATCCACGACCATGTGTAATTTTTATAGATATAATAGCTAGGAAGGAAGCATGGGGGGATAGACGTAGCCATACCGATGCCCTTCTCGATGTCGCCGTCTAGTTCTCCCTCGATGGGCCGAATGCCGAGATACGGCTTGAAGAATTTTATCGTCGCACAGGCAACGGGTTCATTGATGTCTATCTCACGCTCCCCTTCGTCGGCTACAGCAGCAGTGCCACTGGTTCCATTGCCGTTGGCATGACCATTTGTACCGTTGGAGTGTTGTTGCTGCCGGCTCTCCTTCGCCTTGTATCTGAACAGGATGACTATTCGACCATGCTTGCCGATCCACGGAATGAACTGCTCTGGGGAGTTGAACCGGCCCTTTTTACCGTCCGAGTTGACAGCGACGCCGTCATCGCGCCTGAATGCGAAGTTGATCAGTCTCTGCACTCGGGGTAGGCATGGATGGCGAAGCAGTTCATCTATATCCAGCATCAAGGAGCCGAACTCCTCGCGGCGCTCTTCAGACGACGCAGGAATCACTGCCATGGCTCTTCGGGATGTCGACTGATCGATGGACGAAGTTATGAAAAGAGTATGGCCAGTTGTTGGTAGTTAAATAAGAGGCAACTGAATAGATAAATGGCGAATTGAACTCTCGGGTAATTTAGGTAATATGGGTATGGCGGCTTATCAGATGGAACGTACCCCTACTTACGGCGCGAGGGGCTTATATATAGGTTTTTACTACGGTCCTTGACCTCCTGCGATCGTGACTCATGGCAAAAGAAGCTGCTATCGAGTTAACTATCTTGCTGAATACGAAGGCTTTAACACAGGAAACCCCGTTAAGTCCGTCTCGTGGCGTTTGCATCGCTTTCAAGGCGGATATAAACTGATAACTCGAGATTGTGGGCTGTAGTTGCAGAAAAGGGTATGTTTGCACCCTTCGGGCCTCGGGAAGGCAAAGGGCGTGCGGCTCGCGGGCGTTAGAGGCGGGTGGAATTACGAGTCGCAATGGGGCAAAGTCGGCTGAGATGCAGGCGGAATTGAACAGCCTTAGAGGTCAGTAACAGCCGTGGAGAGCAAATAGGGTCCCCCCACGTCGAGGGATAGAAGATATCTTATCAGATGGAGGCGATGCAAACACTCGGTAACTCTATTGCTCCCACAGGCACCATGGAAAAGCCGTTACTGGTCATGATAAAGACAAAGATGAAGGAAGTAGACAAGGTTTATTTAGCTAGTTAGTTAAATTTGGCTACAGGTGCTCGTTATCCTTGTTACATGCAACTATGGCGATGATAGCGACCATGCTATCATGATTCGTTTTTAGCCTGTATAGTGATAACTAACTAATATTACGCAGCCAGTAATTAAAGAGATAGTTATTTTAAATAGCACCTTTTTATATGGGTAATACTTTATATACCGTAACTACCTAAGCACCTCCCTCTTCCCTTAAGGATACTTACTTTCTCTTCCCGGGCCTCTCTCCGTACCTCTCCCTATACCTCTCCTTATGCCTCTCCCTAGGCCTCTATCTAGGCCTTTTACTCTCTCTAACTACGAAATTCATCGTCCGCCATAGAAACAGAGCTTGAAAGGGTAAGCGATATTCAAGGTAGAAGCCTCCGTGTTGACTTGAGCAAACGCCTTCATTTTGATTGGACTTGAGGATGTTGACGCAGCGAACGCTCTTGCGCCTGCTGAGTTTCTCTCACGGCTAGACGGTCAGTAACGTGCTTCAGGCATGTTCAATGCTATAGTTATATGTAACATACCTCCAAAGAGTTGCTAAATTTTATAGTCCATTTGGGACGGCGAAAGGTCAGCTTCGATCAGTGCAGCGACTATATACTAGTACCCTTTAACCCAGCCCTTCTCTCCTTGGTTACGGGTTGGCGACGGAAATAACGAGAGTAACCTCGTAGAAAGTCTGTTCCTTTCGCTCATTTCTTATGAATTATAGGTAAAGTTAATATCTTCGTCCTATTCCTCGCAAAGCACGCCGTGCGGAAGGGGTAAGGAGAAGCTAATAACAACTTGGTTCGCCAAAAAACTCACGCCCATATGGTATTATAGGGCGGACTCAATTCGGCCCAGCTCACCCTTACTGAACTCTCTTCCTCTTGTCAGCAGATTAGCGTACTGTTGATGTAGCCTGGAGTTGGGGGCAAGAGAATCTCGTCCAGGGAAGCTTTGCAGGTATTTTCTAGCCAGCCGGCGAAGCCCTCTCACGTATGATCGGGGACGGTATCAAGTCAAGGACGGGGTACTGCTGTCTATCTCAGGTAAATCCTGGAACGTTGTCTCGGTTGGTAAAGCAACATCTAGGCTCTCCCATTTTGATCGGAAATCAGCGAGCGGAATCCCTCTGCGTTTGAATCCATTCGCTTCTTAGTCGTTGTGCTCAACACTAAGCGAGATACTTTGGACACTTTTACCCTCTGAGAGTGGACGACTTTTTGTCCATATGTCTAAGGGTATGCTCACATCAGTAGATAGATCTCCTGGATCTAAGGTTGAGGTAACAGCCCAGCCACCAGAAGCATAAGGCGTGGATATTATGGTAAGCTCAACCTCACTGCCAACGATACTGGCTATGTCCGATACATTCAAGTCAAAATCACAATTCGACTTTGTAGGATCCGATATACCGAGCTCATTACCACAATTACGACCTCCAATAGTAACTAAATTTGTAAATTGGCCACCATGGGCAAATATAAAGACGAAAAGGGGCTGGTTTAGCTACCAAGCTAAGGCAGATTCATGGCGTAAGACATCAATAAAATAGGGTAAGAGGTTTGTCGATGGAGTGACGTGAACGTCATTTAGCTCTGCTGCGACAAGACTGTTACCTAACACTGCTCGCCGTGGGGTATATGGGTTGCCGTGTAGATATGATCCGTATTTATGTAGTAACGTCGTCGGCGAGTCACTGTAGCACCAGGTCTGGGACGTACCTTGCCCATGTAGGAGGGTGTGAAATGCAAAGAAGTCCGAATAAAACCACCCATCTTCCTTTAGGATGGCTGCGTCACTGGTATCATCACCTATGCCGCATACTGCGACAATACGGGCGTCTGGGCTTATATCTGGGTGAGTTTATGATAGCCTCCATGGTCTTGGAAAAAACCGCTAAATGTATCAGATATCCAGGATCCATTGGACCTTTCAGTACTGCGTTCCATAACTAACTACTCCCCACCTTTTCTCTTATTTCTAAGCGAGGAATGGATAGCTAGACAAGTTATAACAGCAGACACCTGGCGACCTCAGCCACTTTTATATCAGAAAGCGACGATGGCGAAAGTGACGATACAATGACGAAGGTGACGGCGGCTGAATGTAACATTAGATATTACATAATAAAACTATGACTAAGCTGAGATGTTGTTGAGGCTGAAAATTTGTTGGTGAACTCGAATATTAAACGCCGGGAATATAATGGTAAATGCGAAGGAGGGCGTCCAAGGTACATTAAAATCGGTAAGGTTAAGGCCCAATAGACACGGGCAGATGGACATAAAAATGTCGATGCATGCAGGTAAATGGGGTAAAATATAGATAATAAAACAAGCAGAGGCAGAAGTAGCTGAAAAGAGCCTGGAACGCAAGCAAAGCAAAAAAAAAGGGGGGTATAAGTATGTTGCTATGTATATGATTCAACAGCACCCGCCAGTCCATCCACGGTTGCCTCTCCGCATGGCATCGTTGACGCCCAGATTGACTGTCCGCGGTACACGTCCGTTGCCGGGCCCAGCTGAGGCACCGTACCCCTTGACTCCGCTCCGCCGGTCATTTAAATCGTATTTATTACGCTGTATATTTCTGTATATTCGCTCAGCTACTTCTCGGAACGCTCGTTCGACGTTCTCGCCTGATTTGGCGCTCGTCTCGACGTATCTGACGACGTTATTCTGTCTGCACCATTCCTCGGCCTCTTCGCGAGTGACGCGTTGTGCCTTATTATCACCACTATCGGTATTGGCACTGTCGGGGTTATCGACGTCCTTTTCTTTGCCCTTTGAGTCGACGAGATCACTCTTATTGCCGACCAGTATAACGACGATTCGCTCTTCGGCTATCTGTCGCAGGTCCTGAAGCCATTGAGTCAGGGAAGCAAATGTCGGGGGCCGAGTAATGTCGAATACTAGCAGGGCGCCGGATGCACCGCGGAAATAAGACCTTGTGATGGATTTATATGTTTCCTGCCCTGCTGTGTCCCAGAGCGAGAGCTTCATCCGTTTCTGGACTGGTGGCTCCGACGGCTTGGTGGGAGGCGGAGGGAGCCCCGAGAGGCTTCGTGGGGATGGCGGAACGGATTTGTCGCTGGCAAATTTCCCATTCTTAGTATTGATGGTTTGGCTGTTGATGGTGCCTGTAAAAGACGCCGAGGGTGTGAGGGCAGAGGGAGTTGATGCTAGCGAGGTGTTGTCGAAATTGATCCCTATCTCGTCTGACGCTGGCGGGCCAACAGGAACTATCCTCGAGCCGAACTCTACCCCGATAGTCACATCGTGGGTGGTGCTAAAGCGGCCCTCGCAGAGACGGACGGTGAGCTGTTGAAGCCAACAAAAGCAGGTTAGCAATCGCAGCAAAGAGGTAAAAAATGCACTAGGGGACAATTGCAGGGACTGAGAATGGAACATGGACTTGCGCACACTTGATTTACCTGTGCCAGAGTCACCGATACAGACGAGTTTCGCAATGTAATCCCATGGTGGGCTTGACATGAAAGCAGGCCCCGACTCGGTGCTTGTTTTCCTTGTGGTGAAGGCGGGTGGAAGGGGAGGGCAAGTTGACGAGCCCTTGCGGTTATATGTAGCCGCCAAACAACAAGGCCGAGGAGCAGCCAGGCAGGACCTTGGGGAAGAAGCAGTAAACTATGAAGCCGTCCGAGGGGAAGATTTGGTCAAGATCGTGGGGTAAAAGCGAGAGAAAGCGGGCGTGAACTATAGATTGGGTTGAAATTTGGGCATCGAACTCGGCGAGGGAGAGAGGGTAGCTTAGTTATTATAGGTAGCTTTGACGTGCAGCTGGCTGACGACGGCGGCGGCGGATGAGCAAGTGCCGGGCCAGTTATAACTAGCAGTTAGTTAACTATAAGAAAAGAAAAGGCGAAGTCGGTTGACGGGAGAGGAAGAAGAAGAAGAAGAAGAAGAAGAAAGAGAAAGAGAAGGAGAAGAAATCTGCCCGCGTTGAGAAAGTGACTGTTTGTCTGTTTATTGTTGTTCTCTTGTCTCGGAGGAGAAGAAGAAGCAAGTTTGGGCAAAAAGCACGAGAAGCGACGAGAAAGAGAACGACCAAGAGAGGAGAAAGAGGCGGCTTGCTCGCTCCCCTTGCGGCCTAGCCCTGAGCCCTGGACGAAGTACTACGAGGTATCTGGGCAGTGGCAGCTGGCAGCGAAGATACTTGGACGATACTTCGGCTTCGATCGAGAGCTGCTGCCGAACGTCATCCCTCTCGCCCTCATTCCAGGAAGAAGAAACCATACAAGAAGAAAACATAAGAAGCAAGACGGGGAAGAAGGTGACATCTTGTTCAGCCTTGGGATACGAGGGAGGGAGAGGCTCTGGCATCTCTCGCACGGCATACTTGGCCCGCCAGCCAGCTACTTTTTCGAGTTCGCTCTTTTCACGTCTCTTGAGGGCCGCCTACAAGGCAGGATGGACAGTCCTCTGGCAACTGTACTTCTTTCTGCCATCTGACCTGGCCCTTAACTCAATAGTCAACGAGTTGAGTTAAACTAGCTGTGTCCAGAAGAGCCCTGCTCGGAAGAGATGCCGCGTCTATTCCAGTTCACTAATGCATGCTCTCTCCTGCTTCTGCTGCGAGAAACAGGACGGGCCTGGTGGCAAAACGTAGGCACAGCCAGACGCCTGTCTGAGTTCTGCAGAGTCTCTGGAGCTCTCTCTCTTGAGTTGATCGGCTTTCCGTTGCCTGCACGGAGTAAGCAGAGAGAGCTGACTCCTTGAATCAAGACCGAACAGAATCCCTCGGCCACCATCCGAGGACAGACCTCTGCAGGCGTGTAAATTGAGAGCCAGGCAGCCCCTGCTGAACATAGTACTATTATTATCGTTATTATTCCCAGTGTGCGCTATTCTTATTCTCTTCGGGCCAGCTGGTAGGCCATGTTATCTGCGAATATGACACTGTTTAGCTTCGCGTAAAGACCGTTGAAGACGCCAGGATGAGGATGACCACGGGAGGAGCTCAACTAGTCAACGCTTGACCCAGGCTGGTGACTCTTTCTGTCTCTCGCGCTCTCTCGCGCTCTCTAGGCACCAACCGTCGCTTCTCGAGGCCAGGCAGCAGCTACAGCCACATGCTGCACACAGTCTTCTCTTCTCCTCTATCATCGCCATCATCTACTTCTTCTTCATCATCATCTTTGTCTCTTTGTCTCGTCTCCTCATCTTTTGACGACGTCTAAAATCCATGTCAGGTGACAAAGGCACATGACTGCTGCTTACCTCAGCATATCGTCACCGTCTTCTCTCTCTCTCGCTCTCGCTTTTCGTTTCTTCTTCAACTTCGTCTCTTTTTTGCTATTTTTTTGTGCTTTAGGAGATTCACCTTCTCGTCTTCACTTTCGCCGTATCCTTAGTCTGCTGCTTATGAACGTCCTGCGCAGGAGGAGGAGTCTGAGGTGCGGTGCTGCCTTCTCTGGAGCTGCTGCTTAACTACTACTGCTGGCTGCCGTATCTATTCTTTAAACCTTCCGAGCGCTGGTCAGTAGTAAATGACATAACACAGCGAGCTCTCGACCCAAGACCAGACACGCTTCCTCCTCGGCCGTAGGCGGTCCCTGATATGACTCAATCTGCTATCCATGAAACCAGATAGTCTGTTTGCGAAGAAACGAGTTGCTGGTAGAAAAGAGCTGGGTAGCTCGCTCATCATACGTCACTAACGAAGCACCGACCGCACAATCGATAGACCTCCTCGAGTCGACCATGTTTTCAGAATGTGCGATAGCCTCCTATATTATCTTCTCTCTTTCCTACACTGTTGCGAGCTTGAAACTAATATAACTCTCTGTAGATGCGTCTCGTTTTCTCTCACAGTCACAGTCCCGAATAGCACCCGGGGACGGCTCTCCCCCACGGGAATTTGGAGATCGAAGTCGGAGGCCTGATCGACAGGCCTCCCGCCCGCCTCCGTCACGACCTTACCTGCAACGAGCTCTAGGGAATCCCTATTCCTCCACAGCTTCTCAGACCTTTGCCTTTTCACCACGGTCGTCTGTACATCACGCACCGCTCTTTCACAGCAATACCGAGCAACTTCGCGAGGAAGACGACGAGCGAGAAGCTGCTGATTTTTATGCCCTGCAGAGATCAAGACGGCACTTTGGCGCAAGTAGGCTAGCAGAGTCCTCTGAAGCAGACGAGGGAGATGACAGTAAACATTCGGAACACAGTACAGGCCAAGCAGATGAATTCGGAAGAGGGACGGGAATACGAAGCTCATGGCGTGGAAAGGCTTCTGTTAGCGGTCCGGTAGGGAAAACAGGCACCAATACCCTAGCAGAACAGCCTGAAGAAAGCGAAGAAGATGCCATATCGATGTCTCACGGCACCTCCAGTCCGGGGAAGGGCAGAATGGTTGATATACGGCTGGAAGACTCGATCAAGACAGACGCTGTGAACGTTGATTATGACGACGATGACCCGCCTCCAGAATTCACAGCCGGTGGGCCGCCGATACGCCAGTTTCAAAATCAGTCCAGTCACCTGGGTGACGACGAGTTCCAGACCAGTTCTGGATTTATGGACCGAGAGTCCGACAAGCAGGCCTTGTTAAACAACCCTAGACCGCCCAGCTCCATCGCCTCCGAGATGCCTGCGTCCGTGGCCCGCGGGGAACCTGAGCCTCCCATGCATGACATGTTCTGGGGACACATGTTCTTGCTTTGCCTGAGCGGCTTATTCGCGACCTCGTTCATAGTATACCTTCACACTACCGCGCCGACTAAACTCCCGCTCCTCGGAGACACCATCTATGCTACTCTACACTCTTCGTTTGGTCTCCTGGGAACGTATACCGTAATTTCAATATTTGTGGCCCTGCTCTGGCTGGCGCTGTTGCGATCTTATGTTCGGCCCCTGGTGTTTACTATGCTAATTGCAGTTCCTGTCATTCTCATTTCCTTCTCACTATACCCGTTTATTTCTAGCTTCAAGGGTACCTGGCATGGATCCAGTATCCAGGATAAGGTCATGCGATGGGGGTCGCTAGTCCCTGCAGTCATGGCTGCAGCTTGGATCTACTCCGTCGTCAAGGGCAGGCATGCGACAGGCAAGGCAATTGATATCCTGGAGTTCTCATGTCGTATTCTAGCCGCAAACCCAGCGCTGCTTCTCCTGGGATTTGCAACAATAGCCATCATCGCGCTCTGGAGTTGGGCATGGATACTCATGTTCACCCGTGTCTTCCTCGGTGGGCATCTCGCATCCGGAACCAAGAAACTCTTCATCATCGATCTCGGTACCTGGTGGCTAGGCATCTACTTCATCCTCGTTTACCTCTGGTCTCTCGGCGTCATCGCAGGCATCCAGCGGACTACCACTGCTGCCGTCGTTAGTCAGTGGTATTTCCACCGCAATGCAGTTCCTTCGCCTACGTCTCACGATGTAATTCGGGCTGCCTTCACTCATGCTCTGACTACTCTGTTTGGAACAATATGCCTTTCAACATTGCTATCCCTTATGGTTCGCCTTCCCCTAATCGTTCTCCCTCGCCGTATATCGTCCGTGATATCACTAGCTGCCTACTCTTGTGTTCCCACGCCGGTTGCTGCACTCACCAACCCTCTCACCCTGACATATGCTGCCATCCACTCCCAGCCCCTAGTCACTTCAGCGCGCAGTCTCAACCAGATGGTCTTCCTAGCTCCCTCAGCCGCGACGGCTACGACATTCCACCCGCGAACCTTCTCCGACTCGAGTCGTACAGACTACTATTCCTCCACTTTAATGCCGTACCGTCTAGCCAAGATGCTTCTACATGCCACACGGTTCATGATGTCTCTTGCCCTCGGCTTCGGGGGCTGGGTATCTACCGCTCGCAGTCTGCAGGTCTCCGGCGCAAACGGTGGCAAAAGTCCTACCATCCGCGGCAGCTTGTACGCTTACGTTGTTGGCTTGATCGCAGGAACGATTGGATGGGGCGTGCTATCTGCTATGGAAGGGGTACTTGCCGGCGTCGTCGATGCGGCTGTCGTTTGCTGGGCGAGTGAAGTCGGCAGCGTACGACGAGAGGCTCGCTACTGCCGCGAGGCCGGCCATCTGTTTGGCGGCGGTAGTGCGGACCGTATGGATATAGAGGACAGACCAGCACGGCTTGACTAGTGAGTGCGTTATGGTCCTGTCGACCTGCACACAGATGCAACCTTTTTTTATTTTTTTTTTTTGGAACCCGTCTTTGATAGATACGGGTATCTCGAGGTTATTGCTATTACACCAGGGGTCTTCTTTGTTTTGCCATGCCATGCCATGCTATCATATGCTGTGTGTGCTATGCTTTGCTTTGCTTTGATTATGGACTTTTTCTTCCATTGCATGAGCGGGGGAGTACCTGTAAATACAGCGTTGCTTCTTTTTTTTTTTTTCCCAAACTACCAACCATGTCTTTTTAGTATCATTAATCCACAGAATAAATTGAAAACCTATCAATCAAATCTTCAACTTTTTTGATACTATTGATAAATCTCTGACCAAAAATAGAGAATAATAGGTCAAAGAGGTATTATCATATCTAAGAACAACGTATGGTATGGTAAATAATACACTCACTCCAGAGAGTTAACAGAAGAAGAAAAGAACAAACAACAACTATCATCCCGGAGGTCGCATATTCAATTCATCGCAGAAACCATTTTTGTTTTGTTCCCCTTTCATTCTTTCTTCATAGGCAGATAAATAAATCAACACCCATCCATCCATCCATTCCATTCCATTCCATTCATCCTCACGCCCTGTTGCGCAATACTCCAGGCAAAACCAGGCAAAATCAACAAAGAAGAAAGGCCAAGTAAGTAAGTAGGCAAGTAATAGTTTCTAGAAACATCATCAAGGAGGGAGAACATGATGGAGAATAGAAAGAAGTGAGTAATTCAATTCAAAGCAAAGCAAAGGAAAGGAAATGAAGTAAAAGCAGCGCTGGTAAAACAAGCAGTGGTAGCAGGCCTGAAGGGCAGTGATCCTTCTTGGTATCATGTCATTAATTAAAGACGAGAATGGGCTAAGAAAAAAATGGAGAAGAGAAAGTAAGCATGGCAGGTCGAAGCAATGGTATCGAGGGGCGACTAAGGGAGCGGGGTACAATGAAATAGGAAATGTATGAATGTAGACGTAGACGTAGATGTAGCTGTTAGGCTGATAGTTAGACAAAAGCAGGATAAGATCAAAGAATGGAGAGGAATGGGCGGAAGGGAAGGGGTATCAGGTCGTAGACCCTCTGGGAGATGGATGCAAAAATTCTAATAACGTTGAAAAAAGGCTGGCTAGAAAATAGAGAAAGGAGGTAAGGAAAAGAAGAGTAGGGAGAGGGAGTGGAAGAGGCAGCTATAGGCCCAATCTACCCTTCCATTTGACTCCTTCTCTCTCACTCCACTCGTTCAGAAAAGCCCAGCCGAACCGGACGGCTTCAAGGGGCGTCGATGCGGTGCCCAGCGGGAGGTAAAAGTCGCCTCCATACTCGCCTAGTTTAAGCTGTTCTCTTCCTCGATCGGCGGAGCTTTTAAGCCGTTTCGACCAAGTGCCGGGGTAATGCTGTGCGAGGACGGAATCAGATAGCTCGCGGGATCCTTCAAGCCATAGACGACGAGCAACCTTGTACGATTCGGGCAGCCTAGTTCTCAGCTCTGCAAACTCTCGGCGCTGCTTCTTGGTTTCTTCGCTGGTTACGGTGTTGCCGTCGCTGCCAGGGGTTGGGGCAGGACTATGTTCATCGGGAAAGGGGGTGGTAGCTAATCGTTCTAGGTCGAGAGAATGGATTGAGTCATGGCAGACGGCACCAAGGAGGAGACAGAGACCATGAAGGTGTGGGTAAGAGGTTGTTCGGCTGAGGATCGCTTGCCAGTATGCTATGATGGAGCGCCAGCCGGTGGAGTTGCCGACTTGCCGACTGAGAGATTGGAAGCGTTGTTCGGCGATGAAGGCTAGGATAAAGCAGAGTAAAGCCTCGACTGCGATTGTGGCGCTTAGCTTATCGTCCTGGATATCATGGCTGGTGCTGTATTTGTGGGTCGAGTTGCGCTGTGAGGCATGCTTAAGATCACGGCCAAGATTGACAAATCTCTGATATTCGTCACGCCAACCGCGACGCTCTGACGGTTGTGCACTGGAAGATGGATGACTTTCCACAGAAAGAGACTGTGTCATCTTCACGCTTGTTGCGCTGCCGCTTGGAGTCTTCATGTCACTGTCCCCGGACCCTACACGGCGCATTGCAGTACCCTTGGGTTCCTTTTTAGGTGTGAGAAATTGGTCCTGCGAGGATGAAGGTGGGTGTTTAGTGGCTGAAGTTGATCTAGGAGTCTGCATGCTAGGTGTCGGAGCTTGATCGGCGAGGGGTGGTGCAAGCGTGTTGGAACTCCGTGGCCGTTTCAAAGCTGGCTCTTGGACATCATCCCCGTCCATTGCTTTTGGTCGCTTATACCCTGAACTGGGCTCACGCTGTCTTCCCGCGGAAGGGGCACTTCCAGGTTGAGGTGATGAATTTGACGGAGAACTCCTGGATATGACAATAGAATCTGGTAGGCCCTTTGGTTTTCCGGAGCTCTGTGTAGTAGTAGGCGTAGGTTTCCGCTTGGATGATATTTTTAAAAGCGCCTCGATTCGTTTCCTGTTCTGCCGGCCATACCTTAGCTTGACGATCAGCCTCTCCTTTGGAGCTGTTGTTGTGATTCGGGGAGGTGGTTGAGAAGCAGTTGTCTTCGAGGAGGTTGTTAATGGTTTTGGTGGGAGATTCGCGCTAGCCGATGATATACTGGCTGGTCTCTTCTCGGCGGCCATGGAAGATTGCTGGGGCTGTTTGGTTGATGATGAGGTTGAGCCCGACTTTGGTTTGCTGGGCACAATCTTGTTGGATATGCTGGAGATAGAACTAGAGTGAGAGCGGGAGGTCTTTTCTAGTCCGTCATCAGGCAGTCTGGCCAGTTCTTCCTCTATATCTGGCGGGAGGGTCGGGGATAGCAGAGGCGGCAGGGAGAGGCTGAAGCTCTCATTGTCGAATGGGAGCGTAGGGGAAAGCAGTTCCGGCACCATCTGATGGGCCCTTCCTGTCTTTTTTGTAGGCGTTTTCTCTTTCTCCCTCTCTTCCGGCTGAGCGGAGAGCCGTAGTTTCTTGCGCGGCGGAGATTCCTTTGGCAAGCTGGGTTTTGACGACGATGGAAGCTTGGTACTCTTATCTAGCCGGCTAGTACTGGCTGGTAGCGAGGGGTTATCTAGCCCGTTCTGCTTGGTATCATTGCTCCTGCCGCCAGTCCGGCTGTCAGGGGCGGAAGTTGAAGAGGTAGCAGGGGCCGTGGCCTGCGAAGGGTGATGGTGATGATGTTGGTGATGGTGGTGATGATGGTGATGTTTGGCGTCCGGCTTGGAGCTATTCGACTGCGGTCTGCGCAACGCCTTTTCGGAGTCTACACTCCCAGGCCGATTGCTGGCCGTTCCATTGGCCCCGTTGGTCGATAGTTCCGCTGCACCAGGCAGCGGTGTTGACGGTGGAGGAGTCTCCAGGGCCTTCTTCTTGTAATCACTCAGGGTGATTTTCTTCTTCCTCTTAGCCAGGGCGTCCTGCTGCGAGGCGGTAGTAAGTGGCGCCGCCATGCTAACGGCACTTGAGGGTCTCTGGTCCTCTTCTGGGACTATATTCCCCTTGTCATCCGACCAGCCTCCAACCGAGACGAGCAGCGTGTCTTCTCCCTGGTGCGGGAGAAAGGTCATATACTGCAGCTGTTCTTCTTCGGGAGAGAACAAGGTATTCTCTCCTACAGCCCAGTTGCTCACAAAGCGCGATCCCAGCCGGTATGGCTTCTCTGTTGGCACGGACAAGATGTATGGGTGGGCAGGCAGGACGTCCCGGGTGAGCTGCTTGAACTTGCGGTCGATGTCACTCAAATATGTTGAATAAGACCTCTTCCCAGACGACACAAGCGACGGCTTAGACGGTCTGTTATCGGAGTGTGGGCGTGTTTGCGGGCTGCGACTATCCGCCGACATGGCAAACGGTGTGGTAGCAGGCACAGATTGCGTGGATTATCGGGCTGCGAGAGTGGACGGCTGATAGACAAGAAGGAGAGGATGTCGCCTGAGACGGTCGAAGGCTAACATCCAGGCCGGCGGGCGGGAGCTGCAAGGCGGGAAGAAAGGGTCGCTTTTCGAATTTGTTTCGGCTTGTTGCAGGACTGTCACTGTCCAGGTATCAAAAGGGCTCCGAGATGTAACTATGAATGAGGCATTGATTGAATGCGCCAGGCCAGCCCATTCACTGCAACGCAGCACAATAAGAGCAACACAACAACGGCCGCGTACAGTGTCTCTAGACTCGCAAAAGTGTCCCGCTTTCATTCACAGCATCCCTCTGGTCGCATTTTTTTCTTCTGTTTGTTCCGGCAGTCGTGTTTGGCGTGGCTGGCGAATTGCGCTGGGCTGGGAGCGTGTTGTTATTATTATTATCCGTCCTTTTCTTTTATTTAGTGAATGATGTCAATGAGTTAACTACTGTCAGGGAAAGCGAGCGTCAGGTAGCCAGAGTATGTCTCGTACGGCCCTGATGGTGCTGATGATGTGTAAAAGAGCGTCCCCCCCTGTGCGAATCTTGCGGTGGCTCGTTTGGCTGCAGCGTCTGCGTTTGCGGTGCCTGCTGGGTCAATTCGAGATGCGTTGGCGGTCGGAGTGGGCTCGTCTTCTTCCCGTCTTTTTTTCTTTCTCTCTCTTTCTCTTCAGCCGTCGGGTAGCCACTGGGAGAGGCGCGATTCGACGGCAGACGGCCACTCGACGGGCTTGCTGGCTGCGGCAGGCGTGTCCTGCGTGTTTCCGTGGGCTGTTTGTCCCTGGGCTTGGGCTTTGGGGGCTGTCACCGGCGGGAGGGCGGAGGGCGGATCGCTGGCGGAAAGGTGCAGAAGCGACGACAAGGCTCGGGGCGGACGGCGACGGCGAGGTGCTTCATCGCCCTCGACTGGTGTCTCCTCCTCTTGTGCTGCTGCTGCTGCTGCTGCGAGACGGACTCGTTCGTCTGCGTCGCTTTTGTTCTTGCTGCGGTGGGAGGGAAGACGATGGGCTTGGGTTCGTCTGGCTCGCTGGGTTGAACAAGCCGCTAGTTCAACTAACTAACGCGACGGTCAACTATAACGAAGTAGCTGGACGAGACGGGCTACTTTGGTTTCACGCCAGATGACGGTGGACGACGAAGTACCGCTGCGTCTGAAAAGGGCCCGGCTGATGGACAAGACGGAGCGACAGGGTCTTTTCTTCTTTCTCGTCTCTTTGCTTTTTGCAGGTAAACACTTGACTAGATCACTTGGTGGCCACCGGGCGTCTACAGCGTCTACCAGGTCGACGGAAGGAAGAACGGCAAGTAAAGGAGTAACCAGAAGAAGAAGACGAAGAAGAGACCCTGGCTAATTGTGGTTAACTTAGGTAGTTATGTACAGGCCGTGATGCCGTTGACAGGCATAAGTGCGGCTGTTGGGCCATCTTGATACCCTGATAATATACACACAACCAATAGAGGAGATGAGAGATGGCAGGGAAAAAGGACAAAAGACTCGATGTAGATGCTGGTCGAAGGCTGGCATGAGAAGACTGAGCTGGATTGACAGCAATCTCTCTCTACTGGATCTCTCTCCATGGACATCTCGTACGGCAACACGGCATGAATTTCACTACCTATAACTCACCCGGCCAGTGAAGAATCTTCAAACACCAAACATCAAACACCATACGTCAAACATCTTGGTGTCAGATGGTGCGACGGATGACGAGGCAAGTGTTCGGTACTTGAATAATATAAAACCATCAGGCGGTTCGTTGGCTGGTTTTAACTATTTAATTAAGCATACAGACATCTCCCGGTCTATATCACAGCACTTGATAACCAGCGAGTCTAACTACCCAGTCACTGTGATCGGTCATCGGGATCAAATTTACTCTTCCAGGAGACCCAGTCAAGATATCTCATCAGATATCTCATCGACCTCGTCCGTCGTTAGCTTAATAGTTTAACGCCCCAAGGAACTCCTTCATGCTCTTCTCCTTGCCGCTGGTGGTCAGCGTCGCCTCGTCCTGGTCGATAGACCACCGGAGCAGCTTATCCCCTTCACTCACGCCGTATTTCCTAGCCAGCCGGCTGACGACTTCATCTACAGGCAAGCATTATGTCAACTGGTACCTAGCTTAACCACGTAGTCTAGGGACGTACCACCGGAACTGACGCCCATTCCCCAGATTTGCAGTTGGTACGGCAGCTATCCTTAGTGCTCCTAGGTGGATTCTCTTTCTCCCAGAGCAATCAAGCGTAACACTGACCTCGTCTCTTCTTACGCCTTCTCTCAGTAGCTACCTATGTAATGTCTTCTTCTCGTGTTCGAGTACTTGTTATGTGCCTGATGACATCATCCTGGTCAAGACTTGGGAAGGTCGAACTTTTACTTCGGCTGTTTAGTTAAATAAACCATCAACATCAGCATTACATTTAATAATAACACCAACTACTTCAGATTCATCTACTTGTTATATCGCTCGTTTGATCCGCTGAAAAGCGATATACTCCCTGGTTCATTACGCAAATCCGTCCAGTTCCATGCTCTTTAGAAACAGTCTCCCGCGCCGTCTCCCGCAGTCTCCTCTCTGTCCTCGCCTGTCCCAGATGGCCTCCCATCTCATCCGCAGCAGCAGCACGGCCGGCTCCAGGGACGAAAAAGACGACCAGCTATACTCCTCAACCACCACGGTGGATGCTCCAGGAGTCTCGCTGGCAGATATCAAGAAGACGAACAACTTCACCTCCAAGCTTCCACCGGATCCTGCTTTTGATACCCCTCTGGCGTCACACAATGCGCCGCGTGAACACCTGGGTCCTCGGCTTGTTAAAGGTGCGTTGTACACCTTTGTCAGGCCAGAGACTACCCAGGAGCCAGAGCTGTTGGCCGTTAGCCCTTGTGCGATGAAGGACATCGGTTTAAAGGAGGGCGAGGACAAGACGGACGACTTCCGGGACATGGTTGCGGGAAACAAGATATTCTGGAACGAGACAAACGGAGGCGTTTATCCTTGGGCTCAATGCTATGGAGGTTGGTTTTATACATTATCCCATGCCATTGTTGCGCTATAGAAGTATTAACTCGGGGTTGTAGGCTGGCAATTGTATGTTGCTATTTTATAACTTACATTGAAACAAGGTTATATACTTACGAAGATATATATAGTGGCACTTGGGCGGGCCAGCTTGGAGATGGAGTATGTTCCTGCCGTTTTCCAGCTTCAAATATGGTACTGATGTGTTGTAAAGCGTGCGATTTCTCTCTTCGAAACGATAAACCCGACAACAAACAGGCGCTATGAAGTTCAGCTCAAGGGAGCTGGCTTAACGCCGTACTCTCGTTTCGCTGATGGCAAAGCAGTCCTTCGCTCCAGCATTCGAGAGTTTATTGTCTCTGAAGGTTAGTGATTGTCAATTGATACCTAGATTGACGGTAAAGCTCACTGTTCTCCAGCACTAAACGCACTGGGTATCCCAACTACACGCGCCCTATCTTTAACTCTCTTACCAAACTGCAGTGTCAGGAGAGAAAAGCTAGAACCTGGTGCTATAGTCACTCGTTTTGCAGAATCATGGATTAGAATAGGCACGTTTGACTTGTTACGGGCCCGAGGCGACTTGAAGCTCACCCGCAAGCTTGCTACTTACGTTGCCGAAGACGTATTCCCTGGCTGGGAGTCACTTCCGGCAGCTCTACCTAATGCTCAGGAAAAAGACAAACCTGTCGATGGGGAATTGATAGACAATCCTCCAAGAGGAGTGCCCAAGGATGCGATCCAAGGTGAGAAGGGAGCAGAAGAGAATAGGTTTACCAGGTTATATAGAGAAATAGTACGCCGCAACGCAAAGACTGTAGCCGCCTGGCAGGCATATGGCTTCATGAACGGTGTGCTCAACACCGACAACACTTCTATTTTCGGCTTATCACTGGACTTTGGCCCATTTGCCTTCATGGACAACTTTGATCCAAGTTATACGCCCAACCACGATGACGAGATGCTGCGCTACTCTTACAAGAACCAACCATCTGTGATATGGTGGAATCTTGTGCGTCTCGGAGAAGCATTCGCTCAATTAATGGGAATTGGCGACAAGATTGATGACGAAACATTCCTCTCCACTGGACTGAGTGAAGAACAAAAACCAGATATCATCGCTCGAGCTGAGAAACTCATCGATCAAGCTGGAGATGAATTTAAAACGGTCTTCCTAAACGAATACAAGCGTTTAATGTCCGCACGTTTGGGGCTCAAAACACAAAAGGAATCTGATTTTAGTGAACTGTTCTCGAATCTTCTCGACACTCTCGAGAAGCTAGAGCTGGACTTTAATCATTTCTTCAGAAGGCTATCTGCACTCACGGTGGCAGAGATAGATAGCGATGACAAGCGGAAGACGGTGGCCAGCAGGTTCTTCCACGACGAAGGCGTTGGCGGCATTGGAAACACCGAAAAATCCGCGCGAGAGAGCGTTGCTAAGTGGCTTTCATCATGGAAAGAGCGTATAGTAGAAGACTGGGATGAGAGTCAAGATGAGGAGCGGATACGCTCCATGAAGGGGGTGAATCCGAAGGTAACCCACCACCATATTTTTAATCAAGGAAAGACGCGCATACTGACATACACTCTTTCCCTTTAACTAGTTTATTCCTCGGTCATGGATCCTAGATGAGGTAATCCAGCGTGTTGAAAAGCAAGGCGATAGAGAGATTCTGGGTCGAACCATGAACATGGCCCTCCGCCCGTTCCAGGAAGAATGGGGTATCAACAAGGAAGAGGAAGAGAGATTCTGCGGCGATGTCCCTCGGTTCAAGAGGATGGCAATGTGCAGCTGCAGCTCATAAGTTCACCCCTGCTACAACTTTCCGGTTTTATTTATTTTGTCCGGTCTGGGCCAGTGAAGACCATCGGGTAGATATGATGATATATCCTCTTCCCTGACACTTTGGTGGCAACAAATTCAATTCTATTTACTTCATGACGTTTACTTAGATTCAATATGAGAGTCAATTCAAAAATTGACTCCATCACTCTACTTAAACTCCAGCATGAGCCTCCCAAGCTACCATCAAATGCTCCATCCCTCGAGAAGAGGTTTGCCCCTTCCTTTTATATACCCTTTGGGGGGAAAACAAACAAACGGCTGGGTTGCTCCTACCATAAACCATGAACAGAAGAATTACAGGAAGAGATAGAAGGTCCGAGGATCGTGGACACATTCCCACTAATGCCTTCGCTAGCAGCGATGCAGGGAGCTATTCCGGGTCCAGCAGTGATATTGGAAGTGTACGAACAGCCAGCAGTGTCATCAACGGGGACGACGACGAAGAGGTGACGCTTCGCAGAGCCTTTGAAGAAAGCCTGAGACTGGAGAAAGATCGCCAGCGGCAGCACAGGGAAGCTGAAAAGGAAGCTATGAATAGGGAAGATGAGGTCCGCCGACAGTCTCTCCGGGAGGCCCAGGAAGCAGAGAGGAGAGCGCGAGAGGCCGCCCGCGCAGAGGAAGAGGCGATCCGGGCAGCGTTAGAAGCCAGTGAGCGGGAAGAGGCGGCAAGAGTAAGGAGAGTACGCGAGGATTTAAGGTCGATCGAGAAACGCTTTGGGGGTGGAGATGCAGCTAGCAATGGACATGGTTCGCAGGAGAATCACGAGCGGTCCTCTAGAGACCTGCGTTCGACTGCCCCTAGATCTAGACGGGGACATGATGCCGAAACGCAAAATACTGCAACCCGGACGGCTGAAAATCAGGCCACTCGAGGGAGAGCTCAGACTCCGGTCGACCCAAGGGAAGGTCGAGCGATAATAGTGTGCAGTCCCCGGGTGAGAGAGGCCATGGCTTGGAATTCTCGAGCCTACCTCATCCGCGGCTCAGAGCAGCCCAGCACCCCTCGCAAAACCGTTCCAAGCAGTTCTTCTTCCAGTGCATCTTTGGCCTCAAATCCAACTAGACCTGCACATCCAGCCAGATCCAGAAGCCCAAGCCCTCAATCCTCCAGGAGGTCCAGGCGGAGGTCCAGTATGCCACTCCATAACCGATCGCCCCCAACTGCAGAACATAATGCCATAAATCCAGCTGCTTATTCCTTACAAGATATCGTGGCGAGATCCGTCAGGGAGACCTGGTCTGGAGCCCCCTTGACCGAAGCGACCCAAGAGTCCAACGACTACCAATTGCAGCGAGCTATCAACGAGTCCGCTGAACAGCACCGAGATGAAGATGAAGAAGCTGTTCGACGCAGCAGAGGGATTCCAACCTACGAGGAAGCTTGTGCCTCGGTGCGGTACCGTCCCCCACCAGGCATGAGATACTCCTTTCAAGGCCCGGATGTCATTGAAGTCCCGAGAGAGAACGGTCCACCAACGAAGCTGAAGATCGTAGGGGATATGGACCTAGGAGAGGCAATGAGCGTTGCGAACCAACGGTTGAAGAAGAGAGGCATGGCACAGTTGAATTAAATCTGGCTCTCTATTTGATTCTTTTTGTTCGCAGCCGTTTTGTCATTTTTAAGTTCCCTGCTGCAGGTTTTGGTATGGCTGATCCGGGGGGCGTTTGCGGGTGTAATGGCGCTTCTGGCTGCTGGCGTTCATTTTGTATTGATTGCCTGTAACATAATGGAGTAAAGGAAAGGAGTTGGCCTAAGGAAAGCAGGCGTAATGGATATAATAGAAAATAGAGGATCACAACCTCCTTTTTCGAATGAAGTGATTTTGTCTGTCATTTTTGAGGCCAGAGCCAAACTTGGTAACATGAAGCCGCCATAAGGCCATGCGATAGGGCCGTAGGAAGGTAGCGAATCGTTAGACTGGCCGAAGGAAAGTCTCAAGACACCACAATTTGTAGAATTTAGAAAGAAAGGAAGATAGGGGGATTCTTGAACGGTCGAAACGGGTAATAATTGCAGTCGGAGAAAAAAGAAGAAAACGGCCGGTAATATCAATGAATCGTTAAAAGACATGAAGAAAAGGAAAGGTAAAAAAAGGGCTCGCAACATTGACAAGTCCCAGAAGGCTTTCTGTTCTTGGTTCACATATTTCCTCTCCTTCTTCCTCACACGCTTAAGCAAATCAGTCAATCTACTCCTTGCATTCATATTTTCATATCGTTCCATTCCTCTCTGTAACTGTCTCCTACACCTTGCTTGTTCTCCATTCAACGAAGCAACGGGTCTTGGGTCACGATGGGGAAACTGCTGAAATCGGGTTGTGCATTCACTCTGAGGCCATTCAAACATCTGAGGGGACTCTTCTTTCTTTAGCTTAATTGCGTAGACATGAGGTGAGGGCGAGGATAAAGGGGAGGTTGGCGATGGATGTATAAAGGGGCGCAGTTTGGTTCAATCACTGGGAAACGAGCTCAAATTCTTTTTTGTGTTTTTTAAAGTTCAGATTATTTTCAAATGCCGGGGGATGGTAGGTGTGCATGGATGCGGATGCGGGTTGTGCCATAAAAAAGTATTTATCCCCTTCTCCACGACATTTTTTTTACGGGGGTGTGTGCTGGGTTGGTCGTTTAGTTGGGACAAGCGGCCTGGACGTGACCGGCCTGCTTGCACTTGTAGCAGACACGCTCACCCTTGGCCTCAGTTGGGCAGTCTCTTGAGACGTGGCCAACTTCACCGCCTGGAGGGAGTTAGCAGTGGCACAGATGGATGTTCTGTATGGCAGGGAAAAACGTACAGTTGTAGCATTTCTGTCCTTGGGTGCAGTCACGGGCCATATGGCCGTATCCGCCGCAGGAGTAGCAGGTCTGCGAGCGGCCACCGTAGCTGCCGCCGCCGTACGAGCCGCTGCCGCTGTTGCCGTAGCCGCCGCCGTATCCGGAGCCGCCTTGCTGACTGCAATTACGAGCAATGTGGCCGACCTGGCCGCACTTGTAGCATTCCTGGCCACCAGATCCGCCAGAATAGCCGCCGCCGGAGTAGTTGTTGTCGCCGGAACCGCTGGATGGGCATTCACGGGAGATGTGACCGGTCATACCGCATCGGTAGCAAGACTTCTCCTTGGGAGGCTGGGTACACTCACGACCTAGACAAGAAAGAAAAAGAAATGGAGTCAGCTACAGAGAGATTTAAAACACACATAACGAATCCTTCCTTTTTTTTTTTGCGTTGCTTGAACACTCTCCTGCTCTCTCCAAAGCCTCTCTCCCCTTCACGTCTACATCTGCTCTCCGAGTGCAATGTCAAAAACTCACTGACGTGTCCCTGTCCTATAAACGTAGAAGAAAAAATTAAGATCTGCATACTTCCATGATGGTTGAAAAAAAATTCGCAAGTTGCATATTCCTCATGACATACCACCGCAGTTGTAACTGTATAGAACCAAGAATCTAGATTTTAGCAAGCGTTCCTCTTTTCGTTTTTCATATGTTTTGGTTTTTCTCTGGGAATGAATGGAGACGTGATATTTCTCTAGCATACCATGTGGGAGTTCCCTTCTTGGGGCAATCTCGTGCCTATCAGGGAGGAATTAATGTTATCCCACGGAGAGACGAAGAACGTGGCATATTAACCTGATGAGAGGATTCGCCACCTAGACGGTTCTGTTAGTAAAAGCGCACAGTAGAATGGAGAGGGAAAAGATGCGGTGAAAAAAATAAAATAACAAAATAGGAAAAAAAAATGAAAATGCATCCCAACAAGAGGTAAAATGGCAGGAAGAAGAGCAGCATAACAGTGCAATCTCATGCGCAGAGGCAATTGATATATCCTGCTATACCAGTCCATCGTCCGTCCATTCCATCACTCCACGGGAGAGAGTTGAGGTAGAAATTAGAGGCGCAACCCACAGTTGAAGCATCCACGACCGCTAGATTGGTATTCCATCTTGAATCAAGGCTGGCTCTTCCTTTTTTTTCCTTCTTTAAGTGCTTCCTTTTTGCTTTAACCCGGACTTGACGGAGGGTTGTGGTCTTTCCCTTTGCTTTCAGTGTCTTCCTTGATTTTGAAGAAGAGAATTCGTAAGAGAGAGATTCTTTTTCTAGAACAAGAAAAAGAAGACGATGATGATCAGTCTGAGATAGAAGAAAAGAAAACACGAAGATGAGAGAAATGAATATATTCTTTCTGGATTGTGTGTTGTTTGTGTGTGGGAGAAACTCGACGGCAGAGGAACAAGTCGAAGGCGGCTTTTCTCCCATGCGGCCCTAAAAGAGGAAGAAAAAAAAAAAAAAAAAAAAAGAGGGGGAGGCAAAAAAAAAGAACCGGGTTCGATAGACACACCAAAACGGAGACGAAGGCAAGGGACGAGAGTGGTTGTTGTACTTACCTGGCAGACGCTGAGGATGATGAAGACGAAGACGACGACGAAGACGAAGAAGAAGCAAAAGAAGAAGAAGACGAAGTTTTTAAGAAGCTGAAGAAAAAAAAAGTTGCCCTTTTAGTTGATTTTTGCCTTCAGTTCCGTTTTGGGACAACAAGACGAAGGCGGTCTGGCCGGGCAGTTTATATATATATATAAACATATATAAACATATAAACGTATATAGAACAAAAGGGGGCAGCAAGACGAGGAGACGCAGAGGAGGAATATACACTTGACAAGGAGACGAGGAAGCAGAGAGGTCAGAGAAAAGGCGAGAAGGGCTCTGCAGACATACAGCTTCTCCCCCAGAAAGAGCGTGATACACAGACAACTCGCCTTCGAGCTATCTCCAGCATCACCAAACCGCACAAGCATCGGTAACCGAAGAAAAAAAGGAGAAGCCAGCTGTCCGTTCTCTCTGCTCCACCGGTAAAGCCACTGAAAACCGGGAAGAGGCACTCGTTTTTCATTTTCGCGTTTCTTTTCTTCTTTCTCCTCTCGCCGTCGTCTCCCAATCCCTGCCCACGCCCATCTTATAGATATATCTGTACAGAGTATACTCAAGGGCAAGGCGAGTGAGTGGCAAACACGGCTTGCATCATCTCCCCCCAGAGGCTGCGGACAGAAACGGAGAGGGCGGGAGGGAGACGGGGAAAGGAGAGGGTAGAGTGAGCTATCATGGCTCGACCCTTGCGGGATGTGCAAGAGAGGCAGGAAGAAGCAGGCTTCGCTTGAAAGGCTGGATTTCTCTCCCTTCCTCCCTTCTGCTTGACACCTGTTCGTCCAACGCCGAAAGAAAGAGGCAAAACAGCCTTCTCTTTTTATCCTAGCGGACAGTTGTCGGCAGGAGGGAAGAAAAAGAAGCCATGACCATGCTGCAGACACCGGCTGGTGAGTGACAGGTCATAAGGGGAGGCGTCGCCAGCGGCCGTGTTCATTAATCTCTTGCGTGGTTGGGGTGCAGGCGCAAACGCAGACGGGTCTCTTCCTCTGTAGTGTGCATGTATGTGTGCGATCTCAACGGGCTGTACGATCGATGAACCGTTCGGAGAATTTCTGGACGATCCGTTGCTTCTTATACGTATTCCTTTTTTCTTTTCTTCTTTGGTGGCTTGCTCTGGCTATCCCTGCTTCTTTTTTTTTTTCTATCAAGGTCGTTAGCTAGTTATTCGTACAAGGTCCTCAGGTTCCGATTGCCGCGAATCATGGATCAAACAAACGTCCAAATGTTCCTCAGGGTCCATGGCAGGCTTGGGGAGGGGACTCGGTGGTCGATTTCCCGCTATAGTTGGATGGGTGCATGTATTCCGTATGTAAATATACTTATGAGCTGCCCAATGCCCGCGTGAAGCCGGGCAAGATTGCAAGGATAGGTCTTGAGAGAAATATTACTCTCATTTAAATGTAGCCTAGGGCCATCATCGTCCCCAGATATCGCCCATTTGTATGTACAAGAAATGAAACAAGACTAGAGAGATGTGTTTGGCTTCGGCTATGTAAAGTCGTAGCAGCCGAGTAACTGTGTGCCTAGGCTGTGCTCACGGAGAACTACTACTTGTTCGTCGTCAAATTCGACGGGGCCCTTAATGCAGGAGAGTGTGACCTCGGAGGAAATGCCTTTGACCCCTTCCATGGCTGCAACTTGTCTCTTGACTGCCCGGGATAAGACGCTAAACGGGTTGGTTCTCGACCGCCGAGGTTCGGGACTCAGCTGGACGCTTCTATCCCCTATCAGTGCCGTTTTTGATGCTGCGCGAGACGATATCATCTCTTCAAGTTCCCAGATACGGATTTCGTCCCCTTTTGTGCTCACTGACACTGCTTTCCCTCGCGAGCTCACCTGCACACCAGACACCGCGGAGGTATGGCCCCAGAGCCGTCGGCCAGTCTTGATGGATAGGCTATCGGTAGTCGAGACAACCAGGTACATCGTCAGTGTGTTGTCAGCGTGAGATGCAAGAAGATAGGGATGTGAGTAGGAAAGTGATGTAGGTGGTTGGGTGTAGGAGAGTGAAGGGAAGGCCATGGGGGAACGATGGTCAGAGGATCCTGGCGTCGACATCATCTGCCTGGGCCGTTTAACCTGTGTATCCGCAGCTGGTTCAGACAGCTTGTTTCCAAGATACTGGCAATCCACGGTTGTTGCTAGTCGAGACGTCAGGTCTCCGCCATCTTTACTCCAGTAGAGTTCTTGTATTCCGACAGACCAGCCACAGCCGATGCGTGGGAAGGTATAGCTCACAGATGCAATAGCATGGGTAGATGTTGTCCGGACTGAAAGAGAAAATGGTGACTGTATGCTATTCGCGACAAGTGAGGCAATCAGCCGCATGGAATGTTTCCTCTTTGTCTTCTCATTTCCGCCTAGGTTCAGAAGTGGGGAATCATCATAGTAGAGTTGATAAAGATAAAGGACATTATCCTCTGATATGGCAAGTATGAAATCCTTGTGAGATGCCAGGGCCGTTATGGCTGCGTCTTCCGCTGCCGAATCTGAGTGGCGCAGCTGAAGTTCAAAGGTAGATCCTCCGTCAGGTAGCGATTCAAACGAATAAACCACCATGCCACCATTGCTAAAGCCTACCGTAACGCCAAAACAACCTTGTTTTAGGTTATTCGCCGTCACTGCAATCGCAGTAGGTACTCCAGGCCCTACATCACTAGACCATATGCCCGAATATGGTACAGTCGCAAGGCACGTTTTGGTATCTTTTATCGACCACGCACGGAGTCCATTCTCTATATCCGCCGTAAAAACAATACCATGTTCCAACTTCACCACGACGGGACTGACCGGACGCTGAGCCACTTCCACCTCTGTAACTCGACATGACCCTCTCGACCAATTGTGCTGGAGTCGATACTGGCCTTTCCAGTTCCTCTCCTCGCCTACTTGCGTCAACGGGCCATGGCTAAACCAGTTTGACACCTGAGGCGAGTAGTCAAGCGAGCCTTTGACTGTGCTTCCCTGTCTGATCTGTCGTATCCGTCTGGCTCTCGGCCATACCCAACGGGAGTAATACTTTCGCTTCCACAATTCCGAGTCTCCTGCAAGCGCGGCAAATCGTTGAGATACTCTATTTTGCACGCTGGTTAGATGCAGATCAAGGAGAGAGTAGACATTAAACGTCGATGTACTAACCTCTGGCACGTTATCAAGGATGGGATGGATAGAAAACTGAGGACGTGGAGAAGTAGCTCATCGCTAAGAGCTGAGAGCCGGTCAGGTAGCCGTGTGCGTTTTGAGGGCGGCTCATCCGGAGAATCTTCATATTCGCAGCGTTTCGGCATAGCTCAAGAGCCATCCGCAGCTGCACTAGGAGTAGCGATCACCTATGGCAGGCTCGAGGGTGAAAATGCAAGGATATTGTTCATCCCTCAAAACCTTTGTCTTTGACTTTCGGTTTTTGATAAGAGGCTCCCAATCTTATCTTATCTACGTTATTATGTAATCAGATCTGGCTTATCACACGTGAACACGCGTTCGCGTCTACCTACGCGTCGACGGAGCCGAGACAGACGGGGAGCATGTCGAGAAACGACATCAACATCTTGTGTTCAGTCAACATCCACGGAGCATATAAAATATATACATGGACTCGCTAGCACGATTGGCTGAAAGCCTCTCACAATGTCAACATCACTACAACGAGGCTCTCAAGCTTATGCAAGAGACATCAAAGGAACATGAATCAACAAAGCAAGAGCTGGAGGCGGTTTCTCAAAGACTGAAAGAGTACGATGACACGCGGGCACAGAATTTGGAACAGATCGAAACCATATCTAAGGAGAATCGTGATTTGAAGGATGCTGTCAACCAACTCAAGCAAGAACTCCGAGATCAAGATAGCGCTTACTTGCACGAGGATGACTCTACGTTTGAGAAGAGCCTCCTCGATAAGGCAAAAAAGCTCGACCCCGAGGATATTATATACCACTTTGAGTCCTCCCCAGGAATTGTGGACTATGATCTCTACTCTCGTATTGCCGGTTTTTATGGCGAACTTTACGCGGAAAATATCAATTTGATAAAGTCATTCTGCATACTACGTCGAAACCACAAGGCTTCTAAAGAGAAGCTAGTTAAGTGGAATCGACTTCTGGAGAAGGGAAATCTTGAAACCATCGTTAATGGAGAGATGGTGACTTTTAAAAGAGCTAATCTGGAACATGGAGACGTAACGGCCATCTCTGAGTCCCCGACCCTTACCCCGATACGGCGCTATATTCCCCAAGGGTCGGATAATCAGAAAACTCCCACTCATTCAGAAATTAGAGAACATCATTCTGACCCCGCATCTACTCAATCGCAAGACCTAAGGTATGATGAGCGTCGGCTTCCTCAAACCGACGAATCACCAGATACGCCAGTAGTTGTCAAAGAAAGGTCACTTCGCAGACCGCAAGTTTCGCCTCCCATCTACCGTGCCGTTAAGGTGGAAGAGAGTCCTACAGATGTCGGTACTGCTGAAAAGCCTTTCTATATCAAGAGCGAGCCAACGCCTAGCCCGTCGACCCAGATAACTGACATACCGCGTCATGAAGACCTTGAAAATCATGGGCTCGGACCTGTTTCCAGTCCTACACTTGACCCGATTGAGTCACCACTATCCAGGCCCAAGTTTACTGTCTTGCCAGATAGGCGTAGCCCTACACCGGAGCTTCAGGACGATCAATCGGAATTTGATGTAAACCAACAGGCGGAATCACCCTACAAAAAACGAGGAAGACAGGCCCTACGCTCGGTTGATATCAATGTGACTCCTATGTCTAAATCAAAAGGGTCCACAGAACCTCAATCAAAACGACGAAAACGTGATTTCTCAAGGGGAGCCCACGCCATTCCAAGCGTTGCTGAAGACGGCGAAGCAGAAGAATATTTAAAGGGCCGACGATCGCTACGTTCCTCTACAGCTGCAAATACCAAGAACTGCACGCCAGCTGCTAAAATGCGGCAGACACGGCTCCAAGATCTTTTGGAAACTAGTCATACACCAAGACCAATTTTACTTTCTACCCCCCAGACGGCCATAGCTAAGTCTAGCAAATTTGCAACCCCTAGAACGCCAAACAACAAGGTTGAGGTTGAGATGACACCATGTGTTCTGCAACCCAACCCTCCAGAACAAACACAGAGTTATGATATCATTCCTTCTTCACAGGACGTGGACGATGATGAGATACGCCCACAATCCAGCTGTCGTCATAGGCCTGTCAGTGAACTTGGCCTAGAACACTTCAAGCTTAATCCGAGCAGGAATCAAGGCCTAGACTACGCGTTCGATGAAGTTGTTCGAGATAAGAGTATGAGAAAACAGCTTCGCGGATGTCTAAGACATGAGTGTTGCGGCCCGGTATATCGCAGCATGGCTAAACATGAGCTTGGCGAAGAACCTCGTCCCTTAAGCAAATTGTCCCGCGCAGACCATGATCTCTTAAAGGGAGATCTAGGCATCAACTACGAGCAATTGCTAGAGGGCAAGTCGCCGATTGAGATCCGTGATATGCTGATTGAAGCTAAGGCCAGCGTCCTTTCAAATAAGTTCAGCAAGCATCGAAGTGCGCATGCCCCCGGGAGGTCACCTCCTGGGTATTGGAGAACAGACATGCCGAACACACAAGAAATTGAACTGGACCGGGCGACTGCAGAAAAGTTGGAGCGGGAGAAGGTTCTAGATAGATATAAGGAGGCATGCAAGGATAACGGCTATTGGAAGTTTGCGGATGAGTAGTAATAGTGGTATATCAGAAATAAAGTAGTTATCGCCCCATGGTGTCCATCACGTCCCATCCCATTCATAGCCAATTGCTTGATTCTAAAATGATTGATGTTAGCGTAAAGTTCCCATTAGTCATCAATTCCTGATCACGTGATATATTGAACGCCCCGAAGCGGCTGAGATATTCGATGCCGAGGCAAGTCGCAATTCCATCCCAAGCTTTTTGGTTCACAGCGTTTACAATGCAACGTACGAAGGAGAATTCACCACCCACCGGTTGCTAAGAAGTCGCAGCCTATCCGAAATCGATCTAATGAAGCGATTAAGATGAAGACAGCCATGAGTTTTCGAGACCAGATACCAGAGGTTCTCCAGCCTGCAAAACTGGTGGAGATGTACGAGGAGTTTGTCACCAAAAATGCTAGCTCAGTTGGCCAGGTTGAGTCGGCATTGCGATCCTTAACATATATCATACCTGGTAAGAGTGCTATTTTTACATGGCGGTTGTTGGATTGTGCTCTTCATACTAATGCGTTCCCATAGGGCGGTTTAGGGAAGCGGAGCTAGCCTCCGAATCGAGTGCGTGATTACCTAGCTTTACGATAATTAACCAGACTTCAGATAAATACTAATAGACACCTTGAAATAGTTCACTCGGGCGTCCAGCTACTCTCACTCTACCATGATTCTCTTGTGTCGCGCGTTATAGCTCGTCTCCCCCTTTCCCAGCCGCGGCCCACACCTTCTCCCCATACCCGATATACCAAATACTGGACCTTTCAATCACCTCTATACCACAAAGTTGCTCTAGCGCTACAGATGGTCAAATATACTGAGCTATTATGGGAGATGGCGGCACGCAGGAAGGGCGAGAAACTTCGATGGCGTGTCGTTGTTTTTATAGAAGCAGTGAAGGCTCTCTGCAGGTTAATATTATTGCGGTTAACAAACTCTAGGCCTATTGTCAGCCCGCCACTCCCAGAACGAGAGGTCGATCCGAGACAAGTAGAAGAGAATGATAGCGGTGACTTTAATGGCATGGAAACACCACCAAGTGAACCATCCGAAGCCATTGATTTAATCTGGACAATGCCTCGGACAGGAATGGCGTTGCCAAATCTGCCCGATGCAAATGATATCTCGGCGTACCTTACATCTAAAGTTTTAACTGCGGATGATGTTCGATCTCCTCAAACATTATTACACCGGATCTCTGGGATAGGGCAGCTGGCAGAGATCTTATACATTCTCCGGCCATTGATTTACGTAATCGCACTCCAGAGATATAGAGCCAAAAAGAAGAGCTGGACTCCTTGGCTTATTGGTTTTGGACTAGAATTTACTTGCCGTCAGCTTGCCAAAAAAGAGTTCCGTGACAGGGTAGCAGGAGGCCTTCGTGGCTTGTCGAAGCTGGAGAGAGAAGAACTCAGCAAGAGAGGTTGGGGCATGGGCTGGTGGCTTATGAGAGGTGCCTTCTACGAAAATGTTACGAAGTACGTATTTACTTGTTATCATTTCGAACTGAGTGAAGTGACTAATACTTCCAAAAGGTCATGGATAAAATCCATTACAAACTCCTTACGCGATAAACCCCTACTTGGTCTTGTTGGAAGTGTTATTGAAGACTACGAATACCTTTGGGACAACTACTATTTCTCCACGGCCACGATGTAAGAGCCAATATAATACATCCAAACACAATTCTTGTTTGTTGCTTAACAGTTCTTTCGTTTTGATATTCGAGTTCACGGGGGCAGCAAATCAGGCACGTTTTTTTCATGCAGAGCTCTAGGTTTACGGGTGGAATGCCCAGGGTATTTTATTATTGTTAATTGCACTTCCTTGTCTGAATATTTTTATTTCCCTTTGTCTATACGTCTCGAAGGCCATATGTATTCTATAATTATCCATTTGAATGATACTATTCACTCTAGCAACTAAAATATTTCCGCTTGTTTATGTCCATACCAGTCCCGCAATTCACTCGCTAGACCCTCGGCCTCAGACTTGGATGTGAAGTATTGCGTTACCAGCATTGTACTTTCGTCCTCTTCGACAGGCCAGTCAACCTTAACTCCAGATTTTATCTCCAAGAGCTCCTTTGACGTACCCCAACTAAATCGACACTCAATTCCCCAGCCAAACAATGGGTTCATGTCCTTTTTAAGCCATCCAATGCACTTGCCATCAGATGGATATCCGCTACCCCAACTTAACGTTTCCTCCTCTGCTGTCACTGCTTCGCCACCTCCTGATTCCAGAGACCTTTTCCTCTTCCTTTGATTGACCCAACTTTCATAGCATGCCTCCAAGGCAGCATCTCTTGTGACTTTGGCACATACACTCGCTGCACTGACACAAGGATATAATGAATCAGCCTTCTTAGCCACGGTGATTTTCAGACCTGGGAAAACTCGTAGCAGCCTGGCTTGGTGGGTTTCTGGTTTCCCAATTGTATCAACATAAACTTCCTTAACGTCTATGCCTTGGGTTTCAACAACGCCACGTATTATTTCAATAGTCGCATCCAGTGCCTGGGCATTGAGGTTATAAACAGCTGCCATAGAAGGCCGTAGCATCCCCGAAGATATATCACGAGCCGACATAACTTTGACAGCCCATCCGCAGGAGTTGTGTAGTGAGTGGCCTTGTGTGCACAGAGAACGCATAAGATTTGATCGGACTTCGGGAGTTAGCACCTTACTGTCGTCAAAGTGGTGCTCGTCTGCAAGTAATGAATTATGAAGATGAATAGGGAGATAAAATGCGCTGTAGACCATAGGACCTAAAACCGGGCCTCTACCCGCCTCGTCGATTCCTAGTACACATGGCGTGGGCTCTGCTTTCTCCGCTTCGGTAGAAGACTTCGCCGAGGGAGTGATATTGACCGGACACGGGGAATAATGGGAGTAAGATTCTCCAGCTAACAGCCTCGAATGGTCGACTGATGGGGGGACATATGTACCCTTTGAGTTGATGATCTCAGGAACTGGCTCATCTAGCAATTTATTCTGAGAGTCTTCCATTGAGAAGAGTACGCGATTCTGTAGTTTCCAGGTTGATTGTTTCCCCGGTTTGAGTAGTGGATGAAAAATTACAAATGATAGCTGACAAGCCGAAGTTCACCTCGGATGATGATAAGATTGATAAAGCGCGGTTGTTTTGGCGCGTCTTTTGGGTTTAGCGCCGCCTCTTTTTCGTGTTATCGCGAGTTGATCAAGGTCGCATAGCTTGGTGACAGCTACTCATGGGAGGGAGTTGAACAACAGACATAGTACGTCTGCTACAAGGACAGTCGCTTTTCGCTCAAAGATTTTATATACCTTATCTGACCGAACTGCCTCCTTCATCGACCCCGATTCGCACCGCCCGGGTTGTATTCAACACCGGAGCTGTGACAATGGCGGCGCGCAGACCCCCCGTCAAGAGTCGTGAGTTTGATTATTCAAACGTTGGGAAAGCCGGAAGGTAGTTCGTACATCTCTATTTTCGTTGAGTTTTATTACTGACGTGCATTGCATCTCGAAGGCGAACCGGAATCACACTCAAGGAAGGCAAACGTGACGAGCATGGCATGGAAGAGCTCGAGGGAATGTTCTCTTCCCCTGAGAAATCCCCTGCGAGAACAAACGGGTTTGGGAATGATGGATTGATGAATTCTGGGGAGATGGAGACAGGAGGAAGTAAGTACATGAGTTGCTTTTACAGGAAGCCATTCCTGCATTCTAGCATTCTCTACAGCATCAGCTTACGAGGATTGTAACTACCAGGCAGTAGTATTCCAGATCCATCAGACGTTTTATCAGCTAGGCGGGGAGGCCGAAACGCTTACCTTCCTCCACCGCGATCGCGCTCTCCAATGAAAACCCTTATGAGCGGGTCTCCTCGACGAACTCCCGGATTGCGTTCTTCTCCTCTACCACAAAGCGAATTCTCAAGCCCAACATCTGCACATGTGGCAGCAAAACGGACAATTAACCTAACTCACCCGCTCCCTCAAACGTCAAAATCTCCTTTGAAGCAAGCTCGATCTCAGTCCCACCCCGACTCAGAAGAGGAAGAGGAGGCGGAAGCGGAACAGGTGGAAGAGGAAGAGGAAGAGGAAGAGGAAGATACAGAACAAGAGGAGAGTGAAGTTGAAGAGGAGGCTCCTGAAATTATAGCTCACGATGCAGCAGATTTTTCTGATGACGCCAACCACCTAATCGAAGATGAGGCAGAGGATAATGAGTTTGTTGAACCCCCTGGTGATTACCACGAGGCTGCCACGCATGACGACGTAGATGCGGAATCATCTGGAGCAGAGGAGGACCAAGCTGAGGATTCGCCAGCACCAGTACTGAACACTTCAAGTAAAGGCAATAAACGGAAAGAACTGGACAAGGATGTCGAGAAAAGTGACGATAAATCCACAAGGAACCCTTCGGCTAAAAGACGTGGAAGGAAGCCGAAAGGCCAGCAGGAAGAGCGCGGTCAGGAGCCTAATACTGACGACGAGAACCCCCGACCAGCAAAGAAGGTAAAGAAGACTACTACTAAATCTAGTAATCTTCAAATGACTACCGAGCAGGAGAAAGATTTGCAAAATGTCGTGGAAAATATCACTAAAAACGACGGACCACTTAATAAGAAGCGCAGTTTTATATATTCTACGACGGGAGACTCCATCGGATGACACCGTTCGGCATACTCGCTCAGGTAGAATATCTGTCCGACCATTAGCCTACTGGCGCAATGAGAAGTGTGTTTACGGAACTGGTGACGCGGAAGTTGGCCAGAGGTTTCCGCTCTCTACAATCAAGGAGATCATACGAACGGAGGACCCTGATATCGATCAGTCAGGGAGGAAACGAAGTTCAAAAAAGAAATCAAAAAGTAAAAAGAAGGGAGGATATGAATCAGAAGATGAGCCAGATGAAAACACTGAGCCCTGGGAGACGCAAGAGGGCGTTTTTTATGGTCCCGTAAAGATATGGGACCCAGAACAACAAGCTGGAACCCAGGAGGAAGAAATGATGGGTAAGATCTATTCCCTATTTTATATCATTATTCTGGCACAATTAACTAACCCCCAATCAGACGTGGCCTATGCTCCTTCAGCGATTGAGACACATGAAGTCAAGGATTCTACATTCCGATTTGCGAAGATTCTCAGTACACCATTTCTCGGATCTGGTTTTGTGGAAATGCCTCCAAATGCTGTCAAGAAGCAGAAAAATTCAAAACGAATGCATATGGTTTTTTTCGTTTATTATGGTAGGATACGCGTCGATATTGCAGGTTTGCAATTCAGCGCCGGCAAGGGTTGTGTCTTCCAGGTACCTCGAGGTGAGCTACATACCCAAGCCCATACAAGAATTATGATAGTTTCCTACTTGTGGATGATTCTAACAATATACATTACATCTTTCAGGAAACAATTACAGCTTTGCAAATGAGTATAAAAAGCCAGCAGCCATATTTTTTACGCAGGGCTGCATACCCCTAGATGCGGATGGGAATGTTGATACCGGCGTTACTGCCCCACCACTACCAGAGGCACCTCCAGCTCAAACAAAAAATAACGCTGCTGAAAAGGGAGGTAAAAGGAGAGGTCGTCCGAAGCAGGGTACTAAAGCAGGATGATAGCGTATTGGTTTACGTACCTTTCCCGAACTTCTGCAGATACGCTACCCTATGCGAACCTTAATACCATATACTCAAGGCGTGAATAATTCCGTACAACTGATGTGTACTATGGATAACCCATTTGACACCATAGGGACGCCGCATTAATGCACATGGCGTTATGAAAGTGGCAAATGGCTTGTTAAGGACACTTTTCTATTGGATTCGTGTTGGCGCTGGCCGTTGATGATGTTATATGTGAAGCGCTTTGTGATTTTTCCAATTGTACCATTACTCGCTGTATCCGCAGTAACTTAATGCTCTATTTGATACCCATGGGTTAGGCTTGTTAAAGACCAGGTATGCAGGCATATATCACCTAGCCAAGCCCAAGTCTCACAAGAAAAACCGCGTTTAGATCTCTTCCATATCCTCGTCCAAATCCAACCCGAGGGGTGGGTAATCACCAACCTCAACTTTCTCTGGCTTAACAAAAACACCGCAGTTATTTGGGCAGGTGAAATACCTCTCCCCATTCACACTACCATCATTCTTTCCAGTCGGCTCATCAAGTTCAATACCCACCCATATCGGTGCCAAATCATCAGGTATTCCCTCAGAGTAAGTTTTGCTCAGGGGCGATGGGATGGCAGGGACAGGTCCAACAAACCTGATAGTTCCCCTACGGATATGTGGTGGGCTTGATGGGAGTATTATGGCCCGCGCAGAGACTTTAATTCCTGTGTATGGAAATATTTATGGTGAGAGACTCGAAAGGGTAATAGGTATAGACGGGAATTACCTTTAGTTTTGATTTCATTGGCGTCCTTCTGAACCTGTTCTCTCGCTTTTTCTTCGGGAGATGCCGCATTTGGATCAAAACGTCCAAGTTTCTGAGCTTTCTTCCATGCAAGAACACTGTTTGGCAGTGACTCGTAGGTTGAATCTGAGAGTTCGAACTTTTCAGTCATTGAGACATCAGTGTAATTTGGGCGCGCAGCCACGGGGCGCTGGTCATAGATCTGATAACTGTTAGAACATACTGACCCAGCAAGGACAAGCGTGATTACAAGCAATCACGGCAAAAAGTAAGAAATTGGAGAGAAAAGTGCCATTAATTTGGCTATTAATCAGCAAAGAAGCATCCAATGACACTTATATATATACACACCTCGATCTCACAGCCCTTTGCAATACCCCACTGACTTATAGTTTTCTCTTCACCATCCATCCATTGATGTTCGCGCCCTGGGAATTTTAACATCAACCGCTGACTACCCGGAGGGATCCCAGTCATGGTTTCAAGTTTGGCCTTGAGCTGTGCGACGGTCCATGACGGCGTTACTCGGCGCTCAGTTGCAAAGGACGGCTTCTCTGCCGGGGTGTCAGAAGCAACTGATATCAGCACTGACACGTCGGCCGGGGTAACAAGAGACTCCATCTCGACAGAGAAATATAAGAGAAGATCAACTAGTCAGAGGAATAATAGCTTTCCTTCAGGAGCTCTTAGACTAGGGAAAGTGCAAAACTGCTATCAAATAACAATCCACCCCTCAGTTCGTGGTACCGAATTAACGCAAAGTACCTTTGCCCTTAGGCGCAGCCGCGCGGATATCTCGCTAGTTATTATAACTACTTAACTTACGACCATCGGAAATCTCATTTTGCATGACAATTTTCTCTGCATACAGGACGCCCTGAGAATATGAATATGATGGCCAGCAGTAATGAATCCTACGAAGAAGAGCATGTCCACAAGGTCTACCAAGAAATTGCGCCGCATTTTTCATCAACGCGATACAAAGTATGTTCGCTTAGTTTTCTTCCATTACAACCTCTCTAACCCTGGATGATAGCCATGGCCAATTGTTGAGAGATTTTTGAAAGATATCCCCAGCGGCTCTGTCGGTTTAGATGTTGGATGTGGCAATGGGAAATACTTAAAAGTGAATTCTAATATATTCATCGTAGCCTCGGATAGGTGAGGGCTGCCGTTGTACTCAAACACCCTACCCCTCGTTTTACCCTGTACTGATATCCTAACATAGATCTGGGGCACTAACGAGGTTTGCAAAACAACATCAACCGCACTCGGCAATTATAGCAGACACTCTAAATCTGCCTCACCCTGACGGTTATTTTGATTTTGCAATTTCAATCGCAGTGATACACCATCTATCGCTCCCAGAGCGAAGAATAAGAGCCATAGCTGCAATCTTAAATACCCTAAGACTTCCAACTCCAGAGGATGCAACTGGGGGGAAGGTTCTTATCTACGTCTGGGCATTAGAGCAAAAGGATAGTAGACGTGGTTGGGATGCCGATCATGAACAAGATGTAATGGTACCATGGGTCTTGAAGACAAGTGAAGAGAAAAAGGCAAAGAATAAGCCAGCCAGAAACAAAAATAGGACTGAATCGGTTGAAACCGCTGCATGTGAAGCAGTTAAGGAGTCAACGGTAGAGAAGAAAGTGGAGCCGACCACCTACCTCAGGTACTACCATCTTTATCGGGAAGGCGAATTAGAAAGCAACATTGCCGCTGCAGGAGGAAGAGTTTTGGAGCATGGATATGAAAAAGATAATTGGTGGGCCATCGCATGCCCATCACCGCTGCCATAACATTGATCATAGATAAATAAAGAGGCATAGCATTGAGATGGGGCTGCTTGCACAATAATGTCTGTGTCCCGAGTTAGTCGCATAACAGGTTATCAGATCAGGTATCTGCATTCCTTATTTGCTATTTCTTAACTCATCAGAATAGCTAGTTTTGAAAAACGAAGGCCTTGGCTTTCTCATCCATCTGCTTCCCGAGGCATAAAGCTAAATCTTGGACGGTTTGATACAGTTCTATCTTCATCACTTACTGTTGTCAATGATCCAAATATTACAAATGTCACAGTTACGAAGGGGAGATTTTACCGTGGATAATACTTTGAAAGCTCCAAAACATGTATATCATTTACTTCTGCAGCAGGCCAAGTCCATATCACGTGATAACAAGTTAACTCCATTAACTAATTACCTAAGCAGAAGGGGAAAAGCGGCGAGGTTCACGCCCCAATCAGGAAATGTACCAAATGCAACATCTCGACGCTTCAACGACGCGCTTTTCATACGAAATCTGGCTGAAAGAGACGAGGACGCAAAACAAAGGTCAATAAATCGCCAAATAAACCATCCGACAGAGACATTAAAATACCACAATCATGAAATAATAAGAACTACACGTTCCTGGGGAAACAAATGACACATTAATAAAACAAGCCCCCGAAATCGAGCACCAACCAAAAAAAAAAAATCAAGTATATCCAGGATGCAATCCGTCCCGCCCAGACCCGCTATGCAGTCAGTCATCAATCGTTCGTATTGATTACGTCTAATGAGAGATTCGCCCCATTTTATATTCTCCTCTCATGCGGTCTGGGGTTTGTTCGATATGCCTCTAGTGTGGTAGGGCTCGGTGGGGATCGAGGGGGTGATGTTGTGTGGTGCATTCCAGCGGACGGGTGTGCTGTTGCGTACGCTGGAATGCCTGCTGTGAGCTCGGCAACGGAGGGAAGCTGAGTGACTTGTGTGGGATAGTTTGGACGGCCTGTGCCAATGGTTGGCTGGCTGGCCCTTCGGCCTCTCTGGGGTGGTGACGAGGCGACGTTGGAGAATGTGAATGGAGTCACTCCTGCTCGCTGAGCCATACCGCGCTCGCCGATCTGCCAGTGCATGGCTTCGGCTGCTCGCCATGGGATGGCCATCTCCTCGGCGATTTTAGCCCACATATCTGCTTTGAATCTATGCTCAGTCAGTATGCTGTGATGACTGAGAGGGGGTGGAGAAAGAAAGTCTTACCGTTCATATAAGCGGGCCAGTTTGTTCTTTTTATCCTCATCCCACTCACTCCTCCTCTCGAGGTAGTTTTGGTAATGGAGGCGGCAACTGATGGGGCTTCTATTTGGGAGTCTCTTGCTGATGTCTTCCCACTTCATGCCTTTTCCACGCAGTATGGTAATCAAGGCATCTTCATCGGCCGACCACTTCGACTGCTTCTTGATGCGGTCCTTTCCTGTGGGAGAATTCTTGCCACGCTTCGATGGAACTATCGATTGTTGTTGTTGCTGCTGCTGCTGGATGGAAATTTGGTCCTGTGGTGCTGGCTGGTATGACCACTCCTCAACTGATGAATTTGGGATGCCCATTTCGATAACTGGGGATGGGAAACCTTCGCTGTGCACTTTTCTGGTAGATGATGTATGGATGGTTGCTGATGTTATTGAATCCTGGAGCCTTATTGTATTCTTCTCCTCATCATCTGGAGTCCCCAGAAGCTTTGAAATATCCACCTTGCCTGTGACAATATATGGAACAATGCGCAAAACCATAATAGGTCTCGCCGCAGCTGTGGAAAGGCTTGAGTCAGCGCAAGGTTCAGATATAAAAAGGGTAAATGCGCAAGGTTGCTTGTGACGATGGGGTTTCTGGTGCCAAAGGAAAAACGATGATTCTTGGGACAAAACAAAAGCGTCAGACGTGGGAAGACGGCGGTTATTTATCCGCCTGAAAAACGTCCCTTGAGCTCTTCACCGACGATTTTTAAATGCACGGAAACCAAAAAGGGGAAAGAAGAGAAGTCTGGTGCAGATTTTATGCGTAGGTGCATATAGGGGTTATTGGGACTGGGATGATGCTGTGAGGTTCGGCCTCTTTCCTTTTGCTATATCCCACGTCCGCCTTTTGTCCCCCTCGTCGCGAATGATTGCACGTGTGTTTTGTACAACTTTGGACGAGAAGGGAGAAGGAGAAGGTTATAGCGATGAGAGGAAAAGGACTGGGAAGGAGGATGCCGACAAAATGTGAAACTAATAGTTGGTGGAGGCCAGTGGAAGGAGAAGAAAAGGCGACCTACCGCTTCCTATGCAACGTCCACAACTCGCTCGAGGAGCCCCAAGCAAGGATCAACCCGGGAGTATATCGGGACTCGATGTATTCTCCCCGGGTTCGGTAGCACACAATGGTCTATAGCTCAATCTGAATACCGGTTCGAGTGCTGATTTTCAGGCAGATGTAACTGCAGTTACTGAGAAGAGGTACAGCGTCGTCGAGGCGGTGGGGATGTTGGAATATGCAATGTTCCCAAAGCTGAATCCTGAAAGAAAAAGGGGGGCAAGACGATTGATGGTGTGAAAAAGAAGATGAAGGCGTCTCGACAAAAAAAATAAACAGTGGTGCGAAGGTATGGTCTTAGCAAGCGTCTGCGGTCGTGTACAGGGTATCCCGTACCAACGAGCAAAGTACGAACAGTCGGTCAAGTATACTGAGAATTTCTTCCACCTTTGCAAAAAAGGAAGAAGCCGCGAACCAAGACAATAGCGGGGAGCTGAGAACAGTCCTCAAGGGATTTTCTCCTTTCCCTATCACTTTATCTCCCGTTTCTATCCCTGCTGGATGGGACTTCACCGTGTTGAGGGAAAGTGGTAGCTGTCTGAAAATCCAAATCGGAGCTTTTGGCTGAGGAATGGCCGTGCTTTTGAAACTGGGCCTACCAAGCCAATGAGAAGGAGAGGAACCAACAACTGCAAGCAGCAAGGGGCGGTGATCAAGCTGTGACCAATTATGGGATATCTAACTCTTTGCCCAACCAAGCCTGAGACAGCGAGCAAACAGCATATCCTGACTGCTTTGGTCGAAAACGGGAGATTGCAAATGAGGCGCTGAGGGGGAATATTCCAGGCGATAAACACGATAAAACTAGACCAGAGGCAATGATGTTGAGGGTATCCTCTTTGTTAAGGGGAGGAGGGAGAAAAAGACAGAGCCGTGCTGTGAACTATTGGTCCGGTCTTAAAAGCAGCTGAAAAAAAAGGGGGGTGGAGGGGGCAAGAAGAATGGAGATTGATGAGCGACTGAAGATGTGATTGAAGTTGCAGTGCGCAGTTGAACCAACGCCACGAGGGTTATGTATGTCTTCTGGTTCCCTCCTGGGTATACTTATGGACTGACGGGTGCGTATGTGGCGTGCAGGAAGGACGAAACCGGGCGGGTGGAATGGAGGTTGAAAAACAAGGGGGAGATGAGGCTTCTGTTATATCTCTATTTTTAATGTGTTTCTTTTTGTAAACACTTCCCAGAAGCCTCTCCCAGCTTGACTCCATCTGCCTCCGGCTCTGACCAACCTCCGTTCTATATCTTGGTGTCTCCTCTTTAGCCGCCTGTCACGCTCGTTTTTCTTTTTTCTCCTTTCTTTTTCATCCCTCGTTCTTTTTTTGCAATTTTCATTTACATTTTTTGGAGCTTTAGCCCACCTGCATTACCCGGTGATCAGTACGGGGTATGATGATGATAATAGGGCACGTATTAACTCACAGATATTATATTCTTAATCGACTATCGCGCCAAAAGTATTATCTGCATTCCAACGGGTTTCAGACTGTTACTTTTTCTTTTTTGTATTTTTATTTTACAAAAAGAAAAAGACCAGCCAAAAAAGAATCGGTCAGTCAAATGGGAACCTGTCATTTCGCTTCTACCGTCATAGCCATTCCATCTCCTGCCCTGCCATTTTCTTTTTTATTTTTATCGAAATCATTATCCTTGTCTGCATCTACCTTCTTCTTGCGTGGCTCCACTGTCTTTTTGTACCTTCCTCTGCTGCTTGTACTTTTCTTTTCTTTTCTATATAACTAACCAACTAGTCTCCAGGTATAGTTAATAATGAAAAAAGAAAAGAAGAGAAAAACATCAGCAAGAAGAAGAAAAAAAAAAAAAGAAAAGAAACAAACCAGGAGCAAGATGCGTGGCCCAGCTCGTCCCACTCGTTTGGCTTTGCAGCTGGCTTCATCTTCCTCCTGCTGGCGTTGCTAGATCTACAAACTCAAACTTACGAGATTATAGACAGCAATATAGGAGGGCTCTCGGTATATACTTACTTGCATCTGCCCCGGCCCACGCTTGGTCCTTGCTGATAACGCCTACACTGCCAGCTATATCGCATTTTCCCCGTTCGTATTCCATAGGCTATTCGCTGACCCTCCTGTCTGTACATATGCCGCGCTGCCTCTTGTGGTTGTTGACTTTGTTTTTTGATACCACAAGGGGAGCAGCGCAGCCTAACGCAGGCATATGGGTCTTTCCGCCACCCCTCTCCCTGCGATTGCAATTATTCTGTGACCAACAGGCCAGCAGGAAAGGGGATAGTATTGGAGAAGTAATGGTATGACCGATAGCAGCTGCAAAGTTCCTTACTTTTTCTTCATGCCTGAAGTCCCCAGACGGGCGTCAGGCCCGATTATTGCGGCTCGGGAGCCACGGATATTACCATCACCGTGACTGCTAGTCTAGAGGGGGTTGAGAGAAGGAAGAGATGTACTTACTCCGTACGGGGTAACTAACATACAAACGAATGGTTCTGTTGATTACGGGGTTTGAAAACAGCGAATTCCAGCGGATCACTACCCGTGCTTCTCACTCACCTTCTTCAGAGTTACGGAGTACTTTGTTTCTATGACAAAACGTATGCTTAACCGATCTGGAGAACGGGGAGGAAGAAGAAACAAACGAACTGGCTAGGGAAAGAAAGGAACCGGTGTAGGCGGCACTGGTTCCGGTAAGCTGAAGCGGAGGGACAGCCTTGATCGGACAGGTGAAGCATTGCGTATAAATTTACTACTGGCTAGTTATCATATCGGGATCGATCCCGCCAGGAGCAGAGGGCCCCTTTGCCTCTCGCGACATATATGTGTATTGCATACACGTACTTTTATATACATCTTACACCGGGCCCAAACGAAGACTTTCAAAAACAAACCTGAATGGGGAATTAGCCGGCATCGACTTGTCAAAAAGCAAGGCAACCGCTCTGCCGGCTGTCGAGGATGGGAATTCTCCGGGGGACCGCACTCCTTCAAGCATGGCAAGATAGCTACCTATCTTCCAGACGACAGCTAGCCTGTTCGAAGATGGGATAACTATCCTGTTTCGTCCATCAGGATTAATTAAGTATATGAATGGACTCGCTTCATGGGGCATTTCCACCAATAAACCGCGAGGTCAGCCTGGCTACCGGGAACATGGATATTTTGCCTCCCTTCTTCCCCCTCCTCTAGCTCTACCCGTTTCTCTGCTCCGAGTGCAGAGATAATGACTCTATATACTCCGTACATATATATATCTACTAGTAGACGGAGGACACCTGCTAACAAACGAAGGTCATATATCTCTTGCAACTCGCTAACCAGGCGGACGTGCTCCGTAAGGGGGTGAAAGCGATGAACGAGCCCATGTGGACGGCATGGCTTAAAAAACCGTTACGATTTCAACTTTCGACGTGACCCTGGCCCCCCTTAGGGATCGAAAAGGCCTACGGACTACCTTTCCGGTACCCGGCGAACTCTGCTTGGGCATCAGGAGTGGCCAAGTACTATGGGGGTCACGATGCCAGCAGACACTGTCGGCCCCTGAACCATGCCGATACAAAGCTATTTTACCTTCTTTCTGTCCGTCTGACTGGTACTATGTATCACGATTGGGTTTCTTTCCTCTCGAGTTGTGTCCGTTGTTAGACATACAGGCTTATACAGTTACCTCGATGACATCAGTGGCCATGGTTGATATAACTTCTCCGTAAGCCTCCCCCCTTATTCCTTTTTCTGACTTCCCCAGCAAGTTCGTTCACTGCTTTTTAGTCTGATTTATACGGGGCAGCAGTTCTATCGGTCGGTAGTTCGATCTATGTCGCCTCCGCCGGCTTTCTCTTGAACTGCCGTTAGAACGAGCAAAAAGAAAAAGCGACAGAAGAACAGTCAGTAGTGGTCGTGCCCGATAGCCCATATATGGGTAAGGATAGCGATAGTGTAGCAAGGAGGACATGCGGCTTGGAAGCGTACCCTGTCAAGCAGGCTGCTTATCTCTCAACGACCAGCATTTTTATACGTCGAGGTAACTTCGCTTACGACCCGATGAAGGGTTTCCTGGAGTCCCCAGGTCCTCAGGGGAGGCCATCAATGGTCATCAAGGGTTTGCAGAACTCATGGATATACAGACAGCAACACATATATATCATATATCTACGTCCAGATAATATCTACAACATAAAGGTAGGCTCCAAGATGATATAACTAAGGAAACATCTAGCAAACACCTGGCTAATTGTGATGTGTTCCAAACAGAAGTGTGCGCCGGCATTGAGATCCCTGGACAGCAGTATCTGTAATATTGAACCCAGGTTTCTTTTTCTAGCCCGCGCTCAACTACTTACTCCAAGAAGGAAGAAGACGGGAAAAAAAGCAAAGGCTTAAAAAAAGAAAGAAAGAAGTGGAAAAAGGATGACATGCAAATGCTTAATATTATGCTTCCAGCCGGAGACTGCATCCTGTCTTCCCCGAGCAAATTACGCGAGCCAATCCACATCTGCGCGGACGAACTGGCTTAACTCAGTGTTTGGACTGTGGGGTAGAAGAGGACGGTCCTGCTGGTCGGTTTGTGATGCTCCGTTAGTTCGAGATGCCGACGATACGGAGCTTGCGTGGAAGCCGTCCGAGTCGAGCACCTTCGCTCCTCCCACTCACACTAAACAACTGGCCAATTTGTTAGCTCGTGTGCTAAACCACCGGGGACAACTCCTCTCTCTTCCCCAGGATCAGGGAGAGATCGCGATCGACTTGCGTTAGTCCCGTGGCGATGACGCTGTTCTGCAGAGACTCGCCCTCCAACGAGTCAGCCCAGTCGCAGATGAAATGGTACCAGCCAGCCAGAGAATTGGTAGATACACATACAAGCATGCATACGCCCAAACATCCAGACATACGTACATACAAGACATAACACAGCAGCGGCGTTCATGCATGCGTCCTCTCCCTTAGCCACCGACGGCCTCTTTTGGGTCATGCCCCTGTCCATGTCCCGTCTTGGACGGAGGATGGCATCCTGACGTCAAGCTCGCACACATTCTCTTCTATATATATATCTATGGAGGGGATATATCTATATCGAGAGTGATCATGCGGTGAAGAATTAGGTTGTTCAGGTGTTAAGGTTAAATTAAAGTGGAAGGCGAACTGGTCCATAAGAAGGCTAAAAATGGTGGGAAGAGAGAGCGAGAGACGCTGGGAAAGACCCAAGGCAGAAGAGGCAGAGAGAGGCAGAGGGAAGACCCGGCAGTTCTTCGTCGCCATGCCGTCTACGTGAGTTTAATTCTGCCGGCTGCTCGTGCTCGTATAATTAGACGTCTATCACGGACACCTTGCTTATTCTCGAGCGACTTGACAGAGGAGAGGCAGGCTCGCAAGGCAGGGCAGGGCAGGCAGGGCAGGGCAGGCAGGGCAGGGCAGAAGATGCCCGAGAGAAAGCCGAAAGCTCTCTCTCTTCCTCTACTACTCGGTACAGTCACGCTCTCCTGGTCCTTTTCTTTTCTTCTGCTTACCACCCCATGGACCAGCCAGCTATACTCTACACAAGCACCCAGAAGCCAGTAAGACGCCTGCGAAGATGAAGATCCTCTCCCTATACTCCGAACATGTAGGCAGAGACAGCAAGAGCACCAAGAGGCCGCTCATCCCATCCACAACCATCCACTCGTCATCCACAATCCTCCCGGAACAGCATCTCTTCCACTTGGCGCATGCACCTGCGTCTCCACAGGTTCTTTGCCCTGCTCTTCCCAACTTCTGGGAGAGTTTTCGGAAGAAAACTGTGAAATTTCGCTTCCCTGGGATCGAACCTTATAGCTGCCTGTCTGGCTGCTGCCTGCTTGGTCTGTTTTGCGTTGCTTTCACCCTCGTCCGCCCTGGCTCGGGTCCATCCGTTCATCTTTCTCGTCTTGTCTTGTGTATACTTCCGTATGAGCGGGTGAGGTGAGATATTTTTGGATCCTTACAGCCAAGTCGTATCTCACGATAACGAGCCATAGTTATACTTACTCATGGGCCAAGAGATGATGAGAGGCCAGTCAACGGCCAAGTGCTTGATCCTAGACAAGCAAGGGCCACTCTCCCTTCTCTGCCTGAAAGGGACTGGAAATGTGAGCAATGTCATGCAGATAACCGAAGCCCTAGGGCGTTCATTGGAGGATATACTATCCCAAAGGGTCGCTGACAACCGAACTGTCGGGTTTTTACTATAGTCGACGATAATCGTGTGACAGCGGTTGTCAGCTTTGTGTAAGGGGATGGCGGCACAGCGTTTATGTATGCGGATGGAATTGAGCTGCTCTACTTGCGACTGAGACTCCATGCAGCCGCCTTTATATTTGTCACACCGGCTACTTCGCCACTATGGATGGCGCCACGGGTGACCGCCGTTGGCTCTATACATCTAACCACCGATCAGACAGGTGTAACGACTATCCACAACTCGAACATGATGAAGAAGCACCCAACCGCCTGAATAAGATTCTGATGTGTCCGGTCTCCTGGAGCCTTCCGACCCAAGGGAATGATTTTCTGCATACTTCCGGTCAACCAACACCGTCTTTCGGGATTTCGACCCCTGAACGAGAGAAAGAAAGGATCGTAAAAAAACTCAATGGGCGGTGTGAGAAGGGGTTCCTTGCCCGCCAACGGCTTCTAGATTAAACTGAGTGTGCCTTGCTAGGTCAGAGGGCAGGCTGGAAGATCGATGCCATGCAAAAGGACAAGGCGGAAGAAACCATGAGTTATGCCTTCGTATACATGCCCCATGCATGCGATGAATTTTAACGGGATTTCCATGAAAGAAACAATGACAGAAGTCAAAGTATGGCAAAAAAGAAAAAGAAACAAGATATCAGGCACCCGGTACGCTGGACAAAGAACGGATTATACGATGCACAGGTTCCTCGCCCCTTCTTCACCATGCCATGGGCGGCCCAGGGCTCTGGTTAATCTAAATCCCGATAACTACCAGCAACAACCCCAGATTGCGTATCCGGAGCATGGGAGCAAAAAAGGCTATGTATGAATATATACTGCTGGAAGCACTTCCCCTTCGATAAGTACCGCACTCTCCCTTCATTCCAGCAGGAGTGAAAACTGTATATCCCTGTTTCTTATAAGCCAGCCAAGTCTCACCAATCGTAGGAGTATTCCAAAGCCCGAGGCTTCAGGGGCCATAGCAGAGATTATATAACTATATCTGCGCTGAAGGAGAAGAATCCATACGGAGTATGCCCAGGATGTATACCTGCGTCCAGCCGTCAAAACACCTACTGGGGTCCTTTCAGCTGGTCAAAACAACGAAAACGGGGTTGTTTTGTTTAATTCTCCAACAGAAACGAGGGTATTAAACTCCGTTTGTTGACTTTCCATTCTTTCCCTGGTTTCGTTTGTTTTTCTCTGGAGTTAACTTCTCCATGGATTACGTCTTATCTTACTTATACTGCCAGGCTAACAGTTTCAGTAGCCGGGACGAACCTAGGGGATGAAGAAGGGGAACCATGGTCAAGCTTGGGTTAATTACTACTATTATTATGTATTCTTCTCGAACATGGCCGAAGAAACCCAATCGACACCACAGAACTATACCTGGGTAGTCATGCGGCCCCCAAGGGCGGATAGTTTCGCATGAAGCTTAGAGAGCGAGGGAGGGAGGGAGGGGATGAGAGTGAGAGGGCGAAACGAGTTGTCCATCTCGTCTAGGTGGCTGCTCCTATATTCCGTACATATCGATGGTGCAAAGAACCAACAATCCTTTCAAACAGAGAATCCGATCTCCCTCCCGTTCTCTTCTCCAGCAAGGCCACCTGTTCGTCGCAGAAGTGCTCCGTTAGGACGGAGTCGACTCCTTGCCCGTCCCATCCCAGTCCCTTACAAATCTGCTGGCAACACCCACCCGACATCCCTGGAGGCGCCAACATATAAAACCCCAGCCATTATATTCCAACCAGGTTAATGCCTTGCGAAATGTCTCTGCGGATCTCAAATTGCGTGATTGAAGATAATAACCTGATCCGATCCAGACTTCTGGGAAGCCGTCCCGGCGATGTCTAGTCCCTGGCCTGGCATATATAGGATGCTCGTTATATCCATGGTCTGGCAGGTGTAAATATATGTCAAACCCCCGGTCAAAACACTGTCCTGCAGCAGTCCATCACCATGCCTTGCAGGGAGCGGGCCATAAAACTTGTTAACAAGAGAACAACGGGGAGAGGGGTCCTGTATTACACTGTAACTCATGATGCCTGATGCCATGCCATGCCATGTTGTTCCCCCTTTTCCCAAGGTTTATCTTCAGCATGGGATCGATGTCAGTCGCTAACCAAAAGATGCTAAAAGAATAAAAGAAGGCGCCTCTTTTCTTCGGCTAGAGAATCATGCTTCTCCATGCATTGAAGATTCTCATTTGAACCGGACATCATGCTAGCAGGCGGCATCCCAAGACGAGACCACCTTCCTTGACCCCGGATGATTTGCGCCTGACGAAAGCTATCCTGGGGGACTTGCACCTCCCCGGAGATTAAAATATTCGTACCTGACCTCTACAGGCTAGATCTTCAAGAAAAGGCGACCCCCAATCCCATCGGCTAACTAGACATGCATTTGCAACTTGTAAATCCCTCTCCCCTCCCCTACTACGTCCAGCCTGCCATACAAGCCATGGAAGCCACCGCAAAAAGACCTTCGGGCTTCGTCGTCTCTCGAAAGCCCTTACAGGCCAATTGCTGTCTATCTTTCTCTGTCTGGCTGTCTGTCTATCCCCCACGCAATATCAACCCTAGTCGATGAGGCCTTGCCCAGGTCCAGGTTTGAGCGGGATGGAGCGAGCCCGTCTATGCGGAACACAAAATAGATTGGCAATAGAAGGCAAGAAAGGGTCTTCTTTTTCTTCCTGATTGCTGCATGTTTATCCCGGATCGTTTGTTCCCACTCCCTATTTTGCCCTTGGCTGTTCACCCTCTGCTTTGTTGTAGTTAAGACTTTTCCCTCAGGTCCGGTAACTATGATCTGTGACTATATCGCGATCATTTTATTATTGCCCCGGCGACTTGATTATATAGTTGGCAGATCATAATAGAGTATTGAAACACAGACGAACGAGATCGCCTGGGGAAGATGGGTTTGACAAGCGATCTCAGCCTGCTAGGCTGGAGAAACGCCATTGCCTGCCCGTCATCGGCCAGAGCATCTTCGATATGATCCTAATTAAGCGAAGCTGAATACACTGAGAACAGCCTAGTTCGACGGAGCCGGTAAACACTCCTTGAGAGGTAAATCTTGACTGTGGCCCGGATGAATATCCAAAAACGGGCTCCTCTCGCTGAATTTTACCCTAAGCTGTACAATGTGGCGCCAATCCTAGGCCAACTTGCGCAGGTATTTGAAATTAACAGTCACGGTGACTCGCAAGCTGTCCGCGCAAATAAGCCCCTATCTTCCTTCAGCATGAAAGAACGTTGATTTTCTGGGGGCCAGGAACGTTGCTCTCGTTTATTAGTTGATGTGCAGGTAAAAGGCCGATATTGAACAAGTCAGATCTTCACCAGTAAGTAAACTCACACCGGTATAACTTCGACGCGGAGCGTGCTGGCTGCTGTGACTCGGCTGGGTAAAGTCGGAAGCCAAAAACTACCTCCTGAAACCTTTTCTGAGACACAGGACGCCGCACTCCCTCAACTGGCCCCAACGCTCCCAGGTGAATCAAGAATGCACTGAGCCGGGTAGAGGCACATTCCGCTCTGAGGAACAGGGATGCATGGGCAAGTCTACAGTCCCTCATTTTAATGGCTCAAGAGCTTTGGCTGGGTGGTTTTTCAGGCGTCATTCGCCTCACCCGTGCGATTTTTGCAGAGCTACTTGGTATCAAGTGTTTATCCCGAAGAAGCTTGCCACCAATACTGACGGGTCGCTCTTAATAGCGGTGACCTTCAGCCGTCTCGAGTATCTGGGTCTGGAGCCTAAGATCTCTCTTGAGGATTGAACTTCCGTCATCTCCGGCGGGTTTTCGCAGCTATCGTGCGAATAATTATGCAAGAGTCTTTTCTCTGTACAAGAATCACCAAAAAAACAATAGTCGTTTGTCTCGAACCACGGGGCGGGCTACGGCTGCATGATAAACATCAGTCCTTCGAGTCAATATATGGATACCCAGTTATGGATGCTAGAATGATGCCGGAACTGATCAAAGTTCCCGCGGAATGCTCCGGATAGCCAGACGCGGGATGTGCGTTCTCAATGGGAAGCTAAAGACAGACTCGCCAGACCACTGCGTACGAGATCGATTGTGGTTCCTGGAGGTAACATATTCCGAAGGCCACGTTGAAATGAAATCTCATGTGCTGGCTTAATCCCTTGGACGGCATACAGGGGTAACCCGAATCGTGCTGGTGACATACGGTGACACTTTCTAACTGTGATTAGTACAGTCGATGTTGCATCCTGATCAATAGATCTAGTGCTGATAATCACTTCCGTTTGGGATGATCGATATGATTTCCAGAAAGTGTCATTATGGGGCACAAATGTTAAGCCGGTATGAATAGTACTGGCCAATAGTACTTTTTGCACGCATTTGATATCACAGCCTCATCACTTTGCCTAGATGGATGCACCGCAGCTCATGTAATTACGTATGCGAGCGCTTGGGCTGTCAAGTTACCAGACTCCACCGCAAAATCTTCTATATTCTGATACCGCCTTCCGCCGCGCCCCGCGGAGGACAGACAAGGCCGTACTTTCTCAACCAGGATAGAAGCTACGTTCGAGGACTATCCCACTTAGGAAAGGCCATGTGTCACAGTAAGCCGAAACTTTTCATAAGCAATGAATCAAAAAAGGTTTTCGAAACCACATACCAAACCTCGTAGAGGTATTCGCGTGGTTTGCTGGACGAACCATTGGCTCTGGAGAATTTTTTTCACGCCAAACGATAGACATGGGAGTTGCATGCAGATGCAAACATGAAAGCGGTCTATCGTGCACAGGAAAAAAATGGGGCATAGGATGAACTCCGAGATTCAGGCGCAAGATCGTGTTCATCATGCAAAGAGTCCCGATTGCCAGGTTAGGCAAGGGTATGAGCCATGGAGTTTCTCGGAGAAAACCAAAAGGAAAAAGGGTGGGATTGAGCTGGTGAATGACACATTCGTGTCATGCGGTGCAGCATCATAAAGGGCAGCTAGATGAGTTGTTAAACTTTCTAGTTTCCCGATGAGGCGGTGAGAAGTTCGATTGGATTGTGTCTAAGCCTTAAGAAGATCTTCAAAGACCGCGTGAGATTGGGAGATTGGGATCCCACAGGCGCAGAAGAAGAGCGGGTTAACTAGTTGAAAGACGGTGGAAATTTTAATATCCCATTTTTGGCGTAGGGCGAGGGTGGCTGGTGTTTGGAACTAGGATTATGGTGGACAGCCCGCGAACGTTATACTCCAGATGTACTTCGTCTGGGCACAGCGTTCATCGAATACAGTTATCTTTTCTTCCTTCGGGGAGAGCCTGAACACACAACGGTCAGCAAGTGGCTTTCATGCGTAAAGAGCGTTTATCATCCTCATGCTTGGGTGGGCTTTTACCTCGTTCTCTGCCTGTTCACGGTGTCAGCCAACCAGCAGCAACATAGGCCGAGCTTTGACGGGCGGGAACATCGACGTCACCAAGCTTGAAAGCACTCGGCCGTTTGACTGTCCAGCACGCCCAGCTCCGTGGAGACATGATCCTTGCTCCCTATCCATGTTTGCGGCCTTCAAGTGTTGTCGTTTGTCCAAGTTGTTTGTCAAAATTCCCAACAAAGAAAAGGAAAAGATGAAAAAGACATCAAAAAGAAGTCGTCATGTGACCAAAAAAGCCTACAATACCCCTTTTTGCAGGAGTTCGCCTCGTCTTTCCTTCTGGTGCTCTCAATCATTGTACTGGCGCCTTGTTTTTGTTTTATCAGCCGTGTTGTAATATGGCGGATGTATTGTCATATCGTTATTCTATACTCATTGTTCGATTAGTTATCGGCTGGAATTGCTGGTCTTGGTTGGGAAATATTCAATATATCAAAGCATCAGGCATGACTACTACGAATAACTAAAGCAAAAATCTCAGGATATTTCCTTCATATGCGATCAGCTTGCCCTTCAGTGAGCCCGAATTTGATCTTTTTATACCCAGTAGAGGTTTATCACTCTCTTCGAAAGGTGCAAAGACATAGCAATGCTGTTCACCAGCCCAGCCAAAACTATTGCTAATAAGGAGAATGGCTGAAGATCAACGCGTTGAAACATGTTGAGATGACCATATATGTCTATATCTATATTTCCCACTCGGCCTCGTTCTGTGGCCGATTCTCCCAGGGAATTTACCATATCAGCTTAGAACACCCTTATTACGGCCTTTTAGCCGCCCTCATCAAAGGGCAGAGTTGAAGCTTTGATGGTATTAAGGCGCAAGTATGAGAAGCATTGTCATACTTATATTCTTCCGTAGCCCTGACTTCGAATGAACGGGCTTCTCCGCTTAAAGCCAAACAAGCAAATAATAAAAAAGGCATGTACTTGAAGGAGTATAAAATGGGAGAACTACACGAAATACCACCTTGACTCTATCACAATGACATTAAATACCAAGATTACTACTTCCTCCACATATTTCATACCAGAAAGATAGAGAAATCAAATTTGGAGTCAATCAACCGCCGGCTATTGTTACACATTAGTCTTTTCGACAAGTACAACACATTTCAACTAATCATGGCAAACAACCAACACAACAACAGCTCTAACAGCCCTAACAATGCAAACAGCCCAGCTAAACCAAACAACCTAAATAGTTCCCAGAGCTCCAACGAGAATGACCGGGGAAGAGTAAGTTTAATCGAGAATAATCCTCCATGTATGTGACACTTTTTTCATTTTGCTAACTGGGAGACCAGCTTAGGCTGTTCTATTCCGATTGGGCACCCTTCTTCAGGAATGCGGCACTGGTTTCTAGAGGCCTCTCCAATGAAACAGGCGTGCTGTGCTACAGGAACTGCATTTTGACTACCTTACTACACCAGCCCCTGTTTGTCAATTGGTTGATGCTCCATGTGCGGCAAAAAGGCCCATGGCATCCCCCTCGTGGGGGGTGTTTCGCCTGCTTCCTGGCACAACTAGTTGATGAGTATTGGTCTTCTATCGCCTCGGACAGTCTAGATCTTTTCCTCCCTCACTTCTGGGCCGGATGTAGTCAATTCTGGGATACTAACTCCACAGACCAACAGGACTGTATTGAATTTCTGACCAGCTTCATTTCAAAAATCGACAGCTCCGCCCATACGGGAGATATCCAGCATATTTTCCAAACTATCTTCAGATACCGGAGCACATGCCAAACCTGTCAGCACACCAAGTACTCCGAAAGCGATCACTCATGGGTGCTAGGTGCTTCCCCACTGGAGCAGGAGCCGGGATCATTAGAAAACTGCATTCAGGAGTACATGAAGGCAGAAGATATTGCAGATTACCATTGTGGCAACTGTAATAATAAGTCAACCCTTCATCGGGAAATGTTTATCAAGGATGCACCTGAGGTCCTCATTGTCCAAGTCACTAGATTCAAGGTACCAGACAGCGGCGAGTCCTCAAAGGTCACAGCCGAGGTTCAATTCACCGAAGACCTAGATCTCACGGATAGACTGACCCCACAGGCAAGGGAATCAGGAGAATCCCTCCGCTATCAACTCACTTCGGTTATCGTGCATCGTGGTGCCACTATCAAGGGAGGCCATTATATGTCATACGTCAAAACTCCAACAGGCACCTGGGCGTGTCTCAATGACGAGTTTTCTTGTGAAGCCAAAATTGACGCTATCCTTGGGTTCCAGGATGACAACAACGTTCCTTATGTCCTGATCTATAACAGGCTCCCGCTCTTGACGGGATCACAGGGGAGAAACAACATCGGCCCTGACGCTACAGGGAATTATTTGATCGCCGAAGGAGTAGAATCCTCCCCACAAGCCGACGCGGAGAAGACGCCTTCGACAGAACATGGGGTTCAAATACGTATTTCCCCGGGACAACCCCAGACTCAGCAGAGCGAAAAATCTGCCTCGGAAGCGGGTGACGGCTTGACCAGCTTGTTCGAAGGCTCAATTGGTTCAACTAAGGGCTCCCTCGGCAGCCCCAGTTCTAGTGTTCGCTGGGAGGGCCAGCCGGCAGAGGTCACTGTCCAAGTCACTATGGGTGATATGATCATAACAGGGGCTGTTAAGGGTATGCTAGAAAGGAGGCCAAAGCGCCGCGTCTCTAACAGCCCAGAAGCCAAACAAAAGCCAAAGGGTATTGGCAAGTCGAGGCCTCCGGCGAAGAAAAACCGGAAGGGCGCTCGAGGTTACCCGTTGACTCTGCTTATGGGCTAGTGCAAGAAGAGTACATAGATATGCCAGGTGGATAAGCACGGGAATGGAATCTTGGGCAACATAGAGGATATCAAAACTAGCGCCAGAGGGACTCATCTGCTCGATCACGGAGCCATTTCCGGCGTCTTATAGGGCGTATATAGGGGCTGGAGGTCTGTGTTGCAAGTTTGCAAGTCGTTGGGCCTGTGGAGGATTCAGCCTAGCTATTTTTATAGAGTTGATCTTGCTTATTATAGACATGTGAGGGCCCTCTCTGTGAGTAGTTCGTAGTTTGGCTAAAATCAAGTGCACAATAATAACTCACTGGTTATGGCTATAGCCACAGGCATGCAGAAACAGAACAGTTAACTACAAGGAATGAAACTTGGACAAAGGCGTTGCTGCTAAATGTGCGCTGCATATTTAATGCCTGCAATTTCGTATAGCTGCTTTCTCAACTCTCTCTTTTGAGTGGATCAGCCGCTCCAGCAAGTGCTTATGTTTTGTCCCTGGTTCTCGTCCTCTCATATCCGGATCGCCAGTCAGCCACCCGTTCTTCCAGCTGCATGGGCTTTAATTAGTTAACGCCTCGCGAGGAAAGGAATTGAAGCCAGCTAGTTAGATGTCCGTTCGCTCCGAAAGCCCAGGGAGCTCGCTTCCCTGTTCATCGGTCTTTATCACAAGCCTTATAGGGCAGCTCGCCGTCTGTAACCGAACCCAGGAGCTTCCAGATGGTATCTCGACAATACCCAATGCTGGAGATGATGAAGGAGACTCACCGAGAAACCCATTGTCGCAGCTGTCGGCAGATGTCCTGGCAAAGGTGAAGCCGTTGCTGTTGACGTTGCACTGCCTATTCCCAAGCGAGCTGCTCCTGGCTCTTGATATCCTCGACCGGAGCCTGATTACTAGATACACCGTCAAGCCCAGAGACAGGAGGCCCCGAGGAGGGACTACACATTGCCTAGGGCACGAGGGAGATGGGCGCGAGATAGAGGTATACTGTGGAAAAGTTCCAAGGGAACAGCAGCAGCACCACTATATGGACGAAGACGACGACTACGAGGGCGAATGTTTTGATAGTGAGATATACTTCGTCTTGTCCTCTGCTTCAAAAAGGAGGCTAGGAGCAGAGGAAGACACACGCCACCGCCAGCAAGAGAATGAATACCAGGTTTGCCTTGATGCATGGAACTGCACTTGTCCTGCGTTTACGCTGGCCACTTTTCGAGATCTCGACTCGGAGGATGATGAGGCAGGGCCACAAACCAAAAGCGATATTGAATTACCAATAAGCAATGAACCGGTTGATACCATTACAAAGAGGAAAAACTGGGTGTTTGGCGGGTGTCTGACCCAAAGTACACCCTGTACGTCTTCTCCCTTGGGATGTTGTTTCATGCACGACTCGCCATCTCTTTGCAAGCATTTACTGGCGTGTACACTTGTATCTCAGTGTCCGGGTTTATTTGGCAGCAAAGTAAGGAGGTGTGAGATAGATCCTCTGGAATATGCGGGAAAGCTTGCCGCGTGAATGAGAAAGGGTCAAAAATGAGGGATGTTTTACGGAAATATGGCGCCTATGTATAAATTAGATATTTTCAAGGATGCAACGTGAATTCATCGTCATTATATTTCCGACCAAGTTCCTTGGCTCATTTCACAGAAGTTCTATTGGGGGAAAAGATATACGCAATATTCTACATATCGCCGGCCAGTACCAATATTTATCTGGTAAGGAAGTAGTAGGGAAAAAGGGCTTGAAGAAGGCCACGAGGAGTGAGAGAGAAACAACGGTCCCCAATATGTATTGGTGTATTTATCATTTCTTCTTCCCCTTCTCAGTCGAACTTGGCTCATCCTTAGTTTCTGTCCCAGCAGAGGGGCCTGATTTCTTATTCTCATTATTTGAGTTGGCACCGGCTTTCTCTTCCTTTCCCTCTTCCTTCTTTGCCTCTCTTTCCTCCTGTTGCTGACGGTTCTGGATCTTATTTTCTATCAAATCGTGGAACGCAGTTATGGCTCTGATCAAACTACTGATGTAGATGGACATAAGTTGGTCGTTCGTTTTGATATTCATGGCACGTGCAAGCTCGGTGTTCTCGATTTGCTGTTCTGCGCCATTGGCACTGGAGGAAGTGCCTGGTTTGGCTGTAGCGAGGTTTGGTAGAAGGTTGAACACATCCTGGAGATGGCCAAGGATGGCGTGGTTGACTGGAAGGTCCCTGTCCAGCACCTTCTCAAGATACTGGCCGATGTCTCGGAGCCGAAGATGTAGACCTTGCAGGGACTGAAGCTGTGACGTTATTCTGGTGGAGAGTGTGCCAACTGCAACATCTCTAATGTCTCGCAGAAGATGCTCTACGCCTATTTCCTCGGCCTCTTCAGCTTCTATTATTGAAGGGGTATGAACAAAAGTCTTAGAAGTCGTTGTTCCGTCCTAGATGTAAGATGTTAGCTGGTTGAGCCTTGGGAGTATCAAACAACAAGAAAATGCCAGATCTCACATCTTTGATCTCTTCAACAGCAAAGTATGCATCGGTGGGCACACCGACTTCCTTCGGCTGAACATCGATAATGACAAGTAGAGGATTTGGGTTGTATCGTTTAAAAAGCTCGTTGATCTCTAGATCCGACGCTCTCAGCTTGGGGCCAGAGTGATACCATCCAATCAGTTTCTCGCGGGCGTTAATTTTCTTGAACATATCATTCATCGACTCGACAAAGTTATGGTCTAAAAACCAGACTGAAGGGTCCTTGTCATCTTCCTCGAAGGGTACTATATTATAGAATGGATTGTCAGTGGGCTGGAATCCAAAGGCTCCGCTACATATTTATATGAGAAGATCTGCGCGCATTCGCAATACATACCTGCAAAACTGTTGGACACGCGGACCGTCTTCCCATCATTCTGGCCTAGCAACACACCAACCACTCGCTTTCTGGTGCCCTTCGCTGACCGTCCATAATGGTCTGCCACCGAGAGGAGAACTAGGGGAGCAACGGTAACGGTTGTAGTGACGAGGGAGAGGGTATCGGTGGTAGTAGCAGGCATGATGAAACGAGCAAGGCAAAGATATCACTAGAGGCGGAACGGGAGCAGAATGAAGACACAAAAGAAAGCTATCGAGACAAGCAGGCAACGGTGGTGAATATCTGCAACTCCTCGTCCTCTTCCTCTTCTGCCTCGTCTTGTTGACTTAGAAGCTGGAGCTCAAGCGGCAAGCTTTTGGAGGGCCAAGACCAGACTGTTGCTGAATAATCATATGACTAAGATCTTACTAAGAATTATAACTAATCACTTTCACGTGACAAAGCTCTAGCCTGTGACTGCTGAGTCATCTTTGCCGTGAGCCGGCTTTAAGCTCTTCTCGCTGCAAGTTGAAACCAACCAAGAGAGGCAAGAAAAAGCAATTTATCAGGTTAATCCTCGCCGAACGTTTCTTCGTTTCTCTTCTTCAGATCCGCGAACGCTGTCTTCCTTCTTCACCCCAACCTCTCCTCTCTTCCTTTGCTTGCCAATTGCCAATCCAGAGTGAACACACTCTCGTCAGGTCCCCGATTCCAAAGGATTATTCTTATTCTTTGTCTACCTTCAACCTCGGCTCACAATGGCCCCAGCTAACGGCGAATCGATTGATGCTCTGAAGGACCTCATCAGCAGCTTGGAGTCTCGGATAGTTGGGTTGGAGAAGGCATTGCTCAATGGCGGCAATTCGGACTCTGCTGCGTCGATGCGGATGGTTCTGATGGGCCCTCCTGGTGCCGGTATATAGTCCTCCTGCAATACACGCCCGTCTTTGCCGAAAATGTTTGACTGACCACCGTGGCTCTTAGGCAAGGGAACGCAAGCGCCCAAGATCAAAGAGAAATACTGCGTGTGCCACTTGGTATGTTTATTTTTGCCGAAAGGCTCATTGATACCCTAATAGCTTTGGATTGCGGCTCTAACAATCCGGTCAAGTCTACTGGTGACATGTTGCGATCACAAGTCTCCCGACAAACAGAGCTCGGCAAGGCTGCAAAGAAGATCATGGATCAGGGTGGACTCGTCTCTGATGAGATTATGGTCGGCATGATCAAGAACGAGTTGGAATCGAACAAGGAGTGTAAGAAGGGGTACGTTTTACCGCCATTTTCTGGGACCATGGTCCGAGCTTACTGACGCAACCCTTTTTTCGCCTCTTCACAGTTTCATCCTCGATGGGTTCCCTCGTACAGTTGCTCAGGCTGAGCGATTAGACGACATGCTCCGCGACCGCAAGCAGACGCTGCAGCATGCCATCGAACTCCAGATTGACGACGGTCTTCTGGTTTCTCGGATAACGGGCCGATTGATCCACCCGGCCTCTGGCAGATCTTACCACAAGATCTTCAATCCACCAAAGAAGGAGATGACTGACGACATCACCGGAGAGCCACTTGTCCAGCGCTCTGATGATAATGCCGAGGCGTTGAAGAAGCGCCTGGCCACTTACCACGCCCAAACCGCTCCCGTTGTTGGATACTACAAGAACACTGGTATCTGGAGCGGAATCGATGCTAGCCAGGAGCCCGGCCAGGTCTGGAAGAGCATTCTCGGGGTCTTTGAGAAGAAGGAGTCTCCAATTCTCAGCAAGATTGGCTTGTCCAAGTAATTCCTCTGAAAAATCTCATACAAAACCACGGCCCCCCTACCTGCTGTTTGTTTTGCATTCGCCTCCCTCGGTTGCCAGGAATACGTGTCTACGACTCTCTATACATGAGATACCATTTATTCCCCTATTTTGAGGCATTTTGTTGCTTTGGTGGTTAGGAACTACTGAACGTGTATAGACTTGTGGGATCCGGTGCTCTTGTATACTGTATGTTACCTGTTAGAAATACAATGCATCTGTTCTATTGCTTTTTTTCGTGAGCAATATATCCATATAAATGCATTGTTGTTGATTTGTACTTGCCGCATTTTGTTTTCCTTTCTTCCCTTTGATAGTAACGGGAAGTCCCTGTCCAGAAGCACCATGCAGTATGCTACTTTAATGCAACTTCAATGGAGTCTTCCGGTTCATTCTCTACTTATTGGCATATCATTCTATCGCATCTCCTTTTCTTAATGGCCTCAGTTATACACTGTATATGTGGTCGCCGACTAAGCAGTTTGACATATCAACATCAGCTTCACCTTCCCCCTCTTGTTGATCACCACATCACGTCCACTACATATTTCTCTCTTTTCCTGACCAAAGGCCTTTGACTGCCTCTCTTTTCTTCTAGATTAAGCCTTTCACATTCCTATTACTTTGAAAATAGAAATGGGGTGTGTACTCTCCTGTTCATGCCTCCGTTCCCATGGAGAGCAGCCTCAACCACACAAATACGAGATTGGGAGGCCAACCTGGTTAGTATCTGGCTCAAGGGACACAGAGCCTTCTTGCCTTCCTTACCTGTTGGAAAACTGCAGTGTAGCTAATAAAAACTACTTTCTAGCCCTTCGACCACGGTTGATATCAGCTTGCTGAACTTGCAGCGTAAGTATTGTTGATATAACTAATCCCCTAGGTGGTTGTTCAGGCTTGCCTTCCATGCTGCTTTTTCTTGTACTACAACTACCTGATACACCGTTTCCCATCTTGAAGGCCGTAAAAAGCAATCTTAACGTCAAATACACGTGTATTTCGCGTTTTGCGGCATTATTTCACTCGAGTGCTAGTTGACTAACCGGTTAACCGTTTCGACTACAGCAATTCACCCTGAAGATCCAAATAATGCCTCGCGCCCAGCACTTATCATGCCAATGCAGCACTCCTTGGACATGGAGTTGATCACCGCTGCAGCTAGGTATGCAGATGAGAATAGATCTCGCGTAAGTTAACACCATCATCTCGCGTTCTTCGCTTAATAACTAGCCCTTGAACTCTAAGAGACTAATCTCCTCGCAGCGTAACATCCATACCAACCCAGAGGGCGTGATCGGTCATGCGCGTACGGATAGCAGTATCTCTCCTGACGTCCCAACTCCACCAACTGGCACAGCCGCAGGAACCGGTGCGGCAGCTACGGAAGCAGCTTCCCATGGAACTGAAGCAGTAGTCGACGACGAGACTAATACTGCAACTGGCAACCCCAATGATCCTGTCCTCCCCAACACTGCAAAGGCTCCTGCTACTGACGCCGCTCAGAATCACCAGTGAGCTCATGAAGCACATTTATCCCCGAACTACGAAGAACGTATCTTTTAATGTTGTTTGCTTCGTATGATGTCTACTCTACGTGTTACTGGCTAAATGCCTACAGCCCTTGTTTTTGATTCCCAAGTTGTGTGGGTCTAACTGTACCAGGTACCTTCTGGGGTGGGAAAGCTTTGAAATCTGATTGTGTGGTGGGTACTTTCTTGATTTCATTTGCAGTTGGGGTGGTGTTTTTACATGGGAGACAGGAGGTTCATAGGGATTTGCTGTTATTAGTGATAGCTACAAATACAAATAAACCGAATTAACCAATAACTTCCTTTTCCTTCAGCAAACTATCTTTTGTAGGTTTGCTATATATACTACAAAGAATTCCCTAATGTTTGTATGAGGTTGGCTTTAGTATTAGAGTTAATTAAAGTTACCGCCCTCCCGCTGCCGCTAGCTTATTTTGACTCCCACAGAATTTATCAAGAGTAAATGGAAATGAAGAGAATTCAAATAAAGATAGTCACAGGGGGAATTATTAATTTTGCAATTCCTATTACTAGCATAGGGTTGCTAGCCCTGCCTCTATTTATATTAGTGCAGAGATCTGTTGTATAGGAGAGTGCACTGTTTAGCAAAATGAAAAGCAGATCTATTCGCCATGCAACTGAAAGGGACTTATCAGGCATTTCCCGCTGTGCTTAAACATGACTGAAACAGGTAAGTAAAGGGGTAAGATGATGATGCAGATGGGTTATATGAATACTGAGAAAATAGATGGGGCCAGTAAGGGGTTAGGGAAAAAAAGGGACACAGCGATAGGTGTCTGGAGAAATGATATCAACAGTAGAATGAAGGATGCCACCCCGTTTCTCTAAAAAGTAAAAAAGGTTTCAGAAAGACGGTTATGAAGCTGGTTCAGTTTTAATCCTGACGCTGGATGTAGAGAAATCCGAATCCTATGGATCAAAATATGAGTTAGCAAACATTGCAGCGTATTATTATTATTTATGTCAAGGGATATTTTTACCTCTGCTTTTCGTTTGCCGAGAACTGAGTCTGGCGTACTGGTTCGACCACGCGGTACATCGGAAGTTGTACCCGTGCCGCCGTCTTTGGTAACTTCTGCATAGCAACTACCGTGATATATGCGATTGCCAACTTTGATAGCATCTCTCCAGATCCAATCTTGTGCTTCCTCAAACCAGGTAGATTCAAAATTTTCCTGACATATTGGACAAGGTGTATTGCGAAGCGTAGCATCGTTGGGAGCGTGTATCCATCTTTGTTGTTCTGCCTTTTTGCCTGACGCATCTTCACTATTGGATTTCCTGGCAGCAACAGAAGCGTCGTCGGCACCAATATCATCTTCAAATTCTCTGAATTTTATCCAGTCCTGACGTACGTGTTAGTTATGTTATATAAGTGAGTGAACTAAGTAGAATTCGTGGACTTACTCGCTCATCAAGATACCAGCTTCTATTCTGACTTCGCTTCGCTGCTTCGTTTATCCGTAGGTTTGTTTTAAAATGCCAGTCTAGATGTCTAGCTTTCTTGTCCTTCCCTTCTTGGGTTGAGACAAATCGACGACCGCAGGTTCCGCAGCGGTTAGGTTTGTCTTCGTATAAGCAGGCAATAAGATTTGGGCGAGGTCTGTGAAAGATACTGGTTAACCAAGAATGACCTTTAGAAGAAGAGACTGGCAGCACCTACATCCGTATTGAGGCAGAGGTCATGGGAACTTTAATCTTGACACCTTGGGGGTTAGGGTTCGCAGGGGCAGGAGTATATGGTGGTTGGCCTGGAATGATGAAGGGGAGGTTAGGTGGTGTGGTTGTAGGAGTTGCCGTGGCAGGGGGTAGAAGGCCACGGGCTCTCAATGACGCTATTAAGGGACTCTCGGCCAGGGATGCAGACACCCCAGGCTGTACAGCTGCTGCTAGTGGTGGCGCAGGAGCTGCAGGTTGGGTATATTGTTGAGTCGGCTGGGTAGGGGGGGTCTTTTGTGCAGTTGCTTTGATAAGCTCCGCAAGAGTGTTTGGGTTCAAAAGGGCTTGCAGGTTAGGTTGCGGGGTCTGAGTCGGTATAGTTCCCATAGGTGGTGTAGATACTACGGGAGTTGCAATATGGGTAGGTAAAGCAGCAGGAGGAGCGGGCGGGGGTGTTGGCTTCGCGCTGGAAGCAGAAAGCTGAGACACCTGGTCACGGATTTGCTTTAGCTGTGCCTCTGGCAGCCGTTGCTGCTGTAGAATGCTCTGTAGATCTAAAAGGGCCTTGAGCTTTTGCTGGACTGCAATGTTAAGTGGGTTAGCAGTAAACTCGAGCCGTACGCTTAAGATCAGCGAGTCAACATCACGGTGTAAAGAGGCAAGGTTTATCGGTTCCTGTGATTGTTGGTTGTACGGTGGTTGGTTGGGCTGCCTGTAAGTTAGCAAATCTATAGATAAGTTTGCATGATATTATTTATAGCGAGCCACTTACGTATCCCTGGCCGTTGCTCGGCATCTGTTGGTTATTATAACCGTATCCTGGAGGGTATCTAGGGGCACCCTGGGGCGGTGTAGGGGTATTCCTCCATACTGGCGGCGGTGTACCTACACCTCTACCGAGGCTCATAGCTTCCTGCTGGCTTCTGGACTGTTGTTGCTGAAGGGCTGCTGTCCTAGCTTTGATCAGAGCATTCTCAATATTCCGAGTTATCTCAACAGGAAAAACAGGCCTAGGATCCAAAGAACCGGGAACAGGCTCTTTCCACGTTTTAAGCATCTCGTCTAATTTCTTGCGAGTCTGCGAATCAACAAGAGTATAGGCGTTCATGAAGGTCTGATATAAGTTGCGCCCCAGGAACAGCGTGTAAGGAGTTCCTACATTCTTCACAACTGAGTCCACTACATAGAGAGCTGGTAACTTTTGAGATGGTGGTGTCTACAGAGATCAATTAGAAAATAACTTCGCTCCAGTTTTCTACACCGTTTTCCCGTAAGCGAGAATAGCATTATCCAGCAAGGCAAAGTACTTATGCGGCATGAAAAAACCGAAATGAAAAGGAAAGCAAAGGGATGAAAAGAAATGCAAGGAAAAGCACAGAGACTGGAAAGAAAATTGGAACCTACGTTTCGTATGTGGTTCTCCAGAACTCGGGAGATGGCCATGGCATGTTCGGTATTCTCCTTTGCAATAACTGTCAGATTGCTTATTTGAAACTTGTCATTCGATGTGAGGTCTTCCAGGGAGTTCTTATAGTCCTCTGCAACCTCATCAGAAACGAGTCCCGACATGATGGGCAAAGAGTCGGCTGAAGTTGTTTGCCCAATGGCACAACTCCGGGGTATCAAATTCAAATAAACACTGAAAGAAAAGGAGAGAGAAAGAAAAAAGGCAAGGGAGATTCGAGTGGTGAGGTGTTGATCAGTCGTCCTATATCACCAGCAAAGTAAGTCCTCAACTATGACTCCTTTTCCTCTTTGCCGGGTAAGCTGTTCTTTTTTTTCCTTGTTCAGCTGCTCTTGTGTTTTTTCTTTCTTGAGCTGTAATTTTGAGGCTTATAATCAAGCGGATAGAAAGGATAGGTAGAGACACAGGACAAAATATTAGAATGGTTGCTAGCTATTCCTTGCAGAAAACTCGGATGGTGAGCATGTAATGCCAGCGCAATATCCTAAAATCAGGAGCCAATATAACCACCCACTTCACACGTATATGGCCCTAAATCCCTGCTCTGTCTACCCTTGTCTTCTTTCTGTTTTGCTTTGTTTTTTCTGTGTTTTTATACGTGCCTGTCACTTGCTTCCCGGCAGCAAAATGACCTCGAAAGAAAATCAGCCTAAGAAAGCGGGAGTTTGCTCAGCGTTTCGTTGGAGGACAATAAAACGAGGGACGAATCGGTGACGTTGGCGAGGATATCTGCGGCCGACGGTGATGGTAAAAGTAGACAGCAAAAGGTGCAATGCGAACTGAAGCGGAGGAAGTTATAAACAAGCAAGAAAGCAAAGGGGACGGATGAACTTGACGAAGGGTGAGACGCCGAAAACAAAGGGAGAGAAAAAACCGAACGATGGAGAAAGAAGGAAGTGTGTTACAACCCCGGTCAGCGATCCTATATATTGTTGTATATATTCACTGCTTCTTTGGACTCAATACGAAGGAGTGTTACTCCGTATTTATCGACTCTATTATCCGCCGTCCTCTTCTTTTTCGGCTTCGTCTTCTTCTTCTTCTTCCGCTGCTGCTTCGGCTTCTCTTGCTTTCGTGTCGTCGCTTTTTCCCTTTTGAGGCTGGGGAAGAGAAATATCAACACGTGACAATGACTAATACATCTTAGTCATCGGAATACCCCATAACATGTGACATCACATGACTTATCGGCCAAAAGCGGAAGGAAGTGGACTTAAAACGGCAAGGGAAAACCTCCGACTCACGTGATTCGTATTTTTCCCGCCCCTGTTTCTTGTTTCTGCCAAGCGGTGACGGCAGCGCCAAGACAGATAAGAAAGAGACAAGAAGAAACAGCGAAAGAGACAGAAACAGAAGAGACAGAAGAGACAGAGAGACGGCAGGGCAGGTAGAGTAGTAGGAAGTAGAGTAGGCAGAGTAGGTAGAGTATGGTAGTAGCAGGAGGAGTACGGAGTACGGAGTACTTGGTGATAAGAAGAGGAGCAAGCATAAAACAGCCCACTTACTCCATATAATTATTATGTTCCGACCGTGCTGTGAAGGTGCTCTTATATAAGTCGTGCTAAGACAAGCCTAGGCAGATACATAATTCTTCACTGTTAAGGAGGAGGAGGAGGAAACCCTATATATAATTCATTCAACCCGGCGAGAAAGGGAAACGAAACACCAACCGAACGACAACCTTCAAGCACCAACGACGGCCATCCACCGCGCCTCTCGATCGCTCTGCAAAGCCACACCTCCCAGTCTCGACTGCGAACGCCCGTCCACTCGTTATCGCAAATGAAGGTCTCTCTTGCTCTCGTCCTCGCTGCTCTCACGCCCGCTATCATGGCAGCCAACATGAAGTCCGTCATCATCAGCTACGGCGAGGAGACTCCGAACGATGTCATCAAGGACGCAAAGGACGCCATCATCAAAGCTGTAAGAGCCGACCCTAGCATCGGGCATCAGTTCCTACGTCCTGCTTAGAGATGCAAGCCACTGACTATATTTCTTTTTCATAATGTAGGGCGGCAAGATCGTCCACGAGTACTGTAAGTCATCAACTATCGATTCCTCTCCCTCTCTTTCCCGTTGACGTCTCGCTAACCTCTGGCTTCTCTATGTCTAGCCCTGTTCAAGTACGTTTAAACACGCCCGACGGGCATCGAGAAACATCGTATCCCTCCATACTCTACCCCTGCTAACACTCCTTTTCTCCTCAGGGGATTCTCTGCTGAGATGCCCGAGTCCATGTTTGACGAGGTCAAGACCATGGATGCTAAGTTCCCAGCGACCATCGAGGAGGACCAGGTCGTCTCGATCAACACATAAAGAGACTGTCCTGCGTCTCACCTTTTCTCTCTCTCACTTTCTCCCTGTACAGCCATACTACTACTACAGTACTCCGTACTCCTCTTGTTTTCGCGATTATCTCTGGTTTCTTAAATATTATTTATTCAATTTTCTCTCCCTTTTCCCCCCTGCAACCACGAGTTGTCAGTCGTTAAAGGGGGCAAAGAGTCTTAGTTTCTCTGCCTGATCTGTGGTTGTAAATACACTCGCTTCATTGATCATGTCTCATTTATAATATACCAAGACAAATTGAGATTGGAACTAAACCCGTTTTTTATGCACTGGGCTGCATGATAAATATCCTTCTTTTTCTACCGGTCAGGGACAGACGTGTTAATGCTTTGGTAGGCGTAAACGCCCAACACAACCAAGCATACGGAGTAGCGGTAGTCAACCCACGGCTAAATACTTTCCTTTCTACACTTATTGCATAGTTCTTTGTATCCATGGACCAGCGTCAACCACCGATCGGCAGTTAAATAGTAGTGACCATGGCGGCTGGTGGGCTGTCTCGTTCTTAAGTACATGGTACACGTTTAGCTGCAGCTAGACTTTGGCTTCTGATTGACCGTCGCTTTTCCCCCCCAAAGTGGGCGTCACTCAACGTACACCGATAGTTTTTTTCCCTTTCTCTCTGCATCATCGACAGGCATGGGTCCGGCTGTCAGGCATATATATCATTAAATAATCGTACTCGATCTCTTGCCGACCCGATTCCCACTCTCGCTCCCTTTTCAAAAACGCCACATTCTCTCGAGTGACCATGCCAAACGAACCCGAAACCGCAACGCTCCTTGAATGGATCAACAGCTTCCCCCTGGGCACCTCCATCCAGTCTTCAGATGATTTATACGATGGGGTCATACTCTGGGAGATACTACAAGACATAGACCCCCACGAGTTCTTGGGCGTTCTTCCAGAGAGCTCGCCGGAGGACCACTGGGTGCTGAGATGGCAGAACCTCAAACACTTGCACAAGCTGCTGCTGAACTACATACGGAACCGGTATGATGGAGAGATACCTGCAGGTCTCTCGACAGACCCAGACCTCAAGTCGATTGCCGAAACGGCCTCGACAAAGGAGACCAACAGGCTGCTGAAGCTGTTTCTCATGGCCGCCATCAGATCTCCTGGAGCCGAATCGTATATCGAGCGAATGGTACAGCTTTCGACAGCAACACAGGAAGGCCTGAAGGGCATAATAGAAGAAGCACAGAACCCTTCACAGGACCGGTTAGACCAGATAAATTATGAACAGGACGAGTACAAGGCACGTCGTGACCTGGCCATGGACCCAGAGCTGCAGTTCGAAGAACGTGTTGGGAAATTGCTGGTCGAGAATGATAAGCTATCAAATGAGAAGAAGCAGCTGGAGAAGGATCTTGAAGAGTTTCACAGAAAGGATGTACGCCTTCGAGAAGCAAATGAGCTGCTGCAGGATAAACTAAACATCACAGAAGATCGTCTGGCAAGGCTAAAGTCCGGCAAGGCCGACATTGGACCGAATTTCAAGGGATACGAACACCGGACGCAGGACATAATAGCCGCCCAGGAAACAAAACTCACGGCCGCCCAGGATGAAATCGACAGCTTGCGGATATCACTCGAGACTCTCCGTGTTAAGAATCAAAAGTTCCAGACTCTCCAGGACGAATACGACGAGATCAAGATCGAGCGAGATCAGCTGGCTAGAAAGGCCAATGCCGCTGAAAAGTATAGACAGAAGCTGCAGGCCAGTCAGGACTATGAAAAGGAGAACCAGGTTCTGAAGAACAAGGTCAAGGACCTCCAGCAGCATTTAAAAGAAAGCGATACCCTCCAGCGAGTCTCCGCCGCTAGAGAGACAGAGGTTGAGAACTACAGACGGCTGGTTGCTCGCGTTGAGCAGGACAGACATGAGATTCAAGATCTGAAAAAGAAGCTGGAGTTTGACAATCATGCTCTTACGGAGAGGCTGTTAGGTGCGGAGGAACAGCGAACCCGGGATGAGGATACCATTGGCAGACTGCAGGAGAGGATACGAGAACTAGAGGGCCTTGATAGCAGTCCAGCCTCCCCCAGACCTTCCACTCCTAAACCTCACGGCTCCAGTCTAGAGCGTGATCTGGAAGAAAGCGGCAAGCGAGAAGCTCAGCTGTGAGTTAATTTATCTTTTCTCCCCGTCTTCGTTTTGGCTCGTGGAATACCCTTTTAACTAATTTCACCTAGCAATGCCGAGAACGAGGAGCTCAAGAAGAAGCTTGAACACATTTCGATTGTTGACAAAGCTGCCACAGTACGCGACATATTCTTGATTTCCATTGGTTGACAGATGTGCTTACCGTTTTGTGCAGGATACACCCGATGACGCCGAGGCTGAAGCTCTAGGCGAGAAGAAATGGAAGGATGGGTTCTATCAGTGTCTCCTTCAGACGGATGCTGAGCTCAGAGATGCCCACCAGCGTCTGCATGTTGATTATACAATCATGCGAACGAAGGTTGTCGAGCTTGAAGGGTTGCTCGAGGCTACCAAGCTTGAGCTCTCTGATGCCAATATGAAGTGTAAGTTATCCCTCCTGACATCCCCCCTTCTGCCGCAGTAGCTAACTATCCTTAGTGGGCCTTGTTAATAAGGAGAAACTTGAAATGGTGAACGAGGTAACCGAGGCTAACTCAGTGGAGCAAACTGCCCTGCGGGAGAAGTGTGCCGTTCTGGCTGCTACTGCTAGAACTCTCACCGGTCAACTTGAAGTTAGGCAACTCCAACTCAGCGAAATATCTCGTGAACGAGATAACCTCAGAAACACATTCAAACAATCCGATACCAAGCTTTCTACTGAAGGAGATGCCTCCCTAGTGGAGATGAAACAGCTCCTCGAAGAGGCTAATGTCCGGGTGAACGACACAGCAGATGATGATATGACCAATGAATTCTTAGAGCGACTTGCGGAAACAACCGAGCGCAGCGCAGAACATCTTGCCAGGAGAGCTGAGGTTAGTCCTAAACAAATTTTATTTACCTCCTATTTCTCGCTCTTAACACTGCACAATGACCACCCACCCACCCATTCTACCATACACCTATTTCCCCAACCCCATTCCGAATTTCCAAAACGCACCTAGGGACCAATCCCAGAGCAGGCTCTGCCTTTCACTGGAGAAGTCTCCTCTCAGCCGAAAAAATGGAAAGGAAGAAAGAAAAAACTCCAAAATCGAGACAGAGGTTGACCCGAACCAGGTCAAGAGCCTCGTCGAGCTCTGGCATTGGTCCCTCCTCTTCGCAGGTCTCATATATGCCTATGACGCTGTTAACCCTGGCGCCTCCCTAATATGTTACATCGGCATGTTCATGAACCCCGAGTTGGGATCTTGTGGCTAATCGGATAACCAAACAACAAACAACTTGGGTTTGTTTTCCTTTTTATTACATCCTCAACAGCATATGAACCAACAAAATGATATCATCGAATCTTTGCAAGAGCGGATTAGGCACTACGAGCAGTTCTCGGCGGATCAGGAGGAGATCAAGGCTAGTAAAGAGAAAGAGGTGCGTTTTCCCCATTGTTCCTTTTACAGCTTAACAATATAAGCAGGAATACCTAATGTTGGTGTCAACAGACTGAATTGATGCAAATAATTCACCGACAAGCACGAGAAATTGCCCTCATCTCTTCTGCATGGTACGATTTCCAGTCACGGCTGCAGAATGGCAATATTGTGCTTTCTCGCCACCGTGGTGCAGCCGGTGCAAGTGCACACCATGCAGAAGCAAACCGCACATGGCTAGGGAAACAGAGAGCCCTGGTTGTCCCGAAAGCCGGTGGTCGGTAGATGCTTTAGGCAACATGTGAAAGAATTGTAACATTATGCACACACAGTTGGATCAGATGTTGTTTCGAAGGGGAAACGAAGACGGGGGAGGGAGAAGTGAGTAATAGATATTGCAACCATATTCTATTCGGTTGGGCTTGGGTACAAAGGCGACGTGACCGTTTTATTTCCTTTGTTCGGATTGGATACCATCATTGCCGTTGAGCGTGTGTTTAGCTAGGCCTGTTTCGGTTTCATTTGTTTTTTGGGATTTATTTTTTCGTTTTGAGAATACTATAATACTATTTCCACCACGGCATGCAAGGGCATGGGCATTGAATATAACGTTGTATCCAAATAAACTTAGATCTCCTATTCATTGCTCCTTTTTTGTATACACTATCGTACAATTAATTGTGATTATATGCCGTCAAACAAGAGTAGATGTAGAACAAGGTAATTACACCCATTCCCGTGGATGTTTAAGCACGTCTAGCAATTCCTTCTCTTTCTCCATACCCTCAACTTCCTCAGACTCTATGCCATCAGTTCTGGTCCCTGACACGGGATCCATATATACCCATTTCGCAGTTCGGGGTAAGCTCATCAATATACTCTCAATCCTTGCGCCAGGAGTACGCAGTCCAAAACTCGTGCCTCGATCATGCACAAGGTTGAATTCCACATATCGCCCGCGACGAAGCTGTTGCCAATCCTTCTGCTGCTCTGTGAAAGGCATATCCTTACGCTTGTTCAAGATGGGGACATATGAAGGCAGGAACGAGCATAAACCATCCGTGACAAACGAGAAAATCCGTTCCTGTGCTTCTTTATTTGACGTTGAGGCTAAGTGCGGCGAAGATTGGCGGATGAATTCTGTATCGAGGTCGTCGAAGAATATTCCGCCAATTCCTCTAGCTTCATTCCTGTGCGGGAGATAGAAATATTTATCGCACCAAGCCTTGAATTGTGGGAAATATGACGTATCATGCTTATCGCAGACGTCCTTTATCGTTTTATGGAAATGCTCGCAGTCTTCGGGGAAGAGGTATGATGGGGTCAGGTCAGTGCCACCGCCGAACCACCAGTTTGTCTGGCCGTTAACAACGTCCTTGGGATCAGCTGTTTCAAAGTACCGGTAATTCAAGTGGACTGTAGGTGCCATAGGGTTCTTTGGATGAAGGACAAGCGATAGTCCAGCAGCAAAGAAATCCAATGAATCCACATCCGCAGACACGAAAGATTTATGGTCTGCACGCATCTTCTCAATTGCCGGGCGAGGCAACTTTCCATATACGACCGAGACGTTAACTCCGGCCTTCTCGAATACGTTTCCATCCTGCAAAACGCACGAGATGCCTCCTCCGCCGTTGGGGCGGTTCCATTCATCTATTGTAAAGGAGTTGCCATCTATCTTAGCGAGTTCGTCGATGATGCGCTTCTGCTGCTCTTTGATCAGCTTCTCCATGCGCAGTCGCATGGGAGAGGACGAGGTTATTTCTGTTTGGCGCTTTGTTTGTTCATCGAGTTTGGCAATTGTGGGGGCTTCGAGGGAGATGGGCGTAGTAGAAGACTATAGATTTCGTGAGCAATTGACATTGATGTAGCGACATATTAAGAGCCGAACCGTAGAGTATAGCGTCAAGGCTGTGAGAGCTGCAGCAAAGCCAATGAAAGGCAACACTCTTGTAGAGCTCTCTACATTCCCCCTAGCTACTGTATGAGCCTGGCGCCTTGTGTTTTGGAGACAATGGTATCTGGCAAAGGGTACACGACGCAATGTCCTTGGGAGGAGCGTGGATATGCGAGGAGTAGCCATGGTGATTTCCTAGTATATGATTTTCCAAAGAGAGTTAAACAAAGCAATCAACTGTCATATACCACATTAAAAGCACAGAAACATAAATAAGTTCCTACAATGGCGTCTGTCTCGTAGATTCGGTCTTTATATGCATCGTGAATGCTGGATCAGGCCATGCCATCATCACGTGATATCAACTTCGGGCCGCGCCCGGGCCACCGACATGGAACTCCCCAACACCTTGACTTTGGACTACAAAGAGAGGCGCTGAGAAGTTGTTTCCACGTCAAGGCAGCGGCAGTAGAGCCTTCAAAGGGACGAGACCATGTGTGAGCAAGATGCGAGTCATTGTTAGGCTGCCAGTAAAAAGTATTTGGGCAGCGGTAATGGTGTACCTGTTGATCGAACAAAGTAACTAGATCACAGAAGCCTATCACCAACCAGCAAGAGAGACGAGCTGCAGGGCCGTCTAAGCCCCTTGTCGCAACCATGACTCCGTTGCTTATCTGCAAGGGGCTTCCGCCATCGCTATAGCTGTCATCAAAGCTATCATGAGTCACTCTGTCTCGTCTTCGCTTTCGCTTCTTCTTCTCTCATTTTCTCCTCCAAGGTTCTTTCTTCCATCTTTGTCTTTCCAGCCAACCAAAAAGAAGGAAAGCGCCCTTAATCATCAGAAGTCCAGCTGTCTTTGTCAGCAGATGCATCACGTGGCTGACTCACCGCCTGCGATCAGGCAGTCACGTCATGTGGATACTACACTAGTCCTCTTTCAGCCTTAGTGTCCCGTGCCCACCGCCTTCCGTTTAAGTACGCGGGGTCCAGCTCTTCTCTCTCTCCTTCTCACTCTTCTTTCTTGCCATCATCGACCATCCACTTTCTGCATCCACAGCTCCCTTTCGCCAGAACAGCACCCGGTTTACCAGCACAGTTACCACCCGGCAACCTACATACAGAAAAACCAGCAACCATGCGATCGAAGTTCAAGGACGAGCATCCCTTTGAGAAGCGCAAGGCAGAAGCTGAGCGCATCCGCCAGAAATACGCTGACCGCATCCCCGTAAGAGCCTCCTACTAGGCCCCAGCCATTAGCTGGCAGCTGGCCAACAGTTGCAACATAACTAACAATCTGTCCTCCAGGTCATCTGTGAGAAGGTCGAGAAGTCGGATATTGCCACCATCGATAAGAAGAAGTATCTCGTTCCCGCAGACCTTACCGTCGGACAGTTCGTATACGTTATCCGCAAGCGCATCAAGCTGTCCCCGGAGAAGGCCATCTTCATCTTCGTCGATGAAGTCCTTCCACCAACCGCCGCTCTCATGAGCAGCATCTACGAGGAACACAAGGACGATGACGGCTTCCTATACATCACGTGTGTAATCCCTTTGGAAACCCTATTTATCATCTGGCTCACCTGGCTGACCGTGTGATTGTGATTTAGATACTCCGGTGAAAACACATTCGGAAGTTTCCCTGAACTGCAGTGATGCAGCTGTCTCCTCGGTCTGGTTTCGATTTCACGGTGTTCGCGGAAAGGGTTTTTGTTCACTCCATGTTGTTACGTGATGTCATCTTATCCGGATAGTTATAGAATCCGTTCTTTCAACAGCTAAGGAGAATATGGCCGTCTCCCACTTTTCCTTCCATTGCAAAGGATCAGCTACGGTACAACATGGGAAACGAACCGGCCTCCCTTCCCTCGGCTTTTTTGGCTTTTGGTTATCGTTCTCTTTTTTTTGGGCAGGATATGGATGGCGTTTTTAGTACCTGGGGCCCAGACGGGGGCCGACCGCAGATGGTGAAATGTCACCATAATGACGCCTAATCGACAACAGTTCGTTCAACATTTTGACATTCCCCTTCCCCAGGTACTTTTTTCATTTCGGTCTTACTACATTGTTGCACTGCCAGCATCGATAATAATTGACGATGTTGTTGCATACTGGTTACGCTGATGTACTTTATTTTTCATTTTGAATAATACAAGCGTACCGGATAAGATGCTTCTTGTACATCAGTAGATTTGTAGATGTCCGTGGCTGGGGCTAGAAGCACGTAGCTCTAGGCAGATGTACGGATTTCCTTTAAGGGCCCACCAATGAAGAATCGCCCTGTAGCGATGATAGTAGGGTTATTCCATGCAGCATCAACCTTCTACTACCAAGCTATACCGTTCCATCTCGATGCAGCGTCTTCACCCCATCAAGCCGTTTGGGGTATCATAAAATTAAAACAGCGTACCAAACACCAAACTCCTGACTCTCAAAACGTTTCTTCTGTCCTGGCACTGCTACTTGTCCCCGATGCCTTATGCCTTGTCGATGGGGTGTCATAATCCTCGCGTATAGCGTGCGTGTATAACTAGTCAACTCTTTGCAGGGCTTGTGCTTCACTGCCAGTTATTCCACCACCTGCTTGCTCTTCCTTGGGCTAGGCTCATGAGCGAGATGAAGTCCGATGGTTGGTCAGGGAAACGTTCGCGGTGCTCGCGCCTTATTCGGATAAAGGCAGCTGAGCTACCTATTACCATAGCGAAGAGAGGATCTGCGACTCTGCAGGGTGTTAGCAGAGCTATGGCAAGCTACCACGGAAGGATATTTATGTAGTACTTGACTTACCTCGAGATAAGATAGGGGTATGCAACTTGAGACGCCATGGTAAAAGTAGTTGTTATTGGGGAGCAGCTGCTGGTTCATGTGCTTGTCATCGTCCGTATTCCAAGTTTTTGTTTCTCCAAGGTTGGAAGTAGAATTAAGCTGCTAAAACTGCCCTGAGAGTTCGTAGATGTGGGTCTATAAATGAATTATGACTGGCTAACTCTAAGTGTTCCTCTTGGCTCAGTGAAAGCTTGCTTGAGCTTTTGGAGAAGCTGATGCTCAACCACCAAGTTCAATATAGTACTGCTCAGCGAAAAGATGTCGCAAGAAGCGGAAAGCATACTGTTTATCCAACTAAACCGCCTAAAATTCTACCTTGTCGCTAGGGTCTAACCCCAGTTCTACCCTAATGTATGTAGAATAAGGGTAGCAGTGAGGCAATAAGTAGGCCCCAGGTTCTGGTGAAATTTTATTTGGAACCTGGCAACCTAGACAGCAAACTAAATAACATTACAGATATTCAAAAGTGGTTTTCTTAGGAGTGAACATAATGATGGGATATACAAGAAGCTTCAACCGGTAAATACAGGGATTGATATTATTCTCGGTCATCAGTTGCAATACCTTCCCACCAAAGCCCCCAGAGTATCATTCATGAACATTGCTTTGAGGTCTCCTAAGACATTGTTTCTAGGTCAGCAGTCATCTCTCTGTTTATTTGTCCAGTGGTGCCAATAATTGGAGTGTTTATCAAACCGTCGCCGCAGGAATGACAAGATGAAAGTGTTAAAGAAGAAAATGAAGATTCCTGGAATGAAGAAACCATATTTTGCATTAACAGCAGAGACTAGGCTGACATATAACCGTAAGGGGGAGACGATCCTCTATAAATACACGATAAAGAAATGAGGGCGGAGATATTAAAATCTATCATAAGTAGAACACAGCCCAGGTGAGGAACCCGTGCATGAGGGTGCGCGGTACCGTAGAAGTAAATGGGTAGGGGGAGAGTAGCCAGCTAAGCTAGTAGTTTAGACAACCTTTCCAAAGGCGGGTATCAAGGTCTGGGCTAGCCAGAAGCTGAACACTAGCTTAGGACCAGTCATGAGAAGCTTGGGAGTCAATCCCTTGAAGAAGGCAGTCATTCCTTCGTTTCTGGCCATGCTGCTGACAATACGGAATCCAGATTCGGGGTTCTCGAAATTTCGGTTCTGGATACGGGTCTTGATCACGTCTAGCGGAGCGGAGACAATGAGAGATGCGCTGGCACCGGCGATCGAGGCGACGAAGTTCTGGAGCCAGGTTGCGGCATTGTAGTCGGTGAGACCGTAGAGGTATTCCTTGGTGAATGCGGAACCACCAAACAGCTAATGTAAACGGTGTTAATAATAATGCAAGTATGATGTGTGATGCGAACTTGGGGGTAAACGTACAGCGAATGAACCAGGGGCGTTACGTGCAGCAGTCCAGCCAGCACCCCGATAGAGGCCCATACCCTCGTCAGCAATGATCTTGAAGAGGCCTCTGCCACGGAAAGCCTCTGGGTTGGTTTGTCGCTTAATCTTGAGGACATCGAGCGGCAGGAGGACAATCTCTCCGATACCAATCAAACTAGAGTGCTATTAGCAAGCAATCCATGTTGGGAAAGAATAGCCCAATGCTACGTACCTTCCGGCAGTAGCGTGCATGATGGCTTTGCCAGTTCCCTTTCCAAAGGCATTATCGAAGTCCTTTCCGTAGTTTGTACCTAGGTAGTCACGCACAAATGGCTGACCACCGTATTTGTATATTCTTTGCAGAACCTAATGCCAGTTAGAACTTGGCCCGATGCTGTATATCCGTTGACCGTAGGACGCACCTTGTATCCAGCAGCGTATCCAAGACCAGGGAAGAGAGAGGTGAACTTGCGCGCAACGCCGGCGGAGGAATACTCCTTGAACACGACCTTGTTCAATTCGGAGACATTGGCAATCTAACGATAGAGATCAGTAACAGAATAGAATCGGACATGAACAAACGGGAAACACACCTTCCCCTGGTTACTCATAAGACGTTTGGCAGTTGTGTCGACCTAATTGTTCGAAGTTCTCAGTCCTTTGCCCTTCACATGACTGTAATGATACCTCAGTGCAATTTACCGGATGGAAGATGAGCAGTTCCGCAATTCCAGCGGATCCTATTAAAACTACATCAGTAACAATTCTCGACTACATCGGCCATGGCTTGACGTACCTGATCCCAGCAGACGAGCAGTGCCGGACTCCCTCTTGACATCCTTAGTCGCGGAGCCAGCTCCAGCAACGGCCATTGCAGGTGGAGACATTTTTATTAAATTGAAGACGGTTCTCGTTCGTTATCTTTTTTTGACAATTCTAAGGGAATGCGAGCCGTAAAACGAAGTATAGGCACGACAGACTGCAGGGGAAAGCAAAAGGAAAAGAAACAAGCTTGAAGAAAGAAAACGCAACTCGAGATGTGAACCTGGCCGTTACTTTGCAGCCGATCTCGCTTTCGAGTCCCAAAAATTTTCTTCCGTTGGTAGCTTCGCCTTGGCGTGCCTGGGATGCACGTGAGAGCGGCAAGGTCCCGAACTTAAACTTTCTACCTCACCTAAATAACACATGTTGATAACTCATTCAACACGTTTAACACATTAAATATAAGCATCTCTCTGAGTGAAATTGGAGAATGTTGTTACGTGAAGATGTTTGCTGTTCATAGCTATGCTATGAACGATGACGTATTGTAGGTCACTTCTAGTATTCCATTGATGCATTGTTGTTGGTGAACATCATGCCGATACCCAAGTACCACTCACACGAATCCGATACTTCACTGGCTCTGTTAAGCAGGACTGGTGGATGTCGAGTCACTATATGATACCCAAGAAGCTAGGAAGATGCTATAAATTCGGTGATGAGGACAGCTGTATAAAATCCTGCCCTTTCCACGATTACTGCGTTTTGTTCCTGGACACTCTCTACACAGCTATATTACCTACTACGCCTGCACCAGCGACAACGCCCTTATTGGTTCCTGATATCCATCTTTAACACATTTGTCAAGCTCACGAAACAAGTATGAAGCTCACCGGCGCTATCTTCTTCGGCCTTACCGCTCTCGTAGCATACGTTCAGGCCTCGCCAGCTCCACCGTCAGAGACTCCGACAACTGGTGAATTTACTAGGGCCCCCGGGACCGTCGTTGACACCAGTAAAATTCATGGCAAGATGTCAGTCAAGACGTTCAAACGCAACCCTCCTGCCGATAATGAGGTCGTCACTCTTGATCTGAGTACTATTTCTGAGCCTATTCAGCCTGGGGACCCCAACCACGCCATCCTCCCAAGCCATGTTCCCGCAATTCGTGGCCGCTCTCATGCTGGTATCAACTGTCCCTCCTATGCACCGTGGATCTGTGACGGAGTCTCCTGCATAAACATCTTCACCCATATGTGCTGCAAGGGAGGGGTGATCTGCAAGGATCCGGATGTTTGTGTGCGTGATGCCTTGGGCAATCCCGCTTGCCATAGGAATTAGCCTTAGGAGGACATGCAGTGCTAGGTTTCGGACATGTACCTGTTATTTGGCGTGATATTTGATCGCTACCACCATATTATATCCTGATTATAATTTCGGCTTGGCGTCTCCTGTGCAATAGTGCTCCAGCTGTATTTGAGAGACAAGCCTCCTTTCGAGTACTAATATGACAAGTAACTCCTCCCAAGACTTATCGCTTGTAGTATCTTGACAATACCTACTAGGTACCTGGTAGTAATTAACGTCGTGGAAGCTTATCTAGTTATGCCAAGCTTTTATAGATAAACAATATTTCGAGCTCTTGAGCCGCATCACAAGAAATAAACACCGACGTCTAAACATCAAGAACAACGTTGACCTCCCCGAGGCTCTGGACACACAATAATACCCGAGGAATTACTTACCTAGATTAATATCCGTCTGACTGCGTCATAGTATTTAGCAGCATACATAATGTTTGGTGCTCTCCCGCCGATAGAACCCAGGGATGTGAGTATTAAGACGCAAAAACAACCGTAATAAAGGCCCTACTAACAACAATTTTTACAGTCGCATACCCTATGGTACTCATCCTCATACACAGGACGATCGGTAACCAGCTCTTCCCAAAACACAGTTGCCGGCGGGCAACCCCCACAACCTGGCCGTCGAAATGGCCGGTCTCAAGGAGCAAACACTCCTCTCTTCTCAGCTTCATTTGACCCACTCTCTACACTTCTCGCCGAAGAACGTGCTCTTAAACTACGAAAACAGAACATTGCATCCTTTGGGTTTTCATGGATTCGACCCGCAGGTTTCCCCAAGACCATGATGGGCCTTCGAGAAGAGGAGATGGAGTGTGAAGAGGGTACTGGCGCGGGGTTAGGTGAGGGCGATATAGAAGAAGAAGAAGAGTTCATGGAAGGAATTGAAGGCGGCGAGGGAGGTATGGGGCTAGATGGTGCTGGGGAGGGCGAAGAAGGGGATACTGGTATGGAGAGAGATTTAGACGGTGATATTCCTGACGGCGACGGGGAAGGGTTTGGGCTAATAGAGGAAGGTGAGGAGGGGTATGACGATGAGGAAGAAGAGTTTCTGGATGAGGAGGAAGAAGGGATGATGGAGAGGGATCTGGATGATGATGTTCCTGAGGCTCCGGACGGTGATGAGGAGGATGAAGAGGAGGAGGATGACGACGACGGGGACGATGATGAAGACGAAGAAGAGGAAGAAGGGTATGGCGACACTAGTGAGGTGCGCAGTCCTCCTGGTACGACGCCAAATAGTAGGACGCCTCGCGAGTCGAGTATGATGATGGAGCGAGATCTAGACGGCAGCGTCCCGGATGCGCCACGGGAGACTCCCTCGCAACAGCAGGAATGGGAACATACGGACTCTGATGAAGATATTTATGATGATGACGACGAGGAAGAGAATGAAGAAAACGAGCAAGAAGAGGAAGATGAGGGCCATTCGAGGTTAAGTTGGGCCAGCCTACCTCCGGGATATATACCCCAACTCACGCCCTCAGGGCCACGGCGAGAAACCGAAGCCGAACGGCTGTTCCTTGAAAGATGGGGAGGAAACGATGATAGTATAGATCTTGGATCAAGCAGCATCCTACCGGCCAATCCGCTGAGTATATCTCGACGACGGAGCCGGAGACATGCAGACGAGGACTCTGAGCTAGAAGACATGTGAAGAGTAACTGCTTATCTTTAGATGCACAATTATATATTAATACCCTGATAATTTATATATGGACTATGCTGAACAGATAGGCATTATTAAAGTAGTAGATTTCATGCTAAGAGTAACACTTCGCTAATAAGTAGCGGAAGAAGAGAAGAAGTAGAAGGAGACGGGGGGATGCCCTCTAGACATATATAGAGAAAGGAGAAAGGAGAAAGGGTGAGGCATCATCGTATCTAGCATCAGCATCCTATGGCCGCCGGAAGAACAGAAGAAAACAAGCTGAAACCCCATAACTCCTCTAACGACTTGAAAAAACCCAAAGAGAAAAAGTTATATCCAGTAGCCCAAGTGCAGAAGAATTATGCAACATCAAGGCGAATAAAGTAAAAAACAAGCCGTGGCGTGGCGTGACGTGGCGCATAGTTCCGGTAAAGCGTAGAGAAGAGATTTGACTATGAGAGCCAAACGTAGGCAAAGAGGAAGAAGACGAAGACGAAGAAGCCTAGCCAGACTTTCCAGCCTACGCCTGTCCGCTCGGCCATTCTGAGCATTCGGTTCATGGTGCCTCGTAGCTTGATTCGGGAGGAATCAAAGGCGTCGTTCATTTTCTCTGCGAGGGAGGTTGACTCTCGTATCTCGTCGCCGATGGCTACTGTGATCTATTCGGGGATTCAGGAGTTAGCAAGCGATTAAGTACTAGCCCATGGCGTTTAAGTGGGATGTGGATGTATGCGTACATCTTTGAGCATCTTCACTTTTGCCGTGATGCCGGCAATTTCAGAGTCATTCTGCGACTCTAGCGAGGAAAGAACCGCATCCGAATATTGGCCTCTATATTTAACCGGGTTAATAGGCGTCCTGTATACCAACCCCCGGAAAGATGGGGTGAAAATGTATAGACTGACTTTGAATTCGGTGTGGCGGCTCTGTAGGCGGACCCATCACCTCCGCCGACACCTATATGGCCATTCGAATACCCCTGTGCATATCCACCGGGCCGCGAAGAGGATCGACTGCTGGCTTGTGCGTGAGTAGGTGACCTGCTGGCGCCGCCGTTATATGAGTCGAACAGCGAGGAAGAAGACCGGGGATCTCGCTGGTGGAGAGTCGAGTGGGTGAATCTGGCGGCGCAGTGTTAGAATGAAGGAAGAAAGCTGCTGTTGCCGGTAGCCGGCCGAGCATTGTTTGGTGTCTTACCGGGATGCCATTTATTCAGAGAAAGGAAGCAAAGGAGAGAGAGACTGGAGACATTGTCTGACCTGACCTGATCTGAGCAAAGAAGGGAAAGCAGAACAAGGAGAGAGAAAGGGAGATCTGTTGTTTCTTTGGGAATTTTAATTTAAACATTGAAAATGCGTTCATATGGTGCTTAGTCAGCAGGACAGGGAAAGCGCTGTGTGGCTGGTTTGGTTGGCAGATGGCAAAAGCAGGCGCAGGAACAGGAGACAGAGAGAGCTAGATAATTGGCTCGAGGGAGTTTAAGGAGTCTAGGGAAGTTGAAACTGATACGAGTAAGTGATATTGATTCGTAAACTGTGAAAGGGGTCACTGGTAAGACGCGGGAGACATTCGTAGAGAAGATAGAGAGCCACGCGGTCACACTATTTGGTTCGTTGAAAGTACTCTGTAGTAGTAGTATCTTTGAATCATCCCATCATAATAGAAAAGAAAGAGCAAGGAAAAAAGAAGATCATCCGAAATGTTGCTGTGTGTCTGTTTCGTAGTTATGTCTCCCTTCGAGACCGTTTCCATCCACCATGCCAGCCAGCCCACAACCCCATCCGGCCACATAAGAAAGTGAGAATAAGGAAAGTGAGAAAAAGGAAAAAGAAGCCAAAGCAGTGGCTCAAACTCCGGCGCCGTTAAAAAGGGAAGACCGAATGCAGCATGAAGCCGTCCGTCCGTTCATATTTGAATGAAGGGGGGTGTTTGTTTAGTTTTCTTTAGTGTTCCATGTCATCGTCGACGGGGCCCTTGAAGTCTTCATCGTCGTCGTCGTCCATGGCAACGTCGCCAGCCTCCCTCTCCTTGGCAGCGAGCTCAGCGTAGTTGACCTCCTTTCCGCGCGTGCGTCTGCCACTGGGCAGGATGTTGTCTGTCGAGATGGGCTCGAGGTTGTCGTTTCCACCTTCTTCATCTTCGTCGACAGCTAATTCACAGGTCAGTGCCGAACTTGGCTTTGGGATCAACATTGCGCATGTAGTAGTAGTGTCTCTCTCTTACCGTCCTCCTACAACAACAATGTTAGTGATACTGTTTGTGGTAGTATGCTTGCGACTGGGAGTAAGAACTTACGAGGTCTTCTTCGTCCTCTGAGCTTTCCTCTGCCTCCATCTCTACATCATCAGGCACGCGCTCAATGGCCTTGCCTTTGCCCTTGTCCATGCTGGTGTCCATAGCTGTGTCGTTTCCGGCAAGAGTGGTCTCAGTGTTGTCACCCATTGTGCTGTGCTAGTCGAAGATACGTGTTCTTGAAGCGGTAGCAGAGGAAGAAGGGATAAGCGGAAGACTAAGGCTGTAGAGAGAGGAAGCTGCTCGAGCTGCGCGACGCTGAAGCTGAAGCTGAAAAAGCCGAAGCGAAAAGTTCAAGTTTCCCGCGCAGGAAGACGAGAGTCCAAGAAGGGAAGGTCGAGATGCTTAGTCATGGTCACGTGAAACCACCTCTAAGCGCTCAAGTAGAAGAAGCGAAGAAGACGAAGTAAAGAGTGAGAAGTAGCAAAAGAGAGTAAAGAGAGTAAAGAGAGTAAAGTGAGAGTAAGTAGAGTAAGAGTAAGTAAAGAGTAAGTAGCGTAAGTACTGCTTATGTCGAGTTACTCCGTCCTTAACCACCACCTTTTGCTCTTACTTCTCGCTCTTCTCTCTCAGTCTACTTTTTTCTACTTTTTCTTCTTCGCGAACTTTCCAGCATCCCACCTTGATTACGTCATAAGCCCACCTCGGGTTTTCCGCCACTTTTTCCTCCCACCTCGAAAAAAGTTGTTGACAGTAAACAGTGAAGAAGTAGAAGAAGAGGCAGAAGTAGAGAGTGAAAGGCAGCAGTAAAGTGAGGTAAAGAGTAGCCAATTAGTCACCAGTAGCGGCAACGTAAACGACAGCAACACAGAGAGACAAAGACGGGGCCGAAGCCGCGCGAAGTGACCTGAAGGAAGCAGAAGCAGCAGGAAAAGAAGAGAAAAAAGGTGGAGAGGGAAGAAGTTGCTAGAAGCTTCTGGCAGGCCAAAAACCTCACCGCCCGCATATAAACATATTTCAACTCGCACAACTTCTTCGACTCTTCCTCTTCCTCTTCTTCTTTTCTTCACACACACACAAACAACAACCAAATAAACATATAAGAGACCATCTCTGTCTCGGTCAGGACTTGATCAGAGAACAGCAGGCTTCACACACTCAGGAAGCGTCTTCTTTTCCCCCTCTTCTGTACAGTTTTTCAGCACATACACATACACACATTCAAAATGGCTCCCGCAGTTGGTAGGTAGACCCCTTCGGAACAGCAATTCCAGCAGCTTTAGCAGCTTCAAATGATCAAGGCTAACAGTTTTCCAACAGGTATCGACTTGGGAACCACCTACTCCTGCGTGGGTATCTTCCGTGATGACCGCATTGAAATCATCGCCAACGACCAGGGAAACCGCACCACTCCCTCCTTCGTTGCTTTCACAGACACTGAGCGTCTCATTGGAGATGCCGCAAAGAACCAGGTCGCCATGAACCCCATCAACACCGTCTTCGATGCTAAGCGTCTTATCGGACGCAAGTTCAACGATGCCGAGGTCCAGGCCGACATGAAGCACTTCCCCTTCAAGATCGTCGAGAAGGGTGGCAAGCCCATCGTCCAGGTCGAGTTCAAGGGCGAGGAGAAGCAGTTCACCCCCGAGGAAATCTCTTCCATGGTCCTCACTAAGATGCGTGAGACCGCTGAGGCCTACCTTGGTGGCACCGTCAACAACGCTGTCATCACTGTCCCCGCCTACTTCAACGACTCCCAGCGTCAGGCTACCAAGGACGCCGGTCTCATTGCCGGTCTTAACGTCCTCCGTATCATCAACGAGCCCACTGCTGCTGCCATTGCCTACGGTCTTGACAAGAAGGCTGAGGGCGAGCGCAACGTTCTCATCTTCGATCTCGGTGGTGGTACCTTCGATGTCTCCCTCCTGACCATCGAAGAGGGTATCTTCGAAGTCAAGTCCACTGCCGGTGACACTCACTTGGGTGGTGAGGACTTTGACAACCGTCTCGTCAACCACTTCGTCAACGAATTCAAGCGCAAGAACAAGAAGGTATGCATATTTTTTCTCCCTCTTCCTGTTCCAATTGGGTATATTGAAGTAGATACTAACCTTTTTTTGACAGGATCTCTCCACCAATGCTCGTGCTCTTCGTCGTCTCCGCACTGCTTGCGAGCGTGCTAAGCGTACTCTCTCGTCTGCTGCTCAGACCTCCATTGAGATCGACTCTCTCTATGAGGGTGTTGACTTCTACACCTCCATCACCCGTGCCCGTTTCGAGGAGCTCTGCCAGGACCTCTTCCGCTCCACCATGGAGCCCGTCGAGCGTGTCCTCCGTGACGCCAAGATCGACAAGTCCTCCGTCCACGAGATTGTCCTCGTCGGTGGTTCTACCCGTATCCCTAAGATCCAGAAGATGGTCTCCGACTTCTTCAACGGCAAGGAGCCCAACAAGTCCATCAACCCCGATGAGGCCGTTGCCTACGGTGCTGCCGTCCAGGCCGCCATTCTCTCTGGTGACACCTCTTCCAAGTCCACCAACGAGATCCTCTTGCTCGATGTCGCTCCCCTCTCACTCGGTATCGAGACTGCTGGTGGTGTCATGACTCCTCTCATCAAGCGCAACACCACCATCCCCACCAAGAAGTCCGAGACCTTCTCTACCTTCTCTGACAACCAGCCCGGTGTCTTGATCCAGGTCTTCGAGGGTGAGCGTGCCCGCACTAAGGACAACAACCTGCTCGGCAAGTTCGAGCTCACTGGTATCCCACCTGCTCCCCGTGGTGTTCCTCAGATCGAGGTCACCTTCGATGTCGATGCCAACGGTATCATGAACGTCTCTGCTCTCGAGAAGGGCACTGGAAAGACCAACAAGATCGTCATCACCAACGACAAGGGCCGTCTCTCCAAGGAGGAGATCGAGCGTATGCTTGCTGAGGCCGAGAAGTACAAGGCTGAGGATGAGGCCGAGACTGCCCGTATCAGTGCTAAGAACGGTCTCGAGTCCTACGCCTACTCTCTCAAGAACACCTTGAGCGACTCCAAGGTCGACGAGAAGATCGAGGCTGCCGACAAGGAGAAACTCAAGGCCGAGATCGACAAGGTTGTTGCTTGGCTCGATGACAACCAGACCGCCACCAAGGAGGAATACGAAGCCCAGCAGAAGGAGCTTGAAGGGTATGTCAACTCACTCTCATAACTCCCCCCACTATACTTTATACTACTTTGAACAATATGCTAACTTTCTTACCTACAGTGTTGCCAACCCAATCATGATGAAGTTCTACGGTGCCGGTGGTGAGGGTGGTGCCCCAGGTGGCTTCCCAGGCGCTGGTGCTGGTGGCCCTGGCGGTTTCCCCGGTGCTGGTGGCCCTGGCGGTTTCCCCGGTGCCGGTGGTCCTGGCGGTGCTGCCCAGCACGACGACGGCCCAACCGTCGAGGAAGTCGACTAAATGTCTCGCTCACACCAAGCATCGAAAAGAGACACCCTTCTTCCCACCTTCTAACGAAAACCATACCAAAAAAAAAGAGATTCCCAATAAATTCCTCCCAAAAAACATTACATCATCATACCAAGGGGCGCCGGGTTCATCAATCATGTCATGTCTTTTTTCCTTTTTCTAATGAGTGCATACCATGTGTCTTTTTAATGTCCCTTTTCCTATGTCCTTTGATGACCATTTCCTTTCTTCTTTCCACCTTTGAACGAACCGAGGAAAAAAATACATACAGACAGGATAGGGCGGAGGGTCGGTTAAATCATGGTCCTTTCAAAACAGATCCCCTATTTTCCTTTTCTTAAACAAAAATACAAGTCTTTTTTCCCTTCTTCAATACTTGATCATAATAGATGTGGTCTTTGGAAAACTAATAGGTAGCTAGGTAGTTAGCGAATGGAGAGCTCGTTCAATTTTCACCTTCTCCTATTTTCACTCTTCAGAAGTCTCCTGTGTGTTTGTAGGCGTAGATGTTGATGATCTATCTTGGCGTTGCTTCTCAATAACTACCAACTTCTAACGTCAGCTGTCATGAACCGCCAACTATTAAGCAAAAACGATACCCTGAGCTAAGATAATGGGCATAGCAAGTCGATTTATTCATTATCTTCACTGCATATAACATGAATGCTCTAATAATTTTGTTTCCATAATCTATCGTGACAAAACAAGAACGGCTTTCTATGACGGACATCCCAGCGCAGTATCCAGCATCTTGGCCACCTTTATCCGCTCAATGAACCGCACAGCCGACGAGACCGCACTGTGGTGATCTCCCTCTCTCACTAACACCGAAGACGCATGGCCAGCCATATCCTCGTCATACACGAGATCTTCAATTTCAACGTCCCTGGTATCAAAGGTGCTGTTGTGGATATGCGGCGGGCTACCGTGACATACCGCCGTCCATCGGTCGGTATAGTACGTTGCCCACCACAACTTCCTACGAAGCTTCTTCTCCCACACCGGTATATCCCATGCACTGTCGTCGTGGTGTAAGCCGAGTGCATGAGCGCATGAAACCGCCTGTGCGGAAAGCGCAAGAGCCCCGGAACTCTGTACGGGTCCCTGCTCCGTGGGCTGGAGATGGTGCAGAATAAGCAGACAGGCCTGAAGAGTTGGTAGTTGCGGGGATTCTAGCTCTTTGTTCAGGCTTGCGTGGACGTGTTCGGATAACACTGTCTGGTTGATAGGTTGGGATTCGGGCAGGGTGGCGGAGAAGGGCGCTGCAAGAGTGTATACTGCGCCTCGAAGGGAGGGGGGGATGTTGTGTTTGTCCTGCATGTATTCTCTCAGGAACCGGCCCTTGGAGAGTACGGGGAAGGTAGGGTGGATGTGCTCGAAGTATAGCCGTACCAGGCTATTGGCTTGAGCTTGACCGCCTACTATGCCTTCCATGCCGCCGCTGATGTGCGAAGCGTGCGAAGCTTGTGGAGCCAGGGGTTTCCCTTCGTGGTCTCGTTCGGAGAACCAGTTGCTGGCCGCGGAGAAATGTGCCGGAGGTACAGACTGTGTTGGAGCTGTCGGGTCGATGTGGTTAAAGTTGATGTTTGCATGGTGGTTTGATTGGTTGATGATGGCAGAGCGGAACGAGGAGAGCAGGCCCATGTCTTGCTGCTCCCCTGGCATGCCCATGAAATGCGCCGTGTGGCCGGTGATGTGGTTGAGGTTGTCTGCTGCTGGCGAGATTGGATGCGAAGGCGGCGTTGGGTGGGCGAAGTATGAATATTCCTGGGCATGGTAATAGCCTGGTCCTGAGACGGGGATGGCCGATGGATGATGGTGACTTAATACGGCGGCCGGGTATCCAGGAATTGTTGTTGGTGCGGTGTACTGTTCGTGATCTGATACACTTAGCATTGATACGGGGCTTAGGGCCCCTATGCCTATCATGCTCAGGTGGTCCGGTGGTGAATGGAAGACTGAGGCTTCGCTGTGCTGCGCTGGACTTCTGGAATTGGGCGACACAGTGGTAGGAGGAGAGGCGGCACTATGTTCGGCATCCTTCTCTTGACCCTTAGCTGGTGACCGACGGCGTGGTTTCGGCGTTGATATAAAGGAGCAAGTCACGCATTTGCTTTCACAGAAGCGGCCTATATAAATCTGTCAGCAAGGACGGGCCGCTGAAGGGAAGGGAGGTTTATCTTAACGGCATGGCATGTACTCACATGGCGGTTTTGTTACGATGACACATGCGGTCTTTCTCTGTCGACAGGCATCGCACGGCCTATCTTTGCGGCTCTTCAGCTCTCTTGCTCCTCCAAAGCGGGTTTCTATCTGGAAACTCTTTCGCTGCTTTGGTTGTTTCTTCTGAGCGACGTCGGCCATGGTCACCAACTCAGTAAAACACCAGAAGGGAGGCTCCGCAGTGTCACACACACACTCTCTCTATATTATCGGCACTGGTTGACCGAGATGATCTCAACACACGGATAGAGGAAAGGTACTGACGGCGAAGATGCCAAATGTGGATATATATTTTTTCTCGAGTCTGAAAATCAGGGACATCCGGGGATTGTGCTCTCTATACATACTGCCTTACGATCACCGAACCCGGGCGAGAGACCGAGCACCCACGGCGTCCCTGGCCTAAGGGATCGTTAGTCAGTCCCGGAGAAAGGCCTGGACGCTCCCGCTCTCTCCCCCCTCCTCCTGTCAAGGGTTCTCCCCACACATTAGGCTCGATCATTCCCGGTGAGACGGTGGAGTGGAATCTCGATATAACTCCGAAGGGGACCTGGAGAAGCCGTATAGGGTATCTGCATCCCTTCCCCATCTCCGAGTCCCGGGCCCTAACCGAGGAATATACGAAGAGAAGAAACAGGCGGAACGATCGTTGCAGAAAAGAATCTTCTTGTCTCCTCGAGTACGACGCCAATGCAACACCAGACTGGTCTGTAGTAGCGACCTTTCCGAAACACCTGTGCCTGGGGGGCAAACAAACCCATCAACAATTCCGCTTTTTATTTTATTTTTTTCTATTTTATTTTTGGACGTTTGGTTTTAAGGCTCAAGAAGCCAACGCTCGAGCAGGGAGTCCACCTGGCGCTTCGCCATTCTAAATACGGAAACTGGCTGGCTGGTGTTCCACCAATCCGCGTTGTGTTATGCCGGGACCAACAAACTGAAGAACGACGGTCAAGCTTTCGCTGAAGCGGTTTTGTATGATGTCAATCTTAACGGTTGGGGAGTTATTATATGCATCAGTAACTATTGAGAGATCTTCAGCTATACTAACTAACTTAGTTAACTAACTAACTATTTAGTATTTTTTTCTAGGGGATCCCAGAAACGAGGGAAAAAAAAACTATTCGTCCCTCTCGGTAGTTATCTGCGTCGGTGCTGCCACTCGTTTGGCTCTTTCGGTGGCTAACCGTTCTAGCCGTTAGTTAGACCCCCAGGAGAAAACTTCATCATCCACTGGATATAGCTATGCACGCTGCTGCGGTGAGGGCCGGGAAACACGGCCATGCATAGCTTCAGGGCAAGAGGGCTGGGAGGAGCTGGAACGCCACCCATGTGTCCTGCACGGGACTCTAGAGCGGGTGGATAGGGTCCCCAGGTTGAAAGAACCGGTTACTGTTTTTAACCTCAACGACTTTGTGCCTTCACTTGAAGCTGCTGCAAGCCCTGAGTTCCTAATCAAAAACTTGGTAAAGTTCCGACTACGTTACTTTTTTTTATGAAAAAAAAAAAATGCTTGTGTTTAATTATGACTTGATAATGTTACTGGGCATTGGATTGAATATCTCGCCAATACAACTTCCTGACCCTACCTATCAATCATCTGCATAGTTTGATACCCCTCTAGTTCACGTAGTGCTATAAGCAACGGTAACTACTGTAGGTAGGTTTCTCTATCCACCCCTACGAAAAGGCATTAAAAGTAAATACCACTATCGGCTCCCGCCTCACCTCGTCTCGGAAACCGCCGACGCAGCGATGGACACCTTCATTATTTTGTTCCTGGGCTATCGTAGACAGCCAGGATCTCACGTAGTAGTATAAAAGGGTGAAAAGTGCATGAATTCCGGTATTCCTTCCCATAATATCCTCATATTGAAGTTGGAAGTTATCGAAAAATGCGACGTGCTGACCATGGCCTCCTTGACCCACACCTTGTCCTTGGGCGGATACCGGAATGCTCAGTCCCCATTGAGTAAGAACTCTAGGCAAGCATGGTTTATCTAGAAACATAAGATGGCGGGAGCAATATATTAACAATATAACAAGTTCTCCTGCGCCAATCAGCGCGAGCTCATCTTTTTGGCTCAGCCGTTTTAACACATTATTATAATGAGTATACTTGGATACTTATTATTTGATTGCTCTGGGTATCATTAAATTTTGGGCCACAAGGGTCAAAAAGGCCTAATGTCCCAGGGAATCCTTGGGTAATGAGTGCGAGTCGTAGCTAAAGTGGAGTATTCCAGCATTAAACAGTCGGAAGGGGCCCAGTGACGCCTGATTCCTTACCGGAAATATATAGTCGGCCCTATCCATACGGACTCGTAGCTGTCAAAAATAAGGAGTGTAGAAACATCCCCGAACAGCGGCTATTGCCGAGAGGACCCCCAGACTCACCCATATCAAGCGTTTATAGATAGTTGATAACTCCCTAAAAACCAAGATTAGGCAGATTTCTATACCTACGAAGAATTGGTGGCACAAGCGTAAACGCAAACAACATACCGGCTGCTCCGCGTGCATGGCGCTTTCACCGTACTTCTCGTAGCACTCTGGGCATTTCTCCCTGAGTATCCTTGCGAAGTTGAAACTCTTGTTTGGTACCAGCCCGTAGACCATATGCCCTGCGTACCAAACAGTAACGTTATCAAAATCTACAGCGAGCTTGCGTTGGCGATAAGCGTCCAGAATGGCAAGTAGGTTCACTCTATCTCCATCACAGAGAGAAACGGGGAGGTCTCGATATTTGAGGCATCGGATCCTCCACAGGGTATCCGCGTCGAGGTCGAGGAGTTCAGTGGGGTCGATACTATGCAGAACGCTTTAGAGAATAAACGTGATAACTACCCAAACAATCCAGTTTCATGTTTAAGCATACGGTGGGCCTGATGGTGTCTCTCTTTCAAATATCTGCAGCCACTGAATCATCTGATTGGCGTTAGGAGGATTGCGTGCGATACCGTCCTTATACTGTTGAAGCTCATCATTCCGCGCTCAAAGGTATTAACAACGGGTAGGTTTGTATTATCAGGAGGTGTGTGCCATACTCAACATAGTTCCGGTTGAACATCACCTTTCTGACTGGATCTTCTGGATATGCCGCTCGCATCTCCTCGATGGTCATCGTTCCGCTGTTCGCTGGGCTTTGAGAGGCCATAGCGGCCACAAGGGACAAAAAGGCCTGGTGTCCCAAGGTATCCTTGCGTGATATATGCGAGTCTAGCTAAAGTGGAATATCCCAGCACGCAGGGTGGAAAAGCACCGCTGATCGTCGTGTCTTGGAGGGATGGTTTATTAGTTAATTGTGGAGTGGCGGGAGTTAGCTTAGCCGCGTGGTGTTCCAGCAAAAGTTAACTAGCGTACACAGTGAATATATAAAATTAAGAGTGAAAGAGAGTAAGGCAAGCTTCATCAAATGACGCAGCAATTGATACTTCTGCTTCTTGGGCCGGCCCCTTTTGTAACTGCGGCGAACCGAATGAACTGATTTAAAATATAAAACCACGTAGGGAGGCTGTGAGGCTGTGAGGCGGTAAGGCTGGTGGGCGCTACAGTAGCACTGGTGGCGAGAATATACGCGTTACACAGGAAGTCGCTGCAAGAATCTTGATATGTGAGGAACCTAATCGCTACACACCATCAGAGATGTAGCGAGGGTGTCGAATATACCTAGGAACATACGTGTGCTTAGATAAGGCTCTACAGCTTATTTCAGTCACGTGGATATCTTAGGCTATCATGGGACTGCTGGCAAGCGTTTATCGCGCTAGTCGGAACTAACTAACCAACCAGTGTTTAGCCAGCGGCAAATACTCCGTTTGCACCAGGTACGAACCTATCTTGCTCCAGCAGCTACTTACATTGATATAACTAACAAACGCTGTAGCAATGGCATAACAAAGCAGAACCAACAGGCAAGACATAGCTCTGATTGGGCCACGGCTCATATAACTAACTACCTATCTAGGTAACTAAGCCGATGTGGGATCAGGGGAACAAAAGCTCCGCTGCGCCTTATTGTTCTCAAGGCTATGGGCCATTTCATTCCTTTAATTAGCAAGGGTACAACAAGGCCTCGGATGTACTTGGTAGTTATATATACCTCAAGTGATGACTAGTTAACTCCCCAACCCGGACCATCGAGGACAAGCGCCCTTATATTCAACTACCCACGAGTCCGCAGTTTTCTTGCTGTCTAGACTCGCTCTCTGGCTATGCAACCGCCTTTACATATCAAACTATTCCTAAAGCTACAATGCCTCATCTCAAAGCATCAGCTATCACTCTTCTCCTACCCCTACTCTTCTCTCCTGTTTTCGCAGAAGATGTCAAGTTAGTCGGCTGTGATGATGTCGGGTGCCCCCCATACCATGATAGCGATCGCTGCACGGTTGAAAATACCACCTTCATAGGAGTTGGGGTATTCCCTATCCCGGATGTCCCCTCGGAACTAGAAGGCTTCTCCCTTGTCAAGGCTGTCTACGTCTCGGCCACAGCAGTCCAGGTTAACGGCTCGCGAGTACGTCCATTCAGGTCGTTTTACTATCTAGGTACTCCGGAGCGCACACAGGCGAACGGCCTCCCCGGCTGTGCAACTATCTTCAACGATCCACCGGCCAACAAGTTCAGAACCTCTCATGGGATAGATACATTTGCTGCTTGTGAGAAACGCCTCGGATTGCTGACCAGTGCAGCAGAAGTCGGATGGACTAATGTAGATCGCTGAGGTTATTTTAAATGTAAGCTGTTACTATTGCCCCGCTAGTAGGGATTTTTGTGCTGTTATAACAGCCCATGTATTTCATCAGTCAGGTTTCAGAAAGGTTATCTCTATATTTTGTTGGAGTACGTTGCAGGATTTTTGACTTTAGAATAGATGTTGGGACATTGTGATGTAGTACGAACCGTACTTGAATAGATGACTTTTCATATGCTATATTTGAGGCCGCTAGCGGTCCTTATTAAGTCTTTTTAGTAGGTCTCTAGAGCTAGCGAATGGAATAATTACACCACTGAACGACACATCCAGTAATGAAGAGTACACCTGCTACAGGTTGTGTACGTTTGGGCTACTAAGGTTATTTGTCGAGGCTTGAACACACTGGGTGTTGGGCTTAACGCGAACCCGGCAGCATCTTAACCATCGCCACTTTGTCTCTTCAGTTAGCAGCAGTAGGCCTGACGCATATGTTTTCCATGAAGAGTCGAGTTATCTTATTCATGGTATCGACGGCCATTATCCAGAATCGGCTAATTAACTAACTAACTATAGTGGTAACTGTGACAAGCTTGATGATGGCTACAGACAATATGATGGGTCGATGAGATCAGCTGAAATACTCCCCGCATCCGGAAGATGTAACTATAGATCGACTACCGTTTGACTGAGCTTCCTGTGACGTGAAAACTAACCACCTACTACTCAATACACCTGCTAACCATGAGCCAGATTCCAGTTGTCGACTTTGCGCCGTTCCGCAGAGGAAGCGCAGAGGATGCAAAGGCCACAGGTAAGAAGATCTTCGAGGCCTTTCGAGATGTTGGGTTCGTCTACCTGAAGAACCACGGCGTCCCACAGGAGGTTGTCGATGAGGCGTTTTCGTGGGTATGGCCAGACATAGCTGCAAAAAAGGTCACAAACCGAGCATAATTGATACTTTATAGAGCAAAAAACTGTTCGATCTTCCACAGTCTGAGAAGGAAAAAGCGCCTCACCCGCCAGAGGGATGGTGGCATCGAGGCTACTCAGGCGTAGGTCGTGAAAAGTTGAGCCAGATGGTGTTCGACAGAGACGCCGTTGGTGAGCTCCGCAAGATCCCTGACGTTAAGGAGTCGTTCGAGATGGGGCGAGAGGATGACGAGAGCATTCCCAACATCTGGCTGCCAGAGTCAACCATCCCTGGGTTCCGCGCGTTCTTCAACAGCTTTTACGAGATCAACCATGGCGTTGGACAGGAGATCTTGTGCGCGGTGGCGATAGGGATGGGGCTGGAAAGAGACTTTTTCGAATCATACCACACGATGAAAGACAACCAAATCAGGCTGCTTCACTACCCGCCCGTGGAAGAGGAGATGCTTCTTCAGGGCAAAAAGGAGCGCATAGCAGCTCACACTGACTTTGCCACAATGACTCTCCTTTTTCAAGACGATGTTGGTGGGCTGGAAGTCGAAGATGTCCACCAAAAAGGGGTGTTTAATCCTGTCCCATACATCCCCGGCACCATCGTGGTAAACATCGGAGACTTCCTGATGAGGTGGAGTAATGATACCCTTCGGTCGACGATGCACCGCGTTCGAGCTCCGCCGGCAGCAAAGGTGGATGGTAACGGCAAGGAAGAGGATGAAGGCTCTAGTGCTCAACGAATGAGTCGGGCCCGATATTCGATTCCCTATTTCATTGCTGCGAATAAGGAGAAGGTGATTGATTGTCTACCTGGCTGCTATGGCCCGGAGAGGCCCAAGAAGTATAAACCAATTACTTCGGGCGAGTATGTTGCCATGAGGCTGAATGCCATCTCTTAAATGATGTCTACGTGTAGTTTCTAGTTAATTATATGGCGTGAATGATAAGAATGCAAAGCTATTTCTTGCTGTTCTCCAGAGATCTAACATACCATCCATCGATTAACAACATGGGCTTGTCACCGCCCTCGAGCCTTATCCCGCCCGCATGGTAACTTTCCCACGGGTGGTCGTAACTTTCCTTTGCCGTGGGTTGAGCCGCGGAGGCCAAGGAGAAGATCACTGAAGAATTCTTCGCCATCGTCTCCTGATACAGAGTACACAGCTAGACTATCTAGACTATCTCTCTTCTCGCTTATGGGAACTCTAGCTAATGGAGTTTTCTAGGTGAAAGCAAGACGTCATCCTGACTATGATGGCCAAACATGGGACCGGCGACCTAATTAAATATAGACAGCTGGGCTCTCAAGGAGTTACTCCGACCTGGACATCACGCTTGTCTCTAGCTAGTTAGTTAACTAATTAACTAACTCCTGAAAATAATCACCAAGGACGGAGGCGCTTCATACGTTTTCATTATTGGCTTTCATTCTCATGTGCCACAATAAGCATGGTCGATCCCTGGATCTAACTAACGGCTTTTGAGCCGAGATCGACTGGTTAGTTCGCTAACTAGTTACCTGGCTAGTTACACGCAGTATTCAGATCTACGTTTCTCGAGCCAGATGGCAAGCTGCGAAGGCGCACAATGGCTGTACCACCTGAGCCTGTATCATTGGAGGGAATGATCCAGACGGATTTGCGTCAAGGATCTGACCTGAATACTCAGAATCTCTTCCTCACCCGCTGGATTCCATGTACAAATCGCCATATTAGCTAGGCTTTAACAGGCAGCGGCTTCATTGCTTTCAACCCCCTTTGATTAACTAGTTATATGGAACATAGCCGCGGAAGCTGGAAAGATGACTGTCGATTGGGCCAGTTTTAAGCGCAAGTTAGCGGTGTAAGCGGCTTCTGACAGTATAATTAGCCTATGGCGCAGTTGAAGATTTGCTTGCTGATGAGTCCGAGCTACAAGGCCGATAGACGAAGATTCGCCGTATGAAAACACTGTGTGGTGCAATGTTGCTTTTTTCTTTTTCTCAGCTACTACACACATATATATATAAATATAGAACACCTGATTATGATTTTAGGTTTTTATATTAGAATGGACGGGATGGACTTACAAGTAGGATAGGTTACTGGACGGTATCTGGCTCATGCATATCAGCATGGACTATAGGAAGCACCCTTTTGGCATTTGGGCTAAGTCCTCAGCAAGCAATAGGTTGTGTTGTACGTATATATCCTCTGGGGGGTAATTTGGCTGGAGAATCAATGCTCGGGGCTTATAAGGTGATAAACAGGCTGTTGGTGGGGTATTCACTGGAATACTCGCTGTTGCATGCGGATGGATGGGTGAGCGGCATCATATTGGCTTTCCAGTTGCCTCACGATTCTCGTGGGGAATGAGAGGGTCATATTGTAGGTTGAATCAGTGATTGCCTAGGGCTTTACATACCAGGCTAATGGATGGTAACAGTTCCCGTCATTATTCGATGCTTTCTTGGTTGCATATGGTTTGGAATGCAATCTTACTGGTAAGTTCCTGTTTCAAAAGTACCAGACGACTCCAAGGCTAAGTTTGGTATGTAGGGGAGGTCAGGCAACTAGGGTTCTCATAGGAGCAATTATCCCTGGATTTGCGCATATGAAGAACACATTCCCAGAGAGCTCACACCTCCAAACCAACGACTTTATCGGCATGGTACTATGGTATCTTATATTTCTGCCCCTACTGCTTATCTCTCCCGAAAGACTCCAAATTCCATTTGGTATCTCATTCATCCTATTCAGTTCAACATGTATTGGTATCTTAAGCTGGTATGTGCCAGTGTGTTCAATTTTTTTTTAGAACTGCCCCATTCTCTAACATATTATAGGGCAGTAAAAAGTGCCGGGGGCCCTGGATCGATGTTTCACCAGCCCGCAACAACAGGCTCGGTAGGATGGGGTGTGATGTTTGGAATAACTGCGATACTTGGTGCATGGGGTTCCGCTACCCTAAGCCAATCTGACTGGACCCGTTATGCAAACCGGCCACTGGCACCAACATTATCCCAGCTTTTTGCTGTCCCCATTACAATCACAATTACGGCTATGATTGGAATAATCGTAACTAGTGCCGCGAACGATATCCTTGGGGAAATCATCTGGAGTCCAATCGAACTTCTTGCTGCTATACAGGAACACTATGGTTCAAGTCCGCGCTCTAGAGCCGGCGTATTCTTTGCCTCCATAGGCACTATCTCGACTCAGCTAGCGGTAGGTCCAACGGCCAACGGCACTGGCGACTGGAAACTCGCTGATTTGTGATATAGATATCGCTTGTGCTGAACTCCGTATCAGCAGGCATGGATCTAGCTGGTCTGCAGCCCAAGTATATCAACATCAGGAGAGGAAGCTACGTTATGGCCGCTATTGGCCTTGTGTCCCAGTGAGTGTATATTGCGTTCCACCGTCCGGATGGAGAGTCAAGCTAATCAAAGTCAAGGCCGTGGCAACTTCTTGCCAATGCGGATAAGTTTTTGACGGTCTTATCCGGGTTTGGGATATTCGTTGCTCCTTTAACGTAAGATATTGATCCGAGTTTAATTGAGCCATTCAAGCAGTAGCTTAACTTTTTACCAGGGGTATCCAGCTATCAGACTATCTTGTTGTTCGACGCCAGAGGCTCAAACTCAACGACCTCTACAAAGGAGACTCGTCATCCATATACTGGTACTGGCATGGTTTTAACTGGCGTGGGTTTGTGGCCTTTACCATCAGCATATGGTCTCAAATTCGTGAGTTCATACCCTCGCTTAAGAGTTGGGTTTCCGGGTATATATGGTATAATTAACTGCTTTTCTCAGCTGGGTTGGTTGCATCAGTCAACAAAAGCCAATCTCCAGCCATGCAAGGTTGGATTAGACTATTCAACATCACATTCTTTGTTGGATTGGCTATGGGGTTCACTTGGATGACTGTTCTGTCATACCTCTTCCCACCACCAGGTCTGGGCGTGGAAGCACCCTTCGTGGAAGATTACCACTCAACCCAGGAACTGAAAGCACCCCAAGAGATTGAAGATGTGTCACGCGGAAGCTCTCAGGCCGCGCCCACGCCTGAGACTTGTTGAGCGATGTTATCCGCTTTCTCTTTTGCAATGATTGACAAACACTTTCGTATTCACGGAGCTTGTTTCTTGGGAAAGGTGTGTATGAGGTCAAGTATAGTACCAGTCATCACCTGCTTAGTATATCTGTCATCATAGGAAGGAAATCTCCATGGCGTACTCCGCCTCTCTCTGCAGCTCATACCCCTATTTCCATTTGCTATAAAATAATAGGGTGTTGTTCTTATTGCCCAGTAAAGTGCTGTAATGCACATGCAAACTGCACCACGTGACTATTCTCTTCCGAAAAGACCCGGTCCTCTCACCAACGTATTATCGCTCTTTGTTGTTCCTTTTGGGGAGAGAGGGTGGGAACGGACAGTCCCGGGGCTTACGACTGGTATATGGACTCTTTTTGCCGAGGGTTCGGCATTATCGAAGGAGATGCGAACGTGAAGACGGCACTCGGCCTGATACGATGCGGCTTCGGCGGGGAGCCTTAACACGCTGGTCATATACACAGCGTTGAAAGATCCATAGTACCAATGTACGTCTTTCTCCAAGGACCCAGAATCAGTTACGTAAACCCCTGCCTGGCTGATGTTGACTGTGTTGATGCCTTTCAATGTTATTCAAGACAAGTCGAACAGGAGAGGTTCTGGGGCATAAATAAGGCACCGGCAGAAGTAAATAAAGTGCGGCTCTCGAGCTGCCGATGTCGGCCTTAAGGAAAATAAAGACCAATTAGCATCCTTCTTGGTGGTTCAACCAGCGTAAAAGTAAACAATGCAGCGTCCTTGTGTGGGGGGCAGATGCAGCGGAAGCACATGCTTTTTACCAGGCTGGGATAGTCAATCATATCCAACAAGATCCACTGAGCAACAGAGCGCGAGAGTATGGGGAGAAGCACCCGCCTCTCCCTTCTCGGCTGAGACTGCAAGGCTTGCATGCAATGCTAACTCTCGCATCAACAGCACCTTTTGTCTTCTTTCGTCTTGTCTCCTTTTGCTGCCTTCCCTCTCATGTCTCTTTCTGTCTCAGCTTTCTTCTCTTCTTCGGCTTCTGCAACCAAAGAAAAACAGAACTTCCAGCTTGGTCGATGCTTCTTTAAGGTTAAAAACTTTAGATAAGCCAAATTGGCCAATGAGAAGGTCTCGATTAGCAGTGGCGCTCCACTTTTATCTCCCATCGTCCGTCATTTCTATTCAACACCAGAACAACGACCACGCGAGAGAAGCAAAAGTGACCTGTTGGGGCTCTCGCGCTACGCTCGTTAAGAAGCAATTCCGATGGACTCCTCCATTATAACAGTCCTTCCGAGGATGTCACCCTCCCAAAGACACAATTTGCCACGACAATGCGTAGATGCTGTAAGCTTGCAGGGTCCTCTCCCCCACGCTCGGTCGGCGCTCGAGGCGAGCAATGGAACCAGCCGGCTCAACCGTAGAACAGCGATGGCCAACTTCCGAGGATGCCCTGTGCTGGCGGCATTGGTTATTCATTAACTTCATCCTCCTCTTCCGCATCATTCACTCTCATTCTTCCCCTCCTTCACTTCATCCCATCTTCTCCCCAGCATCCCTATATCGTGCTCTGGATTAATCCCCAATTTGAACGAAAACGTCATTGTTTCTAGCCACTATCAGCTCATATCGTCATTGGAACCAGGCCAGACGTAGGTTTTTCTGCCACCGCATAGGCAGGAAGAATGGGCCTCTTGGAGAAAATATATGACACCAAAGTTGAAGACGGTCGCCCCAACGAGTACTCTCCATATAGGGCCGAAAGTGGCTATGGCTGGGCAGAAGCCCTGCCTAAGAAGCAGGGTCTCTATGACCCCGAACTTGAGAAGGATGCCTGTGGTGTAGGCTTCACTGCGTAAGTCCGCTAGACTCCCATCGGGCTTCAACTCGGAAGAGACACGGCTGACAGACTATGTTTCTAGCCATATCAAGGGAAAGGCGAGCCATAAGATAGTCACTGATGGTATGTTTTGCTTTGTAGCCACATATTACAGGGCTATTTAAGCCACAGGCTGACCGAAACCCTCTATAGCACGAGGTTTACTATGCAACATGACCCATCGAGGAGCAGTCGGCTCCGACGCTCGAGACGGTGATGGTGCTGGCGTCATGACAAGCATCCCCCACAAATTCTTCATGAAGCACTTCGCCAGAGATATCGATATTGTTCTACCGCCATTGGGGCAATATGCAGTGGGGAACCTTTTCTTTAAGCCAGATCCAGTTGCCCTCAGGGAATCACAAGCTACTTTTGAGGGTCTCTCGAAAGAATTGAATCTGCGAGTGCTTGGGTGGAGAGAAGTGCCACACGATTCAACGATACTAGGCCCGGCTGCCTTGTCTCGTGAGCCATTCATTTATCAGCCTATTGTTGTCCTTCATTCTGCATATGGGGATGGCAATGTTCCTCTCGAAAACCACTCTGAACTCTTTGATGAGAGGCTTTTTGAGAGGCAGCTGTATGTGCTGAGAAAACGAGCGACTCATGTTCTTGGCCTTGCCAACTGGTTTTATCTTTGCTCTCTGAGTAATAAGAATATCGTTTATAAGGGCCAACTGGCTCCAGTTCAAGTGTATGAGTATTATCACGATCTCGTCTCAGTGGACTATGAAGGTCACTTTGCCCTGGTTCACTCTCGATTCTCAACAAACACTTTCCCTTCATGGGATCGTGCCCAGCCTCTTCGATGGGCAGCGCATAATGGTGAAATAAACACCCTCCGCGGGAATAAAAATTGGATGAGAGCGAGAGAAGGCGTACTCAAATCAGAAATCTTTGGACAGGAGCTTGATTTGCTCTACCCCATTGTGGAGGAAGGTGGCTCTGATTCTGCTGCTTTTGATAACGTGCTGGAACTATTGACAATAAACGGTGTCCTTTCTCTTCCCGAAGCGGTCATGTTGATGGTGCCCGAAGCCTGGCAGGATAATCCTTCCATGGACGCAGAGAAGGCTGCTTTTTACGAGTGGGCGGCCTGTCAGATGGAGCCTTGGGATGGTCCAGCACTTTTCACATTCTCTGATGGCCGATACTGCGGCGCCAATTTGGACCGTAACGGTCTCAGACCATGCAGATACTATATCACGGACGATGACAGAATCATTTGTGCCTCTGAAGTCGGTGCCCTTGTCATCGACCAAGAGCGTGTCATCGAAAAAGGTCGTCTACAACCTGGTAAGATGCTCCTTGTTGATACAGTTGCAGGAAAAATTATCGATGATACGGAGTTAAAGCAAAGTGTTGCCAGCCGGCAACCCTTCGCTAAATGGATCGAGGCACAGCTCCTTAGCCTCCCAAAAATCCACCAGAATTTCATCGACAACAAGGTCATCGATGTTTCACCAAAGCTAGATGAATTGACTGTCCAGCAAGACCCGCGTCTAAAGGCGTTTGGGTATACGTTTGAACAAGTCAGCTTGCTCTTGGGCCCTATGGCCGCGGACTCAAAGGAAGCCCTTGGTTCCATGGGCAATGATGCCCCTCTCGCCTGCATTGCACAACAACCACGTCTCATGTATGAGTACTTCCGTCAACTGTTTGCTCAAGTCACCAATCCGCCTATTGACCCCATCCGTGAGGCCATCGTTATGTCTTTAGAGTGCTACGTTGGCCCTCAGGGAAACCTGCTCGAGATTGATGAAACACAGTGCCATCGTCTTCACCTTCCGTCTCCTATCCTCTCTCTCACTGAATTCGACACTATCAAAAATCTCACTTCCCTGCACAAAGACTGGCCTGTAAAAATCATTGACACCACTTTTGAAAAATCAAAGGGAATTCAGGGTTATCTTGATGCCCTCGATAGAATATGCGAATCGGCCACAGAAGGGATTGAGAACGGTGACCGGATACTGGTCCTGTCTGATAGAGCAACTTCTGCTGACCGGGTTCCTGTATCAGCCCTCCTCGCTACTGGTCTAGTCCACCACCATCTTGTTCGCAATAAATGGCGTTCCTTGGCCGCTCTTATAGTTGAGACTGCTGAAGCTCGTGAAGTACATCACATGTGCGTTCTCGTCGGTTATGGTGCAGATGGTATCTGTCCATACCTTGCTATAGAGTGTATGCTCAAAATGAACCGCGAGGGCCTCATCCGGAAGAAACTCACTGATGGCCAAATTGTTGATAACTACAAACACTCAGTTGATGGAGGTATCTTGAAGGTCATGAGTAAAATGGGTATCTCCACCTTGCAGAGTTATAAAGGAGCTCAAATTTTCGAAGCTCTTGGTATTGATGACAGCGTCATTGATAGATGCTTCGTCGGAACGGCAAGCAGAATTCGAGGAATGACGTTTAAAACAATCGCTCAGGACGCCTTTGCTTTCCACGAAAAAGGATATCCTTCGCGACAAATCACCGAAATACCTGGTCTACCTGAGTCAGGAGAGTACCACTGGCGAGATGGAGGAGAGCCACACATCAACGATCCAGTCAGCATTGCCAACATGCAGGATGCCGTCCGCAATAAGAATGACAAGTCATACGAAGCATATGCTAAGGCAGAATATGAGCAGATCAAGAATTGTACGCTGCGCGGGATGCTGGAATTTGATTTTGAGCAACGGGCTCCCATTCCAGTTGACCAGGTCGAGCCATGGACTGACATCGTCCGCCGTTTTGTCACTGGTGCCATGTCTTATGGCTCAATTTCTATTGAATCTCACTCTACCCTCGCTATTGCTATGAATAGGCTGGGTGGTAAATCCAATACTGGTGAAGGTGGTGAAGATGCCAGTCGCAGCAAAGTTCGAGAAAATGGGGACACAATGAGATCTGCTATCAAACAGATTGCTTCTGGTCGATTTGGAGTCACTTCCAGCTATCTAGCTGATGCTGATGAGTTACAGATCAAGATGGCCCAAGGAGCTAAGCCCGGTGAAGGAGGTGAGTTGCCTGGTCATAAAGTGACAGGGCCCATTGCGCATACCCGACACTCTACACCAGGAGTTGGCCTGATATCTCCTCCACCACACCATGACATCTACTCCATTGAAGATCTTAAGCAGCTTATATATGATCTCAAGTGCTCTAATCCTCGTGCACGTGTTTCTGTCAAGCTTGTATCTGAGGTGGGCGTCGGTATTGTTGCATCTGGTGTTGCAAAGGCCAAGGCGGATCATATCCTTATTGCTGGCCATGATGGAGGCACAGGAGCTTCTCGATGGACCGGTATCAAATATGCTGGTCTACCGTGGGAGCTTGGATTGGCCGAAACTCATCAAACTTTGGTGCTTAACGACTTACGTGGACGCGTCATCGTCCAAACTGACGGGCAACTCAGAACTGGTCGAGATATTGCCATTGCTTGTTTGTTAGGCGCTGAGGAGTGGGGATTCGCAACTGCTCCATTGATTGCAATGGGATGTGTTATGATGAGAAAATGTCACCTCAACACCTGTCCCGTTGGTATAGCTACTCAGGATCCAGTTCTTCGAGAGAAGTTCCAGGGCACCCCAGAGCATGTCATTAACTTTTTCTATTATATCGCCAACGAGCTTCGTGCCATTATGGCTAAGCTTGGTTTCCGCAGTGTCAACGAGATGGTTGGTAGAGCTGAGCTTCTCAAGATAAGGGAGAATCTAGCATCTCCTCGTATGCACAACATCGACCTCTCTCTCATCCTCACTCCTGCACATTCCCTCAGACCCGGAGTTGCCACTTATAACGTGAGGAAACAGGATCACCGTCTCCATACCCGTCTGGACAATAAACTTATTGCCGAAGCGGAGTTGGCCTTAGAAAAAGGGCTTCCATGTAGAGTGGAGTGTGATATCGTCAACACCGATCGTGCTATGGGCGCCACGCTCTCCTATCAAATCAGCAAACGATACGGTGAACCTGGACTGCCACAAGATACAATCCATGCCAATATCAGAGGATCCGCAGGACAGTCATTTGGAGCTTACCTGGCCCCTGGTGTCACACTTGAGCTTGAAGGTGATTCAAATGACTATGTGGGCAAGGGTTTGTCTGGAGGTCGCCTAATCATTTATCCTCCGCGTGGTGCCGTTTTCAAAGCAGAGGAAAATATAATCATCGGAAATGTCTGCTTGTATGGCGCCACGAGTGGAAGCTGCTACTTCCGCGGTGTTGCTGCTGAGAGATTTGCTGTCCGTAACTCTGGTGCCACTGCTGTTGTTGAAGGGGTGGGCGACCATGGTTGCGAGTACATGACTGGTGGCCGTGTGTTGATTCTTGGATCCACCGGACGAAATTTCGCCGCTGGTATGTCTGGTGGAATTGCATATATCCTTGATAAAGATGGAGATTTCGAGCAAAAGGTCAACATGGAGATGGTCGAGCTTTCAGGTGTTGATAGTCCAGCTGAAATCGCGTTCTTGCGAGGACTCATTGAAGATCATCATCATTATACTGGCTCCGAAATCGCTGCTAGAATCTTAATCGATTTCAACAAGGCCTTATCGCATATTGTGAAGGTGTTGCCAACTGATTATCAACGAGTGCTTGAGGAGGAAGCGGCCAAAGTTGAGGCAGCTAAGAAGTTGGAGGCAGTGCCTCCAAGTTCCCGTCAGAAGACCGCCCTAAAACCCGAAGAGAAGGCAGATCATAAACATCAAGGAGAATCTCAACCAAAGGCTGATGTTCTCGACATCGAAGACAGTATCGGTGATGCCAAAACGGAGAAAAAGCGTACCGCCTTGATCTTAGACAAGACCAAAGGCTTCATGAAGTATGCTCGACGACATGAAAAATACAGAAGTTCAAAAACTCGTACTCGAGACTGGCAGGAACTGTCACCCCGGCTTACAGAAGATGAGTTGAAATATCAATCCGCAAGATGTATGGACTGTGGTGTCCCATTCTGCCAATCCGAAACTGGTTGCCCTATCTCCAACGTCATTCCAAAGTGGAATGAGCTTGTATTCCAGAACCAATGGCAAGATGCACTCAACAGGTTGCTCATGACAAACAATTTCCCCGAGTTCACTGGTCGCGTTTGCCCTGCTCCGTGTGAAGGCGCTTGTGTCCTTGGAATTGTTGACGATCCAGTTGGTATTAAATCGATTGAATGTGCTATTATTGACCGAGGTTTTGAGATGGGTTGGATGGTCCCAAAACAGCCTCTACGCCGCACAGGAAAATCTGTTGTGATTATTGGCTCAGGACCAGCTGGTTTGGCTGCAGCTGATCAACTCAACCGTGCCGGACACAGCGTGACCGTATATGAGCGTGCGGACCGCATTGGTGGTTTACTGATGTACGGCATTCCGAATATGAAGCTAGACAAGAAAGTTGTGCAGAGACGAGTCGACTTCATGGCTGCAGAAGGTATTAAGTTCGTCACCGGTACGACTGTTGGCCCTGACCAGGAGATATCGCTCCAGACTCTTCAAAGGTCGGATGATGCCGTAGTCATTGCTACCGGTGCCACTGTCGCGCGAGATCTGAAGATCCCAAACCGGGAACTTGGGGGAATTCATTTTGCCATGGAGTTCCTCCACCGCAACACCAAATCCCTACTCGATTCTGAACTAAATGATGGCGAGTATATCTCGGCAAAGGGCAAAGATGTCATCGTCATTGGCGGTGGTGATACTGGCAACGATTGTATCGGAACTTCTGTTCGACATGGTGCGAAATCCGTCACGAACTTCGAGCTTCTCCCTCAGCCTCCGCAGGAGCGTGCTCGAGACAATCCATGGCCACAGTGGCCTCGAATCTACCGTATAGACTATGGTCATAGCGAAGTCAAAACTCACATGGGTAAAGACCCACGAGAATTCTGTGTCATGTCGAAGGAGTTCGTTGGAGATGAGAATGGCCATGTAAAGGGTATCAATATCGTCCGAGTTGAGTGGACGAAGAGCCCATCCGGTGGCTGGGATATGAAGACTATCGAAGGCAGCGAGCAGTTCTTCCCTGCTGACCTTGTTCTCCTTTCAATGGGGTTCTTAGGCCCTGAAGATCGACTCCTAGGCGAGGAGATCGAGAGAGATGCACGAAAGAATATCAAGACTCCCGCTGGTCATTACTCAACCAACATCCCCGGTGTATTTGCTGCTGGTGACTGCAGGCGCGGACAGTCGCTAATTGTCTGGTATGTACACCACATTCAATGCCATTATCTGGTTTACACACTAACTCGCTTATCCATTCTAGGGGTATCAATGAAGGCCGACAGGCTGCTCGAGAGATCGATTCATATCTCATGGGCAGTACATCCTATCTTCCAGCCACTGGTGGAATCGTTCGCCGTCCAGCCATCGAGGCTGTTCCCCCAGCTCCTCAGGTGGAGATTCCAATAGTCGCTGCGTAAATATATGAGCCTCTAACTGGCGTTAACCACAAGTTTCATAACTAGCCATCTTGTCTCTCATTGAGATTTAATTCGTCATCTTGTCATCTTGTCATCTTGGGTGCAGGGAAGCGAGTTTTGTCAATGTGGGAAAAACCGTGCTGGAAATGCCGACAAAACTTGGCCCATTTGTATTCGTGTTTTTCTTTTGCTGGCTTCTGCTTGTGGCATTTCTGTTCTTTTGACGAACTTGTACGAACATTTTAGTTATCTTTTGCTTTCTGCAACGAAGTGCGAATTTACTTTTTTTTATTGCTTTTTCCCTCTGGATGGATCTTGGGCTGGCGAAAGACCCTTATAACCACCAAACACACCCCAATTCTATTATTAAAGACCAGTAAATCGAGCCAGTTTCATACTAATATACATACCAGGACCATCTTAGATATATTTTAGGTCCCTAACGCCGGGGAGCAGAGAAAGAAAGGGGGTATTCACAGCACTGTAATAATACATGTATAAAGGTTTAAATGGCAACCAAATCATCAATCCACATAGTACGGACTAATGCAATCCAACGCCGTGACGCAACATATCCTCATGCTCCCATAGTGTTGTCCCCGTTAACTTTTGCACCATTATCTTGCTGCTTTAGCCGTTCCATCTCTCTCTCAAAGGCGAGATAATCGCCTTGGAATGCTCCCACAACCGGCTCCTTTCTTAGGTCCCAGATATCTTCACTACTGGGGCCAGTCTTGTACTTGATGGCCTTCCGCCTATATCTATCGGAGATAGCCTTTTCTCTTTCCTCGTCAGAAAGTGACTTTGAACGCATACAGAACCAAAAGTCAGACCAATGCTCGCTGCACGACCTGAGTTCACCATATCGATAGACATTCACCCATTGACCTCCGAACGACTGGCAAAAGTATGCGTAATCAAAAGCGGTGCGGCAAGACATAGTTTTGGGGTAGAGCGAATCCGACTGAAATTGGGTAGGCGGGGATTCGAAGTGAATGGACTGTGAGGGCAGTGGCTTGGAGGTCGGAGATTTCGGCGTTGATGGCGCATGCTGTTCAGTGGATGAGGAAGAAGTATCTAGCGACTTTAATAATTCGTTGAACTCGGCCTCTGCGAGCTCATCACGGCCAAGAGGTTTCCTCTGAGGGGTGGACTGTTCTGTTGTAGAATTCAATGGTAGAGACCGCGAATCGTTCGTTGGAGGTGATGGGTCTGTTTTTTGTGTCTGCTCAGCCGGAGCCGGGCTGCTATTCCACAGCCAGCCCATTGTTGTATCCTGTATTTGCCCCTGCGTCCGTTCTTCGAAGACGAAAAGCTCGACTGCTCAATCGCTTCCGCGCACCCAACTCCAACTCACTTCATCGCCGAAGTAAAATAAGGAAGAGGTTCGGATATAAATGATCACGTGACAAACCTTATTCCAACCAGGTCAAACCTTGAAGAAACAGCCAAGTTGGACCGAGGAGCTCTACGTCATGACGAAGACGCGGCCAAACAACCGCCAGACAGCTCGAGAGATGGCCGTTCAAGCGTTTGGTGCTTGATTCACACTTTTACCGAGCTTATAGAGCTCCAGAATTGTACCCAGCTGCTTACCAGATGGCTCCCGTAGTCCGCAGTCTACACTCTAGGCAATTACTCTGGAGGGGGCAGTTCCTGTGTATGGGCAGGAGACGATGCCAGAGCTATCGGAGCATATGCCAGGCCTCTGCTGCAGAACCACACAGAGCAGGCCACATACAAAAGTCCCAGAATGAAGCCCTCATTTTCATAAGTAGTAAGTTATCTTGAACCAAGCACACCCTGCAATATAGTGACGCCCTCTAATACTGAATTGTAGGTGTTCTTCCAGTTCATCTGGGCTGGCTATCACGCATTCCATATGTAAACCTGAATGCTATGGTCTTACAGCGGCTGGAGAAGCTTGGAGTTAAAGGTGCTGAGCTCACAGGCTCCCCTACTGTTGTCGAGCAAGTTCTTCCAGATGAACTCCACCCGAACATCACCCAAGTAATTCCACGCCTCACAGAAGGCGGTGCTTTTGTCAAATTATCTCATGGTCCTGAAACCTCGGGTTCAGACATTATCGAGGTCATTACCCAGCACTTACACGAGAATCCCGTAAAGCCGTGGTTTACTCTCTTCAATTCTGCCAGTGCAGCGCTTGTGCGTGGGCGCCCTTGGGTAGAGGACTTATCCTACCGGTTTCCAAGTTCAAGGGTCAAGGTTGAGTTCCTGCCCGTGTCTTCGGACGCCCCTGCCGCAGAGCTTACCCAGGAGAATCTCTACACACTTGCTAGGACATACGGCAAATTGACCGACATTATCCCTCAGCCCGCAGACTCAAAGGTCGTCCCAAGATACGCTTTGCTTGACTTTTCCAACCCAGTGAGCGCTGTGATGGCGAAAAACTGTCTTCATGGATTCAAGGTTCCTTCAGGCGATATTGGAGGCAAGGCTGGGACTATCCTGCACTTTAGCTACGAGCGAAAGATCAAAGCACATTGGATAAGAGACTGGTTTTTCAGCCATCCCCGAATTGTACTTCCAATTCTTGTTGCTATCTTGGCTGGGATTACTGTCGCGATTTTTGATCCGATAAGGACGTTTTTCATCAGGCTCAAGATATCTCCTCCATTGCAGTTCCAGGATAATAGGCTATGGATGTGGCTTCAGAGACAGGCCACGAAAGCAAACTCTCTATTTTCCCTTCATCGAGGCCAAATTCATGAGTCGAAAGGCCTTAACGAGATTTGGGAAGAGAGAAAGGAAGATGCCCAGCAGATTCAGAACTGGCTCGTGGAAGGAAACGATACCTTTATTGTTGTGCATGGACCCCGAGGTTTAGGAAAGAAAGAATTTGTTTTGGACGAAGCGCTGAAAAATTACAAGAACAAACTGGTCATTGACTGCAAACCTATTCAAGAGGCTCCAGGGGACAGCACAATGATAGCTGCAGCCGCTGCAGAGGTTGGATATAAACCGGTATTCTCCTGGATGAATAGTATTAGCAGTGTGATTGATGTTGCTACTCAAAGTGCCATTGGTACAAAGGCCGGACTGTCTGAGACGCTGGATACACAACTTGGCAATATATTGCGAAATACTGCTAAGGCCCTGAAAAAGGTTGCCTTGGACGGGAGGAGAAAGGGTGATAAAGATGATCACCTGAGTGATGATGAATGGCTAGAGGCAAACCCTGCTCGTCGACCGGTCGTTGTTATTGACAACTTCCTACATAAAAGCAAAGACAACCAGATGGTCTACAACAAACTTGCAGAATGGGCAGCTGCATTGATACACACCAATATTGCGCATGTCGTCTTCCTCACCTCAGATCTTTCCTATTCGAAAACCTTAAGTCAGGCTTTACCAAATCAGGTTTTCCATCTGGTGTCATTCACTGATTGCAAACCTGAAGTGGCCAAACGGTTTGTGTTAAGTCATGTGTCTGGTAGCGAGGAGTCTAAAGGCGTGGACTATTCCGACGAAAAATTTAGTCAGGAACTCAGCGGATGCATTAAACAGCTCGGAGGCCGTTTAACAGATCTTGAATTTTTCGCTCGCATGATTTCTAGAGGCCTGACTCCAAATAGTAAGCTACTAACCATTACCCTTGATTGGATACATTCTAATGCTAACTATTCAATAGATGCTGTTCAGCAGATAATACATCAGTCTGCGGCGGAAATTCTTAAGATATTTATCACGGAAGTTGATCCAAGCTCTCGTGGATGGACCCCCGAACAAGCATGGTACTTGATTAAAAATCTAGGCACGGCCAAGGCCCAGGCGGGAAATCACAGCAGCTCAGATGGAGATGCAGGCGCAGATGCTAGCATTCGATACAGTGATATAATTCTCTCGGACCTGTTCAAGAAGGATGGCGAAGCTACCCTTCTCGCCCTTGAAAAAGCAGAGCTTATCACGGTCATTTCGAAGAACGGACGCCCTTCGATAATCAAACCGGGGAAACCAGTACTTGCTGCTGCATTCAATCAGTTGGTTGAGGACAAGGTGCTGAGAAGCAGGCTTGACCTAAGAATCCTCGGCCAAATGATCGCAATACAAAACCAAGCAATTAATAAAATTGAAGACGAGCTACAAGTTCTGGGGTCTTTCCCAAAAGAACCCAGTGAAGCGAGGAGAAGGATTAAATGGTTGCTAACTAACTTAGCTCTGAGCCAGGCAAAGATCGATCAATACGAGATGGAGAGTGCACAGATAAAGCTGGTTTTAAAGACCGAGTTTTAAGGTAAGATACCGAGCTTATCGATTGTATATAATGTTATATCCAGCCTTGAATATACTATTGCAAAGAATAGGAAAGTAATTATTAAATGAAAAGGCCCAAGGATTATATTGAGGTTTTTAGAGAGATAGGAGTGTAACTGTCGATACGCCATGCATGCATTAGAATATTAAATTCGCCATGTGACCAAGACCGCTAGTATAAGGAAGACATGAAAACCATAGTAATGCAAAATGACATTTCTTTTATTATTAAAAATATGATAGTAGAGACATTCGAATGCGCAAAACGGGCATATCCAGGTTAAGAAGGACCTGATATCATGGTATCAATCAAATATGGTAGTAGCTTGAGGGTATTGTTAAATTAGAACTCGATTAAACATTTCTAGGCGTACCAGAAGGAAGCTCAGTGGAGTGAGTTGGAACGTCTCGTGGTTGGTCTTCGTGTATGTGCTGCTCGTGCGGGTTGTATGGTTGAGTGAGCTGGGACTGGGGAGGTATCGGAGAGCCGTGTTCATTAACCGGTGAGACTGCATGAGTTGGGTGCTCAAACAGCCCTGTGCTGCCACCCTGGCTGATCGCTGGTAACGGTTCGTATTCTCTCTGTGTAGCTACTGGCTGCTGCTCTGTCGACTGAAGAACAGGCTGCTGCCCTTGCGGTTGGACGTCTAAATGCTGTTCAGCCTGTTGGTCTGTCTGCTGAGGCAGCGGTTGCGGGCCTATTTGCTGAGGAAGTGGTGGCATAACGCCGGGGACCGTAGGTAGCTGCGCCATCCGAGGCTGACTGGCAGGTAGCGGGTCGGTAGCGAGGGGAGGCGCTGCTCCAAGCATTGGAGGATAGCTTCTGCTAAATCCATATTTCAACCAGAGGGTGAATTTAGCGGCGAAGGACATCGATTTCCAATTTCTTTCCAACTCCTCCTGTTCTTCCCTTGGTTTTGGCCTGTAGCCCCTGTGCATGCACATGATGAACAAGCATGATAAAAACGGGCACAAACAAGCGAAGGATTTGGGTAGGCCTCTGCTTGCCCCGCGACCAAGCATAAGTTTTCTGAATCGAACGGCACTCTCGATCAACCCAACGATGAAGAAAAAGCCGAACCAAGAAAAGAAAATAATAAGGGACAAAGCTAGGTATGCCGACCAATAGGAGCGATAACACCCATACCTGCCACAGTAATTATCATAGATATCGCTGGATCCAGAGCTCGAGGATGAACCATAGCCGCTAGAGCCTGAGCGAGATCCATAATGGCAGTACTCAATGTCGGACGGAGTATGGTAGGCTTCTATACTACTGTAGACCCCGGATGGAAGATCTGTTGGGTTCAGTAAGAAGGTCTTAGAGGTATAATAAGATACCGAGTCCAGATATTCCACAGAAGCGGTCTCGGCTGATGTTTGGGTTGGGGTGAGCTGGCTCTGGATCTCTCTTGGGATTGAAACTCGAGCGCTAGTTGTGATGGGGCTTTCACTAGAGGAACAGCTTGATGGGTAGGTATACGTTAGAGAGACGTAGTAGGCGTTGGAGTTTGAATAGTAGTCGTAGGTGGATGATGTTCCTTGGCCTGATTCAAGACCTAAGCCTATGTAGGTGATATCTGGGTAGACGGTGGTGGTTACTGTGGCTGTCGCAGTAGGTGACGTGACCGTCGGTACAACGGGTATTGTTTCGGTGTATTCAGAGGATGGATATGTTCCATAACGGCCTGTATTTCCTGGTAAAGTCGTTACAGATTCTTCGAAATATTTGGTGATGGTCCAATCAGGTGCAAAAGCGTGAGTGACCCCAAGCGCTTGGAGGAGGGTGCAGAGACCCAGAACTCGAGACGCCGTCATTGAAAGAGCTGCTATGTCTAGAGATGCCTCAATAAGAAACGAAACAACCGTTCGTGGGATGAAATGGTATATGGGAACCAGAGCTCAAAAGTAAAATGAAAGAACGAAAGAAAGAAAGGAAGGAAGAAAGGAGAAAAAAAAGAAAGAAAGACAGAAACAGAGGATAAGACCCTGATAAAGTACCTCCTGTCACCAGAGGTGTATGCAGGCGCCGTAGCTTATGGCTGACTCTATGACCAGCAGAAACTTCATGCTGCAAGGGGGCCTTGGGCATAAAGTTTCCGTTGTAATTTAACTCTGCACTCTGTCCTCCGTGCCCCGTGCAAAATATAGGTAAAAATAGCCACTTTGTCCCCTCTCACACTGTATGACAGCCTGGCCAGGTGCAGACAAGAGCAGCTAAGGGCCTAATGTGGGTGCATCCTCCGAGTTGCGACCCCATTTCATGACTAACCTGGGGTCCAGGAACAGTTTGCAATGGCCAACCACGGGCATAGCCGACGTCCCCAGACCCTTCGATAGTTCTGAACGTTGTCAAGTTGGCGAAAATGAGGCTCTAATAACCAGGGTGTGAGACATGGCAGTGGAGTTGCTTGTGCCGTGATTCGTTAGCTTGCGCCATTTCTAACTGGATCACTGCATGCAAACAGTTGGATGTCACCTGGAATCTCCGACAACGCCTTTTGTGCTTTCTTTTCTTTTTTTCTCTTTTGCCCCTGGTGGCTGACCGTCGGCATTTCGGGGGATATCAAAGAACCTGGTTCAGGGGGCGCTTCTCTGCTGCTGTTAATAGTGGTGTTAGTGTTATTGTTAGTGCTGGATAAGTGCTAATATTAGTGTTGTGCCTTTTTCTCTTCCTTCCCAAAGCGGTTTAGTAGAAATTAGGGTTTCCTGAGGCACGTGGAATGATTATATCACCAGAGATCAGCATCATGTGATATGCTTATCTCCGGGGCTGGACTGAAGGCTTCAGGTTTATTTTGGCGACAGGTTGAACTTCGCTCTGGCCAAAGTCGGCGGCAGAGACGGAGCAAGAAGAATAAAAGATAAATGGACAGCGACGCCCCATCTATCCCCCAGCTTGCTGTGGAAGCGCTGCGGCAGCTTTTCGCTCACTTAAGTGGGTGGGCAGTGCCTGTAGTGTTTGTTCTAATATGTCTCTTCACCCGAATCCTAACACAAGTCACCAGCCTGCCCGGCATTAGAACAAAACATCCAGATGGATCAATATCCCCAAACAAGGTTCCCTACTGGCTGCCTTATATTGGGCATTGGATTTCTTTAGGTTTCTTTCGAAAGAGATTGCTGTTTAATGCTCGGTCAGTTTGCACTTGCCTTTTACTCGAAGCCCCTTTTTGATAGAGGAGCCACCTCCTTTATTAACATTGATATCTAGGCTGCCAGAGCGTGGAGCTGCATTCAGTTTTTACTGTTGGGGCAGGAGACACGTTGTCCTTACAACACCTTCGATGGTCAGAAGCTTGTTTAAGCAACGCCAGTCCACCTCAGCAGAGCCATGCATCAACTACCTACTGGACAACAATTTTGGCTCAAACAGCCGTGCACGCAAACCTGGCCGAGAAGGCACTTATCATGGCGAAGCAGCAAAGTGGGCAAAGCTTCTAACAGACGAGCCATATCTCACCGATCTATCTTCCTTACTGGTCAAGGAAATCGAACGAACTGCCCCATCCCTGGTCTCATTCACCTCCAGTGTTGTAGACCAATGTCAATGGGAAAGAACAGCTGGTGTAACTCTTCAAAATGAAGATGGTGAAGAAAGAATATGCATAACCAAGCTATACTCTTTGATAAGTGGTTTCGTTGGGTCAACCTCCATCAATCTCTTAATGGGGAAAACTCTGCTTGATGTTTATCCTAACATTTTACCCGATATCTCCATACTCAATAGCAAATTCAATGCTATGTTGCTTGGAATTCAGCGGTGGATTCCTTTCCCCGGCCTTGTCAATGCATATCTCGCTCGCAGGCGCCTGCTAGTATGTCTGACAGTTCAAAATGCCGTGTTTAGCCAGATAGAAAATGGACAAGAACCTGAGGCTGTCTGGCGGGATTTAGACGATATTTCTGCCGCAGTTCAGGCCCGAATGCGAATGCGCATCCGCAATGGTTATTCCGCCGAATATGCAGCCGCGGAAGATTTGTCTTTGTTATGGGCAGTTACTGCCCGCGCCGGTGCCTTGGTATTTTGGAACCTTGTTCACATACTCGCCGACCCCAAGTTACACGCAGAAATTTTGCATGAAATTGGCCCCTATGCAATACTCAAACGCTCGAGTCCCGGTGAAAGCTCTTTTGGCCTACCAGAACCTCCACGGGTGTCATTGGATATTGATAGGCTCATTGGATCTTGTCCTTTGCTGATGGCTACTCAAAAAGAGACCAGCCGACTCTACTCAACCCCTTATACCTACCGAAAGGTTACCTCCGATATTAACCTTACCGAGTCCGACGAGGATGCATCTTTCAATTCTAGAGTAGCCCTGGGCTACCATTTATCTGAGGGCGATTTTGTTGTCATACCCCACTCTTTGCGAAATAGGGACCCTCTTTACAACAAGTCGCCTGACAGCTTTGATCCACGGCGGCACCTTACCGAGATTTCTCAGGCTGATGAATTGGAAGAAAAGGAAGATTCACAAAGCGCCGTAGATGAGGATATACAAGATTGCCCAGCAGGTTGGGATGATCCAGTTTCCATTTGGTGGAAGTTAGAACAGAAGAAAATTATTGGCACCTTAGCCGCCATTTTGGTAACCTGGGATATCAAGCCTACGAAGGGGGACAACTGGCAAGTTCCTAACCGGAGAGGCGGAAGCTTGATTGATGAACCAAGAGATTTACAGGTTATGCTAAAGATGAAAGCCTAGAATTATGGTTTTGTATATCTTGTCAAATTATTTGTCTAAGTGAGCGTACCTAGGTAATAATTTCTTTCCCTTTGCGCTAAGCTTTGGTTAGTTATCTTATCTCTAGAAGAATTTAAAGTGGCTGATGACTAAATGTCACGACCGCGACGCGCGCTTCCATTCCAGCATTGAACCTCTCAAAGATCACACAACCTTGGAAATTATCTTGAACAGATCTCGGCTTAAGGAGCTGATGAAATATTCCGCTGGTTTGCCAAATTAGAGTACCAACGGACAATACTTTACCATGGCTCCGAGTAGCTTCAGTTTGAGGGGCAGACCAGCTCGTACGTCGCTTTGCAGCATTTCTCATTTTATATAAGTACTAACAGATGTCGATTTTAGACACTCCCGGCACGACAGTCCTAACGTATACACCCAATGGCAAACACATAATTACAGCCGGCTCGAACTCTGGAATCCGAGTATTCACAACTGGCGAGGATGGCGAACCGCAGACGATCGACGAGGGTATGGAGGCCCATTTAGCAATTGCAGCAACCGTACGTTCGAATGCCTTTTTAATATCAATCCCCCCTAGAGGAATTAGAATGGGATGCCGCCGCAAATCGAGTTCTTCTAACGAGGTGCTAGAATGAATCTATGATCCTGGGGTCTGAGGATGGCACGGTGTGGCTTTACAAACTGCCGGAAGGTACAATGGATAAGCCATTAGCTCGCTGTACACTCCCAGTTCGCGACCTAGCTATTTCTAAAGATGAGGAATGGGTTGCTGTTGCTAGCGAGTAAGTCTAAGCGGCTGGTAAATTTTAACTTGTGGTTATTAAAGGCTCAACTAATCTCGTCGACTTAAATAGTGAGCTTACTGTCAAGATCGTGAATATTAACGATATTACGGAAGTCAAATATTTGCGAGAACAGACAAAAGGAGTCAAGCATGTAACATTTGACCCAAGCGGCCGCTTTGTTACCGTGTCTTGCGCCGATGGGATTATTTATATCTACTCATTTACCGAGACAGAGCCAACGTTGCTGCATAAGCTCGACGGAGTGATTCAACGACTTGAAACAGACAATGAGGCAACATCAAGAGCAGTTTGGCATCCAGATGGAACTGCATTCGCTACAGTAGAAGCTACACGGGATATCACAGTAATATCGAGTAGGGATTGGACTAAGCAACGGAAATTCTCTGGTGGTCATAATGGAGATATCACCTGTCTTGCCTGGTCTCCTAACGGGGCAATGCTTGCAAGTGCCGGAGCCGACCGAAAACTTCTCCTATGGGAAACCAGGACCCAAAAGGTCATAAAGACCTACGATATCCCAAACGTCATCAACTTTCGCTGGCATCCTACCCTGAACATTGTTTCGTTTACTACTTCCGACGGAGAGCTGTATATTTACGAAGATTTCATCCCGCCCGAGTTTCACCCACTTCTATCAAAGACGTTGGAAGTGGCGCCGTTACTCGCAATTGGCTCACGCGAAGAGATTACAATCTCTCATAGACTACAACGACATGATACCAATAATAATTCCGAGAGCAGACAGAGAGGGGGAAGCCCCGACTCCCTCGATGATATACTCGGGCCAGACGATGGAGATGACTTTGTTGAAGATGACGATGGTGCAGGCTACACTGAAGACATCAATGGCCATGGCAAGAGAACCAACACTCATATGGATGAGTTATTTGGCCATGATCCCAAACGGCGGCCAGCCGCCCCTTGGAAAACTATTGCCCATGAACCCTTTCAGCCGGGTAGCACCCCCTGGAGAGGCAACAGAAAATATCTAGGTAAGCTTGTAATTGTTTATTTTAGCGGGGTTATTGCTAACGAATACTGTAGCATTGAACCTTGTTGGATTTGTATGGACCGTTGACCAAGACACTCACAATACCGTGACTGTGGAGTTTTATGATCGGGAACGATACCGTGACTTCCATTTCACAGATCCGTACCTCTACGACAAGGCTTGTTTAAGTACGTGGATATCTCTTCACCTCCTAGTCGAAATTCGGAAATTAGGCTAACTATCTTTCATAGATGAAAAGGGCGTTTTATTTTCATGTCAGCCTACATCCGGCAACCCAGCAACAATGTTTTATAGGCCGCATGAAACTTGGACAACGCGAGCGGACTGGAGAACTGAACTTCCTCCGGGGGAAAAAATTACAGGTACATCTCTGCCATCTGTTATTTCTCCTACTGTTGCTAACTATATTAAGCCATTGCATTAAGCAACTCTTACGTGACGGTAACAACTTCGACAGACTATGTTCGGGTTTATACCCTTTTTGGCACTCCGTATCGGGTTTTCCGACAAAAGAGTCAAACGGTTACCTGTGCAGCATGGCGAGACTATATTATCACCATCGGGAATGGCCCGGCTGGTAGTGATGGAGTCGCACAACTGAAGTACTCCATTGAAAATGTTCGACGTGACGAGATTTGTCAAAATGAGGATACTGTTGCATTAGCACGGGGGACACGGCTGCAAAATGTCTTTTTTTCGGACAAGGGTGTATGTATTCCCTAACGGCATACTATAACTCAGCACTATACTGACTAACATGCATGATCCAGGACCCCTGCATATATGACAGCTCAGGGGTTCTCCTAGTGTTACAGCATTGGCGGAAACCAGGACAGGCCCGCTGGGTCCCGCTCCTTGATACCAAGTTGCTTGAGCGCGTTGCCAGTGGCCGTAAGGAAGAAACCTATTGGCCTGTTGCTGTTGCACAGGATGTTTTCCACTGCATAATCCTAAAAGGTGGAGATAAGTACCCCTATTTCCCGCGACCGTTACTCACTGAGTTCGATTTCCAAATCCCAATATCTTCTGTTTCATCTACAGAGAAGAGCAACAAGGATGGGGACACGGAAATGGAAGACGCTGAGGAAGTCGCTAGGAAAAATAACAGGAAGCTACAAGAATCTCTTGTTAGGACTAGCTTGGATTATACTCTGCTGGAAGACTGCGTCACGGCATGCGAGATTGGCGCATCTGGGGACGCCGAGCTGAGGAGAAAAGCTCTTGACATTGACAAAATTCTCCTACAGCTGCTTGCTGTCGAATGCCGTGAGGGTGAGGAAAGGGGCATGAAGGCTCTGGAACTCGTCACCATGCTTCGTGACCGCTCTGGCAAAATGATAGATGCTGCTAGCAAAATTGCACAGCGCTATCAGAGATCTATCCTTGATGACAAAATCCGAGCAATAGCAGAGCGAAGGCTGATGGGTGAAGATAACGATGACATCACAGGGGGTAACGACGATATATAACGAAGCAGGTTTCTGTATTTACGAACTATGAATAGGTAGATACATTTTTAATATTTGCTATTCATAGGGTATTGAGGACAATCGGAGGCGTTGTCCGTCTGTAGACTATCAAATGCCAAATAGAAACGGATACCCAAATGCCATCATCACTGGGGCCCCGAACCAATCACAGGCCTTCCTTATTTAACTATCAGATAGCTCCAACTTTTTTACCGGTCACTGCTTGACCTCATTCACAGACTCTCAATCCTTTTGACGCCCTCATTTTCTACGGCATAACATAGCTTGTTTCTCCAATATATCTACCTAGACTTGCTACATCTCTGGAATACATGGAATGCATGCCGCCCCCTGCCGATAATGGCTAAGCATCTCTCACATCAAATCACTTTTCCCCCATCTCTTAAGCCTAACCCAGGCCAGCTCAACAGATGTATCACCAGAGTCTCGTCGCAAGCAGGCTCTCTAGCTCAAATAGCGCAAAGATCCTCTCGCCGGAACCATGAGCCGTTTTCACATAACCGCTCGCTAGCGCAACTGTCTCCCATACAGCCTGATGGCCCGTGGCTCACAGCTCTCTCCTCTACGCATTTCTCGCATTCGAATCTGGCCGCCCAATATGGCGAACCACGCAGGAATGGGGATCATAAACCACCAGACGAAAGAATAGTTAGGCTAGGAAAGAGTACGTTTTGAGCAATTAGATGCCTTGGAAAGAGGGAGTTTTACGTGCTAATGACATGATCATAGCTCTTCGCATACTTTCGAAACAATTACCTACCATCCTCGTTAACGCACTACCGCAAGAGATCCTTTCGCCAAGTATATCACTCCATTTGTTTCCATCTACGCATCCACATCTTCCTACCGTTAAAGGAAGGGTTCCCTATCGTGCTGCCTTATGGACTGCGCCCGTGGCATGGGGCAGCGTTCCTATCATTGGGAACGTCAATCTACGAATAGTAAGCGAGCGGGTAGTCCCAACAGGTGTTGCTAATGAAAATGGACTGAATGACAGTCCTGGTGGTGAAAAACTTGTCGTTCGTTGGGTGACTGAGGGTGCAGACCGCCCAGCATCCAAGGTCGGGCGTGGCTCAGAGGTAGACGATTATATCACTCCAGAGCGAGTGCACCGCGGACAGGAATCAAACAAGGATAGCCGTCTAGCCTCCTCGTCAGCCTCAAATGGGACAAATAGGGGACTCAGTGTGTTGTTGGGTGGAGAAATGCCTATCTTCAAGCTTGGAAAAGAAGAGCAGTTTACTGGGCTGTTTATTTTCACATTTGACGAAGAAGGCCGAATTGCTACGCATACAATTGAGCATGCCGATGAAGGCAATGGGTTGGACCGAACAGCTAAGGTGGTGACTCTAGCAGATTGGCTCCTTGGAAAGGCAAAAGGAAGCGCATCTAGTCAGATTGTGCCTCCTCAGCCTGCCTTCGCAGCGGGCAAAGCTAGAGAAACCTCTCGGCCACGGTACCGCTTCGGCCCCTTCGAAATATGATATCAAAATTGAAGTCTCTGCTATGAGAGCATTCTGTTGGTTGAGTAGTCATTTCCTTACTTTTCTTCAACTGTTATGACGCTTATGTTATGCGCGGAGTTGATGGTTTTTACAGGTTTTGCACGGCCTGCAGCAGAAGCTTCAACTAGCTATCCATGCGCCGCCCTGCTGCTCTATGATTTTGATGATACCTATGCTGCTGCTTTTGGCCATTGACAGCATCTAATTTTCCTTGTTGGCTCTATAGCGTAGGGCTGTGGATTTTTGTGCTTTTACCTTCTGTATATTACATATCACCAGTATTCAATCAACATGGGTAGGATTAGAATAAATAGTAGAAATCTCAGCTCACCCTGTTAATAACATGTCCTTCTATTTGATTTCCTAATAATATACATACCTCGTACCATAAACCGGAACCTATTTATGCACTTAACCTTAGAATACCCCGGTAAAAAAAACCCTTCCCTCCGAATCCTTTCACTTTCGATTAGCCAGTACAGGCGATTTCAACAATCCAAATGCAATTGCACACACACCAGACATGGCCACAGCACCGGTTTTATATGCAACCTCTCTACCTCCCCACCAAAACAGAGAGCAGAACAGCACAGGCCCAGTAGCTCTGCCAGCTTGGCCCCAACTTCGTAGGCGGCCCAAGGAAGCGCCGCGTTCGCCCTCCCGGGCTTCCAGACTACCCAGGCTGTTCAGTCCAGTAACCACAGTTGCACTAGTGACAGCGAGTAGACTGCCAGCAGCATACAAGCCAGAGATTGTGGTGACGTGAGCCAGTAATGCAAAGGACAGGGCGCAAGCCACTACGCCTATTCGAATGGTAAGGAGTGGTGGAAGCCGGCGAGTCACTCCGCCCTGCAGAATTGATGCCAACAAGCCCATTACTGATAATAGACGGCCGTTAAGAGCGGAAGGGCTTGCCCCACTAGCATTTGCTGCAAGTGAGGTTTCGTAAAGATTGGCGGTGATAAAGGGAAGGGAAAACTCCAGGCCAGAAAAGGGTAGAAGGAATAAAAAGTGCGTAATATTTAACAGAAGCGGATTGTTGGTATATCCTCTGGAGGCTTCCGTTGATGATCTTCCTGGGCCTGGCTCAGCGTCCTGTTCTTTCCCATCGTTGTCGCCGGACGTAGCAGGTTTGCAAGTGTTAGAGGCCAATTTCGGATGTGTTTCTGGCAAGCAGAAATATATGTAGACCGTCTCAGTGACAATTAAAAATAACGAGCATGCAGCAGCCGTTGCAAACGGATTCGCTGCAAAGGTGGTGATGTTGCTCAATGCCGCACCGATAGCAGGGCCGATGGTAAACGCAACGCTGAAGCAAGCTCCCACCAACGCCATAGTTGAACCTCGCTGGCTAGGATCGCTGATATCCGCTGCAATAGCATTCGCAATCTGGACATTTCCTTCACTCAACCCACCTATGATCCTACTCCCCAGGAAAGTACGGAAATCCGTGGCGGCAACCCATAAGGCAACACTGGCAATGTTTCCTGCCATCGACCAAAGAAGTGCAGTGCGACGGCCATGCTTATCGGATATAGAGCCAATTACTGGCGCTGCAACGGCTTGTAGAAGTGAGAATAGGGACCCCAGCGCACCACCAAGAAGTACAACATCGTATTTCGAATCTATCGGTTTGGAGAATGAATTTTTGTATGCGTTCAGGTATTGGAGGATACGGTTCAGAAGGGAGGTTGGAGAAGGATCTTTTTCGAGGTAAAATTTGATAAGCGACGGAAATAGCGGAAGGATAAAGGTAAACGAGATCTAATAAAGAAGTACGGAGTAGTTCAGTTAGCGACATCGATCCTTGCTGAGGAGCGAGGCCTGTAAGTCTGTACTTACAAGATCGAGTAAGAGCGAGATAAAGAGTGTCTTGAGGATTTTTCGTCGTCGCTGAGCATTCAACACATTTTCCGCCATTTCTCTGGTTTTTATTTTTCAGCTAAGCACCATCGAAGTAATATATCGTTAGTAGCGCCGTTGAAATTATTCGTTAGTCGTATCTTCCTGTAGCTGTTTATATGGGAAGACTTTGGTTTTGGGTTGAGCTTGGATGTTGATCCGTGCCAAGTCATTCTAAAAATAGCCAGCTAGCTCGTTAACTAGGGGCTCATAAACCTTAATACTTTATTTGTATCAGGCTCGTTGCATATTTACTTCATGACCCAATGAAAAACTAAGGAAATATGACTCTCAACCTGCTTATTTCAGTATATTAGGATAACGGGCGGATAGTATTATCAACCTAGAGGGCTGTAAGGTTTTAGACCAGTTAAACTGCCTATAGAAGAAGCCCTACTTTCTGCTGAGTGATAGCAATGATGGAATGACAGGATAAAATAGGACCCTGATAGGGCAGCCTTCTGGAGGTACATTTCTTGAAATTGAAATAACAGGTACTAATAACTACCTATTATCTACAGGCCAAATAATTACCAGGTAAAGCAAGGGTAGGTATCTTCAAATCATTGCTTTTTGTTTTGCTGGCTGTAAAGATGACTGCCACATACATAGCCTTCGTCAAAGGAGTTAGAACCAAAGAAGAAACAAACACCCCGATCCATACCCCTAGCCTTATTCCATCCCAATCTCCATTTCCATTCCACACCTCCTTGTGCTAGGGAAACCGACAAGCATAAAATACAAAAAATAGTAACGTTTGAATCGAGAGTAGGGAATCAAGAGAAGAAAATACCAACCAGTCAATGGATGGAAGAGGAAGATGACGATGAAAATGAGGATAAGAAAGAGGGAGGGCGATAAAACGGAGCCCATATGCACGCTAGTATTTCGAAATAATTAGGTCGTTAAAGGTTTTTTGTGGTTAGTAGAGGGGTTTCAAATTTTGTAAGTACCGTCCGTCATGGCATAGCAAAGCGTAGCAACGTATGGAAAGAACGCAGTAAAATGGGGGAAGATATGGGTTAGGGGCGGGAATAGAGGGCGAAGATGGGTGAAGAACGACACTAGGCCTGCAATGCAATGAATGACCAAGCTTAAACAAAAGCAGCGAGAAGATAAATATGTCGAGGGCTGTAAAGACAGCATGGAGAGCTCAAGACCGGCCCTTAAGCGTCTCCTGCAGTAGCAGCAGCGGGAGCAGGTCGTCCACGGTGGCTGTTTCCATTTCCTCGGTATTCACCACCACGGCCACGGCCACGGCCACGGTACTCACCTCCTCCACGGTTGTAGTTACCACGGCCGCGGTGCTCTCCGCCGCCACGCTGGCCTTGGCCACGGCCACGGTAGCCTCTTCCGCGTCCACGAGGATGGTGAACTCGTTCAAAGCCGTCGACTTGTTTATTGGCGGGTTGCTCTTCTCCCCAAGTCTCAGAGGCGAGGGGTTGACGAGTGGCAGCCTCAGCAGCAACAGAGGCCTCAGCAGCAGTACCAGGTTGGGGGACTTGCACACTCAGCCATTCCTCTGTGGAGGGACTAGGCTTATATGGGTTTGGATCCCATTCCACTGATACAGTCTGCGCAATTTCGTTGGCTGCAACATTCTCCTCGGTTGGTTTAAGGGGAGCTGCTTCATCAGCAGCTAACTGGGGGTTAGGTTGGAAGCCATTTGTAGCTGCAGCTTGCGAGACAGTAGGCTCTTCAACTTCCGTGAGACCGGCATTGGCGATTGTCGGGTCAGTTTGGGGTGCGTTGGTGTTGGTAGCAGGGGCGGCAGTTTCTTCTTCAGTTGCAACGGCTTCACCAGTGGATTGGGCGTAGTCTTCGAGAGAAGTGCGCTTAATCTGTGCGTCTGCAAGAACAATCTATCAGTTAACTGGAACGGGAAAGCAAGATATGAGCAAAGGGGTTTTTTGAACATACAGGTGATGTCAAGGATCTCAGACTCAACACTGGGAACCTTGTCATCTGTGCCATCAATCAACTTGACCATGGCCTCAACCGCCTGCTCCGTTCCACCATAAACCTGATACAAAGCTCCCTCGAATCCACGAGCCTGGATGGACTGCTCGTCAGCAACACCCCTCATGGCAGCAGCTGCGCGCAAGAAACGGCTAAGCACAAGCAACCGGTCCTTGAAGCACTTCTCGACATTCTCTTTGGACTCGGTTTCGAGGTTCGTCTTCAACGATTCGATTTCTTCCTTATGTTGGGCTTGGATCTTTGCTATTTCTTTGGTACGTTGTTCTTCATGGTATGCTTCAAGTTGTTTGTATTGAGTGATCTGCTCTTCGATGTGAGCAATAGTTTCCTGAAGAGCAGGTTTCTTAAGAGCCTGGGCCTTCTGGTCTGCGTTGATTTTCTTGAGGGCTACAAGCTCCTCGAGGGATTTCCCAGGATTTTCAGCAATGATTGCATCAACTTTTGCGGTTGCGTTCTAAGATATGACACTGTCAGTCTCGTTGTAGGTCGAAATTGCAGAAGAACAGAGCTTACCAGTTTCTTGTTAGTGTTTCGAAGGGTTCTAGCAGCGAAATGTTAGTATCTCTCTCATTTCACTGGGTTCAAGGTGGGCATACTTCTGGAGCTCCTTAAGGAAGTTTGGTTCATGCTGCCCGTTGACCGCAGCACCGTCAGTAGCAGCAGTAACACTGGGCGCGTCGGTGTTCGATGCAGCGACAGAGACGGGAGCAGCTACAGCAGCAGCCTCTGCTTTGCCGCGTCTCTTCTTTGTATTCTGGGTCTGTGAAGGGTTGCTGGGAGCTGTAGCGGCGGACATGGTGGTTGGATCAGGACTCGAACGGTTTGGTCGTGTGACTGGAAGGACTGCAGGAATACAGATACGACGACGAGATGGATAGGCTGTGGTGTAATAGAGGAGACGAAAAGGTCGATGGATGCGAGTAGCAAGATGAAGATCGAATAAGTGCAGGAGAGAAGTGAAGTTGAAAGAAGTTTTGGGGTTGACGTTGGATTTTCGAAGTTTGGGTCGCTGTTGGTGTTTAAAAGGTTTTTTTTTGTCCTTCCCGCAGGATGAGCGCAGCCAGAGCCAAAAAGGTAATTAAATAACCACAAGCAGCGCCGCAGGACAAGGTAATACTGACTTGTGTGGGATGAATTACTACCGACAGGTACTGATTATTTTGTAAAGCTGCTTTCTTTTCCCTGTCCAGTTGATATTAAAGGAATCCTCTACTGCTGCCCTTCTGTTTATATGGTAGAATGAGATGGAAGGACGAAGAAGTATCTAATTCGGCATATGCAGAGAGCAGTGCAAACCATCAAATATTCATAATTTACTCCCGACTCCAGGGTATCTCAGCCATCCCAGACGTCTTTAGAAGGACGCCATCACTATGCCCAACCTAACTAACGCCGACCGAACCAATTAACGAAGCCGTATGTCATTTCACAAGTCTATGACCTCATGTCGAGCCACGGAAGAGGGCCATGATTTGCCTATCCCTTGAACTTGCGTAGCGTCCCCTAGACGTGTAATCCGCGTGAGAAACAGCCCTCTGCGTCAAAAGGAGGACGGTCAGTTACAGGGCAGCTCACCTCGGTAACTCGTCGCACCGTCCTGGCTGTGATGCCCTTGTCGCCGCGCTTTCTTCCCTGGATCGATGCTTCACGCATCAACCTACAGCAGTGAGTATGGGGTCCGTTTGGGGGAATTCAGAGGCGACGAACTCTTGCATGAACAGCATGTAGTCTAGGAAGATCTATTCATCGTTAGTTGGCTCTCATATCCGGATTGCGGCCGCCTCATGTCCTTACTAGTATGTCTGCATTCTTGGTCAGGGCTTTGCGAGTGTGAGACTTGACGATCCGCTTCACCGTCGCCCGTGGATACAGCTTCTGTACTGCCATCCTCGCGGTCCCTTTTGCCGTCTCTCTTGCTGTCTCTTCTTACTGTCTCTTACTGCTACTTCTTGCTTCCTTCTCGTCTTTTTTGTTTACTTTATTTAATGCCAAGAGATATCATATGATCATAACTCTGTTATATAATTATTATATAATATATGTATATCACGTGTAATTATATATCGTCATTGCACGTGGGGAGCTAGTCCTAATCGGGGCATCTCCGAAGCTGGCGAAATTTCGACTTTTCTCAACTTTTTCGCCGCTTGTGTTGATCTTGATTTGTTTCTCTTGGTTCATCCCGATCCATCTCGAGTTCAGACCAAAGACGAGGCGATAGAGCGCGCGAGAGGCCAATTGGACGCTGTTGTTGTGGGAAATACAGCGCCAGAAGCGAGCAGCGGCAGGTCAAGATGCGCTTCGGCAAGACCTTGCAGACGTCGGTCTACCCGCCATGGAAGGACCACTACATCGACTACCGAGCTCTCAAGAAGCTGCTGCGCGAGCACGAAGGCTCCGAGGATGGCGAAGACGGCGAGGGCAGGCCGTGGACCGATGAGGACGAGGAGAACTTCGTGCAGGAGCTTGTCAATGTCCAGCTCGACAAGGTCAACTCGTTTCAGGTCGAGACTCACAAGCGGCTGCGGGAGCAGACGGCCGAGTGCGAGGCCGCGTTGGAGCCGGTGGCAGCGCAGCAGGGCGAGACAAACCTAGAGAACGTGAAGAAGAACGAAGCTATTGCGCAGGAAACCCTCAGCAAGCTCGACCATATCACCGAAGAGCTGGGCGAGCTCGAGAAGTTTAGCCGTATCAACTTCACCGGCTTTCTCAAAGCGGCCAAGAAGCATGACCGCAGGCGCGGAGCCAAGTACAAGGTCCGCCCGCTGCTGCAGGTCCGCATGTCGCAGCTCCCGTTCAACTCGGAGGACTACTCGCCCCTGCTGTACCGCTTGTCAGCCATGTTCTCCTTCATCAGGTCCATCCTGGGCACGGAGGGACAACCGGTGCATAAGGACGGGCCGGCTGCGGATACCCAGACCGGCCGCGAGGCATACACCTCCCACAAATTCTGGGTCCATACGGACAACCTGCTAGAGGTCAAGACCTACATTCTTCGCCGTCTGCCCGTGCTTGTCTATAACCCGAATACCTCAAAGGAGCTCGATGTCGCCCAGCGGGACCCCTCGCTCACATCGCTCTATTTTGATAGCCGCTCTTTCGACCTGTATAACCAAAAGGTCGCCCACCAAGCCGGCTGCCGGCTCCCTCCGCCTGCGCTGGACTGGTCATCTCAGTGACCAAGTCGAGGTCTACCTGGAGAAGAAGATCATGAACGACGGTGACAGCAGTCGTGAGATCCGAATCCGCCTCAAGAAGAAGCACATCAATGCATTCCTTGACGGAACTTATAAGATGGAGAAGATCATCCACAAGATCGAGATCCAGGGTACCGGTGATCCTCAACGCGCGGACAATCTCAAGCGAGATGTCGAGGAAATCCAGGAGTTTATCAAGAACTACGGGTTGGAGCCCATGGTTCGTGCAAACTATACCCACACCGCATTCCAGATCCCTGGCGATGATCGCCTCCGTATCTCTCTCGACACGGATCTAGCTCTTATCCGCGAGGACACCCTAGATCTCGAGCGCCCGTGCCGTGATCCCGAGGACTGGCATCGTTCAGACATCGACAACCGGAAAATGGAGTTTCCTTTTTCGGAAATCCCCCGTGGTGAGATCTCTCGCTTCCCTCATGCCCTCCTAGAGATTAAGATCCGCAATACCAGCGGTAAACGCCGTGGTAGCAACGTTGAGGCCTGGCTCTCAGACCTCATGTCCTCTCACCTTGTCAAAGAAGCACCACGCTTCTCCAAGTTCGTCCATGGTGTCGCCCAGTTGTTTGAAGACAACATCAACAGCTTCCCCTTCTGGCTCAGTGACCTGGATACGGATATCAGACAAGACCCGGAAACCGCCTTCCAGCAAGAACAAGAACGAATTGCCAAAAAGGCCGAAGACGAGCTCGCTGTCGGCAGCTTCCTTGGTAGCCGCCAGACCCTTCCCAGTATCCAGCACCTTGTCGGCTCTCCTATCAGCCACATGATGACGGAAGAATCAACTCCCAAGACCCAAATCCGCATTCAGGACGTAGTTCAGCATACCTCTCCTCGTCCCGAGGCTCAATCCCAATCCCAGGCCGAGCTCACTCCTCGGCCTCCCATTCCCGAGCTTAGCCTGCCTCCATCTACTGAGCAGGCCAATGGAGCTCAAGCCCAACCGTCATCCCGGCCAACATCCTCGTTGCTTCGTATCCCATTCTCCATGTCCCGCTATGCCCTTGCCCACCGCTCGACCCAACCCCAGCTACCCACTGGTGTCTCAATGCCAAGCTACTGGCTCAAGGACACTGGCCCTGTCCGTGTTGAAGCCAAAGTTTGGCTCGCCAACCAACGCACCTTCGTTAAATGGCAGCACATCTGTATTATGCTCGCTGGTATCTCGCTGACCATGTATAATGCCGCTGGGCCCGACAAGACCGTCACCCGCTACCTTGCTCTTGTGTATACTGGCTTCGCCATCTTCGCCGGAGCCTGGGGATGGTGGATGTATGAATCTCGCTCACGGTTGATCCGCGAGCGCAGTGGAAAGGACTTTGACAATGTCATTGGCCCTCTGGTTGTCTGTCTGGGTGTAGCAGTTGCTTTGGTGTTGAATTTCTGGTTCAAGGTATGTGTTCACTCGTTCCCGTCTGTCCATTTTACACAAAAAAATAAGCCATGAAATGTTTGCTTGGTAAATTAGTGATGTGACACATCACTGAACACATCACTTTCCCCAAATTTATATTCGGACGCCTTTTCTACGTTCGTGTAACTATCCGCTAACTCTTGTTCGTATTATTATAGTATGCTTCTATCGTCTGGGCAGATCCCGTACCCAACGCACCGTCACCAACCGGGAACATCATCGAGGCCACTACCGCCTCGCTGCCATTTATGACAGCTCGGCCTCAGTTCCAGGCCCAGCCAAACGTCTAACCTCTAATCTCGTGAGCAATTTCCTATTTCCTCGGTTATCTTAGGGTTAGTTATGCTTTAGTTTTTGCTTTTTTTTTTTTTTGTTTTATCGATATGCGTACGAGCTGAGCGGAATAAGGCCATATATCAAATGCTATTTACGTCGCTATATATGACTTGATTATCTATGATTGATTGGTCTTATTTCTATTTCTCTATTTCGGGTTATTCCTTTCTTCTATTGGATGTTTCGTGGGCGCTTGTATGTAAAATTCGCCCGAGAGTTGTGTACATGAATGACTATCATTTCCTAAACTATATATTGCTTCTATGGACTCGTAACTGGCATTAGGCTCCTCAAGCGAAACCACGTAAATATAGTTAAATAATTGATTGATATGTACTTGATAGAGAGGGGATGGTTGTTCGATCGTTAGACATCACAACATCAACAACGGCACACATCCACGTAGAGGGAAATGAAACATACAGTACAACGGCAAGATAGAACGAACAGAAAAAATGAAAAATATGACACAAAAACCAACACGACTTCAAACAGTATAGAAGAAAACGGAGGGGAAAGAAATGTTTGGAATGAACTTATACCGCCATGAATTAACTCAACTCGAGCCGAGAGGTTTATGCGCCGTATCTCCATCCGTAGAAATATGAAAAAGTAACAAAACCCCATACACCGCAGATGAAAAATGTTCAATTCAACCCGAGAATGGCGAGCAAAGGAGAAAAGAGACGGAAAGGATGAAATCGAACGAAGAACAATACGCAGGGAGTGAGGGAACACAGTCGTCCAAGGTAAGAGTCGGAGTACTAGCAGGCATATCCAAGTATCCATATCGCGTAATTGAATGATATTTGAAGTTGGTGTATTTAGTAATAGGACTTTTGGCCAATTTTGTAATTGGGAAGTTCATCAAACCAGCAGGCTTTGGGATCGTATTGGTAGACTTTGTATTCAACGCCGTATGGTTTCTGTACACGGACAGTTAGTTTCATTCAGGTTCGGAATATGTGATTAGGGTTAGAAAAAAAGCTAGCTTACCGGCTCCAGAGAATAGATGATACCCATTGGCACTGCAAGATCAGTGAGATCCTCCCTCCTCAGGCCGAGGAAGTAACCCAGTAGTGTTCTGGCAACGGATCTAGGCCCAACGAGAAGGACATGGTCCGTCATTCGCTCGACTTCAACAATAACGGCCCGTAGCCGGTTGACTACATCTAGATAGCCCTCACCGCCGGGGCCAGGGAATCGGTAATGCAGTTTTTCTTTCCTCCGGGTCTCGAAATCACTCGGGAACCGTTCTCGAATTTCATCATACGTCAATCCTTCCATTACTCCTGCATTAAGCTCGTTGAGCATTCTCATCTCCTTGATATCATATTCCTCTTCGTCGAAGAATTGCGCTGTCTGGCTGCAGCGGGTAAGCATTGAGGTCCATACACAGAAGTTTCGACCTCCTTCCATGATTTGAGCTGCGTACTGAGGATTTGGAGGAGTGCTGTCGCCTGGCCGGGGCGGGAAGTGGGTTGATAAGGCTTTTATCTTTTGGTATTCTTCCCAGCGGGCGCGTTGGTGGTCGATGAATTTAGCAAGGGCTCTGGCATACTGAGTCCCGTTTTCACTGAGAGGTGCGTTGCCGCCTATTCTTCCGCTGATGTCGTCCAGACTCTCGCCGTGACGGGATATCCAGATCTGGCGAGGTGATAGATTGAAGTTTAGTAGGTAAGAGACTACTTGGGAAGCCATGAAGCCAGTAGCTTGATGGGCAACGACTTTGCGGCAGACATCGATTGTCTGGACGTATGGCATGTTATGATGTTCCTCGTACTCTCCCAGAGGTACGTAACTGCGTTCATACAGCTTGATACGCTTTTTAAAGTCTTCTAGAGCGACGACTGGTTCCATGTCCTTGTAATCGGGCCCCGAGAGTTTGAGACGCATGTTCGATTCCAGTAGCATGGCATCGTAACAGCAGCTCTCTAGGAAGAGGACATTAAGCTCAGGCCCAGCTCGTTCGCGAATCCGTGCCATTACAGATTTGCGTCGTTCCAGGGTGCTGTTGGTTGCATCTAGGATGCCAGCACTTCCTCCTTGTTCGAGGATGTAATCCAGTAGTTCGTCAAGGGTAGCTAGAGCAACCTGTTCTCTCAGCTGGACTGCGCGTTGGTTATCCGGGTCAAAGAACTGGGCAGACTGGTCCATCCCTTCTTCAGCTTTAGCAGCTGTGTCGGGCTCCCCATTAGCAGAGCTGGGTGTGGCTTTACCTGAAGCTGGCTCTGGCTTCTCCGGCGGTTCATCCTGGACCTTGCCATTGACAAGTATTTGGGCGGGCGGAATGGAGCTTGGTGGCATTTCAAGGGGTGGTATCTCACTAGATGGTACGCCGTCTGGAGGCGTACTGATATTTTTCTGTGTCGCATCGAACTCTGCCTGTTCCTCGGGATGGAGCTCGCCAATGCTGAGCTCTCGCACGCTTTTTCTCAGCTTCTCGTCGACGATGGGGTCAATCTTCTTTGGCTCAGTCTGCGGAGTAGAGCTGGCCACTGTTCGACGACGTTCTCCTACATTGAAGATCTTCGTGTCATGTTGCAACCAGTTGAGATAGCGGCAAAGTTTCTTGGTGATGTAGCTTTTGCCTCTAGCGGGAAGGCCGACCATGACAATAACGAGCTTCGATCCAATGTCACGCTGTGCGATGCGGCCATCTGGAGAGACCTTGGACTTGGTCAGGCCGGGGATATCAAGGGTTGTGGCCCGGTGTTTGCCTGGGGTAGAAGCTCCGGAGCCATAAGATCGAGGTGTCCTGCTTCCCCGGGCATTAGACTAGCTCAATGGTATAACTACAACTAAGACTTGAGAGAAAGAAGGATAAGTGTCGAACTCACATCTGCGGCGATGCTGGGGCGCTGGAAAGTGGAGTATCGGCCATGGAGATGCCACAGCCTGGAGCAGCCAGACCGCCGGGAGCAGCAGCGTCGCCGCTGGTCCGGCGTTGCTGGGGCTCCGAAAAGCGATCTATGCCCAGGGCCCTGCCCACGACCGTCTTCGCAGGCGGTGCAAGAGTCGAGCCATAGTGGTGCTGGTAGCCTACTGGAGTAGCAGCTGGAGGAGGGCTTGGAGTGCCGGAGGGAGAGTATTGGTGGTTGTGGATGTCCGTCATGCTGGAGGATGAGGCGGCGGCGGTACCGTCACCATTAGACGCGAGGGGCGACGAGGACGTTGGAGCGAGGGGAGAAGAAGCAGATCTAGTGCTGGAAAAGCCGTTCTTCTTGGGCCTGGCTGAAGACGTTGATGACGTTGATGACGCTGACGCTGGCGATGGCGCTGGGCTGAAGCTGGAGTTTCTCACCACGACGGCTCGAGCGAGATGCGAGTGTTGGTGCTGGCATGGTGTCTGCTGTCCAGCGGCCATGAAGCTGAAAGCTGCCTTGCCGGGGCCTTATTGCTTCTGTGCCCTTGTCCCTCTATGTCACTTTCCTCCCTCTTGCTCGCTGGTAGCTTTTGTGTCTTGACTAATCGCGGCTTGTGATGGCGCTGGCGGACGAGATGTCACTGGCTGCGACTTGCAGCCCTAGCAGAAGGTTAGGTCCACCGATGACCTCACCGGGCAGGAGGAAGAAGGCGACGCTGCAGATGCTGCAGATGCTGTCGACGGGCGCAGATGGGAGCGAGCGAGGTGAGTCCGTGGAGTCGAAGCCGCTGGTTGCTGGTGATTGTGTCGCTGTGAAGGCTGGCGAGACGAGCAGAAGTCGAGATACAAGATTGATTGGAGGTGACGATCGAAGCAGCGGCGCAGGCGATACTTTATACGAAACAGCGAGAATTTTTAAGTCGTCAACTACCTTTGAATTTTAACTATAAGATAACAGTCAGCAGGAGGCAGAGTGAAGGATGTAGGTGGCGTCGCTCAGCCGTTCCCGAGGAGGATAAAGATGCTTGAAGCCAGCGATAGATGCAAGTTATAACTAAGTACTATGTAGTAGACGTTGTTATAGGCTAAAGTGTCAGTTATAGAATGATATACGGACATCCATCTAGATCCTGGCTGGCCCAGCCAGGCGCCAAAAGAGAGAGTGCTGGACCACGTTAACAGGCAGGCCGCAAGCAGGAACGTGTTTCTATCCGATAGACGGAGGGCGTTTCTGGCAGCCTGTCTGCTGGAAGGCAGTCAATAACAGGCCAGCAGGTTAACAGGTCAATATCGTCATCAGGCCAGCGTTATCAGGCGCCCTGGGGCTGATCAACGAGGCAATACTCGATATTGGCCCATCTCCAACGTTCGCGCGTTTCCACGCCCGTGCATGAGCAAACTAATCCAAGAGTTCAGCAGAGAGTGCAACGAGTAGGGATGCACCGAAGCCGGGAAGATCGCCAGGCGGTTGGTCTGCCCTACCACAGCCTGACGGGTAGGACACCCTGGTCCGCCTGACTCGAAGTCCTGTCCTTGGCCCTTGGGTGAGGAATGAATGCTGTCTCTTCTGCCATTCTCCGCGGTCCATGTTCACCTATATCCGTTCCCACAACGCCCGTGCTGTCCAACCCCCCCGTACCTGTGTACCAATACGCAAGGAAGACCCATTCGCTCCATGGTAAAAAGAAGGTGAGAGGTGAGAGGTGAGGAGAGTATTTGATAATCCCGAAAAAAGTAAAGCAGTCGATATCGTAAGTAAGCCGGTGGAATGACGCAGGTCGATCGATCATCGCGTCAGAAGGAAAAGTAGCGGTCACAGCGAGTTACACGTCCAGGTTCAGCGTCAGGGCAAGCAAACACACGTACGCCGCGATGCTCAGCGCCGTCAGCACGACCACGACGTTCCCGCTGGTCCTGAACTTCCGTCTCTGGACGCCGTCTTCGTCTACCTCGGAGAAGAACTGCCTGTTGCCCTGCTGCCGCCTGAACAGGCCGATGGTCATCACGCCGGCTCCGTAGACGGCAAACAGCGCCCCGATGCTGTAGAACTCGGCGGTGAAGATCTTCAGAATGATCAGGGCAAAGGAGAACTGCGAGATCGAGGTGCGGATGTAGGCTCCTTCGAACGTCCGCTGCGCCGCGCGCACCTCGACCATCTCCTCTGGCGTGAGGACGACGGACCGCGCTCGATGGCGGTGCAGGCGGTACCGGTCTGCTGCTCGGCGCTGGAGGGAGACATGTTAGCCATCTGCTGTCTGCTTTTCTTCTCTTCTACCAGGAGCGAGCCTGGAAGCGTCGAGTCTCGCGAAAAGTCTGGGGGGGGCTCGACTCGGCGTGTGTGTCGCTTACCTCGAACATGATGCCTGTCACTAGCTAAGTCGATAGCTCAGAAAGGGGAGTTTCGGCTGTCGAGGTAGGACACGACGAGGATATGGATAAAGGCAGGAGGGACTTGGTCGCCCTCAGAAACGCATCCCAGCTGTCTCTTTGTCTTCTTCTTCTTCTGCTTCCTCGCCTTACGCCTTCATCTCTTTGCTTCTTTCTCTTCCTCGCGGCGTTTTTGGTCAAGCTGGTCGATCACCAGATGGGTCACGTGGCGGTTGAAGGATGAAGATACAAGCTGCGTACCTAGTAGTTAAGCTACCGATTGATTGATTACCAGAGACTCCTATTAGCCTTAGAAAAAGAGAGACATAAGGATAGATAATGGCCCCTGAAAAGACGGAGTAACAGAATAACCTGAACAAACTTTAGGGGGAATGAGGAAGCCGAATATCAAAATGCCACGCCGAATGCCCGAGCCCAGCCTCAATACTGCTTTGTTGCCGCTGCGCATCCAACCAAGCACGGCATCTGCTGCATTGTTTAGGCCACAGTGAATACACAGCCGGGGGCAGTTCTTCGAACTCGCGGCATCTCGCACAAATGCAGCCATATCGATGGTCCGCTGCTCTTCCCAAGCGGAAAACAGTTCCAGGGGAAATCCGGCCAAGTCGTACACAGCACTGGAGACAGATTCTGTGCGACTTCTGCTCCATAGTGCCTGATCCAATCTTGCCTCTCTTGCCCTTCATCATGGCGTGTGTAAAGTGCTCTGCGCTCCGGAGTCTCATACAGTTCCCGCAGGCAAAGAGGTCGTAGGGCGAGCCTATAACTTGGTAACCCGGCCACATCTCTATCTCGAGCAGGTCCTTGATATTAATCGCAGGGCATCGAGACCACGACAGCCGCTCGGCAAGAGACTTGTCGGACTTCTTCGAAGTGCAATATGGGTTGTCGATCCAGGTATGCAGTGCCCGGCAGGTGAGAGAGAGCGCAAACCGGGACGAGTAGCTCAGGTAGCCGATGATCTCGTCCAGCAGTTCTATTGGCATCGTTAGGAGGCTCATCGGTCTGGTTTGGTTGTAGGTTGACGCTGTCTTGTCTTTTTGTTGATTGATTGACCAACTAGATACCTAGGTAGCTACGGGTTTGTAGCCCGATGCTAACCCGTGTATTCTTTCTAGGTACATCGAGGTAGTGACATACGTCATGCTTATTTGTCTCTTGTTATATAACTAGGCATGTCCTCCTCCCACCACCACCACCCAACACACTGATTTTATATTGGGATATTCCACTTGCTAGACTCGCACACATTACCCAAGGTATTCTTGGGGCATTAGGCCGCCTTTCTGGCCTTTATGGTCCAACATTATACCACCTTATTCTATATTGTACAGCCGACAAAGAACACTCAAGAAAGCACCATATAGCAAATATGGAGCACAAAATGGGAGTGCAGAGATGCAGCTTCCTTGAGGACCTGCCTCCATATACCAATGAATATAGATACCCAAGACTGGCAGGCGCCGAGACAGTCATAAGCCGAGAATATTGTCGTTTCCTAGATGGAAACAAGAGCCCATGTGTTCTATTTACGCATATGCCACGGTGTGAACTCAAGAAACCCGGTAGGAACCGTCAAGGAAGAGTCGACTATATCTGCTCCTTAGATATGCTCGTTTTAACTATACTTTGCCTCCCACATGAAGAAGCTGACTGCCGGTTTGGTGGCCTTGTTACCTTAAAGGCAGCTAAAATGAATATCTACCGGCATATATCTTTCAGAGGCGCTACCCGGGCCAATACTCCAGAGAGGGAAAAAGAGGCAGACAGCTCGTGGGCTCCTCGCCGGCTACCTCAGGGCAGATCAGTTAAATGACCAGCAGTAGCCTTAAAACTTGCATTCTCAGAGTCTACAGAGAGGGTGCAACACGACATTTCGTAGTGGCTGCATGAATTAAAAGGCGATGTTACAAGTGCCATCTCCGTTGATATCAAGAGACCCAGCGGCAACATCTACATCACATCGTGGGAACGCGGAATAGTCCCTACCAGACATCACCCTTACCCCGACCTTAGAGTGGTCGAAGAATTAAAGATATTCAGGGGCAAAAATCGCCAGCCACCGCCACCTAGAGTAGAAGGCATGGATATCGTGATACCATTTTACGACTTGCTACTTCGCCCTCCAAATCCCGCCCATGGCGAGACGGATCTCAAGTTCACGAAAGCAGAGCTCCTTGAAATCGCTGAAGTAGTCTGGGAAGATATGGATCGCATGTGAGGGTACGCCGGACGAAATGAACCAGTAAGAGTTATAGGGAGAAGTAGGAGAGCCGAGATCTTATTTCTGTAACTTTGATATCATACCAGAGTGTGCCGTCACTTCGTGAGAGTTGTCACATAGTTCCATGTATATCAATAGTAACACTATAATTAACCAGATATTTAAAACGACGACGAGGTTATAGCGTAAGAAAAGTCCCTTTGCGCACCGCGGTGGAGTGTGGTCTTTATGCTGACTGTGTAGTTGTTTTGTAAGTAGAATTGAACTTCTACTGCCCAAGCAAACAACCTGCTAACAAAGGATCTACCAACGATAACGAAGAGCTCCTTTCAATACAAACAAAATGTCTCTCTTGTCCACCATGCAGCATCATGGATATCAAGATGCTTCAAAATTCCACTTTGCCAAGTTCCTTTTGCAGCGCCCTAGATCTTCGGCCGAGTCGCGTGAGAAACGCTGAGATGGAGAGATATAGACACCAGCATAGTTAGTATAGAGATATATGCACCTATGTATAATCTCTCGATAGTTATGATACTAGAAATGCTAATAGATTCACTACAGGATATCAAGAGACGAAACAGCTGGCCTTCTTGACCAGCACTTCGGTGGCGAGATGAAGCTGATTGCTTTACCGAGATGCAGCCGTTTAACTCTAGCTAAAGAGCTACCAACCGCCTCCTGGAAGCACCCCCGGATAATTGGCACAGTGGAGAGAAGGGTCATCACCATTCGTCCCATAGGGCGGGAATCGCAGGCAGTGGATACGTAGAGACGGCTGATTTGCGGACTCGAGGGGAGCAACCGAACTGGTGCCGGGGTGTTGGCCGGTGGCCCTTCTTTTCTTTCGTCGGAGACCTCCTTTTATATTCATTGACCGTCGTCTCGCCTCTCGCCCGTTTGCCCGGACTCTTGTGCTAGTCACTACACAGCTCGCCTTTCAATTCAGCTATATAACTTATATATATTCGTCGGGATAGAGAAAGGGATTTTCAAAAAGGAACTTTGGAGGTACCAACATCTAGCTGCACCATCTGCTATTCCTTGCAGACTGATACTCAACGCCGTCCCTCCTGCAAGGCCGATCCGAAATTCAGTGGAACCATGGCATCCTCGAGGACGATAGATGCAGAAGAAGGTAACAAACAGGGTCTCCTTTGTCCATTCCTCGCTCTGTTTTATTTAAAAGAAAAGATTTTCTACCACACTTGCAAGACTTCTATCATTGGCTCAGATAGACGCCCGTTGAAATCAATTTGACTGACTGGCTTGCTTTGCTTTTTCGCTGCTCTTCCTACAGTCGCCAAGCACAACAAGACGGATAGCTGCTGGGTGGTTCTCTATGGAAAGGTGTACGATGTGAGTATACTTCCCATAATTAGTTACATTTAGATCATTTATTTTTCCTTTTTTATTTTATTCTCCCTTGTCTGCCCTGCATGCTTCCGGGGCGATCAAAGCGCTGGGCTGGTTGAGAAGCAAATTTACGAATGAGGTTTGCCCGATTATCAGAGACAACGGAGTAATTGCGCCGGAAATGTTGTCTGACGGGAACAGTTGGTTGGAGCCGAAACAAAAGATACCAGTGCCAATGACGTTAACGTGCTTTGTCTTCTTTTTTTACTCTTATCTAGGTTACGGACTTCCTCCCCAGTCACCCGGGAGGCGCCAGTATCATCTTGCAACTGGCTGGAAAGGATGCAACCGAAGAATACGATCCAATTCATCCTACCGGTACTTTGGAGGATAGTCTACCCCCGGAAGCCCTGATTGGAAGGGTTGATGAGAAGTCATTGGCAAAACTTGCTCCAAAGCCAGCCAATGCAGAAAAGGACACTGAAGGGCCTCCCCCATTGTCTACTCTCTTGAATATGGATGACTTCGAGGCGGTGGCTTCCAAACAACTAACTCACAAGGCTTGGGCGTACTACTTTTCCGGAGCTGATGATCTGATCTCCAAGTCATTGAACAACAGCATCTACAAATCTATACTGCTTCGCCCAAGGGTTTTTGTGGATTGCAAGAACTGCAGCCTGGCCACTACTATGTTGGGCTACAAGCTTGATACCCCTATCATTGCTTCTCCTACCGCAATGGCACGGCTTGCGCACCCCTCAGGCGAAGCTGGCATTGCTGCTGCATGCGCCAAATTCGGTGCTATGCAGATTATCTCCAACAATGCCTCAATGACCCCAGAAGAGATCGTCAAGGGAGCTTCCCCAGATCAAGTGTTCGGATGGCAGCTATACGTGCAAGTTGACCGAAAGAAGAGTGAGGCTATGCTGGCACGCATAAACAAGATCAAGGCCATCAAATTTATCTGCCTTACCCTCGATGCACCAGTACCGGGAAAGAGAGAGCTCGATGAACGTACAAAGGCTGTCGCAGCCACTCCTGCCATTGCAGACATCGTCAAGTCATCAGGAGGGCAGGAGATTGCGGGTGGAGGTGGTCTGGGGCAACAGCTATTTGCTGGCACAGACCCAACTTTAACATGGAAGGATACCCTGCCCTGGTTGTTGAAACATACAGAACTTCCCATTGTTCTCAAGGGAATCCAGACCCACGAAGACGCTTACATTGCTTCTCTGCACTCCCCGCAAATCAAAGGCATTATTCTTTCAAACCATGGCGGAAGAGCAATGGACACCGCTCCACCTTCGGTCCATACCTTGATGGAAATCCGCAAATACTGTCCCGAAGTTTTCAATCGACTCGAGGTTTGGATCGATGGTGGCATTAAGAGAGGCACAGATGTAGTCAAAGCATTATGCCTTGGTGCTAAAGGTGTTGGCGTTGGCAGAAATGCACTCTTCAGCCTTGCAGCCGGCGGTCCCGAAGGCGTTGAACGAATGCTTGAAAGTAAGCTGTCCCTTGACCCCTTGTGTCATGACATGATATACTGATATCCTTGATAGTTCTTTGTGCGGAAACAATGACAGCAATGCGGCTGTTGGGAGTTGACAAGGTGGAAGATCTCGGCATGCAGCATGTAAGTTGAAAATATATTACTATTCGCATTTGCCATCGCATACATAGCTGATATTTGTTAGATCAACGCTCGAGCTGTTGAACAGCAACTCTATGACGGCGGTGCTGGTCTCGACATTTTGGGATCACACATCAAAGCAAAGATATAATACCTGATGGCTACGGAATTTTCTCAATAAGTATATCTATTGGACATTTAGGAAAGAGTATTTTTGGATCCGTATAAACGGCATTGAGCGAGTTATTACCCTAGCTCTTTTGTTCGGGCTTGAGTGCGCTATACGAGTTAACTATAGAAGTCACACACTTTGAACTTTTGATGAAGCAATCTACATATCAAATAGCCGCCAATACTTTTCAATGAAGCTACTATGTATGAGCTACTTCAATGAACTACATTATTTTAAGCCACTGAAACCTCATTATACTCCGTTGAAGTAAAAGCGGCCTCTAGGCGTCAGGAGCTTTGAATGTTTAACTAGATAGCCTAACTGTAACACTCTCCGGCGGGACGGCTAGTTAAACTCTTTAACTAGCCCTGCGGCTGACTCCCGCCCAAACACTCTAAGCCAACCATCGACTCCTCCAGGCTTCCGCGCTTTTAACTGCTCCAACTCCAGCTTTGTGCTTTAACAAAGAAGCGAACGGCCTCTTTCTTGCGGCCTTGAGGCAGCGTGCCCTGCCCTGCCATCGGCAACCGACGAGTTTTATGGAACTTCCCTTCGACTCTGCTGTCAAACCACCTGCACCACCACACCTTGTTCTTGCCTGCATAGAGCGGGGTACCTTGACCGTCTTCTTCACGTAGATAGCAAGGATAAAACAAGCCGCAAGACGTTCTCAAGCTCATCTCGAGGCTCCCAGAGAACGCGACGGATACCTCTTTTCCGATCGAACCACACCCTCATGAACTCGATTTGTCGCATATCTCTAGCCCTTCGATTACAGTCCAGAGCATCTCGGAGGATAACAAGATCAATAGACACAATCTCAGAGCTCGCAAAGCCGTTTATTACACTATCTGTCGACCATTTCGGGCCAGATATGTCGTCAGTCAGTGAAAATATAGCTGCTGGCACCAAGCGGAAACGCAATGGAGAGCCAAAGTTCTACGCGGTGAAGATCGGGTTTCAGCCTGGAATATACAACCATTGGAACGAGTGTTTGGCTCAAGTGACGGGATTCAAAGGCGCAGTCTGTACGTGATATCTCGGCTAAGCCTTCTATTTTATATCGTGGCTACGTCAGTAAGATGAGCGAATGTGTGTGCTGATGATACGCGCGGGTCTAGTTCAATCTTTTCCATCACGGGAGGAAGCAGATGCTTTCCTCACAGGCAACAGGGCTCCATCCCCCCAAGACGGTTCGACTTCCACATGTACGAAATTTTACGGCATTCAGAAGGGCCGAGTACCAGGCGTATACACAGATTGGGCAAAGGCGCAAGCTCAAGTGAGAGGATTTCGTGGGCCTCGATATCGAAAGTTTTCTACCCGAGAAGCAGCAGAGGCGTTTGTACGAAATGGCCAGACATCGTCTGATAAGGATTCGCTACCGGGGGCTCCAGGGTTGATGGATGGAAATTCAAAGGACAGTATCGGTAACGAATATGCTGCGGGGACAGGACCACTACCGCCTGGTGCGGAGGATGGGTTTGACCCTAACATACTACTGGATCCAACAACCGGAAAGATGGTGTATAAAACACCTGAACAAAAACAGGAGACGAAGATGCAACCGAAACCGTCCGGACCACCGGGCATGCTGAAGATTTACACTGATGGAAGTGCTTTGAGGAATGGAACATCTCGAGCTAGAGCCGGTGTAGGAGTTTACTTTGGGCCGGGTGACGAAAGGTACGTAGTAGAAGTGAATCTACAATGCCCGTCTCCTGTTTTACCATTTTTTTTCTTGCTGACACAGTTTGTTTTCTTCTCTCTCATCTAGCAGAAATGTTTCAGAACCCCTTGCAGGCAGCCGTCAGACGAACCAACGAGCGGAATTAACAGCCATCTCCCGGGCACTCGATATAGCGCCCAAACACCGCGATGTCACTATCTTTACGGACAGCAAGTACTCGATCGATTGTGTCACTGTATGGTGCATAAACTGGCAACGAAATAACTGGGTCACCTCGGCTCAGAAACCAGTCGAGAACAAGGATCTTATTCAATCCATTCTAGCTAAGATTGAAGAACGCAATTCGTTGAAGGTCAAAACACTATTTGAATGGGTGAAGGGGCATAACAAAAACGCCGGCAATGAAGCTGCCGATCGGTTAGCAGTTAATGGTGCAAATATGGAGGAGGTGAAGACTGAGGAATTGTCTGAAAGTGCCGAAAGCTCGAAAAATAGGATCAAGACCAAGAGTCGATCGAGGCGGGAGAGTGACTAAGCAGTTGTTAAGAGGAGCCGATGTGACCATTTCTTAGCACTTCATATCCTGTTTTTCTACGATTTCAAGCCCTTCTAGGCCAGTGGCCTTCTTACAGTTGCATATAGTGTATACGTTTCTACACTTCATGGCGTTTGGGTTCTATTTGAAAGGCTAGATAAATTGCACAGTGTATGTATACATTACATCTATTCTAGCGAAGATCTCTTCTATCAACATTGATAGCCTTTGGCAGTATACCACTAATAGCTCGGGGGTATTCTTGAAAAATATATACATCGTTGTTTCTACAACAACATTATTAAACCAGCTTCTTTAACGTAAAACAGCCTATATTAGTTAGTATCGAAGATATAAAGACGCCCTGGGGTCATCGATAAAAGGCTACTCCTACAGCCAGGGCGGCAAGCAGCATCTTTCTTATTCCCAAGGGCTTCCCTAGAACAGCACTGCTTGGACTGTTGGTAGAAGCAGCAGCGTATGTGTAGTAAAGACTGGCATCTGTCTGAGTACCAAGAATAGTTGATGCAGTGGTGCTAGAAACAGTCGCCGCGGGATCAGTCTTCGACCATTGATTCATGAATTCATAAAATTCAACCTGTGCAGGAACTTGTCCACAGTACGCTTTGGACGCAGCTTCTACATAGCTCTTGGGGAACCAGTGGTAGCCTTTTTTGGGGGGGTTAGCTGAAGCTCTATACACAGCAAAGCACTGAATTGATAATTAAAATACCTTCGACTCCACCATGTGTCTCGAAACACTTCATACATCCAAGAACAGAGTCAAAAAAGGGGTACTTCTCGCAATAGCACTGTTGCTGTATGTCGAAATCGTTTTTATAGACTTCCAAGCCTGAAAACGTGCCATTGGTGTTTTTGAAGTGGCAGTTGGCATTGATCGCCGCTTGCCGCAGACATGGCGGTCTGTCGATCAAGTACGTTGGCCGTGGAGCATTAGAGTCCGTAGGGGAAGCCCGTCTTTTATCGATGTCGAATGACTTGTCGACTTCGTAAGGGCGGCCAGGCAAATAGCAGACATTCCAGAGGTGGTGATCGAGGTCGGTAAGGCCAGAGTACTGACTCGAGACAAGGTAGAATTTGGACACCCATGCACCGTTAGGGAATACTGGGTAGGTTTCTGACCCAGGGAAGGCAGAGATAGTGCTGGAGGTGGTGGTTCGGTCATAGGGGTCAGCGGAGGTCGGCGTTGGAGCCTGAGCTGGAAGCGGCGTTACCAGATCCATGGCTGTGACACTGCTATGGTTCGCAACTCTTGAAAAACCCTGTACACCGCCTTGCCCTGAGATTATCACTGAGATCTGCCCTTCAGCCTTGCCTTCCGACCCTTTTTTTTCTTCTTTTTCTTCCTCTGTCTCCTATCGTTCTTGTCGTCGTCTTTGTCTTCGTCGTCGAAGAAGCTTTTCCACGCGAAGGATCACGCTGAGTCAGCTGCCGTTAGTTATCTCCACGTGATATTTATCCCGCAGAAAGCTTGGCAGGGTTGCTTATTTTTCTTGGCATAAAAACCTCCCGAGAGTCTCGTTCCTGCTAGGAGCGATTTGGGAGCGAGAAAGCGCCATACGGAGTGTGTTATATCAACTGACAGAGCCTATTGACACGGTTGTATATGATTCGTACAGAGTGCTTGACCGGGGATAATATCCTTGAATTCCGTAGCTTGGCCCCTGGATTCCTTAAGGCGATAACCGAAGGGCCCATGCGGTAGTTCAGCTGCATAGCGAACGGAAGAACCAGCGCGAAAATTTGCACGAGATAGCTATGCGTCATACCGCGTATCGCTAATTGGCCGTTACGATGATCCTCTTTCAGTTCCCTGCAAACACTCTGGATCCCGGCTTGTCATCTGGAGATCGCAGATTGGTGGAGAAATCAACAGCCCACAAGGTTTGCTGTAACTAAAAGGGATAAACGGGACCCAGTGATGCTGTCGGGATTATGTAGCGAGAGTATTTAATCCTCTCTGGCTCCCCGTTCGCCCATGTTTCAATCCCACTATCAGTTCGTTGCATACATATTCCATACCCTTATTGAATTCTAAGGCTATTGCCGACGGTCTGTCTTTCATTAGTTAACCAACCCTCCAATGAGCGAAGGAAGACATCAGAGTGTTGTCTGGAGTATAAGAATGAGCCTGATTAAATAACACAACGCCCTCACTGTCGTCTTTTCGCGGCCTTGTTCAGATCAACCCCTTATTTCTTTTCTTTTTACAAATTGTTGGAACGCCATAACCATCAGTCGCACCTGCATTTTGTACTGTTCAATTTCCCGGGTGAGCTATAGCCCTCCTCATCAGTGACGAGAGGGCTATCGACTAGACTCTCAGGTTTTGTCACCTAAAAGGAGATTCATCCCCTAAGTGGGAAGTAAGCCCCTTGCGCTCACCGCGTTCCGCTCCGCCCCGGAGGGAGTTAGAGAACCTCGGCAGAACATCCACAGCAGCGGAATCAGCGTCACCCAAGTTTGCATACATTAGTGGAGGAACCAGTGGCGAAGCCTGGCATGCCTACTCTTGCAGTCACCAATTTTAATGTTGTGTGTGCTACCTTGGGTGGCTTTATTACGCTCTTTGGTTTAGTCTCGTACCTGTTCAAGGAACAATTCTATTTGTCGGAAGCATGTAAGCAATTCAAGGCTCGTGTCACTTGTCAACGGAGACATCTTCTAAAACTGCTATACAGTGATTTCGCTCCTTGCGGGTGTTACCTTCTCCCCCCATGCTGCGAATCTCATAAGACCCATAGACTATGCCCTGGGAAACCGAGAAGCCTTAGATGACATCACACTTTACTTTAGCCGCTTAGTTCTGGGAGTCCAACTTGTCCTTGCTGGTGTCCAACTACCAAGCCGCTATCTCCTTAAAGAATGGAAGAGTCTCTCCCTTCTCCTTGGACCAGGGATGCTGGGCATGTGGATATGCAGTAGTCTCGTCATCTTTGCTCTTGTGCCAAAGCTGCCTTTCCTCCATGCCCTGGCTATTGCCGCATGCATCACTCCCACAGATCCAGTATTATCCAATTCTATTGTCAAGGGCAAGTTTGCCGACAAAAATATACCACGCCCCCTGCAGAGGATTATCATAGCTGAGTCCGGTGCTAATGACGGCCTGGGATACCCTTTCTTGTTCTTTGCCATGTATCTTATCCAGTTCAATGAAGCTGGAGGTGCACGCAAAGCGATGGGCCTGTGGTTCGGTGAGACATGGGGCTACACCATTCTGCTGAGCGTGGTGTATGGTGTTGCTGTAGGTTGGGTAGCCAAAGAATTGCTCCATTGGGCTGAGGAGAACAGATACATTGATAGGGAGAGCTTCCTTGTGTTTGCTGTTGCGTTGGCCGTAAGACTTGTCTCCATCCCGGAAAACACCTTTACTCTTGCTAATATGCAAACTAGTTGTTCATCATCGGCACCTGCGGGATGATTGGAAGTGATGATGTACTTGCCTGCTTTATTGCCGGCAATGTCTTCACCATCGAGTAAGTCCACGAAGTCTTTAAATATACTTAATTAAATTCTAACATAGAATAAAGTGACTGGTTCCGCCTTGAGACCCTTGATGATTCTCTCCAACCAACAATCGACATGCTGCTGAACTTATCTGTGTTCATGTGGTTCGGGGCCGTTTGCCCCTGGCCCATCTTTTTGAACAACAACATCATCCCCATATATCGGCTAATCGGGCTAGGAATTCTAATTCTATTATTCCGCCGGCTTCCTGTTGTTTTCGCTATGCATAAATATATTCACCAGATTGAAGAATTCCGTCAGGCCGCGTTCGTCGGATTTTTTGGCCCCGTTGGTGTCAGTGCCATATTCTACCTGTATGTTAGCCTAGAATACGTCAGGAGCAACTTTATGGTGGATGGGAAGGTAAGAGAAGATGGAGAGCGTCTTATTGAAACGATGTACATCGTCGTTTGGTTCTTGACTATCTGCAGTATTGTAAGTTTTGCTGCTCCAAATCAACTGCTAAACTTCTTTTCCTGTTTTGGATAGACTAACAGTTCCCCAGGTTGTCCATGGGCTGTCTATCCCTATTGGAAAGCTCGGTTTCAGTATACCACGAACACTTTCTAGCGCCCTCAGTACAAGCGTTGATATTGATTCTGAGCGTGGCCCACATTCTGGCGTCAACACTCCAGGTTTACAGCATACAACAAGTATAGCTACTTCTACCCCTGCCCCGAGAACATCACGGTTCATACCGGGTAAATTCCGCAAGCAGTCAAAGGTAGACGGCAGCCGTCCGCGAGATAGTCCCCCAACACCAGTGGCATTCCGCATTGGTCGTACCGTCATTCCGGAACGCAACGATATAGACGACAACGAACATGACGATATTAGTCCGTTGCCTTCGTCCAACTCGACCATTGTAATCTCACAAAGGGCCAAAGACTAAGATGGCATGACAGGAGAATTAACAGGGGATACGATACACCGCTTTTCTATGCCTGTAAACACGAACGCCAGTGCTTAGCAATGAAAGAGAGAAACAACGACAATGGTAGGTTTAGCTGCAGGAAAAGGTTATAGATCTTAGGAACTGGAGTGTAAGTCACCATAGGTGGTCGAATAGAAGGGTGGATAACACATCTCAGTTTTATTTAGGATAGAGGGGTGAGGGTGGTGGATGATTATCAAATTGGATATGGTAGATAGGGTAAATACATTTAACAAATTGGATACTAAACTGGCGAAAGAGTTTGAACCACACCACACCTACCAAATAGTTAATTCCCCAATTATCTTGGTTGGCCCTATTCGTGTCTCTTCTCGGTTTCCTCCGCCAGTTGGACCTTTTCATCCCTCCGAACTTCTGCTGGGTCCCCTCGAACCGGCATACCCGCCTTTCTGTAGATCCTATCAATGCATTCCATATGATGTATTGAATCTTCATAGGGCACCCAGCATATAGGTTCCTTATCTCTGACTTTCTCTACAAATGCCTCCAGTTGCCATCGATATGTGCTCCAGTAACTCTTTCCTCCCTTCCCTCCTGTCGTCCACCTTTCACCCCAGAGAGGTCCCCCAGAGCTCTGCGTCTTGTACTCCGTAATTCCAGTCCGCTTATCGGTGATGGAAATATAGTGATAGATATGGGGCATCATTGCGTTGTAGAAATAAACTATTGCAGCGTCTGTCTCCACCTCGATTGATGGCAGTTCCCAAACACGAGGGAGAATGCCACCTAGCTTTTTGCGAGACAAGTCAGTGTAAATCCGGCTGGTGATGGGGTTACCCTCTTCGTCCTCAAAGAGCAATAATGCATGCATTGCAGCGTCAACACGGTTGTCCTCCATTGATGGGCGAGCTGCTGCTGAAAGAATTTCTTTTGGGCTCTTGGACTGGAGCGCATATTGAGTGAAGGATAAAGCATACGATTCATCCATTAAAGAACCACCTAGAATAGCGTCACCGTGAGTTTAAAGAAGGTAAAGGAATCGTTGCATATTGAGGGTATGAGCATACCGCTTCGGTCATATTGCCATCGTATATCTCCTTTGGGCACTGCAGGACTATATGTCATCCAGGCATCAGTACGAATGATTCTACCATATCTCTTTGAGTCCAGAATATCCTTAAACAGATGGGCAGCCGGATGGAATTGCCAGTGAAACTAGAGTAGTAGCGGTTACTAAAGGGCTCTAGGAGAATGGAATGCGCAGAGAGCTTACAGCCTCTTGGATAATTAGCCCTCCCTTCGATGCACTTTCGATCAGTGCTGCTGTTTCAGTACAATTTGATGCAGAGGGCTTTTCGCAGAGTACATGTTTTCCAGCAGCTAATGCCTTCTGAGCCCACTCGAAATATATATTGGTTGGTAGGGAGATATGGACAAAGTTGATAACAGGATCATCTAGAAGCTCCTGATAGGAGCCATATGACTTTGAGAAACCATATCTATCCGCCGCAGTTTTCGCTGTCTGCGCATCAGTAGACGCAATTGCATATAAGTCCACATCGGGATGGCTTTCTGCGGGATGGACGACTGCAGTCATCAATCTTAGTCGATGCATTGTTCAGGTAAAGAGGTTAGCCTGGGGGTTTAGTTACCGGCCGCAGCATTTATCCTAGTAGTTGATAGGACACCGAGTTTGAGAGCCCTCTTAGAGGACTGCGATTTACCATGGAAAAGCGAAGATGCATAGTGCTGAGCAAACGTACAGCCTTGCAAAAACAGTGCCATGGCGATGGATTATTTCATTCCAGGGTGCAATACAGTAGGCAATCTCAGGAAAGGACAAATCTTCCCATCGGCTGCCTGATTATCTAGAAGATATATGATGGCCTAGCTGGCCTGACGTCATTCGGATGTCATAACTTGCGGATGGAAAGGTTGAGACTATCACCTGCGGTCCAATGGTTGTTGTTGTTAATATCCAATGATATCAAAGTATATTAGTGGTTCATTAGCCGTCGCATACCAATAATTCACCATAACTGCTATGTGCACAATGGTTATGCATCTCGGACCTGCTACCAATTGACCGTCCGTGATCCGAAGCTGGTCCGTAGTAACGAGTAACTACAAGGAAGTGAATAATAGGTCCTAGCACTTGCGTTGCATCAGCGTAACCCTGCAACTCCCTTGTACATGTATCTGAGTGGCTCGCCGTGAGAACCCGGGACCTGAAGGATGATCAAACTGGGGTAGGCCGTCCACAGGTGCACTGTACTCCGTCCTCCGTCCTTCGTCCGTATCTCAGGTGTACATACCAAGTGACGAAAACAAGCAGCCAGAAACGCCATCCAACCGCGAAGCAACTTAGCTGTTATGTCGCCGTCGAGACGTTAAGTGCTCCATGGCTGGCCAGCTAACTGATTTTCTGGTTACACTGCTGGCTGCCACGATCCGGGGGATAACTGACTAAAGTATGAAGCGGGCACTCTTCTCGTACCGCGGCGCCAGCGTGCCGCAAGGATGACCCAGCGTGTTGGTTCTTCGGGCACATCGCCTTCAACTTACCAGGCTGGCGGATTCTATTAATACATTGGGCTCGCCAGTGGGGATCCGTGGCATGGATAAAGGGGACGCGTCTTGCTAGTCAGCTAGTTAGTTGACTACCTAGTAGTTAGCTGGTTGGCTAAGGGGGATGATTAGTGAGGGAGATGATGTATCTCTTGTCTTCCCCCTAGTCTTCCTCGTTTTGGATATTTGCCACGCAGCGCTGTTGACGATGACCACAGAGACAACCACATACATTTATATAACCAACTGGGTGTATATCTAGATGATAACCCTCCAGCGGTCGGGATCAAGGGTAGAAGGAGCTGCGAACTGGCCTCCAACCCGTTGTGTCGAGGCGCAAGACAAGCCTGGGCCTGTTGGATTCAGCCCAAAAAGCAAACATAGGCCAGTCTGCACTGTGAACAAGGAAGAGGGAAAAAGGCTCTCGCCTACGTGCCTTTTGCCCTGTCTTGACTTTTATGAGACGAGTGCTCTTTTTGATTTTTCTTCGTTCTCAAGATCCTTTTTTGCCTCCTGTCCCTAATAGTTAGTTACTCCTCGATATCCCGTCGTGTTCTGTAAGTAATACACTTTGACGGCAGAGCAGCCAGCATTGTTTTGGCTGTTTTAGTTACGAGACAAGAACCCCATCTCGTATAATTATACCCAGCATCTCGAAGATTGCAGATTAGAAAGTATGTCGTCCGAAAGACTTTCTTTTGACCTTGAGGGTGCACAATCTTATGTTAGAACTCCAGGGACAATACCCGTTGTGAGATTTACTCTATAATACATTTTACGCCTCTTGGAAAGTTCATATTTCGAGACATCATGAGTATGGACGATATAATCGAGGTGGACAGTGTAAGATGCCCGCATATCGTAATCGTCAATCGGTGTCTAACTGGGCGTATAGGAAGCTGGAGACACCCCTATGGAGTATGAAACCGATATTTGGCCGCAACAACAACAGTAAGTAAATAACGGCTATAAGCAGAAACCTATGAAGATGACTAGAATCTCATACCCTGTACTAATATCATCGTGTTCCTCGCGCGCAGTGGAGCTGCGTCTGTTTCGTCAACTGTATACAATTATAGGTGATTTTTCTCATGGCGGTTACATTTTTGAGCCTTGCTAACTATGCTTCTTGTATAACCACATAGATACGAAGTAAGTTACTGAGCCCCGATATAGCTTGTCTATGGACCTGTGTATTGTGCCTAGTTCCGGAGTTTGCCGAAAAGGAAATACAATGTCCAACCCAACCCAGGGTAGCTACTGACTTGACTCTAGAATAAACGGCGATATCACGGCTACCGAGATGGAGCATATCTTTTGGTTAGTTGACAAGGATATACAAACCTCCCGTATATATACCCGAGTAGAGAGCTATGAACTTACTTATATACCCCTGGAAAGCCAAATGATAAGAGAGAACAGGATCGTATGGACTTGGTAGGTGTTCACTCCAATACACTGGAAACAAAACTCCTGGGCCCTTACTGACTTGATCTACAGGAACACAGGATATATTATCTTCTCCTTAACGGCAAACTATATCGAGCTCCATTGAAGGGAAACGTGGAGCGTGTACTTGACCTAGGGACTGGGACCGGTACCTGGGCCTTTGAATTTGCAGAGTGAGATAGCCAATTTAATCTCGGCAAATATATTCCTTGGATGGGAAGCGTTGCTAACCTTACATCTATAAAAGGCGCTATCCTCGTTGTGAGGTTCTAGGTATTTCGTCAGGTTATATCGAATTGATATGGACCTTGCTAATATGAAAACCCCATAGGGACTGATCTAAGTCCAATCCAACGACTGTGGTGAGAACCTCAATAGAAAAACGAAGAAGCCGGCCAAACATACCTGCTGACCTCTGTTTCTTTTTCCATATGCAGGGTGCCACGAAACTGCACATTTGAGATTGATGACTTCGAAGAGGAATGGCAGTACCCTGAATCAAGCCTCTTCAACTACATTCATGCCCGCAACCTTGCAGGTTCCATATCGGACTATGACAAGTTCTTTGTCCAGGCGTACGAAAACCTGCTTCCAGGCGGGTATCTCGAGATGCAAAACACAGAAGCAAACTTCTTTTCGGATGACGGAACCCGCGAAAGGGCCGTGACAGCTAACTTATGGCAAAAGTTACTGGTGAAAGGGTACCAGAAATTTGGAAAACCGCTGAATGTCGAGCATACCTGGGCGGGAAAGATGCGAGCAGCGGGGTTTGTAGATGTTGTTGAAGAAGTCGTTAAGGTGGGTAACATGCAGTTGGTGATACAAAGCTTGCGTTGTACAGGTTACGCTGACCCTCTTCTGCATATGCATAGGTGCCTGTGGGACGGTGGTCGTTAGACCCAAAAATGAAAGAGATAGGTCACTACCAAGCAACGAATATTCGGGAATGGCTGGAATCGGGCTCACTGGCCGTATTTACTCGGGTTCTGGGTTGGACCATTGAAGAGCTCGATGTTCTTTTTACAGCGGTCCAGAACGACTTTTCTGATTTTCAGTCACACCTCTATGTTCAGATGAGGTTTGTGTATGGCCGGAGACCGAGCTAGTTGAGCAGGTTAGAATGAAAGGCATAGGGAATAGGTGAGAGGCAAGCAGATAATTCATTTCTTCTTAATATATCTATGTATGTTGTAATTCATCTTTCTATCTTTACTTTCGTTTGCATTCCGTTCCCTGGCCTTAGGGAAGGTAAATAGGTACCTCCAATTAAATCAAAATGGTAGTAGAATAAAGACGTAAATATAAGGGAGAAGAGAAAAAAAAGAGGGAAGAAGAAATCCAAGGCCGAGACGAAGACAATAGAATCGAACAGCAGGGAAGAAGTCTAGAAGCTAGAAACTTTTACGACCGCTCGACTTCAAGTGATTAACCTGATGTCTGTCACTTAAATGACGTACTGAATAATGAAGTTAGCCTGGGTAAGCCACAAGTAAGGATGTAGGTAGGGAATGAACTTACGGGGATGAAAAGGTACGGGACCTGCTTCTCATACTGGGTCCATGCATCTCCATACTTAGCGCGGCATCGCTCGATATCTCGAGCAGCACGATGGGTGATCATGGCAGCGAAGAAGATTGGGTAGAACCAAGGGAAGGGGCTAGTGAATCCGGTAATCAATCCCCAGTTGATAGCGAAGTAGAGATCACAGGTGTAGTGGATCTTGCGGGCATATCCGTCTGAACATTAAAGTTAGTATGGGCTATCATGACAACAATTTAATCTTTGCAGCGGTAAAACTTACACCAGCCATCAGCAAGGATAGTGTCCCCCTTCTTGGACGTGATTGTCTTTGGGTTCTTGACGGTTTGCCATGGGAGCTGCGGGAAGGTGTTTCTGACCACGGCCAGACCACGGGATTGTTGACGGAACCTGTTCTTCTGGCTGTTGGTGGTATCCCAGACCCAGTAGACGAAAAGATAAGCAACGTAGAGGAATCCAAGGGCGTATTTGTTCCACGCGTAGGTCGAAGGGTGACGGTTGGCGAGGAAGACGGTGCAATGGCAGTAGCTGAGCGGAACACCAGCCAAGTTCCAGAAGATAAGCATGAAACCCCATTTTTCATAATAGATGTCCCTGAAAGTAAACAAGTTAGCATGGTGCAGAGCATGGTAAGTAGATGTCAAAGGTTCATACCAAGTAGGGATGATCAATTCCTCTCCCTTTGAGCAAGCATTGGCGTACAAAAAGTGTGCCATGAGGATGAAACCGACTTCTCCAGAGACGTATCCGTAGAGTTCGTACTGTCTGGCAGCCGCACCCATGGATACAAGCAAAAGGATGTACCATGGCAGCCGAACCTCGAAGAACATCTTAAAGTCCAAGATTCCAAATAGTCTTGGGTTCAGCTCGGCACCCATGAAGAAGTCATAGATCGGGTAACCGGTCACGCGATGCTGAGCACCACGAGCAATGGCGGAGAAATAAGCGATAATTGAAATGACGAAGCCGGTAATGATGGCTACGCTCATGATCGGACCAAATTCATCCATGATGGTATACAACTTGAACACTCCGGTGACGTGAAGGGCAACGGCCAAGACGATAGTGGTGTAAAAAGACCAAACGGCCGAGCAGTAGTAGGTCAATTTCTTTCCTCCCAGATGCTCCAATGGTCTACCCTGGACGGTGATTCCGGGCAGATACATGTATGCGAGGGCCTCGAAGATGAAAAATCCCCAATAGATCGACCATGCCTTGAGCGAAGGGAATGCGCCGGTATATACCAGGTTGACGAGGTGTAGCAAGAAGTCGGACATAGACTGGCCTTCTGAGGGAGTCGGGAATGCGCCATCGTAGTAGGTCGCTCCAATCCACATGTAGTACATCAGGGCAGGGAACCCTATCATCATCGCCGTCACGCCAGGAGTTCCGCCAAACTCGATGTGGTCGGTGATCTTATGGTCTTCCGCAGGCTGCTCTGCTTCGGCTTTCTTCTCCTGGTGGCCGTTAGCAGCAGCACCGTTGGAGCCATTGGCAGTCGAGACATGCTCTTCGACCTCCTCCCTGGTCTCCTCCACTATCTTTGCCGTGGTTCGTTTGCGAGGACTCGACATCTTCGGCTGCTCCAGCGACTCAGCGAGATCTGAGCTCACTTCGGGTGTGGCAGAGGAACGACTCCTGGTGATGCGTCGCGGAGTCTCGAGATATGCGTCCGGCTGCACTTTTCTAGTGATTCCCCAATAACAAACAGTAACTGTCAGCCGTGTACGGACTATCTAATGGCCCCTTTTGCTCTTGTTGAAAGGAAAGAAATCGGCGGCAGCTGGAGGGCGTCGCAAGCCAGCTATTTATGTATCTATCACGCCTCAAACTACTACAGGGCGGCGCTCTGGTCATGCAGCAAAGGCTTGGGGCCACTTACCTGGGGGTCTTCCCGGTCTGCGATCGTGTCACCGTCATGGCGAAGCTGAAGTAGAGGATGTAATGTGAGTATTCCACAGAAAAAAAAAAGGAATAGAACAGACGATGCGCCAGCAAGATGAAGAGGAAAAAAATAGGGGGCAAACCTGGCGGGGAAGAGCGAGAGCAACCAGATACTGCAAGGGTTTTTGCTCGCCAACCAGGGCCCCTGGGGATGCGTGAAATTAATGGGAAGACGAATTATTCAGGCAGATCCTTGGGTTCTTTTCCTTTTTCTTTTTTTCCCTTTTATTCCTTTTTCCTCCCTTTTCCTCCCTTTGCTTCTTCGTCCTTTTTTTATACACGGTATTTTTTTTTTCCTGGTGTTTATCAACATGAAGCCGAGGGTCCAATTGACTTTGTTGGCCCCTGGACTTCGGCCTTGACTTAATCTGGCTGGGGCAATTGACTGGACAGCTCACTAGTTTAAGGCATCGTAATCCCTGGCAAGCGAATGCGAAGAAGCCAAGATGCGCACTAGACAGCGCTAGACGGTAAGCTAGGGACACTGCAAGTTAGCGAGGGAGAGCTTGGGTTGTTTGTTTATATAAAGGCGGAGATGGGCATATAGATCAGGGGCTCGGGGGCCTGGGGTCTTGGGGGCCTCTGAAGGGCCGCTCTGCATTGCCTGCTTGCTTTAAGTGCTATATACAGATGTTGCAAGCCTGTCTCTGTTGACAGGCAGAATCTATTGGCATTTTGCTAGAAGTAACTAGGAGATGGTGTTCAGAGATGTATCCCCGGAAGGCCGAATCTGTCATTTATCACCATAGGGTTAAAAAAAAAAACTGGACGCTTTGTTAGTATTAATATTCAAAAAGAATTGGCCGCAAGTCAGGCCGCTTCTACCTGACTATGCTGCCCGTCGTGCATTGGTCGACATCAGTGTGATCTTCTTAGCCTTCTTTTTCTTACCCGGTGTGGCACCGGGCGTGTTCTTACCAACCCCGCTACTGCTGCCACTATTGGGGTTGGTGCCATTCATGATACGTTCCTGCTGCTCGGCCAGAAGCTCTGCTTCCCAATTCTGAAGCCAACCATCGTCGTGACTAGGCGCATAATGATCCTGACTCGAGCTGGCGGTGGGGGAGCTAGATTCAACCATAGCTGTACCCCATACTGTGCGGCGTGAAGGCGGGCTGTTAGACGGCGTTGCTAGAGCCGCAAATGACTGGCGGTTGTGGTTGTTGCGGCTCTGCGAAGAGGACCATGGAGGCGAGGCGGTGGAAACGCTGGTGTCTACATGGTCGTCGTTGTTGTTGGCCAGGCTGCTTGCGCCGGGGCCAAGTGGCTGGAAGTCACTAGCGCTGAAGGGACGCTCACTAGGAGACGATAGGCTCGACCTCTTCCGCCGATTAGCCCCTACTAGCCGTTTCTCATCTTCCTCCCGTTCAGCACGGATACGCTCTTTCTCTTCACGAGCCGCCTTCTCGCGATTCCGCTTCCGGCGGCGTTCGATGTCGACACTGAACTTCTCAAGGACACTGGGGCTGACCAAGTCAGTCCAGTCACATTCTAGAAAGGTAAGCTCACAGCCATATGGTAGATGGCTTAGGTATTTGACGCGTTTGCGTAAATCATCGTCCATGATATGGCCCGTAGATATGTGCTCGACTCGGGGTAGTATGGTGGACGGGAAGAGGGAGAAGTCGCCAAACGCCGACTTGAGAATCCGTATGTCAAGAGATGAGAGATAAAAATGGGGTAGAGCTTGGTAGAAATAGTATGGCACGTCAGCAGGGTGGCCCCTTTCTGACTCGTGTGTGGTCGGATGCGATGTCCTTTCATCCGATGAAGCCGGTTGCTTAGTGTGCGGATGATGATGCTGATTTATATCAAGCTTAGACACCCTAGACGAGATATCATCATCTTCTCCCGGCTTTCTTGACATTCTACTGGGTGCCGTATGATGCCCTGAAATTGATGATGATGTTCCAGGGCCATGCAAACCCGCAGTCTCTTCTGTATGTGGTGCGGTGGGTGGAGATGGGTCCTCCCCATGTTTGTTCCCCTCTCCGTCATTTCTATGGAAATGGGGTGGGTTACCAATTCCCTTTATCTTTTCCTTGGCCTCTCTGATGGCAGCCATGGCTTTCTGAGTCCACGTTGAGTCCTGCCCAAAGAGAAGCTCGTCTTCCTGTTCCTGCTTCTCAAGAGCTTCGAGCTCAGCATCATACTGTGATATCATGTACTCCTCTCCGCCCTTCATGAACCGTGCATAGTCGGTCACTTCTGCCGCATTATACCACGGTAGATCGTCCTCTGGCCCGTGTGGGCGACGGTCAGCTCCATCCCTTGGGAGGGCAAGAGTGCTGCCAGGTCGACGCATGACCAGCCTGAGAAAGACGTCACCGCCTTCCATCAATGTATCGATCTCCTGTCCCGAGTACCACCTTACACATCTGGTTTCAGACATGTAAACTGGGTCCCAGCAGATTGGACATTTCTTCCATCTCGCCTTCTTCACAGGCTGTGCATCGTGCTCATCAGCAGCGTGTAGAAAGCGGATAAGACAAGGCAGACAGAATATATGTCCACATTTGGCCATCCGCGGAGCTACGGGTACACATAGACAGATGGGACAGCTGGTGGGCTGGGAAGTGGATGTCGACACCAACACCTGCAGCACAGTGTCCCAATCCAGATGGACATCTGCATTAGTGGCCTGTGCATGGTAATTCTTCTTCGGGTTCACTATAAACCGGTAGTTGGCATTGACGTATCTGCATAGGTATCCGTTGGTCAGCCTGTCTAGCTCTGCAACAAACATCCTTGGGCTAGCCATACCTCGCCTTGTCAACACGGTGAGAGCCAGAGTGGTAGGTTACGTGACGATGGGGCCGAAAAGGAGACGAGTGAGGGCGTGGAGGGAGGGAAAAGTTCATCAAATGGGTGATAGAGGTCTGGCCTTTTCTGCTGGAAGTTGACCTCATGGCTGCCTGCATCTGAGTCAGTGGGGAGTTCTTTGGACAACTAGCTCAAACAAGGATAAAAGAGGGAAACGCACGGCTTCAGCAATGGCATCCTCATCTACCAGACGAGGTTTACGCTGACGCTTGTGGCTCGCCTTCTTCGACTGATTGTTCCTGGCTGAAGCTAGGTTGCTGGATGACTGGCCTCCAACGAGCGGCCCAGAGACACGACGAGCTGCCGCGTCTGCGCCAAACGAGTACGACTGCGACGGCGAATGGTATGACACCGGCTGGCTGGAGGTCCCGGTCAGTTTAGATGGCGCAGAGGACTGTCCTGGGCCTCCCGACATTGTTTGCGCGTATCCTGCGAGGCCTCCAAGCTCCGTCTTCTTGATGACACTGAAGCTGTCCGGGCGGGACCCGTCATGTCACCAGCAGAGAGCACCGCTGTCTCCTCCCTCACAGTGCCGTATCGAAGACACCGTCACTGCAACGCCCGGTCAGCAGCGGCTTTGACGATCCAAAAGAGAAAAAGATGAAGTCGCTCTCCGTCCTTCTTCGTCTTCCTTCGTCTTCACCTTCGTCGCTCTTCGGCTTCTTCCTCTCGAGCCATCGAAAAACGGACGAGGAGGGGCGACCCGGGTGCAAACAGGACAAACAGCCAGCCAAAGTACCTTACATCGTCGCTGCTGCGCGTAACAAGCAGCCTCGTCTTCCTTTCTAGGGCTCGACAGGGCGCAAAAGAGGCTGCGAACTGTCTGTAGCGAGCTGGTGGCATCCATTGGCCTCTCTGCGCCCCAGATATTTGCGAAAAGAGACGCCCAAAGGCCGCTGTCGAGAGGCCGCGTCCGTCGCTCTCGCTCGCTGCCCAACTTCACCTGTCGCTTTTTGCTCTGGTCCCGTGACCTCATCCTTGCTCGGGGACAAAATTTCCCTTTTTGGGAATTCTCAACGACGTCAAACGAAACAAAAAGGCAGACAGGAAAGATTTTTATAGAGAGAAGAAACACATTGCTACACACGCTCGCTCGCTCGCACATACGGTAGAGCGAGACATCTACTTGCTACTGCGGCTGCTCGTCTTGCGCTGGCCTCGTCCTCTGTGAGTTTTGTGGAATATTATTTAAGTGGAGCGTGGGCGAGCACCGGTCAAAAATACCAATACCTGACTAACCTCACACTTCATCGACCAGATTTCTTGACCACGGCCAACCCCAACCGCCATCACTGCTCGACCGACCGACGGGCTCCTGGATAGCTAGAGCTTTGCCCTTCCGCACGCGAGAACAGGCCTGTCTGGTCCATTACTATGCATGGCGTCCAAGCAGAGCGCATTTTGACAGCCAGTCAAGCCGCCTCCGAGAACAGCTGAAGGGACCATAGAAAAATATTCCAGAGACGCCATTCGGTCCTTTTTCGCCCGCGATGAACCATCATCCCCCTCCTCTGCCGCATGGGCAGCCTCCCATGCCCCCTCCGCGGCGGCAGCATGAGGTGCCATACTCGTCAGCGCCTCCCAACGTCAGGTCGCCCGGCTACATGGCCTACCACCACCCTCACCCGCACCCGCACGCACTCGGACACTCACACGGCCATGCTCACGCCCACGGCCACGGACCAGTGCCCATGCCGCCGCCGTACGGACCCCAGAACTTCCAGAACTGGTATCCGTACCAGCAGATGCCTCCTCACCCTCCTCCAATGCAGCCATACCCGCAGTACAATGCCCCGTTGATTGTTTGCTCATACCCTCGGCCTCAACCTCCGAACCACGCGCCACCTCCACCACACATGTCTCCAGCCCTCCGGACGCAGTCCAGCACCCCCATTACATCTCACCCGTCAGCCTTCTCGCCTACGCCTCCCGTTTCCTTGTCTACGCCGGCAATCACCGAGCCACAGGAGGACCAGTCCACGCAGTATCCTTCAACGCGGTCCGGCAGCGAGGTGGGCAGCAATACCTCGACCAATGCCTCAACCAACAACAGCGCACGCCCTACACCCCCTCCAATCACTGCCAGAAGAGCAGAGGCTCGGTCAGGCGTAAGACAGGTATTCCAACCTCCAGTGAGTTCCAGGGCTTAGTCTTGCAATTCGTCTCTCCCTTGTTTCCCTCTCTGCAAAAGAAAAAGTTTGACGGGCTGTAAACATGTCGAAATGATACTGACCCATATTTTTCTTATCCATAGCTCCCTTGGCTGTCCGTTCCAGAAGCTCCGTTCCCTTCCAAGCCTCCACGACGTCGCCGTAAGAACCGTGTTACTCAACCTTCATCCCTCGCAGTCGAATTGCCTTCCAAGGACGAGAACGAAGCCGAAGACACCGAGCCGCAAGTGAACAATGTTGAAGAGCAACCATCTAAGCCCGCCTCTGTTCCTCAGCCTGAACCGGATACCCCATCTCTACCTCCGGCCACCACCACCACCCAACAAACTCCAGTGCACGCCCGTCAGGCTAGCACTGCAAGGGCAGGTGTTCCGGTCGTCCCCGTGGTCCCGTTGCTTTCCCAAAGCCCGTCAGCCTCTAAACAGTCAAAACCTACTATTCAGTCTACTCCTGAGAAAGCGGGTACAGCCGAGGCAGCAGCACCACCAGTCATTGAAAACGGATGTGCTCCAACCGAGGACGAGTCTCAGCCGCCAGCATCTTCTGATACTAATAGCAATGAAACCCCGTCTCCAGCGGCTCAACGGGCTGCTCCAAAATCTTGGGCGGATCTTGTTCGCTCAAAGGCCGCTGCAAAGCAAGCGGCTGCCGCTTCTCCCCAAGCCGGCGCCTTGGCGCTCACGAGGGGCGAATCTTTGGCCGAAGCACTCAACAGCTTTGGCTCGAACGTTGATCAATATAGCGAAAAAATTGCTTTCTTAGAACCTCGTGGCCTTGTAAATACGGGAAATATGTGCTATATGAATTCTGTAAGTCTTTCCTTTTAACACGTCTATTAAAATGCCCAACTCTAACAATTCTGCGCAGATTCTACAAGTTTTAATCTTTTGCGTTCCATTTTATGAATTTCTTGATCAGATTGGCCGTCGTGCGGCCCATAGCTTCAAAAGTGACAGTCCTTTAGTGGATGCTATGTAAGCTAATACTCCGGCTACCCCGAATAGGCATCTTGTCCTCATGCTAATTCATCTACTTAGGATTATGTTTCTACGGGAATTCAGGGTTATTGATGCGGCATCTTCGGTGGAAAAATTAAGGCTTCGGTTGAAACAAAACGAATTGGAGGAGTACGGTGAATCTTTTATTCCAGAATATGTTTATCAAGTTATTCGACATCTCCCACGTTTTAGGGACATGAGAGTAAGCTAATCTTTGCCCTTGGATACGTTCAGAGTTGCTAATCCTGTCATAGCGCGGTCATCAACAAGACGCCCAGGAATTCCTAGGCTTCCTCCTCGAGGAGCTCCATGATGAATGTCTTCTCGCCACTAAGAACGCCATGGCGGACAAGTCTGACGTTTCTACTTCTTCTGATGTGGATTCTCAATCCATTGCAGACGACTCTACTGGTGATGGGTGGCTGGAGGTTGGCCACAAACAGAAGGCGTCAGTCACCAGATCATCGGGGGACAGCTCCGGAGAGTCTCCCATTACCCGGATTTTTAGCGGCAAAATCCGGTCTGAATTCAGAGTGCCTGGAAACAAAAATTCAGTAACTCTTGAGCCTTATCAGTCACTTCAACTTGACATCGGATCTCCTCAGGTGAACAACATCATCGATGCGCTTAAGGGTCTTACCAAGCCTGAAACCATGCACGGAGACTTCCAATCATCTCGTGGGCCCAAAGTCAATGCTACCAAGCAAGTCTTCATTGAAAAGCTACCCCCAGTCCTCATCCTTCACCTCAAGCGTTTCCAGTATGATAATGTCACCAATGGCACGCAAAAGATCTGGAAGAAGATCGGCTACCCACTTGAGCTTGAGATACCCAAGGAGGTCTTCCCCCCACATCGTCGCAATGCGCTTTCTGCCCAAAATGGTAGCCTCCCTAAGTACCGCCTCATTGGAGTTATCTATCACCACGGCAAGAGCGCAAGTGGGGGACACTACACCGTTGAAGTGCGCCGACAGGATGGACGTGAATGGGTCCGTTTTGACGACACCTACATCCGTCGTGTACGAAGTGAAGAAGTAGCTTTTGGCGGCAGCGAGGAGGATCCAAAACTGCTCTCTGCCGCGCTCGAACGCCACAACAACTCTACCGACCAAATTTCCAGCAATAACATCTACGACCAATTTGACGCTGACGAGCACGACCACCCGGATAACGGGAGAGGTTGGAGCCAAGTTAACGGCTCTGGCTCGGGCAGCCACTCTAGACAAAAGTCTATGGCCGCAGCCGCAGCCGCCGCTGCAGCTGCCAGCGGCAACGCCTCGCCTAAGGCCGATTCCGGAAAAGGCACCCCCACAGCATCCAGCAGCGCCCGTTTCGGCTCTTCTCGAGATAACAAAGTTGCGTATCTCCTGTTTTACCAGCGTATTCACAGCGCTTAAGCGAATATTTGATATATCACGAACAACTTACCCAAAGAACGATAAATGCATGCTATGCTTTACACCGCATTTTACCACGACCACCCGCGCATGCCTCTTTATTATTACTAACCTGTTGAAAAGAAAACACACCCCATAACCATCAAAATAGCCCCTGCTCGCTTGCATTGCTACGTATGTTCTACACATATCTGCTTTATGTATAGCCTGCGGCAGGATATATATGGTGCACAAAATGCACGGGATTCTGGTTCTAACCCAATCATTTTTTACCTGTCCTACCAAACATCAGCCCTTTACTTCCCCTCCCTCTTACCTACCCTTTGCCCTCCCGTTCGTCATCCCACCCTACCCTTCCCCCTTCCGCCTCACGATCCTCTCAGTTCCTCTACGCTCCTACGATCTACCTACCTGCCTCCTTCCATCCCACCCTTCTTCTCTTATATCAAATCATGTATTTGAGAAACGTATCATCAAAAAAAGAGGTTCCAGTTCTAGCCTTGATCTTTCCACTTTTCGGCTGTTAAGCTAGCCGAGTAATCCCAATAACTCGTAAGCTTGTGCCTAGATAGCAGTGACTTTTCTGGCTACGTTTATATGGCTTTAATACAACGGGCTAGCAAGGTCAAGCATGTCGTTGGTAGGGCTAAAAGCGGCGTTTGATTTCCCGCGTTAAGTCAATTCAAGTCCATAAACACCAACGGCCAGCACAGCTTGTACTTTCCACCGATAACTAGATAGGGCTGGTTGGGATATAACTAAAGTGGCTCTACCCTTAATTAAATAATATCGAGATCTGGCAACTCACACCTGCAGCTGCAATCATGTTAGTAAAGGAATCTACCCACGATGTGAAGACAACCGTCGCAGGGGAGGGGCAGATGAGTGAGTCTCCAACAACCGTCTTCTTTAGCCTCCCCCAAGTTCAATGTTTGTTAACTTGGGCTTTTGTAGGAATATACGTCTTCCATCCCACTATCCCAGGCTACCCCAATGCAAAGTTCCCTGGGGTAGTGGTATTCAGTGAGATCTATCAAGGTAGATAGAACCTGGAAGTGTTCTACGTTCTATTCTAACCGTCGAGTAAATAGTCACTGGCCCTGTTGCACGGTTTGCACGCATGATTGCTGGCCAGGGATACATCTGTGCTGCACCATCTAGCTACCATGAATTCACCGGTCCAGAGCCGTTGCAGTACAATGCCGAGGACACGGATAACGGCAACAAGTGGAAGATCACTAAGGTAAGTGTAGAATTTTAGTAACATCCATTTATTTTGATCCTAAGAGATAATCACTGTATAGAAAGTAGCTGCATATGATGAAGATGCCCGTCTCTGTGTGGACTACCTGCTTTCCCTGCCTACTGCAACGGCCGCGTGGCGCAACTGGGATGTGTCTGGGAAGCCCATCTGGCGTATAGATGTGCACTCGACTCCCGCATCCGGGCTGCTGTATGCTACTTTGCAACTGATATCCATAGCCAGTCACTCGGAGAAGGAAAGAATGACGACAGTCTCCAGCGAGCAGGTGATATCAAAGGAGAACTGGTAATGGTATGTATGATTGATCGCGATAGCCTCTTCTATGTGTCTCTACGGACCTTATAACTCGTCTCACCCTCCCATAGATTTTCGGCAAAAACGACAATCACGTCCCAGCACCGGGTCGAGATTTGATTCGTAGCACTCTGCATGAGAAGGGGTGTATGCTTCAGTTTCTATGAAGCTGCATGGGCACAGCGTATGTAATGTCATACATGGTTAACCACCCACTCCACTTATTATCAAGATCTGTAGCTGACCACTTCCAAAAGATGCATTTATCAGGGACGAACTGAGCAAAGGCCGATATGACCCAGCACTGACCAAGGTGTGCGCCGAGATGATGTTTGAAGTCTTTGGACGCACCTTGAAAGTCGAGCTAGGCGAAGGAGATGGCAAGGAGCTCGTTGTTGAAAACGTGTGTTAGGAAGGCGCTACGTGGACCAAGGAGAAGCGAGATGACCGCTGTCTGGCTTGCTACCGACGCCACGAGCAACAAAGAGGCTGATATGCTAGTCATCTAGCTAGCTACTATGGGGCAACTCGCTTGTGGCATTGACTACTACTCCGTACTAGCTGGCAAGGCAACTCCCGCCCCAAGCGATGGAAACTGAAGATGTACGGTGTAGCTGTGTATCATGGAAATTTTCACAGACAGACACCTTGAACATGTTTATCCCAACCTGTCTTACCTTCCTATCCTTATTTCTAAGTAGTGCCACGACCAAAGTCAGGGCTAACAGATCTTCCTCGTATCTACTACCCAGGCTAAGCATGTAAGTTAGGTAACTTGCATCTCGCATCTTGCATCCTCGCACCAACGTCTAAGCTACCCCCAATCCTCGAATAATAAAGGCCGGCGGAGCAGGTGACCCTTAACTAAAACTGCTTAATTACCGTACTGAGTAGCTCCGGAGCGTTTCATCCAGATAGCAACCTGCCCTGGTCCTGGCCGCCAGCTGTTTCATGCATAGCGTCCCTGTCCTGGCATCCAACTTCTCTGCCTCTCTCCCCTCTCCCTTTTTACCCCGGGCCGTCCGTCTTGCTCGCTCTGCTTAATCTCGCTCTTGCATCGTCTTCATGAACAAACATCTTTGTCATGCTTCATGCACGCTGATGCTGATCAACCTATGCTTCCTTATGTATATGCAGCCTGCTTGACGTATCATCTGTAAGAGCGTGACAAGCGCAAGGCACCCCCCGGTCCGTACCGTCGCGTACCAGCCTGGCAGATAAATTACGCCTCGTACGCCAGGACAGGCCTTGGCTCCACTGGCCGTGCAGCAAAGCCACCGCCTTCTCGGCCCGGCTCGCCCTCTGACTGGCCAGAAACAAGCCGTGCCTGGCTGCTTGATACACACCCGTGACAATACCTGATACAGCGACGTCTTGTCACTCGCGATACATCGAAACTTCTTCCCCTGAAACGCAAAAACATGAACAAAAGCGCTTCTTGTGCTTCTTCTCGGCCCTTTTCGACGGTTTCTACTCCGTCTCTTCGCTGCCATTGTCGTTGCTCGCTCTCGTTGAATGCCTTGGATTCCCTGATGGTGGCAGGGAAAGCTGATCGATGTTCCCGCCCTGATCGATCGATCGCAAGCTAGTCTCAGCGTTACCCAAGGAAAAGAGCGAGAGAAAAAAGGAAGCAGCCCGAAGCTTGCTGTGGCGTACCAGAAAGTGGACTCTCTTCTCTCCACCAGGAACAACTTCATCTTTTTGACATTTTTCTTCCTTCTTGTCGACAACTTCCCAGCCCTGCCACTTCTTCACACAAAGACAGACAGACAGACAGACAGACACACAGGCAGATTCACCTCCAACATCCTCGACAGCGACCTCGCCCTCGCCGCGACACCTCTGGCACCGCCGAATTCCTCACTCGAAACACCCTCAATCGGGCTGGGCCTTTGTTATCGAAACCGCTCGCCTTATCACACTGACCGCAAACTCCACCCTCACGACTGACCGCGGCCTTTTTTTTGTCACCTTTTTTGTCACCTCTTTTTCGCTTATTGAGCTGCCATTGTTGGATTTGGATCCTATCGACTGTCGCTACATATTCTGCTTGAGCTGGGGGAGGACGAAGAAGAAGGAAGAACGCATAGGTTCGCCAGCACAGAAAGAGTCCCATCATGGGGTCGACGCAGTTTGGCAAGTTTCAAGTACGCACACCAGACCTCACCTTCTTATCTCCGGACGTTATGATGGATATTGCTGGATGGACATGGCGCTGACGCAGGACTTGGGAATATAGAATTTCTGCCGGGACTCGACACTTCCAGTGTGCAATGTACGTTGTTTCTACTTCGGCCTGGGGTAGTGGGCTTCTATACCATTGCACGTACTGACAGCCATGGACTTGACAGCTCTTCATCAGGGACAATCAACCACCAAATGAAAAGTATGGCGGTTGTGCCTTGACGGGAATCAACCTTAGCAATGACCGAAACGTCGGAAACTTGGGTACGGCTGCGATATATTCCCTTGAAAGTCTACCCGTCGTCGAATACCGTTGACTTACCAGGTTTAATTAGGGTCCGTATTGCTTTGTTTTATCGCCATCTTCTCAGCACTGTTCTTAATATGGCGGTCGGAGAGGAAAAGGGCCGCTGTCGGTCGAAGGTGAGCTCTAGCTTTTTTATGCTTTTCGCTGGATCATCAGAGTTTGGGACTCTTGGACTAACTGGCTGCGGCGGGTAGGGAGATCCAACTGTTCCTGGTCGGGTTCATCATGATGTCTATTTGCGAAATCTTTTCAGTCGGCGCTTTCCCACTCAGCGACTCTGTTAGAAAGGTACTTACATCCACATACCTTGCATATACCCCAGTTATCCTCGAACTACTTTCACTGACCACTGCAATATATACACAGGGCTTTTCCGCGGCTCATCTTGCTGCTATTTGCGCCACTGCCTGGCTGCTCTTTCTCAATGCCATTGTCGGCTTCCAACTCATTGATGATGGTACCGCCGTGTCTCTTGGGCTGCTCGTCACCTCAGCTCTCATCCTCTTCGTCGGTACGGGGTACATTGGCCTCGACACCGCCTTCACATGGACAGGCCGCTTCCTGTCCAGCCACCGCGCACCTTACCAGAACATAGGACTGTACATCCTGTACCTTCTGTTCCCACTAATCTGCGTAGTCGGATTCTTCCTCCTCGAGACCTTCCTCGTTATCAAGGTGCTCAAGGAGAAGAGACCCATGCGTAAGTTACTACCTCTGGTCTTGACTCTACAGCCTAGGCTAACTCTCCACTAGTATACCTCACTATTGCTGGCCTGTTCTTTGCTCTGGGCCAGATCTTCGAGTTTGTTATCAGCATACACATCTGCAATGCCACCGATGGAAAGATCAATGGTGCTTTCTTCGAGACCCTCTTCAACCTTGCTGCTGTCATCATGGTATGGGTCTTCTGGAGCAGCATTACTGAAGACGACTGGCCAATGAATGTTGGCGGAGCATACAGTTAAATTCGTCTTGCCATACCTTTCCGAATTAACGGATATCGCTTACTGCTTACGAATGAGATGTCGACAAAGATATCCCTTGAAGTTCCAAAGCGGAAGATGCAAATGAATGAAAGAACGAAGTTTTTGAATATTACGAAAGTAAAGAGAGAGAAACGGCAAAAAAGAACGAACAGAATGACCTACTGCCATATGTTCGAATTTTTACCTCTTTTTCTTTTCTGTTTATTTTATTTCTCTACAACCATTTCTGTCGCAAGATCGTTTGAGATGGTCTCATATACCCACCCTCCCTACCAAATCTACATAACCAACACTTCCACGCCATTCGTTTCTTATAACCTTACTCACTTCATCCCCTCCTACACTTTTCAGCTAATCGGTATTCTAATTGATGTCCGAACAACTCACATACCAAACCATACGGAATGTTAATCTTATAATTACAACCCTTCCCCCCGGCGTTTTCTCCCTTCCCTCAACATCCTTATCCTGCAGCTTCTTCTGCATCCTACTTTATGATACTCACCTTGGATTAGTGTACGCTGGTTAAATTTCCCCTGCTGCTTTATGTTCCTACAGTGTTTCAGTCAAATATGTCCTTTTTGCGTTGATGATTCTCCTTGATAGTTATTTATACTATTTCCCTTGCTTTCCTCAGTTATTAATCTCCTTTCCTCATCCTTTTCTCGCGCTCCTAACTTTCTTATCCGCTCTCTCTCTTGGTTTGATCATCAGGTATGTACCTGTACCAATTAGTATAGTTAACGTACATAGAATAAACAGACTTATAAGGTTGACAGACGCTCTCTCTCCCCAACCAAGCCGTCCATCTACTCTGTCTTCTGCCTGGCAAACACGCCCATACCAAACCAGTATTTCCAATGGCACCAGGCAGGCCACATGCAAACTGCCTCGATATTATTTCCCGCCGGGTCGAACACGAACGCAGCGTAATAGAACCGTGTATACTGCGGCCGTACACCGGGACCGCCGTTCGACATGCCACCATGCTTCAGCGCAGCATTATAAAATGCATGAACATTTTCTCGATCTATATTGCCAGACATTCAGTATGCCTTCTCTCTCGTCTCGCATATTCATAGCACCACTTACTCCCCGTGCTGAAAGCAACATGCGAACTCCCATAGACAACCTCTGTGCCGGCAGCAGGTGCTGAGTCGCCGGCACTTGAACTAGGGACCATATTCGAAGAGATCCAGAACTCCGGATAGTATACGCCCATTCCAACCACTTTTGGGTGAGGACGAAGATGCTCCTTGAACCCCAGTGGAGCTAGGGCAGCTAGGTAGAAAGCTACCGTCGCTTCGAATACGTCATCTGGAACCGTCAGGCCGACGTGTGAGAAGCCCATTGTGTCAGTCTGAGTGTTATCCTCCTGTGAGATGAGATATGAGATATGAATTGCTTGATTTCGTTTAATTCAGTCTACGCGAGGTTTCGTATCGACTTTATATATCTTCGAGTCGAGTATCAACGCTAGCTGGAAGAAGGTTTGGCTGCCTAGCTTGGGCTTGATATAGGCGGTTCTGGATTGGTCGGACAGAAGCTTGGTATCTGGGATTTTGAATGCCTAGGGTTTCCCGATATAAATAAGTTCGTGGTATACACTAGATGGACATGTAGGGAAAAAAGGGTATTAAGTAAATGCAGAAGGCTCAAGGAAACGAAGACATATAATGATACGCTCTAGCCAGCCGTGCATCATTAAAGGAATAAAGATTCGCTTGTCTTAAAAGCAGGAAGTCCACAGCCAGAAGAAAGACAGCATCATCAAGGTGCATGCGTATATCGAATTTGTCAAGATAACGAAAGAAGGAAAGGAAAAAATATTGTCTCCTTGGTTTACAATCTAACCTTCACATCAACACATGGGAGCGTCCACTCCCTGCGCCCCAGCAAACTCCTGAACCACTCGAGGCCGATACCAGTCCATTCTGGATCTTCGGCACTCAACGATGCGTTCGGCGTGACACGGCGTTTCGCTTCTTCAAACGCAGCCCCCATCAGAGCAGTGGCCGTCGTGTTCACAGTATCAAGCACGTACTCGGTCAACTCGCTGGACGTCGAGTTAAGAGCCGGAGTCGTTGAAGTCACATTCATCGTCGGGGCTGCTGCCGGTAAATGAGCGAAGCGCGGGGCAAACCAGTCTGCTTTGAGATCAAAGAAGCAGCGATCTGACCAATGGCATGATGAGATAAAGAGGATCAGAAGGAGGGCAGAGCAGTATATACAGGGTCGGTGGAGGATGTAAGTGAGGGTAACGAAGGAGAGGATAAACAGAGGGCTTGCGTTCGTTGGGATGAAAAGGAGGGGAAGCCAGCTATGAGAGAGATATCAAGTTAGCTTTCCGCTGTCCGTTCTCGGGCCGTATGTAGAGGATTCTGAAAGGCCGGGAGGGATATCTGCATACCTTCTAAGACAAAACATGTTTGGATATCGGGGCCGCCGGCCAGCAGAAAAGATCCGATGCCGTTATAAAGCAGGACTGAACCCTTAGACGGCAGCTCACCACCATCGGATGTGCAGCTGTCTTTCTTCACTCTTTCTTTCTTTATTTTTTTTTGCTTATCACTTCTTCTTCTCCTTCCCGCCTCTTCCTGAGCCTGAACACTGTATTCCGATCCTCTCGCTTGGTCCCCGGTAGCAACTCCGGTCGTTGCACGTTCGTTCCAGTCGTCCTTCTGCGTCGCTTCCTTCTTCTCCGTTGGCCTCGTGAGGTTCGCTGTCACTTTCCAACCTTCTTCCGCCCGATCGACGGGCTGCTGACTCAGGCGAACCCTGCAAACAGAGCAAACGGGACAAACAGGACAAACAGCCCAACCTCGAGCTAAAAACCAAAACCGTCGACTTATTGTTATTTTTGCTTCTTCAACCTTCAACTTCACTTCATCTTCCGTTTCACGTCCTCCCTTCGATTCACTCCCCTCCTTCTTCCTTTTATCTTCTCTTTCGTTAGAATTGCATTAGCACGCTTGCCTAGAAGCTTGGTGTCGCGTTTTCTCTTCTCCCTTTCTTGCCTTTCCTTACAACCCGGTCCCGGGTAGCTTGAGCTACCGTCGCTCCTTGCCATGGCTGGTCCCGGCTCTCCTGCAGACCTGCAAGCTCTGCTCGCGAGAATAAAACCTCGCCCGTCCCCAGGCGGACAGCCTTATGAGAGCCAGTCGCCCTTCTACACTGGGCAGTTTGCCCAGCACCAGCAACAGCAGCGGAGCGGGGGATCGCCTGGCGTCACGTCGCCTACTCAGTTCAGCTACGCCGCGCCATACGCTTCCTCGCCTCTCCTTAGCCCTCCACTCCCTTCCAACCCTCCTCAGCATGGATCGGACGTGATAAGCCCCAATAATTCCACCCCACAGAACGACGACCGTGCAAACTTGCTCAAATTGCTGAAATTTAGTCAGCCTCCAGGTGGACAGAGCTCCAACCCGCCAGCCGAGACGGGACTCCCATCCGGCGCTTCAATGCGTGTTGAGCCAGTTGGGCATGACGGTGCTAACGGTAACGGCCTTCGTATGCCTGGCCAGCGTAACATTTCGGCTTCTGACATTCTCGCCTCTCTCCGTGGCCCATCAAATGGTGGTGGTGCCTCTTCTACTCCGGGTCCATCATCTGTTGTACCAGGGAGACACAGCCCAGCTGAAAAGCTGGTTGTGGCCCCTACGCCTTCTGGAGACGCAACTCAGGAGATGTTGCTGAGGTTGTTAAACCAACCACCCGCTCAAAAGCCAAAGGGGGCCGATTTAACATCTGCTCCTCCAACTGTACCTTCTGGCCAAGCTATAGATAATACCAACATCAGTGATCTTCCAGCGCATCTCTCCAACACTTCGTCTGAGGAACGTAAAAGTTCTCCGGTTCGAACTTTTGGCACCGCTGAAGTAAACGAGGTTACTCAGTTTGACCCCTCGCAACCTAAGGCAGCAAACAAAGGAACAATCTTCAGTCATGTCAACCCGTTTGAGCACCTTGCCGCGGCATCTTCGAGGACCCGATCCCCGAATAGTCAGCCGCATTCAGGCCGTGCTAGCCCTGCGGTTGGAGCTACCACTGCGGGGAAGGAGGTTCCAAAAGCCAAAATCACTTCACCCGAGGCTTCGAAGCGTTCCGTTGCTCAGCCTGCGCCAGAGAAGGCCCAATTTCAACAAACTGCGGTCCCAGGAGCCAAGGAGTCTACCAGCCAGGATAACGGAGAGGTTTCTACTCCGGAAGGTGTTGCAGGAGTTGAAGGCACACCAGTAGCTATCCCGGGTGCTAAAGTGGAGAAATCTGCACCAGCACCCGAGAAGCCCACGCCTGAACCTTCTGCCCCCGGAAGTAACATCCCAGCAAAAGCTACGGCCAATTCTCCCAAACTTATGCACGGTGCCTTAGAGCCTCCAGAGAAGGAGGAAGACGCTAAGAAACCTGTCAAAGTTGTAACAATCTCCGGTGACGATGAGACCAAAAAGGACAACAAATTGGAAACGAAAAATGAAAATGTGGCGGATAACTGGGAAACAGAGGCGGAGACTGATCGCATCGTCCCTGTCTACAACTTCCCGTTGAAGCCGTTCGTGTCCATTACATGGAAGACAAATCTGAAACCGGTTGGCATTCGTGATGATGGGGTGATGGATATTGCTCGCCTTAAGAAAGGCTTTGACCAGCTCGATCGTTCACTCACCTCCGCAACTTCCGAATATATCGTGTACGCACTTGCGAAAAACGGTGGAGCACGTATTATTCGTCAGGACGATGGTCATGACCGACAGATCTTCCGCTCAACCAATGACAGAATCTTCAATGTTTCCGTGTCCCAGGCACCAGCCGGTTCTGCTATCAAAGAGCAGGCTTTCCTTGGTATTGGCGTTAGCGGTTCCGTTTACTGGACTACCATTTCCCGTGCGGACGATGATTATTTCGAGTCAGATGTTCTCGAATCTCAGAGCTTGATCTTTCCACCTTTCCCAACCTCGGACGAGAATGCCTCTGGCGGACAACTCAAGACTCGCGCGAAGCAAAGCTCTCGCCATCCTGAATTCTTCGCTATCGGCCGTGGCAAGTCTATTCACATTGTTAGGCCCCGTGTCGCTTTGGCCGAGTATGGTTTCACTTCTCCAGGTAAGGTGGATACTGAGAAATACTTCAAGGAGAAGTCTATCAAAATCGCTACTGGAAAGGCTGGAAAGGACTTCGTTTTTAGTGGTGATGATACTGTCATTGCGTCGCTTGACAAGACTGGCAGATTGAGATTTTGGGATATCCGCGACATCGATGAAATGCTTGTTTCCAACAAATGCGATATCCGCATCCCGCTCCTGACTCTTGTTACCGGTTCCTCCAATGAGAAATGCTGGCCCACCTCTGTTCTTTTCATTGACAAACAGAGACCTTATCTGAAAGCCCATGCTCTGAGATATATTCTTGTAGGTTTGAAACAAAACCATACTCTACAGCTTTGGGACCTTGGCCTAGGAAAGGCCGTGCAGGAATTGAACTTCCCTCACAGCAATGAATCAGATGCAATTTGCAGTATTGCGTACCACCCGAGTTCCGGAATCGTGGTCGTTGGCCACCCTACCAGAAACTCAATCTACTTCATTCATTTGTCTGCACCCAGATATGCACTTCCCCCAATGTCCCAGGCAGCATTTATTCAGGCTGTGACGAACAAAGACCCCGATCTTCCTAAGCCTGACTCAACCGCTTGCATGAGCGGAATTCGAGAAATCTCTTTTGGCTCGCGGGGTCAATTGCGAAGCCTTGAACTTCTCCCATTGACAAAGTCTGCCGGCCAGGAAGATAACGGCTTATTCGAGCTATACGTTATGCATTCCCGTGGTGTAACCTGCCTTAGCATCAAAAAACTTGACTTGGGCTGGGATATCGACAACAAAATCATTGAGTCAGTGGATGCATTGGAGAAGGGGTATATTGAAATTAGGGAAATTCAGCCCGTTCAGCCAGCAGATGATAGTAGCCGGGCTGAAGAAGGAAGTACGCCTCCCAAGAGCTCTCGTAACGACACCAAGGAATTAAAGAAGGACGCTGTATCCGTTACCAACTCGTCGGTTCCTGAGTCCCCAAAGAAGAAGCCAGTAGCGGAATCCGTTTCTACCGTTGCTCAGCCCCAGCAAGAACAGACCACTGGCGAAAAGCCAGACAAGAAGAAAAAGAAGAAAGACGCTGCTGGTAAACTTAAGGACACCACAAAGGCACCAGAGGACTCTTCTGATGCCCCAGTCACGTCGCCTGTTAAGCAGGTTATTGGCCGAAAGCATACTCCAGCAGAGCAACCTCGCCCTCGCCAAGTTGAGACTGAAATGCCAGGTGAATCGGTCATGTCTATGCAAGCTATATCTAAGGAGGTACAGAAAATCGAACAAAACTTGACTTCGATGTTTACTGCATCTCTCAATGGAGGACTTGATACCGTGTATCGCCGTTTTGAGGATGATCGTCGTGCCCAAGATAAACTTGCGACTATTCGACAGGATGAAGTATTGCGCTTGGTTTCGAAAACGTTGTCCGAAAATGTTGAGAAAACCCTTGCCCACATTGTCTCCGAAAGCATTAAACAGTCCGTGCTTCCATCTCTGAAGGAGGATACTGCCTCTGCCTTGGATAAGCACATCAATGGTGCTGTCAAGGCTGCCTTGCCAGAAGCAATTTCCAAAGCAATGCAGACCCCTGCTACCGTCCGCGCCATGTCTGAGCTTATGTTGCCCTCCATAACTGGTCACATTCAAAATGGACTTGCAAGTGTCGTTAACAAAACCATTATCCCAGCGTTCAAGGAAGAACAAGCCCACACAGCTGAGAGGGTCGCGAAAGATGTGGAACGGAAATTCGCTGCCAAAATGAAGCATCTTGAAAGCCAACAGATCAACGACAGCACCAAGATCGACCAGCTTGTATCATTGGTCAGCAACATGAACGACGCCTTGTCTACGATTGCCCAGGCTCAGAATGGTTTCGGCGCTGAGATCCTTAAGCTCCACAACCAGATGTCTGCCAAGCAGGAGCAGGAGCAGGAGCCCTCGCAGAAGCAAATCTTCGCTGAGCAGAAAGTCGTTCACAACATCCAGCCATCCGCCACAGAGACTGAGCTTACTCAAATCAGCCAGCTTATGGAGGATGGTAGATACGAGGAGGCGTCTATTAAGGTATGTCCGCATATGTCCTGACAGAAAAGCTTTGACAGTTTATTTTGACCCTAACAATGTTTTTTCTATAGTGGCTTCAATCTTCCCAGCAGCCTGATCTCTTCAATAACCTATTCGTGAAATATAATCCATCGTACCTTGCAAGCTTGTCGCCTGTGGTTGCTCTCTCCGTTAGTGCCGCAGTGTCTTCGTCCATGGACACTCACATCATGGAACGCTTGAACTGGTTGCAGCAAGTTCTTCGCACCGTTAACATCTCTGTAAGCCATTATCCATCCCGCGGATATAATCCACCGTCACTAACTTTAATATCCAGGACCCTACAATAAGTGAAATTGCTCCCCGTATCATGGAAATTCTGATCCAGCGCCTTGAAGCGTTGTTCGTTTCCATTGCCCAGAAGACTCCTAATGATCCCATTTTGCACCGAATCCCACCAATTACCCAGTGGGCAGCCGTTCTCAGAGATGCAAAGTAAAAGAACAAAAGTTATGTTGTCATTCCTTAATTCAGTCATGGTAATGATCAATATTTTGATGTGACGAGTTAAGGGACCTGGTTCACAGTGGTGGAATGGAATCGGCTTTTAAAAAAAATCGGTTTTCGGGCTTATGATAGATGCTGGTGATTACGACTCATCTCATTCTCATACAACGGAGACGGGTTGGTTTCTTTTCATTTTTTTCATTTTTTACTTTTTTTCGGTTATTTCTGGGAATTGGGGACAAAAACAACTCTGTCTCATTATCACTCGATTCTATTCTACCTTTGTGTTAATCGCCAACTACCCCGTTTGTTTCTTTTTACTCCCTTGAAAAGCCAAAAAGCTTGAGACTAAAAAAATTTTCACCTGTTTTCCTTATTTGAACCTCCTTACTTTTTAATTGACGTCGAATTTCTATGTGTCACGCCGTTCACGTTAACACGTCAAGCGCCACTAGGGGAAACAGCACTATTAATCACACTTTTCATCCCCAACGCCATGCCACGAAGTAATTGTCAAGAATCCAACGAAGGAGAAAAAGATATTGGCCTGAGAATTTCCCCGCCAGTGGAATGAATGCCACACAAACAGCAAAAAGCAATATGTGACAATGGCTCAAGCGTTGAACTCCTTTTCATCCCCATCAGCCTTGCCTGCCCTCCCTCCTGTCTCTAAAAACTCAAACCCGATGGCTCTCCAATTAAGCTCTTCCCTCCAGTGCAAGCCGTACCCATTCACAGCGTCCAGCGCATTACCTTCCGCGGACCTTCGCATGCCGGCGTTCAAAACGGTTATGCTTCGAAAACGGGATAGCAGCATGCCCATCGAACAGCATATACATGGCTCATGCGTGGTGTATAAATCCAGCCCCGTACAGAGGTACCCGCCCTTCGAGGGCTTGAGTAGATTAGGCAGTTGAAAGAAATGCGATTCAAGTGATGTCGACGATATCGGGGCAGACTCTACCTCCGACGGAGCAGATACTTCTACTCCATCAGTCGCTGGCTTGTTTGACGCTATCCGTTTCCTCGACACCATGGATATGCCACGCATAACTGCGTGGTTTTCTGGCCCAGCCTCATCGTCAACGGAATACTCCTTTTCATGTTCTGGCGCGTGCTCGTGCTCGTGCTCGTGCTTATGCTCCAACGAAGCTTTCCACCACCTCGTATCCCCTGAAACTGCAACGACGGAATTTAGTAGGTCATCTGTATCGTCGGGTTTCCCGACTGTGAGTTCGGGATCGGCGATAACTACGCCTACGCCTCGGCCTCGACCGGATTGTACGCTCTCATTAGCCACCTCCTTTGCTAAGGCTAGGAAGAATCCTGCCCTAGGAGAGATTGATGCCTTGGCTCGCACAAGCTGGACCTGTGGTGGTGCGTGGGCTGCATTTCGTGCTGCAGGGTTATATATCGTGGACCATTTTGTACGGGACCATTCGAGTGCTTCGGCGGGCGTTGTAGGCGGTTTAGTGGATATGAGTGTCTTTTGGATCCGAACAGTAGGTTGCTTTTCTGGTTCCGGTGGTGGTGATGGTTGTTCGGTGGCGGTGGTGGTGTCGGGCTCACTTTGACTGGGCGGTGATATCCTGGGGGTATATGGTGCCAATAGGGCCTGAATCTCCGATGGTTCCGGCAAAGGCGGAGGGATAAGTACGTGAATTGAAGCAATGGACTTTGGTCCCTCGGCTTCGTCAAGCTCCTGTTTCAATGGTTCCGGCAGGCTATCTGGCCGTAGCAGCCTGCGCAGATGGGATCGGCTGACTTCAGGGTTTCTCGGGTAATGGGTATCCAGTAGCTTGACAACTACATTTGATGACTTTATGTCTATCTCAGCAACGTATGCTTCTTCTATAAAACATGTTAGAACATGGTCGTCTTCAGTATAGTGCAGGCGGGGTGATCGAACCAAATGAGTCAACTGGCCGCAGTTCCTGAATAGAAGGTAAAATGGATATTTCTCCTTGTAGGGGTTTGATACCCTTTAATCTTTCTTCTGCTGCCATTGTACAAGTATGGAAGCTAGCTTTGGTATAATGATATAGCTGCATACGTAGTTAGTACTACCTCTACTGATAGGGGGGGATGGGTCTACCCTTGGACGGAAGATTAGTTGTAGCGAGGTAGAATGTGCAATAGCATGTTGTAATCTATAAACTGTGCCGTGCACTGTGATCGACATGCATAAGTCACCGAGTTATTGTCAAAGGCTATCAAAGGCTCTATGCAATGCAATGTATGGCTATAGAAACTGCTAAGGATGTTTTGCACGAGGAATGTTCAAGGTTGAAATTTATGCCAAGCCCAGGTTGCCCTAAAACCAAAACTCTCAGTCTAAGTAAAAGAGAAAGATGGCAAAAGGACGAGAAGCTGAACATTCAAGTATATTGTCAACTTGACGTCATGCAGTAACAGGTTCAATGAAGTAGATGTGAATGAGCTATCGAGAATCATGGAGTCATATGGTCTTGGAAGATCTACATAGCAGTATGATGCAAGTGTGAATAAACAGGGGATATCGAATAATGCCAGGCTAGAATGGAAGAAGAAGAGGAGAGTAGGGGTAATAGCGGTGCCGTCTGACAGCGGCTCTCTTTTGCATGAGAACTATTTAGCGCACGTTATGTATAGATCGAAGATCGAACGGGGAAAGCCTGGCTAAGGAGCTCCAGCCGTTTTTCTAAATCATCTATTAATATTGCATAGAAAAGAATAAACGCGAAAAGTAGAACAGGAACAAGAGACCTCAACGCCTAAAGCTCGCCAGCCGCCAATAAATAAAATAAAAAAGGAGTCCGAACCAAGCAGTGCATGAGCTAGAATGTGAAGAGATGAAGAGAATGCGGGATAACCCAGCCTATGTTAGCCCGGGGTTGAAGCATTATGCGAGTTTATACGGAAGAAGATGGCTTGCTCTGCTTAGTGTCTGGTTCGGTTTTTTTGGTGGTTGTGGTGGTCTTTTGTGGTTCGGGTTTTGCGCTAGACTTGTTCTGCGAGTTGGTTGGTACAGAGGGTGCAGTTGGTGCCGAAGAAACAGGTGGTGCGGGTCCCGATGCCGATACCGAAGCAGCTGAGGCTGGAACGACGGGGCCCTGTGTGATTGACCGAGCACCTCCGGCTGCCGTCACTGCCGGAGGAATAGCCGGGGGAAGCTCTGGTTGCATCTCATAGTCGTCGCAGCGCTCGACCAGGCTGAGGTAGTAGTCGACAAGCACCTCTGGCTGTGGGACGATACGCCATTCCACCCGCCAGAGAAACTCCAGCTCCAGGAGTGCCAGTTCCTCTACACTGATGCCACCCACTCGAGCGTAGGTCTTGTTGGTCCAGAAGCTGTCACTGAGCCCCTTGCTGGCGACGGTGGCACTGCTGATGAGAAATCTGTGGACTGTCAAGCTGGAGATGGTGAAGGCAGGGTACAGCGCACAAAGACGGTCGATGTAGTAGACCATGCTAAGCAAGATGGGCGGCGAGAGCGTTGCGTGCGTGGTGAGACGCTGCAGGTAGTCCTGGACGGAAATCCGGGGTGGCGAGCGGGAGTGAAAGCGAGTCAGCCTGCCATCCCGGAGCGGGATCTGGTCGTTGAAGCGAATGAGCTCCATGATCATGCTTGAGATCAGGACTACCAGGTCCCGGGGGTCTGCAGCCTCGTAACGGCGAGGAAGAAGCTTGACTGGCGGTTTGGCAGGCCGTAGCCTCTTAGAGGCCGAGCCTTCTGGTGGCCTGTCATCATCATCCAATTGCTGCCGCCGCTGGCTCTGCTGACGTGCTTGTTGCTGCTGTTCCTGCTGGTGGTGTTGTTGCTGAGGCTGGGGTTGCTGCTGCTGCCGAGTGGGATTTTTCGAGGGGGCTGGAGCGGACGCAGGTCCGGGGGCCGCAATCACTTTCGTCGCATCTGGGGTGCTGCGTTTTGTCCCTATGGTAGTGCCAGGCATACGTGAACTATCACCGGTAGCAGCAGCGGCGGCAGCAGCAGTGTCTGACGGGGTCGAGGGTCGAGAGTACTGGGTGCCCGCATCTACCGTCTGCCGCTTGAAGGTTGTCCGCAGCTGCTCGATCTCAGGCGAGGAACAGGGGCCGCTGTCTACCAGGGGCTGCTGGTGGTGGCTGTTCTCTGTCTGACGCGGCGAGGATCGAGGAGTGGTAGAGGCCAGAAGGGGAGAGGGACGCTGGTGGTTGTGTTGGTGATTGTGGTGTTGGTGGTTGTGAAGATTGTGGTGGTGGTGAGGACGGGAGGTCGGCGAGGCGCGTAGCAGCGCGGCAGTGGTCGGCGACAGGGAGGCGGCGGAAGAGGCCATCATCGCCGCCGCTGCTGGACTTGTGCTGCTGCTGCTGCTGCTGCTGCTGGTTCTGCGTCTTCCTCTTCGTCCTGGAGTCGCTGGAGTCGCTGCTGGTGATGCGCATGGAGGGGCGCACGTGGGCGAGCAGCACAGGGTCTATGGCAAGGCGGCAAGGGCGAGCGTGCGGGCTGCAGCAACATCGAGCTGCGCATATCGTATAGGGGCCAGAAAAAAGAAGAAGAAGAAGGGCCCCCAAGAGCTGATAGTAGGTAAAGAAGCAGGAGAAAAAGATGCCAGAGAAAAGAAAAAGAAAGACGCAGACAGGAGAATAAGAAGAGACGAAGAAGACGAAGACGCAGAAGTTGAACAAACAAGAAGTAAAAAAAAAAGAAGAGGTCGACGGTTTTGCAAAAAAGAAAAGGAAGTTTTTGCGGTGTTTGTTTTCTTTTTTTGCTTTTTTGGGCTTTTTTGCAAACTGGAAAAAGTGTAAAAAGGCGGTGGCAGGTGGCAGAAAAAGATAAGAGGAGCATTTTAAGGTTTTTAGTCACGTGAAAATAGAGCACAGATCATTATCACGTGAGGTGAATGAAGTCATGTGATCCGGGGATATGATGACTAAGAAGTTTACTTGGGAGTAACGCTGATTGGTTGAAGCTTGTTGGGCCAGACCAAGATTTGATTAGATAAGATGATCAGCGCTAGTCTGTTTTGGGACAGCAGTTCGCTTAGGTAATATGTGTTACATAAGCACTTTCTCTTTTGGGCCAAGTTGACGACGGCGTTTTGGGCGACACAGAAAAGACACATAAAAGAGAAGAGAGAAAGAAGTTGAAGATATACAAGAAGAGACTCAGAGAGAGTGTGTGTGAGTTGGTGCTGTGGACTTGCTGGCCAGGGTCACCGTTCTCGAGAGGGTCCGCGACATCAGCGAACTACCTAGTTGGAACAGCCAGCCAGCTAGTTAGGTAACTTCCTAGTTGCCTTCGGATCTTTATACGTTAACTCACCGAACCTGTCCTTGCCTAAACGCCGGACTCGAGCTCCCTCCCTCGATATTCCCACCAAACCGCGGACCGTGAAATTGCTGCCTACGTGGTGTCTCCTGCTTTTGCCTCTGGCCGTCTTGTTCTCGACTGTCCTACACCGTTTCTTGTCCCGCCTCAATAGTTGAACTGCGCAACCAAGAGCCACAGACACAAGACACAGAACAAGGAACACAAACAGAGAGAGAAGCTTTCCATTACTCTCTACCTTTCCATCCGTCGCATTGCGGGCTGGCCTCTCGTCGTCAGTCTGCCTGCCTTGATTGATTCTCTTGCAGGATGACGAAAGTCGTTAGCCCGCAGCTCCTCGACGATGTTCGCAACGCGGACTCAACCGCCGGCCGGATTGCCGCCCTCCGCTCGCTCAAGAACGATATCATCGGCCACAACCAGAAGAAGCAGGCCTGGACGGAGCTGGGTATCCTTCCGCTCCTGTCCGATGTCCTGATGAGCCGCCGTGGCGTGGCCAGGAAGCCCGAGTTTCATAGCCCGAAACAGAACCAGACAGAGGAGGATGAGATGTGCTTCCAGGCCATCACCATCATCGGCAGTCTTGCTCTTGGTATGTATGCACCTTAGAGTCCCCTATCCCTATCATGTATGCGCAGGAATGCTGGTTCTAACTTGTCTAGGTGGACCGGAATACACTTCTCCGATACTGGCTGGTGAGGCCATTCCCGCGTTGCTCTCCATACTATCTACATCTTCGTGTCCTCGATCCCTCGCCCTCGCCGTCCTCCAAACACTCAACACCATTGCGGACCAGCTTGCCTTGGTATACCAAAATGTAGATAACCAGACACAGCCCATGGGAGCCCTACTCTTCACCCGCAAATACATCCCTACCTTCCGTGGCATTCTACAGCAACCAGGCAGCTCTCCCGGTGCCCAACCGTGCATAGAGCTTGTAGCAGATCTCATCTCAAAGACATGTTCTGGAGAGCAGCAGAAGAGCATTCTGGCCGAGTGTGGCATTCTCGATGCATTGGGCTTAAGACTGGCAACGTTCATCGTTGCAGGGGGGTTTGTTCTTCCCGGAGCAGAGAACTCCTGTACCAACTCCGGCGCATTGGGATACATACCAGATCCTGCTCGGCTGATGCCAAACTAGCCC